AATCTCAGACACTGAGAACACCCTTTTCGACTCCTTCCAAGACAACATATAGTCGACCCTTGTCTGAAGCAACCGAAATTTATGAAACTGATGTCGAAGATGATGAGAGCTTGTTTGAAGAGAACTCTCCCAAACCTAGTTTCACTTCAGTGAGCGACTGTCTACTACTTCTCTCTGTTCCTATACTGACTCTGTGCCAGTTCGATAGCAGAAGAAGGAGCGAAACTACAATCTCATCTTTCGAGGAGGCTCTAACACCTCGTTCTGATGTCCACTTTGATCGGAATGGTCCTTTCCAACTTCATGGCAAGCCAGTTGAAGGGCCTAAAGGTCCTCATTTGTTCCGTGCTTCTCACTCTTCCGCAGAGTTTGCTTTCGACTATGCTCTGCAAATGTCTCCACTTTTCCCCAAGCACATGGAGTTGCCACCACAACATGTCGCTACTTCTCCTCAAGAATTTGCCTTCTCACCACAAAACTTGTACGTCCCAGGTCTTGATGCAGTCCTCCAATCTCCTTCTCTATATAGTGTGGAAAGATGGTCAACCGAAGAAGTCTTGAACTGGATGCTTGAGACCGGTCTACCCCATGAGGTTGTCGACAAATTCGAGAAGCACGATATCAATGGAACAATCCTGATGGAGCTCAAGTTTGAGAATCTGAAGGAGCTTGAGATAGAGTCTTTTGGCAAACGTCATCAGCTCTGGAATGCGATACAGAACCTCAGAGGTGGTGAACGTGGTCCAAGTCCAGTGCCTACGCCATTCCAGGACATCTCTCGACCTCCTACCAACGTCAGATCGAAGTCAGATGGTGACATTTCTCGGGACACACTGCCTACTCTGTCGCTGGATGATGACATGACGCCAGTTACTCCTGTTCGCCACAAGAAACGACGAGGTCGAAAGAATCGGCAACATGACGACATCATCACTCCTGCAGAGTCCGTCTCCATTGTGGCCATCGAGCAATTGATGCCAAGAGAGCACAATTGCGCAAAGGGCGAGAACTGTTCCAAATGGCGCAAGCAGCAGAGATTGTTTGCTCGTATCCGTGAACAACAAGGACATCCTATCAGCCCTGAGCATGGCGGCCATATTCTGATCACAGGCGATCCTGGCAATGCTACCACTGCTTACAAGGTTGTCGACAATGTGTACCGCCAGCATGCGACCTCACCTCGTGCCGAAGATGAATCGACTCGACCTGTTTCGGAGAACATGCCGCCGTCGATCGTGGCTTCTTCTGATCTTCTCGGTCCTGGTCAACTGCCTGCATTTGCACTCCATGAAAACATGCTGGCTCGGCTACAGATCAGAGACCCTCAGGAGAATGTCAAGCAATTCCTCAACTTCCAACATGTTGGCCAGCCGCAAGTCGAAGCACCACCAACGCCCCCTCTTGACACTTTCCCTGGCAATGGTTTTGAAATGTTCCCTACCATCCACCAAGAAGCCTATCCGTCTCTACAGCGCCCGTCAGAGACCCAGGAACCACACGGAAACCTCAAGCATCTACCAAAGTTATCGATCCCACGCTCTGCCAGCGCAAATCCCTGGTTGGGAAAGCCAAATGTCTTTTCTCCTGCAGACACCGTCATGTCTCCTTGCCGCAGTGCCACCGCCTCTCCTGGAGCCAACCATATCTACCGCTACGGTACTCCAGCCTCGGAGATGGACGTGCCCGTCACAGCTATCCCCATCGGTCCCATCTCCCGCGATACGAGTCAATCCGTGCCACCCAACATGCAATACCGCGAGCATACACGCGCAGACTTCCGCCGCCAGCCTTCAAACACGCTGCCCGCATTAGACGAGAACGCAGTCTTCTCACCCGCCACAACACTCGCTCGCACTCCCAGCAAGCTCCTGCACGTGGTCGACAAGGACAAGCAAAAAGAGATGAAGAAAGCACATATGCAAGCCACCTACGGCAGCTCAGTGTCCCACACTGGCTTCATGAAGAAACGCAAAACCAAGCTCCTGCACCACGAATGGCAGAATGCGCATTTCCGTCTGCAGGGCACTCAACTGGCCATGCATGAGAACAACAGGCTCTCAGCCATCATGCTGGACAGCATCAACGTCGATGACTATTCTGTTGCTTGTGCGTCACTGCCTTCCAACAACAAGCTCACCGCCGCTCTCAAGACACTCAAACTCGGTGGTGATAGGAAAAGTGATGCTGCTAGTGCTGGTGCATTCGCATTCCAACTTGTCCCTGCTGCCGGTGGTGAGAGAGTCAAATTGGCGAGTGGTAAGACGCACCATTTTGCTGTTGGCAATAGCAGTGAGAGGATTGATTGGATGAGGGAGTTGATGCTCGCAAAGGCATTGAGGCAGAAGGAGAGTGGCTTCGAAGTGGAGCATAATGGCGCGAAGGCTTGAGTTACTGCTTTTTGCAATAACATCCAAGTTGAGCAACTAACGCAACAGAATGACGATCAGATGGGTTGGGAAAAAAAGGAAAGAGAAAAAAAAGATTGGATCAACGACTTTTGATACCCTATAGCATGTGCTTATTTCTCTATATTTTATATATCCTTTTTCTTTTATCTCTTGGGTTTCTCTATCTTATGTCCTCTGGCCCTGTATCTTCACACTCTCTCCTCGGTATATCACGATCATCAATAACGATTCAAAGTTCTACAAGTAGTTTATACAGTTTATAGTTTATAGTTTATATGGTTTCTTTCCACACACAAAAAACAAGAAATGATTTACTCTTTGTCTTGTCTATAGATATACTTCGACATCCCATCTCCTCCTCGTCCTCCTCCTCTTATACCAAGAATCTAGTTCCTCAACCCCCAACCAGCTATTCTCAAAAACCAAAAGCCACAAAGTTATACGTATTCATGGTCCGTCGTCGACTGGATTGAAAACGTGCTGGGAGGGTTGGAAAGAGAATCAAGACCATGGCGTTCTGGTTTGGAGCGAAAGGGCAAGACGTAAAAGGCGACAGAGTGAGAAGCCGGGCAAAACTATTCGTCATGAGAGGGATTCGAATTGTCGAACAACCTTGATTGTATGATGCACGATTGACAAGTTGTTACAAAAAGCAGAAAACTTTAGATCTTGGTGTGATTTTTTCATGTTTTTGTTCTTCGTGCAAAGCTGTTAACATTGTACAAGAACATCGATCGACGTGGAAAGGGGATGAATGCCTAATAGCGCATGATTCGGAATAATCGTATCTACCTTTTCATGATCTGAAGGTAAAGAGAAAACTAAGACAAGAAAGCAAATTGTGGGTACCCTCGCTCCAAAAAATGTACACCGATGGACAGAAAAAGGAAAAATGATGGTATTTTTAAAAGGTTGTCAAGCGTCTAGGTGAAGGCCATGGACTTCTTGAGCTCTGCAATGGCGAGAGCAGGGTTGAGACCCTTGGGACATGTCCTGGAGCAGTTCAGGATGGTGTGGCAGCGGTACAGAGACATGGAGTTGTTGAGGGCGTCCTGGCGAGTGGCGGTTCTCTCGTCACGCGAGTCGGCAATCCAGCGGTAGGACTGGAGGAGGATGGCGGGACCGAGGTACTCCTCCGAGTTCCACCAGTATGAAGGGCAGGAAGTGCTGCAGCAGGCGCAGAGAATGCACTCGTACAGACCGTCGAGCTTGCGGCGCTCTGCGGGAGATTGGCGGTACTCGCGGCCCTGGTCGCCATGTCAGTACGGATGTAGAGGAACAAAGAGGGAAGATGAACTCACGTCTTCGGGAGCGGTCTCGCGCTGCAAGAAAGGCTTGATGGACTTGTACTGCTTGTAGAACTGGGTAAGGTCGGGAACGAGATCCTTGACGACGTAGGTGTGAGGAAGGGGGTAGATGCGGGACTCGGCCTTGGTGTCGGTGGGGATACGGCCTGCGGGTTGTTAGTGGCTGTCGGGTATGAGTGAAAGAGTAGGCAACATACACAAGCAGGCAAGAGTGTTGACACCGTCGATGTTCATGGCGCAGGAACCGCAGATACCCTCTCTGCAGGATCGGCGGAAGGTGAGAGTAGGATCGAGCTCGTTCTTGATTCTGATCAGAGCATCCAACATCATGGGACCGGTCTTGTTGAGGTCGAGGGTGTAGCTCTGCATGCGAGGCTTGTCGCTGGGGGCGTCGGGGTTCCATCTGTAGACGTGGAAGGTCTTGATCTTGCTGTCGGCGTCCTTGGAGGGCTCCTTGACGGTCGATGTCTCGTTGGGCGAGAGGACGGGGCGGGAGGCGCTGATGGCCTCGGTACCGCCGGCGAGAGGTCCCTTGCTCGACTCGACCGTGGTGGCCATGGAGCGGCGGAACATCATGCGGGGCGCAATGCGCGACGTGGCCATTCTGAACGACATGATGGCGGTCGTGTGTGAGTGTGTGGAGTGGAGATTGGGATGGGGGACGAGGGAAACAGAAGAGTCGACGACGATGTTGCTGGCAGTTGCTGCTGGCACTTCTCAGGTTTGCCCCAGTCGATCTGAGCGCTCGGCCAATCAGCGTGCGTATGATGATTCTGCCTCGCAGGTCGCCCGGGAAGGCGTCGCTTGTGCCGAGGGTCGACGGCCGCCGCTTCCCGGTCTGTTCCTGTTGCCACCGATCCCTGACGACAACCATTTTACTCGAGAATCTTGTCCACCTCCCGGCCGCATCTCCACGATCCAAGGTGAGATTGGCTTCAGTCATGTCGTTGTCTATCTCGCTTCATCTTGGCCAGATCTTGCTCGACGCTTCGCCGGTCAGCAACGACTGGTCACGTGTAGAAGTGGTCATCTTTATCAAAGCAAGAACATCCTCTTGCTGGCATGAATTTTATCCTGTAGATCTGCTGTTGTGCCAATTTTGTCAAGCATGAGAACCAACACATATTGTATTAGTCTCCCGAGGCCTTCCTCTCCAGTATCGTCCAACAATCGAGTCCATCTTCCGGGATCCAAGTGTCGCCAATCATCGAATTGACCAGCAATCCGTGTCGTTCGTGTTGCAATTCCAGAGACTTTGCACGTCTAACCCATAATATCCCATTGCTCACATGAAGACCTTTGCAACCTTCATCAAACTGCCCACAGTATCCATAGCACCACCTCCACCCCCAAACATACTTCCAAACCCACCCTCCTCATAACCACCATACCCACTACTCCCATAATAATCACCCCTTCCCCCACCGCCGTCAAACATCATCGGCATCTTGACCCCAAACTGCCTGAGCAACCCATGCAAAACACCCCCAGCACTAATCAATGGCACGATCACCGCCATAAAAGCTTTGAACGGGTGTCGTTGCGCATACTCCCACAGATCGGCTATCAATCTCTTGAGTTTGTGGATTAAACTCTGAATGTAGCCATCGCGGGGTCGTCGTTTGTAGTATGAGGAAGACCCTCCGTTGCGTGAGAAAAAAGAGGCCGAGGAGGAAGGCGCGCGTGGGAATATAGGTCTGCTGTGGCTGGTCTTTTGATGCGAGCGTGTGGAGGCAGAGCGGTGGGACGAGGGCCCGCCGAAGAAGCTCATTGTGCTGATTTTCCAATGACTTGTGGAATCGATACAAATGTGTGATGGGGTTATGCGTGATAGAGCAACAAGCGAGTGCACATTTGGAGTGGAAAATTCACGGCATTGAGTTACTTGACCGCCCTGGGGATTTGCGTGTCGCGAGCTGCAGGACACAAAGATGGCTGGTGGGATTGATTGCTATGGACCCTGGTGGAGCTTCCACTCGGGGCATGTTTTGGCGAGGCTCCGACAGCTTGCTCGGTGATGACATATCCATGTTGAGGAAATCAATTCAAGACACAGTCATAACATTCTCAATAATCACTCACACACCCACACTTGCACCCTCGCTACACAGCTCCCAACTCGCCCATCATGTTCACTGGCATCGTCGAAACCCTGGGCAGTAAGCATCCCTCCACTCGCCTTCCACCACCCACACCATGCAAACTAACACGCATGCCCACAGCCGTCTCGGAACTCCTCCCCCAAGATGAAACCTCGGGCGGCGGCACCACAATGACCATCTCGGACTGCTCCTCCATCCTCGGCGACTGCGTCCTCGGCGACTCGATCTCCGTAAACGGCACCTGCCTCACCGTCACCGAATTCACCTCTTCCTCGTTCAAAATCGGCGCCGCACCCGAAACCTTGCGCCGCACAAACCTAGGCGCTTTGAGCAAAGGCAGCAAAGTCAATCTCGAAAGAGCAGTTTCCGCACACACGAGGATGNNGGGAGGCCACTTTGTGCAAGGCCATGTGGACACGATTGCGGAAATCGTGTCGGTGACGCACGACAATGAGGCCAAGGTGTTCCGCATGCAGCCCAGGGATCGCAGTGTATTGCGCTATATCGTGGAAAAAGGTTATGTGACGCTGGATGGCGCGAGTTTGACCATTACCGCTGTGGATGACGAACAAGGCTGGTTTGAGATCATGATGATCAACTACACGCAAGCAAAGGTTGTCATGGGCAAGAAGGAAAAGGGCGATACCGTCAATGTCGAAGTCGACTGCGTGGGCAAGTATGTTGAAAAGAGTGTGGTGGGATACTTTGAGGGCAAAGCTGGCGGCGAACCTGCCATCCTCGAAAAGATTGTCTCGAGGATTGTAGACGAAAAGTTGAGCAAGCAGAAGTCATGAGTCCAGCATGGCATCAAGCAAGAACAATGACACTGCCATGCAAGACACACAACATACTTGATACCCTATCCCGTTGTCGTGGCGTGGAGTACACCGACGAAGCACTTGAATCAAACAGAGTATTCGCATATTCCCATGATGAACAAAAGATATCATTGCTATATAAAAGAGATGTATGTCTATCATAGTCCTTGCTCATCATTGGATGTAATGCATAAGGGTGGAGAAGACAAAGGCGCTGCTTATTTCGCCTATCCTTGCTAGGCAAGAATATCGCTCTTCCACTAATTGAAATAGTTAGCGGGCAAGGCATTGAAAGGCCTTCCCACAGGCAAATCGTGGTGTGTGTGTGTGTGTGTGTGTGTGTGTGTGTGTCCGCTACTAGTATGTGTTGAACTTCCAAGCTCTTTTTCATTGCTGTTCATATGCCTGCTCCAAGCGGTACCAGACTAAGGCCTCTTATGCATTCAAAACCGTGAAGCGCAAAAGAGCTGCACCGAGAAGCAGACTTGACGAAGCAGGTACGAGATGGGCGAGTTGAGCGCGATCCAAAGTGAACCAAAGAAACGAAGAAATGGTTGTTGATGTTTTTGGAAGAAAGAGAAAACCAAGCAAGAGCTAACAAAACCATCAAAGATTTGCTTGCTCGCCAAGCGGCCAATATTTCCGTCTTCTCCCTCTCAACTCGAGAACCAGCACTTCTGTCCACTAATTCTCCACATGCGCTTCTTCCAAAATCCCATGCTGACCAACCACTTGATCTTGAAAGCTTTCTTCTCTCTTTTACACTTTTTCACAAGCGCATATAATCAACCTTTGTTTCTTTTTCGTATCAATCCACGGGACAAGGGTCATATTGCGCACAAGATAGAAGGAGGAAGGGTGGGGTTTCGTTTCATGGACTTTTGCATCGTCGTTCTCTGATGTAGGAGTTCCTTCTTTGAAACTCACGCTTCCTTACATGCTTGCAATTCTGTTTGGTAGACTTTGTATGTTCTTCGAAAGAAATAGTTGTTATTGCTGAATGACCGTTGTGCTTTTTATTCGCATGATCCAGTATTGAGTTCGTAACTAAAGGTGCAAGTGCGAAAAAGAATGAAAGTTGATTTTCCCTTTCACTCTCCCCCCCTTGCTGCCCATGTCCTGTCCTGTTCGTGAGATTTCCATATCATCAAGTATCATCCAAAGTCATTAGATCATATCAAAGTGCTTCTTGTCCCTTCCTAATAGAGATTCTCCTGGTTTTTTACGCATGACTGCTCTCAAGGAGACGACTGCGTCAACCCCATCAACTCGACAAGAAACCTCGCAACCAACCTAGATGCATGCGTATTCTCCTGCATACCGTTGATAGCCAAATTCTGCCGATGCAACAAGTACGCCCNCTATGAAATCTTCAAATTAGCCTGGTCGTCCAGAAAGTACGTGTGCTGCAAGAAAATGGTAGCAAGAGAAAACTCACCATTCCTATCCACAATCTCATAGATGCGATCTGCAAACGTCTGTTCCGCTTTGCTGCTTGTCTTGTTCTTCAACTCTTCATATCTAGTCTTTTGTCGATGCTTGCCACGATATTTGCAGTGATACAGTTTACACAGAAACTCGTAGCCGTCGTCCATCTCCTGGCAGTGGGTGCGAGCTTCCCAATCTGCGTCTATGGCCGTCATTTCTTTGCGAGCAACCTTGGCGTCGGCCTTGATCCAAAGTAAATGCTGGCAATTCTCTAGTACTGTGCCGATGCCGAGCATCAAGACAAACGAGGACATCCAGAGTTTGTTCTTGTCTCCTGCTTTACGGAGGATTTGGTGTAGGCGATTGAGAGTGCGGTTGTATTGTTGTGTTTGCATCTCTGCAAAGAAGTATTTCAGTTGGCGGTTTGCGAGGAAGGGCGATGTCCAAGCGGTGTATAGATGCGGGTTATTGTATGAGTGCATCGAGGAGATTGTGGCGGGGAGAGAGGTGTTGGAAATCGTGATGGGGTGGTCCATGATACATGTCAAGATGAGCATCCGAAGGACGTGGCGGAGGTCACCCTTGAGTGTTTTCTCNNCTGGAGTCTCTATGTTAGCTCATCTATACTGTTTGTGTTGGGGAGTGGACGGACGTACATCGTCTCCATCAGGTAGACTGGTGTAAAGACTGCACAGAGCTCGAAGGACTTCATTCTGGAACATGGCACACAAGTCTTCCTCTCCATAGTATGCTTGCTCCTGGAACATCTCAAGATACTGGTCCACAACATCATCCACATACTCTTCCAGTCTGTGGCTTTGGCTAAAGCTGACTTGTTTGAGTGCTAGTGGTGGTGACCTCTTCTCCATACGCTGCCAGGTCCCGGCGATGCCAACCTTGTATCGCTTCTGCAACAACAGATCCTGAGAAGATGGCTCGTACTCATGTAAGTCCCAGGTAAAGTGACCCATACCAAGGGAAGTCAAGTTAACCTGGATGGGAGCATCGGCTCTCCAGAAGCCCAAACTCTTCTTAGCGAATGACAGGATCTCCTCACGGCGGTGTTGTCTGTTCATCGTAGCAGGGAGGAATTGATGAACCAGATCTTGGAGGTGTATACGTGAGCATGGCAGCATATGCAGAGAGCCCCTGATGCTTCGGTCCTGACACCTGGTGCAAGGGCTTCCCGGATCGCACTGGTCTCTTTGGAAGGCACATATCCAACACGCTCCCACTTTACGCATCTGGTTGGCGTGTGCTCGTGTATTGCCGTCAAGGCCACCTGAACGTCCTCCCTTGTGTGCAGGTCTTGGGCTCGAACCGCGGGATGACGAAGGCCTGGACGTCATGCCTCGCCGTGTGATTTCCGGAGACTTAGAGTGGTTCTGCTCTCTATCTCGGTAGTTGTTCCTTATCGGCAGATGAGCTGTCTGGGTGGTATCAGTGTTTTCTGCGGAAGCGACAGGAGTCTTTTCGTTTGCAGTAGATCGCTGCTGTGGTACAAGAGAAGTCTCATTGTGATGACTGATACTGATGGCGGGCTGCTCCACTGCATCAAAACTGGGGTGTCTTGCTGGACTGTTGTTGAGCTGGTAACCTGCCTGGATCATTATGATCTCCTGCGAGGACAACTCTCGGTATCTGGCCAGCACATCATCAGGTTGTAGACTGGCCAAGGGCATTGACTCTTGTCCGGTAAAAGGCTGATGATCTACGCTCGCAGTAGAGTTCTGAACAAAAGGGACATGGGGAAGAGGCATCCTGGGAATGAGAGCTGCTGGGTCGAGAGGTATTTGAGGACCCGTGGGATAGATTAGATTTGGGTTGTTGAGATTGATGGCAGCGGGGTCAGTCCATGAGAAGTTGGTGCCGTAAACAATTCCGTATTGAAAAGGTCTTTCAGGAAAGCTTTGCCAGGTGTAAGCTGGCATTTGACTGTGGGAGGATGATGGTACGCCGCCCAAATAAGGATCATGGAAGGATGACTCGATCGTGTTCTGATCGTGGTAGACGTTGGAGCCTGACCTCATCGAGTCATCAGGGGTGGATCCTCTTATCCCGGCAAGCATCTCTGTCATCAGTGCTCCCTGAGCAAAGGCTTGATATTCGTGCTCCGCCTCCAGACTAGCAACCTCTGCCTGACCACCACCGGTAGAGGAGGGAGGTGTATCAGGTCCGCGCGGTGAGGTGCCACGGCTGCTAAACTCAACGTCTAATCGCATTATGGTGTCTGTCGGATAGAGCTCATCAATAAGTGCTTGAAACGAGGCTCGATCAGAAAGCAAGTCGGGCCCATAATCAAAGAGCTCCTCCATTTTGTTGGATTCGTAAGCGTAGGATCCCATCCTTGATCACGGTCCAACTGAAGCTGACTCCCTCCCAAAAGGAGACAACACGGGCGTACAGGGCTGTGTAGAGTTTGATGGGTGGTTGGTGTGGGATTTCAGACACACTAGGGAGCGTTCCGTACCGCACAGCAGCATGGACTTTGACCAAATCGACAATCTCTTACATTGTCAACGTGGCGGTAAGAATGAGACGAGTCGATAAGGCTGATGTCGTCTAGCTTGATCAACAGAGGCACGATATCATGTGACAAGCCCCGCATCAACCGGTCATATGCATGACAATATAACAATCTCGGTTGCGAGCCAATAGTAACCGATTGCATCCACTCATAGATATTGCACTTTAACAGTGGCAGAGGTTACAACCTAAAGTGTGGTAAAGAAATGCATGATCTCAAAAGCGATCTTGCAGATTGTGATATAGACTTGACGCTTGGTGAAATACGAGAGCCAACATGAACATCATGCAACTCATGAGTTGCACAAGACAGACCTCTGTGGTTGGTTAGGAGCGTGTTCAATCCTTCGATCTACAACCGGTGAATCCAGCCAAGTTGTTGAATTTGGACAATGGTGGAGACTAGATGACTCACGGCGGTGAGTTGAAGAGGGTAAACGACTGTGAATTGGTTGTCGTGCGATCTGATAGGTGGTTGTCAAGGTATCACTGTGGAAGTGGTCGTGGGGTGTCCCAGTCCCTATCAGCTTCATGACGTCTGCTCGATAGCTCGAGGAGCACACCAGCTCAATGAATGGTGATGCGACATGTCTTGAGCGGCCGACAGACAAGGTCAACCTCACTTGAATTGTAAGCTGGCAAGAGCCTGCCATTTGTAGAGAATGGTCGAGCAGCACGGACCTCGTTGCCGGATGTGCATGAAGTCTTGGATTTGTTGCCTGAAGATCCTCGAAGATCAACCGACGGATCAGATGAACGTCTTCTCCTGCGAACAAGTGTCCATGTCTTGAGGAAGGGCCACTCAATTAGAGGTGCAGGTCGGCGTCATGAAGAACTTCTTCATCTTCCTCGTCTGTGCTTTGACAAGCCGCGTGGAAGGATTCTTGTGGAGGGCGTGGCTGTCAATGATAATACAAGCCGTGTTGTTGACCTATTTCTGGGTACATATCAAGGTGTTAGTCGTCACGGGGCGTAGTAGGCTGACCATATGAGGCTTGAAGTGCGAGACGATGCGCGAAGTATCGGACGTTGGCGCGGTGGTAGAGTAGTATAGTGAAGATACGGGATATCTTCTGTTGCAAGAGGGTCGGAACGGGTTGGATCCTGATAATAGACGATAAGATCTGATGCAAGAGGTTTGATCAGTGATCAACCTGCAGGAGGCCCAAAAATCGGCCGCACCTGCCACGCTCTCGGCAATGTCGGCGACGGGATGACTGAACCTCCATCCCACTCCAAGTCTTGACCAGGATGCCGCGACGGAAGAATCAACACACCCATGGGAGTTTCGGAGAGAATCGATTCGAGCTTACATGAGCAGACAGAGACCTTTCGCTCGTTGTAGTCCGTCGGCCGTATAGTCAAGGCATCTAGGCAGTTGCTTTGAAATGTCGCGGAACATTTCGGTCGACCATGACGAAGGTTGACTGTCGTTCTCTTGTTTCGAGTCACCGGGCGCGGCGGAGCAACTCCATGCTTAGAATACTACTGCAATTCAATGGCCATGTGCTCTTCTCAGGAACATGGAAGCCTAGCAACTTTTGCTTACAGTTATTTTACGAGGCATCGCGTGTTGGTGCAGACGTCATGGCTCAGTCTTGGTAAGGCAGACATGGGCTCCGCCTCTATTTTCAGGGTACATTCAGATTAACTAATCGATAGTTTGGATCAATCATAGCACGAGTATGGCTATTGATGCCTTCTGTAGTCGCAACATTCTTACTCATTGCAAAGGTTGGTTCTAAAAGTTTCGCTTCGAGACTCAAACAACAACTCGCACCTCATTCCCGAAACGGAAGCCTTGATGGTCTCCTCGCAAGGCAGACATGGCCAGTGGTCACGACCCTCCAAGGCTTCTCTCGGAAAGGCTATGGCCCGCTCTGGAGTGCAGGCATTGGCATTTCTAGAAACCAACACCGCAAGTGTCCTAACTTTAAATCTGTTGGTTTCGACGAATGGCATTCGTCATCTGTGTGGCCCTGGCCTGGCGGCCCTGACCTAGTGGCCTTCTAAGAGTTTCAAAGGGTCTGTTGCCTGATGACTGAAGCAAGATGCACGGTCTTTACTTCGCCATGTACATAGATGCTATCGAGGGACATGGATAGTATAAGAAGGTAGGTGTGCGGCACGAACAACTGAAACATCACACTCAAACATTGAAACCAAAGACACATACACACACAGACACATCCAAGCACTTACATAATGCCTTGCCACATCTACTCTCCATCAATGGTCCTCGTCCTCTCCCGCACATCGTCCACCTCATATCCCAATGGCGTACTACAAGCAGCCAACGGAGACACTGGCAAGGACCCGGGCTACATTGTCCTGAACAATGGCGACACCGGAAAAGACCCTGGCGCTCGCGAGACAGAGGGTGAAAGCATCAACACTCTCCTCTTCGCATTCTGCGGTGACCGCTTATCTCCAATGGCCTAAACCAATGTGCATCCTGTCAGTATCAATCGAACGCAACACAGACCTTCCTCGACTAACGATCCTCAGACGACAAAACTCGGCCAACGACGCCAACACAGCCATGACTGGCTTATTCTTAGCAGCATTTGCATACACGGTGTTCTTGGTCTCGATGACTCGAACACAGCGAGAAGAGACGTCCTTCGTTTTGGATGGTTGGGAATGGTGTTTTTGTTTATATGCATACCTGGGCTGGTCCCAGGATTGAACATCGGGTTGGTGCATATCCTCTCACTCTTAGCTTTACACGATAACGATCATGGATTTGGGGGAGTTTTGGGAAATGTTTTGCATGGGATAGAAGGAAAGGAGAATCATGGTACAAGAAATTGTCAAATTTTGGTATCGCAAACCATTACGCCGCCCAATGCCGTGAAGAAAGTAATTGTACAGTGGTAGAAGAATTGGCAGGCTCAGCCTCTGCGGAGGACTCTGTTCAACTTTCTGGCGGTTGCGATCTGNNGACAATGCGTCAGTTCTGAACCGAGTAGAAGAAAGTAGGCCAAACGAACCTGTGTACGGGTTTTCTGACCACGGACGGGCAGACTCATGGCGTGGCGTCTTCCTCTGTATGTTCCCATGTCTCGTAGACGCTTGATGTTGTCTTGCAGTTTCCTCCTCAGGTTGTTCTCAATGGTCAAGTTTTGAAGTTCGGCAGAGAGGTCGTTGACAGTGCGGTGACCTAGGCCCTGGAGCTTGGCAGTGTTGTGGATGGACAGGCGAGCCATGAGACGTTGTGAGATCTGAGGGCCGACACCGTAGAAGCTCTCGAGGGCGCTCTTGACGAGGCGCGATTCGGCAAAGTTGACTCCAAAGACGAGCTGTGGGGAAGTGAATGTCAGTAGGTAGAGCGGGCAAAGGCGCACAGGACGGCTACTCACAACCATGGTGACCGAGTTGCAAGGACAGGTGTTTCCGGACGGCGCAAAGTTGGTGGCAGACGTCGACGTCGTCGTTGGTCAAAGTCGGCAGCCGCGACGGACATGCCAAGACTCGAGGCCGCAGAGGTCCATGCACCTGCACCTGCCTTCTCCGCAATGTCGTCTCTGGCGTCCAACTCGTCCCTGTCGCTTCCCCCTCCATCTCTCTCCTTGGACCAGCATTATCACCAATCATGGCCAGCTTCCAGAGACTCATCATCTCCCTGTTGGTGATTCTCACCTTCACCTTTGTCTTCTTTGCTCAGTCTTCCGAGGCTGTCAAGGGCCCCAAGATCACCCACAAGGTACAAGCTTCCACCTTCTCCATCCCTCAACATGCCAATTGCTCACACGTCCTCAGNGTCTACTTCGATGTGACCTCCGGTGATGAAGAGCTTGGACGCATCGTCCTCGGTCTTTACGGCAAGACCGTCCCCAAGGTAGCTATATCCCTACCCTCACTCCGTACGCTCATGCTTACGTGTCATTAGACCGCCGAGAACTTCAGAGCTCTTGCTACTGGCGAGAAGGGCTTTGGCTATGAGGGCTCTACCTTCCACCGTGTCATCAAGGATTTCATGATCCAGGGTGGTGACTTCACCAAGGGTGACGGCACTGGCGGCAAGTCCATCTACGGCAACAAGTTCGCCGATGAGAACTTCAAGTTGAAGCACAGCAAGAAGGGCCTCCTCAGTAAGTCCCTCTTCCTTGACCATCTACAGCACCTCCTCCTAACATTCCATCTTCCAGGCATGGCCAACGCCGGCAAGGACACCAACGGCTCGCAGTTCTTCATCACCACCGCCATCACCTCGTGGCTCGATGGTCGTCACGTCGTCTTCGGTGAGGTCCTCGAGGGCTGGGAGATCGTCGACAAGATTCAGAACCTCCCCAAGGGTGCTGGCGACAAGCCTCAGAAGCCCATCAAGATTGCCAAGAGTGGCGAGCTCGAGGTCCCTGAAGAAGGTATTAGAGCCGAGCTCTGATCGTGTCCCGGGCGGTACGTCTGGTTCCGCTTCAGCTTGCTTCAATCTCTGGGCTTCAATCCCTAATCCAGTCTCCAGATAAGCTCATCGGTTCTGCTGAGCCCGTTGCGGACCTCAAGGAAGACGATGATGAAGCACTCGCTGCTCCTGTCCCCGTACCCGCTGCAAACGCTCCTGTCAACGAAAAGGGCGACGAGCCTCTGTCGCACCACAAGGAGGAGGAGTTGGCTGCTGGTTATGGTGACATTGTCAACGATGCTGGTATCAGCTGGTTCGCAAAACTTGGTGCTTTGGCCGTCATCCTCGGCCTCTGCGCTCTCTTCTTGAAGAGTCGTTCGTCAAACAAGACCCCCTACACATACGACAAGTCCTTGGCTTGAGCGAGCTATAGCATAAGAGAACCAGTCCAAACTCTGACACTACCCTGTACTCATCTCGAACGTCATTCCCTCTCATCGTTCATGTCACAATGTGAAATGTCTATTCAATCTAGCCAACCAAATCCACCAAGACTATAAAGCTTGATGAAGCATGCCATGGCGAGCAACACATGTCAACGTTGGAGCAAGGAGAATCATGGTTCCTCAGGCCCAAGCGAGGCGATCCAGAGCTGCTTCGAATTGTCTGACTCGCCAACCGCCCACAAAATCGTTATGGACGTTGATTTAGGTAAGACAGATGCACAACGGAGAACGTCGAAGCCATGAACGAAGACGTGGCTGGGAGAGTACGCCAAGAACTTGACGCCAACGCTTGCATGTCCTTGCATCTTCCTTCTTCTCCGTCCAAGATGAATATCATGTTTCTTGTGCACTACTTCAGGACGTCTGTTCGATACCCCATCCCCATATTGCCAGGGCAGGCTACGTTATGGCCCCATCACAACTCTAGTCCCTGTGAAATGCCGAGAGGCTGCGGCTATCCATCGAAAAACCGTTGCAACGTTGTAGCGATATGGTCTTAGTCGAAAGCCTTTGCAATTCGATAGATCTGTCTCAACTATGTTTACGGCCAAAACTGCTGCATGGTATACAAATCCATCGACGCCATGATGCTACTGCCGTTGTAAAACCATTCGTGGTAGAGACTGATGAGGTAGGTTAAAGGCATGTCTCTCCCAAGTTCTGGGTTGCTCTTTCCTTAATTTTGTGTTTTATTTTCTGTCTGTAATAGAGCGTGAGACTTCGCTCGCTCACTCGGAACCGGATTCTGTCTCCATTCTTCCATCCATTCAACTTGTTGCTCTCCTGAATTCTCGTCAGCAGGATTGGATACCATCCAACTAACAGTCAATTTTAAAACACTCCCGACTATCTCCACAAACACCCGCAGTGCTGCGGCAAAACATCATGATGAATCTAGAAGGAAGAGCAAACACCATGATTGGTGTCTCCGCGGCGTACCTTGCCGTCGCCTGGATCGCCTTCTCACTACGGACCATCGTCAAAGGATATATCATGCGATCATTCGCTCTAGACGACTGGCTCATGGTCGTGACGATGGTGTGTAACTAGAAAAATATCGCGCCCACCAACCATTGTACTGACTGGTTCACANNGCTTATATTCACAGTTGACAGCGGTCTTCTTATCACCATCGGACAGGGCCTGGAGGATGTCCAGGTTGCATCGATATACGTGGCAGTGAGCATCGCCGTCTCTGACCATGTAGACTTCCTTGGGCTAATCTGATTACAGTACCAAGTTTTCCAGTTTGCATTTTACACGCTTGCAAACGTCTTCCTCAAGGCATCTCTCGCAATCACATTCAACCGAATCCTGCTCGAGAAGTGGCAACGCAGGACAGTACAGGTGACTGTTGGTATCCACACTGCGTTCGGTCTGGCAACCTTCTTTACCATTCTTTTCCGCTGTGGTAACCCCATGGACTTTAACGCTCGATACCACCAAAGCATGTGTATGAGCTGGGAGACCACGCAAGGCATGCAATACACCAACAGTGTCATCAACACAACAGCAGATTGGATACTCGCTCTGCTTCCCATCTTCGCTCTTCGCTCCATGAAGATGAACCACCAAGCCAAGATCTCTGCATGCTTCATCCTTGTATTGGGCTGTGTCAGCAGTATCATGTCTATGCCTCGCTTTGGCTTCCTCCACGCGCTCGGTGGCATGGGAAATCAGTACTGGAAGATGGCATATCCCGTGGCTGTTCTCGGTGTCGCTGAAGTTGGCACTGGAGTCACCGCCGCTTGTCTCCTCACCTTGCGACCTCTGATCAGAAATTGGCGTGAACGCAGCGAACATCACTCTTCCAACAGAAACAGCCATAGACTGGACGAAATGGAGGAGGCTGAGGTGGGAGAAGCACGAGCAATAAGTCTGAAGTCTGTATCTGCGACTTCTGTCGCAGACTCCAGCCAAGATTCAATGCACAAAGTCAAGCCCATACCGGCCATGGTCGTCATTGGTACCGCCGAATTCGAGCCCACATCTCAACTCTCAGTCACGGAAACAGCACAACTACGCAGACGTTCATCCTGCAAACCCACGGAGGAACTGACAGTCCACGAAAACAAAGTGTCAATCGACGAGCCCATCTCTGAACAGTCTGATGAAGAGCAGCCCCAACGGCCAGACCTCGCACACCGCATGACCCAAGACTCTGATGTAAGGCCTTGGAGGCAGCCTACCATCGACACAGCAAAAACAGCAAAGGAGAAGAAGAGATTGACATGGAATGATATCCACGCACAGTGGAACAATGCACACTCGGCTAGGACAGCTTGCCATGGTCCTGCGCCACAGAAAGAAGCAGAGAAGCCTAGGAGAATCAGCATCAAACGTGTGTCAAGGGTGTTGGCTGAGTGGAGTTGGGACAAGGCATAATGCATATACTCTGATGTTCGTGGATTTAGCGAGGTTACATGTTTGTTGGGTTGTTTGGTTCACATAGCTTTTTGGTATAATTTTTGTCGAGACGAAGGTCTTGCTTTGGAGACATGCTCTCACGCAAATCAACATTTCACAATTTCAAATTCTTCTCTGTCTCTTTGTCACTATCTACCATCAAACGCCCCTTTTCCAGACGTTTCAACAAATACAGACCATTAGACTCGCACCCTTTGAGAAGACCCCTCCAAAGTTCTCACCTTCCTTGGCCCCCAAAACTTCACATCCACAGGTTTCTGTAAAGCACATTTTGAGTCTTCTACCTCTATAACACACCAGAAACTATATCATTGTTAGCTCCCGCCTCTCCCCAAACCGCTCAATGTTTCAACTCTCCACAGCTTCGATGTTGTAAAGAGCAATACAATTATTTTTTGTTTTCGCCCTCTTTTTGAGCATTTTGGTTGCTCTCCCTTTTCTTATGTTGCATTAGGGTTATAACCACCTTTTTTTTTTTTTTTTTGGCCAAGTGCGAAAGTTAGGTGTTGCAAATGATCTGATGGAAATAGCATTATTTGCATGTTTATGTCTCGAGACAGTCAGGCTGGGTGTGTGTGTGTGTGTGAAGAACTGTACAACTGTCCTTATTAATGTAAATATTGAAGGTTATCTCGATTGCATGGTTGGAGAGCAGATGGAAAGAAGTGGAAAAAGGTGTCGAAGATGTAGAGAAAGAGCAGAGTTTGTGTGGTTATTATCAAAGATTAACTATTGAATAAAGAGAAAATCAGAAACAGCAAAGACAATGAGCAGAATTCAAGGCATTAAAAAAGACAATTTCGCAATCTACTCCATCCCTATGCAAATGCATGCTTGATCCATAAGATAATCGTAGCTCGTGAAGAAGCTTTGGACATAGTGATGTTGTCGACATCCCATTACTCAATGTTGATCTTGCGAGTAGTGGGAGCAGAAGCCTTGGGCACAACAATGCTCAAAATGCCATCCTTGAGGCTAGCACGAACGTTGTCCTGATCCACACGAGAAGGGAAAGCAAAAGAGCGTGAGAACTCGCCGACTGAGCGCTCAGAAACCCAGTAACGGGATTGAGGACGCTGCTCGGGTTGTTGCTGGACTTGCTGGTTCTGGGTGTCGGTGGTGGAAATTTGCTGCTCGTTGTCGGTGGTGGATTTGTCGGCAGTCTCGTCTTCAACAGTTGGCTTCTGGTAGTGGGAGGAGGTGTCAGAGGACTCGTCGCCGGATGTGATGCGGCCACTTTCTTGCTGGCCTTCGAGAGCAGCAGTGGGAGGAGTGCCAGACTCGTGGTGACGTTCAGTGCGGCCCTTGATGCTCAAAGTCTGGGCATCGGTGAACTCAATTTGAATGTCCTTCTGTTCGACACCAGGAAGCTCGCCGTGAAGCTCATATCCATCCTTTACCTCCTTCACATCGAAGCGAGGCTGGAAAGAGCGGAGTGGAGAGATGTTGCCGAACTCATCGCCCTGGCGAGAGATCTGATGCGAGGCGTAGTCGTCAAGGAGACGGAAGAGAGGGGCGAATTCGCCAGAAGGGAAGCGTGGGAATGAAAACATTGTTCTGACTGGAGTGGCTTGAGGAACGACTTTGATGATTCTGTAAGCTTGAGGGAGCTTGTTGGAGATGCGGTAGGTTTGCATGTAAGTGTTTGTGATTATTGTTGAGCTTGTTCTTTTTCTGATGATGAGAGATCATGGTGGAATGTTACTCTGGCTTTATACCTTCGAGCCACCCTCCAAGATGGCAGCCTTGAAGGCGCCAGAGCATGCCAGAATTTGCTGACTTGACCTTCCCAACTCAGTTATGCTGCATAATACACATCTAGAAGATGCCAGTAATGTCCCCTGACAAAAGTGATAGCACAAAGCAGAGATGGTTCCAGAATAGGAAGGATGCTTCGAGAACCTTCCTGCTGCGATGGTCACGTGATGTCGATGGACGATAGCGCAAGTCGTTCGGGTGCTGTGATGCTGACCAATCGATGGCCGGACGATGCATCAGAGGCAAGTTAGACTGTATATCAGGCCTGGATACCATAGTGAAGGCCAACGGATATTGAAACAGTTCGGCCGGGGTGCCGGGTACGGAACAGGCAAAAGAGGCGAGCGACTCCGTGACTACTTCATGACATTTCGGATACCAGGAGACGAGTAAATTTCCAGTTGACGTTGGCCTTTTCGAAGCATGTACTCGATGGCACTGAAATCCTTCTTGTCGTAGTCTTTGTGTTCACGAAACTCTGATCTTGTGGAGTGTCAGCGTTTCGAAGAGTCCTCAAAACGAGGAGCGGCCGGCGTNNACCTGGTGAACTGAAGGAAGTTTGGCCTAACATCNNCTGCTGACGATTAATACTTGTTCTTTGTAGGGATGATTAGACATCAACATACAGCAGGTTTCTTTCGTGTTTCGCGAAGACATTTGCGGTATAGGGACAGAACCTCACGCTGAAGACCTGACAAGCGTGCCATTATGATCAATGCTGTTGTGGATCCAAGTAACGATATGTTTCGACGTGTGAGATATTGTTCAGGGTGAAAGCTGGATGAGTAGGGTTCAAGATGATATGGCAGAAGTTTGTTCATAGACTGGAGTCGGTGATGGGGTGAAATCGCATGACGCGCTTCTGCCAAACACTGCAGTGTGGAGAAAGCTGGGGATGCCGACATCGTTCTTGAGCAACCCTGACCATGATCCATCATTCTAGACAGAACACACAGTATGTCGTCGTTCTCGGTATGTGTTCTCGCATTCATTACGTGTCCGTTCACTGACCGACACAATCAGTAGAGACTCGTCCGCTTCCTGGCCAAAGATGGCAAGACATATTATGGCGATGCACTCGTGCCATCTGGAGCCAACGACTTGACAAGAGTGGCTCAGGCCAAGGTTATACAAGGCACACCATGGGGACAATATCAGGTTACTGAGCGTGTAGCTGTATGCTCTCAATGAACACAAGGGACCGACACGCAAGCTGAAGTCGATCAGGATGTGCAGAAGCTCCTTGCACCACTCGCCCGGGAGGACATCAGGACTGTCCGCTGCCTCGGCCTGAACTACGAGCAGCATGCCATCGAAGTATGTCTCGGGCCCTGTTATCTCATCTTGAAGCATGTGTGCTGATCAATGTTCGACAGNTCCAACATGCCCATCCCGAAATATCCTGTCCTCTTTTACAAGCCTGTCACTGCAGTCACAGGGCCGTTCGACAAGATCCCTGTCTGCGCAGCTGCTCAAGAAGGCGAAGGTCTCGACTACGAGTGCGAATTGGTCGCTGTGATTGGAAAAGAGGGCTCAAGCATTTCCGAATCCCAGGCACTTTCGCACGTGGCAGGATATGCTGTAGGAAATGACGTCTCGCACCGTGACTGGCAACTCAAGCGCGGTGGTGGTCAGTGGGGTCTGGGTAAAGGCTTCGATAAATGGGCGCCCTTCGGTCCTGCCATTGTCAGCACCAAACTCATCCCAGACCCGCAAAATCTGAGGATCACGACCAAGGTCAATGGCAAGACTGTCCAAGATAGCAACACGGGAGATATGATTTTCGGGATCGCCAAGACTATCAGCATCCTGAGTCAAGGTACCACTTTGTTGCCTGGAGATCTGATCTTCACTGGAACGTAAGTGAATGGAAGGTGAAAGAGGACGTGCACTTGCTAATATAAAAACAGTCCGCAGGGCGTTGGTATGGGCCGCAAGCCTCAGGTTTGGCTGAAAGATGGAGACGTGGTTGAAGTCAATCTCGAGGGCGTGGGCAGCTGTATCAACAGGGTCGAGTTTGAAAAGACAAAGGCCAAACTGTGATAGCGAACAGAGACATAATATCGATCCCGATTTATCCAGGTTTCAAGATGGCGAGGAAGCAGTTCTCATCCGCATGATCGAAGAGGAAGTCGCGACCTGTAAAGGGCTTGGACCCTGAACGCATTTTTGTCAATCATCTGCTCGCCGTCTTCTCCGTCGCATCTAATACATCCCGCGCCTTCGAAAGATGACTTCCGGGTCAACCAGGACGAACGTCTCCTCATCGCATAGCCGGCTGCATCTCCCAGCATCCCCTGTAGCTGCGGCCTCAAGCACCGCAGGCTATTCACAATACAGTTCCTACGAATACTCGACTCGTCCTCGTACCGCCATATCAACCATCGGAGTAGAGTCGCAACAAATCATCTGTGCTGTGAGCGAATCCCGTGGTATAGCTCCTACTGTTGGCCTTGCTTTTGTCAATCTCGATACGGGCGAAGCTGTTCTCAGCCAAATACCAGACAGCCAGTCCTATGTTCGCACCCTTCACAAATTAGCAGTCTTCAGTCCTTCCAAGATCTTGATCATAGACACGGCCGCCAAATCTAGATCCAAGTTGTTCTGCCTCATCGAGGAGAATCTGGACGACTTGAACAGCAACTTGATCCTCCTTGACCGTCGCTATTGGGCTGAAACTACTGGCGTCCAGCTCATTGAACAATTTGGCTTCATCCAGGATGTAGACAGTATCAAGATGTCCGTCGAGGGCAACTACTTTTCCATCTGCTGCTTTGCCGCGGCTATGAGGTTCATCGAGCTTGCCATGAACAAGACTTTCCCACCGCACTCTTTGAGAATCAGATACGAAGCATCAGAAGGTTCCATGACGATCGATCTTTCCACCATTCGTTCCCTCGAGTTGATCCAGAATCTTCAAAACCAAAAGTCGCCAGACTGCCTCTTTGGTATCCTCAACGAGACCTTGACACCAATGGGTTCGAGGCTTTTACGGAGTAATGTCTTGCAACCGCTTACCGATCAGCAAACATTGGAGACTCGGTATGATGCTCTTGAAGAACTGACAACCAAGGAAGACATGTTCTTTGCTACAAGATCAGCTCTAAAGGCCATCCTGGATGGAGACAAAATCTTGACTCAGCTCATCATTATTCCCACCAAGCCGTCCTTGCAGTCTACTGAGCAGAGTATAAATCAGGTTATCATGCTCAAGCAGTTTGTGACTAGCATTCAGCCAGTCTATGAAGCTTTGACCGGGTCAAGGAGTGTCATGTTGAAAGAGATTCGACGTGTCAGTATCTCGACTACCCTTGAACGCCACCAACTGACATATCAGAAGAACTGTATTCCAGGCAGTATCGATTCCATCAAAGAGCTCATCGACGAGTTCATCAACGAGGACATCTGTTACGCGAAGCAACCCCTCGAGCTGCGAAACCAGAGGACATATGCAGTCAAGGTATGTGTTGCGGTCCGCAATCAGGCGACTCAAGCTGACCAATATCCNAAGTCGGGAGTCAACGGTCTGCTCGATGTGGCTAGACAAACATATAAGGAGGCCAACATGGACGTGTACCAGCTTGTTGACGAGTTACAAGGTAAGGGAGCTCATCAACCGACATAGTATGGTGTTGTCCTAACCACGTCGCANGACACGCACAAAATCGAACTAGACCTCAAATATGACAACGCTCGACAGTACTACCTCAGTCTCAAGACCTCGGAACTCGAGGACCGAAATCTGCCGCCTGTTTTCATCAACGTAATCCGTAAGAACAACAGGGTAGAGTGTTCGACCTTGGATTTACGAAAGCGCAGTCAGAAGATCTCTGACTCGCATACCGAAGTGCTACTGATGAGCGACAAAGCCATACAAGACCTGATAACCGAGATCCGCGTCTACATGTCAGTGCTCTTCAAGGTCTCGGAAAGTGTTGCCATGCTGGACGTACTTTCATCTTTTGCTCACAATGTCACCTTGCACGAATACACTCGACCTCGGATTACACAAACTCTCGGCATCAAAGCTGGTCGCCATCCCATCAGGGAGAAAGTACAGAGAAGTCCTTTCATAGCGAATGATGTGTTTGCTACCCAACAGTCACGCTTCCAGGTTATCACAGGATGTAATATGAGTGGCAAAAGCACTTACATCCGTTCGATCGCTCTGTTGTCGGTGATGGCTCAGATAGGTTGCTTTGTTCCGGCGGAATTCGCCTCTTTTCCGATTATCAAGCAACTCTTTGCGAGAATATCCATCGATGACAGCATCGAGGCCAATGTATCGACGTTTGCGTCAGAGATGAGAGAGACGTCATTTATTCTGAGAAATATCGATAGAAACAGCTTGGTAATCATCGACGAGCTAGGTCGGGGAACAAGTCCACGAGATGGACTTGCCATAGCTCTGGCCATTGCAGAGGCTATGGTGGAAAGCCGGGCCTTGGTCTGGTTCGCAACACACTTTCGCGATCTGGCAAAGATCCTGGCAGAACGCAACGGTGTGGTCAACAAGCATTTGGCGGTGGACATGTCCGAAGCCGATACGATGGCGATGCTGTACCGACTCACCGATGGCGTCGTCTCCGAGCAACACTATGGCTTGCAGCTAGCAAAGGTCATGCCGCTGCCTCCCGACGTAATCGACTACGCAACACAAGTAGCAGAACAGCTACAAGCGCAAGTGGAGAGAAGAAAGAAAGTTTCCAAGGCCGTCATCATCGGGAGGAAGAGAAAACTCATCCTAGGGCTGAGAGAAGAACTCATGCATGCTTGTGGTGGTGCAATGGAAGGTCCAGTCCTCCAGATCTGGCTTAGAGAACTTCAGCGCGAGTTTGAGGCTCGGATGACGGCGATCGAGAGGGAAGCTGATGAAGCTGATCTTGATGTGGATATCGAGATGATGGACTCGGGGGCCACGACGAGTGATACTGGCTCAGTAATGGACCGTGATGGGGACAGAGCGACGAGTAGCCAAGGCGCCGAGTCGACGGTCGAAGATGACAGCAACATCGCTGACAGGTACTGATAGCTGTATCAGCGCAAGCATAGGCCAGCCGAGGGTCATTATGTTGCTAGAAAGCAATCATTTGGCTCATCTGTTCGATTTCCTCCTTCTGTATTTCTTTCTCCATACTTTCAACAGCCAGACTTATTGATATTCTTGCTACTGTATAACTCTTGAGTGGCAACATTCGCAGGCATTGTCTCTAATCATCAGTATCATCTCGACAAGTTTGATCTTACCCTTCGGCTGGTAAGGATGGGTTCGCATTGCGCACTCTGTTCAACCATCGTCCAAGCGAGTCACATAAGCTGACTGCTTACGAGATATCAGACCGGCCTGGGCCATTATCCATGAAAGCCTGTGAGAAGCTTACTCGAGATTAAGCTCTTGCACCAATGCTTCTTGGGCACTGTCAAACAGCGTCAACCGATCGCTTACACCCAAACGCAAAGAGAGATGGAGAGTGTACCTAGCCCATAATCATTTCCGGGTGCTTCTACTGTGGCACATGTATAACTCAACCTTTCTCCATACACCAGGGGCAGTCTTTGGAAACAAAGTATATCTACAAACGGCTATCGACGCGGTTTTGCACATACCATGAAACTCGTGTATCTTTTTACCAGCATTAATGGCATCGCTCGGTGTGTTCGCAGCACCTTTACTTACAAACATCGAGGCAAATGATATCTGCACTGCTGGATCCTCCATAGATGATTGCACCAAACCCATGGGTAATTGATATTCCAAAAGCTGCTGTGAAAGCAAACCGCGAAAGGATGCAAAGATTAGCTAACTTCTTTTTCTAGTCGTCAAGAGGTCGAAGGATTACTCGTAAGCAAAATCACCGATACCCGGTTCTCGATAGCGAAAAACGCAAAAAGACGACAAGAAGCGATTGACTGATCCTTGTGTGTTATCTCAGCTGTCCTGACGGTTTGGGAGGTTCGTCGGATCGTGTCTTCTCTGTCCCATCGAGAGTTGATGGAAGCGGCAATACTAAAAGAATATGATATTCATTGATCGATAATTTCAACATCTCAGGTTGTATAGTGTAATGGTTAGCACATCGGATTCTGATTCCGGTAATCCAAGTTCGATCCCTGGTACGACCTCAATCCTTTTTTGCGACTTTCTTTTTTGGCCATCTGTAATGGTTTTATCTGAAAGACGGTTACGATATGAGTGTGATGGTATCATTGTGAGTTGTTCTTTTTTCCAATTGGTGCTTTTGATGGTCGTGTCAAGGGCAAGTGCTTGGCGGTTTGACCGTGCGGGCGCGCAACACACAAGGTAGTGGCAGGAGAAGCAGACATATCACGGACAGGCACCAAGTTCAGCTTTCGTGATTGATTGTATTAGGAAAATACCTATGGTACAATGATTTTACCTCGCATTTGTCGAGTCAGGGAGATATGACTTCCTTTGTTTAGAGCAGCCCATACTCTCCTTTCTCGCATATCCCTCCTTTGCTATCATTAAAAAGAAGCCGACCATTTGTGCCCGAGAAAACTAAACGCCCCCGCTCATGTTTGGAAGATGCGCATGCAGAAGGTTTGGGTTTAGGTCATCTACAGCTTCTGGTATTCGAGCTTGCCTTCGAGCTTCTTTGACTCGGCGACCTTACGGACGGCCTTGTTGAAGTCGTCTTGGTTGATGGCGTCACGGTAGTCCTTGATGGCGAAGAGACCNNGCTAAAAGGAAAGGTGTCAGCATGATTATCTTGGAAGATGCGCAAAGGATCAAACTCACGCTTCGGTCACGACGTTTCTCAAATCGGCGCCGTTGAGCTGGTCACTCATCTTGACGACACTCTCATAATCGATTTCACCCTCCTTTTGCACACCCTCGGCGTGAATCTTGAGAATCTCCATACGGCCAACCTCGTTGGGCAGAGGAATCTCAATCTTTCGGTCCAGACGTCCGGCACGCAGCAAGGCAGGATCGAGGGTGTCGGGTCTGTTTGTAGCCATGATGATCTTTGTCTTTCCCAGGTAGTCGAAACCATCGAGTTGGTTGAGGAGTTCCATGAGGGTTCTTTGGATTTCTCTGTCGGCAGAGGTACCTTCTGAGAATCTGCGACCACCAATGGCATCGATTTCGTCCATGAAGATGATACAGGGTTCGTGTTCCCTTGCGTAGCCGAACATTTCGCGGATGAGGCGGGCGGATTCACCAATGTACTTGTCGACGATGGCGGACGAGACGANCTGGACACTTGGATCAGTAGTGGTCAGAAGATTGAACGGTGGTGGGTAGTTACCCTTGAGGAAGTTCGTCTCCAGACTGCTCGCGACGGCTCTGGCTAGAAGGGTCTTTCCAGTACCGGGAGGACCGTATAGCAAGACACCCTTTGGCGGCTTGATGCCGACTCTGAGGAAGAGCTCTGGGTTCTTCAGCGGCAGCTCGATGACCTCGCGCAACTCTCTGATCTGCTCGTTCAGACCGCCGATACCAGCAAAGTTGATTTGGCCAGGGTCCTCGAGGGACATGTTGTAGACGAGCGGGTCGACCTCTCGCGGGAGCATGCGCATGATTGTGAGGGTTGTCATGTCGAGAGCGACGCGGGTTCCTTGCTTGAGTTTGAGCTTGTCGACCTTGCTCCTGCATCCGACGACATAGCGCGGGCCTGATGATGCCTTGACGATGACTGTCGTGTGTCAGTTGTGTCGCTGTCGATGGAAAGAGGGATAAGTCTCACATCTCTCCTCGTCGAGCTGCTTCAAGACCTCGCCGATAATCTGGCCGACACTCTGCAGGGCCTTGATGTTGTCCTCGGAAACGTCAAAGTCGTGTTGCAGGCCCTTGATCTCTAACCGCAGCGCCTTGAGCTTTGCCTCCCATTCTCTTGACTCTAGCAGCTTGGTCTTGTATCCGTCCAGCGCATGTTCTCTCTCGGGGTCGGCGCTCATCGTGGCTGATGTAGTATTGGTATGTTTGGATGGGTCCGTGTGATGTAAAGGCGGCGGCGACAAGGTGAAGGTGATAGATGGATGGTGTTTGGGCCGATTACGAGTGTCCGGACCACGGACTGAAGCTCTCCAATGCCGTCACACGCTTTCACAATAATGCCAAGACTTCACATGCGCTTATGCACCTTCCATAACTTCTGCAGTTTCACCGTCTCATTCTCGCACTCTCATATCCTTTCGAAACGCACCTTGTAACAATGCACCGACTCCTTCCGTACATCGATGCTATGCCTTGAGAGTGTGTGTGTGCATATCGCTCCTCGGTCTAATCCTCTGGCTATGTCTACGCCACGATGGGTTTCGACTTGGCTGCTGCGGACACTCTATCTCGTGACTTGTCAAGGCTGTGTCGCCGCTTTCACAACGAACGCCTGACTCTCGTATACAGATCTATAGCTCAAGAGTCAGTCGGCAGCTGTTCACGGACTTGCCAAGCTGCAAACTCCTTCGCTCAGCCTCCTGCAATTGATCCTTCAGCCCCTACTATGGATCCCTTACCAACATCCATGGCTGATACACTGTCAGTGCTGTAAATTCAGGCGCCTGCATCTTGAGAAAGTAGGTCTGAGGCTTTAGGTAATATACCTTCTTCTTCCTCGCCTTTTTGTATCTATTACTATTGCCTACATACCCTCCACGTTCCCAGTTCCATACACCCTCACGAATCTCAATCTATTGAACATGATTTACCCTGGCTATCGACCCACCCCCAACGCTTCNTCGGACATGCAAGCACTCCCGAAATACGCCATCAACGAACTTCCAGCCTGGAGCAAAGCATTCCTCATCATTTTCTGGATAGTCCAGCTCATTGTCTGCATCGTCGGTTGGGGTATCGGAGCCTTCGCACTAGGCACAGAGTCCCTTCTCCAAGACCATGCCACTTCATATAGCAGCAAAGTACAATCTGCTCTTCGGTACGAACACTATCTACTCCACTCCAACGATGATGGCTGATGGACTTCGNNCAGTGCCGGCGCTGCCATCTGGATAGCATGGGCCAGTGTCAGCTTTGTCCTCATTGTCACCGAAATCGTCATGTTTTCGCGACAAAACTTGAAACCTTGGTTCGAGGTCACCTCTTGTTGTATCAAGACCACGCTGTGGTTGATCATGTTCCTGATCGCTATCCGCGACATGGTGGTGGACGGTTCAAGCGGTCTGTCACTGCTTATTTCGGGGCTATTCCTGTAAGTCATACTGCCTCGATCTACGTTGTCAACAGACACTGACAGTGATGTAGCNATTGTGTTCCTTGTTCCCTTGATATACTCGGCTGTTGTGCTGCATCGTCAACGCAGAGCTGCTCGCGGTCCCACGGCATCGAGCGTGGTTTGAGTAATGCTAGGGAAGCATTGCGATTTGACATGGCTATCGTGTTGTCAGAAAGACCTCCATGAACCACCGTATCTTTTCAGGACCAAGAAACAAATAACGATGTTATGAAAAAGATTTATAGCCATTTTCACCGAAAGTTGCGTCTTGACTTTCGGGCATGAACCACTATGTACGAGTTGCTTCATGCAACTCATGTTCCCACGGCCCTCGGAGCTTCCAAGCAGACATGTATGCATATCTACATATCCCCTTTAGTATGTATGTGTTTGCCTACACCATGCCTCAGTAAAGCGTCTGCGATGACTGCATGACCTGCACCACCAGTATCAAATCCCCGAAGTTTTCCAACGCCAGTCCCGCTGGATGAGCCAAAGGGTATCTCATCAGCAAGACACGTCGTATTGACCTCCGGCAGCTCGCCAGTCTGGAAGTACCTCCTCACGTACTGAACAGTACAATTACTAAACGCAGCCAGCGAAGTGTGGCCCACAGAATCCTGAACCAGTGAAACGGCATTGTCGAAGCCTTTCGCCATGGTATGCGCGTTCACCGCGGGCGTGACTGGATCTGCGGTATTGGCTATAAACAGCAGTGGATGTGCTGTTTCTGCCTGCCATGGCCCAGTATACCTATACACAGGCCTCAGACTGTAGTGTATACAATGCATACGCAACACAGACCAAACCGCACCAATCGTAGGCGAAATATCCACAAGCTCGTTGGCAAATTGCTCGAATGCTGATCGAGTGACATTGGTCTGGTCATCTCCATCGCTACATGCAATCACCGTTGAAGCATCGTCTGGAAAGTCACGGATACCTGGACTTTCACCGTCGCTTGGGTTACAGCTCATAACATGGTATTTTTGCAGGATTTGTGCGAAGTCAGTGCCATTGCCTGTTTCCAATTGCGACAAGATTGTAGCCAGTAGAGGAAAGCCTTTTAGTGGCGCGTAGAGGCTCAGGAACATCAACATTCGCAAATCGCTGTATGTGATGATCTCTGGACGAGGACCGAGGACGGCGATAGGGGTGTCGAGTAGACGCTCTTGAATACTCGCTGTTCGTCGTTTGATGTCTGTTGCTCTGGTGTCGCCGGTATGATTTGCCAACGCACACAAGGGATAGCCTACTCGTGCGCAGTGGTGGTAGAATGAATTCATGGCTTTTTCTGCATCGACCAGGTTGTTGGACCACAGAGATTGTTTGTAGTTCTCAGCATCTACCACGCCATCCAGAATGATTCGGTGGACTCTGTCAGGATACATGGCGGCGAATGTGCTGCCCAGATAGGTGCCGTAACTAAAACCCCAATACTGTAGCTTTTCTTCTCCGGGCTCGTATCTGAGGATGTTAGGCAAATGCTGCTGCATTGAGGGGTGATAGTAGTGCTGCTTTCGTGATAGACGTTCGGCCTCTTGTTCTCGCCATTTGCCATGCTCTTCGACGATTTGCAGCATGTCGCGAGCAACATAGGCTGTCGTGGCATACTTTCTGATATCTGCCTGATCTCCTGACAATATAACAGAGCAGCTTCCTCGTTTAGCCTGCGACATGGCCCAGATACGTCCCAAAGCAGCATTAGAAGAGTCAAAAGTGCCCTCCTCCCACGTCCGAATGTTCCAGCTCTGCTCCAAGATCGAGTTCCCAAAGCAAGAGATGGCCGGTGTAGAATAACCCACTCCTCTAGGATCGAACGATACCAAGTCGAAATATTTACCGTCTTCCGAGTCGACGATATTGCTGATTTGTTGTCCCGCCCTCAGTANAAAGTCAACTCCGCTACCGCCAGGTCCACCGGGGTTTACCAAGATAGCGCCTCCATATTGGGGATGCGTGATGGGAACAGCAGCAGGTCTGCGAATTAGAGCCAGCACTACTGAGGCATTTGTTGTGCCGTTCCAGTAATCTATCGGCAGTTCCAGACGAGCACATTGGAAGTCTCCTCCGTAGCATGGCGAATACTGCAGGTGGAGAGCTTTAGATACAGTGTCCCAGTCAAAACCGCTCGTAGTTTGGCGAATGTCGTTAGTCGTCTGCGCATAGACGACTAGAACAGAGGACTGCAGCATGAACCAAAGCAGCAGAGATAGACGTTTCATATGGAGGGAAGAGTTTGAGATATGGGAAACCATCTTAATCGACCTTAATTCATAGCCGGATAGAAATCCAGATTATGGCGTAATCGTCGCTGGTTGAGATATTGGTTCCGAGCTGTACAATGGAGGGCTGACTGAAGGTGTGCGTTGAAGCTCTTGTATTCAGTTCTGCTCAACTCTGATCTATCGTGCTATGCCCTTTCCAGACACCGGCATGTCGGCTAATAAAGAAGGAAGGATTCATACGGGCCATCATCACCCCGCCTTTCCCAGCTGAATACACACTTGAAAAGGTCGTGAGTTGTGTTGATTATAACCCTTAAATTGAGAAGTGTCTCACAAGAATCGTGATCCTTTATGAGTAGAAAGAAGGTTGCACTAAGCTCTTATACAAATGAGCTCAGCTGAGATCTGCAAGTTGCAGGATACAGATCCCTAACAGCAGAACCACAACAGACTCACAGTAGTGGCCGTTCGTCTATGCAAGGGCTGAACCGTTACAGCTGCTCTAAGACAACCCTTGAACAGGTTGACCGGCCTGAGATAGGGGGATTCAGACTAGGATTTCCGGATCGCTACTCCAAGCAGAACAAACAGCGATGCGCGAGAAACCCCTGATATCGCAACTGATAGCTGCCATCAGACAATGAGTATCATAAAAAATTGTATGAATAGGGTTGACAAGAAGAGAAAAAGGACATTATATACTCATTAGGCCTTCCACCTGGGTTGTCCCAAAAATCAAGCACTCTTGATGTTCACGATCCCAGGGCTCTTGACTTCTTCCTCATTTCTCCTCGTCGTCATAACGACTTCCTGCGCTTCAACCGCCGAAACAGGGTCTGCCTCGCTCGGTCTTCTGTATTCTGAGAACCTGTTGATGGCCTGTCCATAGTATCCGCGGACGGCAGGTGCACCGCCCAATTGATAGTAAGCCAATCCGCCGAGAGCGACCGCAAAGCCCATGAATTGCATGCTGGTCACGGTATCGTGGTAGAAGAGCATCGATGCAAAGACGATCAGGATGTTTTTGAGTACGCCGCTGAGGGTAAGGACGAGAGAGGAGGTCTTGCCAANTCTGCGATTTTGAGTGTCAGTACTTCTGATTCTTGCATTGCCAAAAGCGCGAGCTTGTTCGGGGAATAAACGTACCAAAAGCAAAGAGGCAAAGTTGAGGAGGAAAGCCGCTGCTGCATTCAGGAGGAGCATGAATACACCCACGCGCTCGAAATCCGCCCAGGTCATGCGTGAGGCCTCGAACACCAGTGCCAGAATGCCGTTCGTAATAGCACACACAGGAGCAAAGTAGTATAGCGAAACCAGAGGATCCATCTTGAATTCCGCAGACAAGAGTCTCTGAATCATGACCAGGCGAGTGGCTTCAAATACAATGCCTGCGAGTTGGTATCCGACGCCTAGAATGTTGAACTGGACCTCCCNCAGGGAAGCAATCACCACACCCACGACGATGATACAGATATTTCCAAAGGCGGTAAGGGAAGGTTCGGAAAGGCGGAACATCCAGGTAGCGAGGAGGACGGCAATAGGTGCTGCGGCTTTGAGCATCTGTACAAAACTGACGCTGAGGTATAGATAGGTGACGTTGCCGCAAACCAGAGACAGCGAGAACAATAGTCCGATGGGTACGATGGCGCGTAGGTAGGTTCGTTTGGTCATGGGGACTTTATGGCGGGAGTCGAGGTATCCGGTATAGCGGGCCATGATCTGGGTCACCAGAGCGGACGAGAACATATGCCATGAGGTAAGGAAGATGGGGTATTTGAAGTCGGCATTGTGTAGGATCCATTTGTTGAAGAGGATGACTAGAGAGCTCATACCAATCCACAGCCTAGGTATCTCGCGTGTAAGTCGGATGTTGAGGTGGTAGGTGTGCTTTGGGCGAACAACTTACGCTATGAAGAATGCAGGATGCAGCGACGACACAGCTGACGGCGCGACGGCCATCTCCTCACTGTGCACACTCTCACTGTCGCTGATGTCGTTTTCGTATTCCTCTGGCGATAATAATGGTGCGTTCTGCTCCGTCTTCTCATCCAATATTTCCGAGCCCATCTTTGCGTCGCTTTTTACACTTTCTGCAAGCAAAACAAAGAAGATGAACAGTGTCGCACAAGAAAAAGCGTTGCTTGCGGGTGCTGAAGAATCAAAAAAGGTAGAGGTGAAGGGGATATACACGAAAGGGAAGGATGCGTTTTATGGTTATAACAATTACCAGACCGCACGATAGCAGTCAAGCAAGGGGAGTGAATACGAGAGAATTAGAGGGGTGGTGGACCTTAAGTGTGGCTTTTTGATCTCTTTCCCTTACCGTACCTTACTCCATATTCTCTTTCGCACATATAGAGTTCGTTCATTCTGGGCGATACGAAGGAAAGGGCTCATCATTCGCAACGTCTTGTACTATCGTGCTTACTCCGGATGGTAGCGGCCCAATTGTGGCAGTAACGTCGAAAACCCGCGTGCAGCTGAGAGAAAACGGTGATTGCGATCCTCGCAGCTCAACCCACCCAACAAACAGCAGCCTGCCCAAACAGAACTGCTGGACCCGTCCACACCTGTCGGCGAAGCTGCGGGCTTGACAACGCCAATTTTAGCACCATAAAAACAAAGTGAACATCGAGTCCGTTCCCTATACATTCTAGATGGCCTGGTGGCTTATCAAACAACGTTGGATGGATACTTGTACATGGAGCAATTCAACTGGATTGCTACAAGGCCCAAGATGAGTTGATCGGTAAAAAGAAGTGGATCGAGTGACAACAAAGGGTACAGCGTGGCTGATTTCAGCTCAAGCCTCGAGGCTACACAGGGACATCCTTGGGCGCAGCTGTTCTGGTGCCTGGATGGGCACGTGTGGAGGAGAACCTCTCTTATGGCGCACCCACACCGTATCGGTGGACATGTCATTAAACTCAGAGTACGAGATATGATGCCCGCAGATCTATATTTATTAACGAGACTACAGAAGGTAAATCTCATCAAAGTATATTCCTCATGGACTTTGTACATATATTCTTGAGTCGCATCGTAATGCTGCATCGCGGACGTTTCTCCGTAACAGTTCGTCGCAGACGCGTCTGAAACATACATATCGTGAGGGGGGAAGAAGGAGAATAGGAGTTTGACTTTTTGCGCAATCCTGTCAACGCCGCAAACGGATACGGGGTGTGTTCCTGCATGCGACATATTCACAAATGATTGGTACAGAACTCTTAATCTCCTTTTTCCATCATCGCTCGGGGGCAGATTTGATGGCTGTCTAGTTGTCTACGGCTTGAACGATGGCGCCTGCGGCACCTTGGTCCAGATCGTCGAGTTTGCTCATGTCCTCCTTGCTAATTTCAAAGTCGTAGATGTCTGCGTTGTCCTTGATTCTGCTAGGGGTATCGCTCTTGGGGAGAGGGACNNCTGGGAAACGCGTGTCAGTATGATGTTTCAAACGACCGATGACGGCAAATCAACTTACCCATCCCTTTTGCAAGCAGTAACGAATCAAGACCTGGCCAGTCGACTTGTTGTACTTCTTGGACAGCGAGTTAAGTGTTGGGTCGTCGGCCTTCTGGTTGCGAACCAAGGGGCAGTAGGCTTCGACGATAATGTTGTTGGCTTGACAGTACTCGACGGCCACACGCTGCTGGTTCCAGGNGTGCAGCTGCAGGCTTGTTAACAACCTACGAACGAATAGTATATCCAAGACTCAACATACCTCGATCTGGTTGACATGCGGCGGCCAGACCTTGGCGAACGACTTCAACTCCTCGATCTGACCCTTGCCAAAGTTGCTGACACCAATGGCCTTGGCCTTGCCCTCCTTGTGCAGTCTCTCAAGTGCAGTCCACATGGTCTTTCTACCCTGGGGACCAGAGCTAGGGCTGTGGATCAAGAACAGGTCGACGTAACCGCCCTGGTCAATCTTGTTCACACTCTCGACGAGCGATTGGTATGTCTCCTCCTCATCCTTGCCAGGGCTCAGGATCTTGGTGGTAATGAAGACATCCTTGCGGTCCACGTTGGACTCCTTGACAGCGTCACCGACCAATTGCTCGTTGGCATAGTATTGTGCACTGTCAATGTGACGGTAGCCGGCCTCGAGGGCAGTTAGACACGACGTCTTGCAGGTAGGGCCATGCGATTGGTAGACACCGAAACCGAGGGCGGGGATCTTGACCGAAGAGTTCGGCAGAGGGAGGGTAGTCTGGAGCGTGAATTGGGAAGACATGGTGTATGCGCGATTCTGAAGCTTTGTAGAACCGAGTAAGTGTTTTGAAAGAGCTGAGAGACGATGTAGAGGCGACATGGCCTCACAGCTATGTATGCATGAGGGGTCAACAAATACTGGAGCTAGCTACAAGTAATGACGACACCACGCGCGCGGTAAGGTTGACCAAGTGGAACCATCGTGGACCATGTAGAAATGCCATCGTGAAGGCAACTGCTGATGGTCGAAGGGAACAAGTGCCTGTCAAAGCTCGTTCAGCGGGGCAGAAATCAACATTTTGGCGGGGCAGAGAAATTCGGTCACCGCGCTGCTCATCCATTTGACAAAATACCAATCACATCAATCATGGTACTCGAAGCAATCAAGTACAGCCGTGGCAAGTTGGACATTCTGGACCAGCTCCAATTGCCTCACACAGAGGTCTACGATGAGGTCAAGTCTGCGCAGGATGCATGGCACGCCATCAAGGAAATGAGAACTCGTGGCGCCCCAGCCATTGCCATTGTTGCTGCTCTGGGCCTGGCCGTGGAACTTGAACTTATCTCTGGAAAGAATGAACTTTCAAACATTGCTGAAGAGGTGGAGGTCTTTGTCCAGGAGAAGCTCGAGTACCTGGTCACCAGCAGACCTACCGCTGTAAACTTGGCAGATGCCGCCAGAAAGTTGCAGAAGATCGTGCAGACTGCCGCCAAAAGCCAAGGTGCCTCGGGTACTTCTGTCAAGGACGCATATGTCAAGGCTGCAGAGCAAATGCTTGTTGACGACGTTTCGGACAACAAGGCCATTGGTGAGCACGGTGCCGACTGGATCCTCAAGAACGCTGCTGGAGGCAAGGACCAGGTCAGCATATTGACCCATTGCAACACCNNGGGTGAGTATTGAGCACGGGAAATGACGAGTATTCAATTGTACTGATGTTGATCGAGATCTCTGGCAACTGCGGGTTATGGTACCGCTCTTGGAGTTATTCGCTCTGTTCACGCACGAGGATCGCTCAAGAGAGCATTCTGCAGCGAAACCAGACCCTATAACCAAGGATCACGATTGACTGCTTTCGAGTTGGTGCACGACAAGATCCCCGCAACTTTGGTGACAGACTCCATGGCCGCTGCACTGCTCCGTCTCAAGGGACCTACCGAGAACATTGCAGCAATCGTGGTTGGAGCAGACCGCGTCGCGGCCAACGGAGACACTGCCAACAAGATCGGCACTTACTCGCTTGCAATTCTGGCCAAGCACCACGGAGTCAAGTTCTTGGTAGCAGCACCTCGCACAACCATTGACCTGGAAACCAAGTCCGGAACAGACATCGTGATTGAAGAGAGAGCAGGCAAAGAGATGACGATGATCAAGGGACCTTGTTTCAAGGGCGCATCGCTCGACCTCAAGCAGATCGAGACTGTCAGCATTGCTGCCAACGGCATTGATGTGTGGAACCCTGCCTTCGACGTGACACCAGCAGAGTTGATTGATGGAGTCGTAACCGAGGTGGGAGTGGTGGAGAAAGGATCAGACGGAGTGTTCCATTTTGAGGATATCTTTGCGGCTTCTGGGTCTGATGTGAAGCCTACAACTGTTGGAGGCCTCTGAGAGGCGAGATATGATACCCAAGTGCACGCATTCAGCATAGACCGAGCTCTTTCTATATACATGACGTCTGCACGAGCGCAGCACTAGCCACTCGGTTCTGTGTGTTGTAGATACGATGCTCCCCGACAAGTGTGTCGAAGCGAACGTCCGACGTGGGCTTCTACAGGGTCTAGGCTCAGACAGAATGTCAGAATGCGAGTGTCTTATAGTGGCTTGGTTGATGTGGGATGGGGCCCGGATCATGAGTCTGTCTGGGTGTTTGGATGGCGAGTCGTGCCGTTGGAATGTGCAGAAGTTTCAGACTGGTCTTGCTGGCCAGTAGCAGCGAGCAACTCGTCTATCTTTGCTTCGAGGGCAGCAAGGTGGTTCTCGAGAGCGGTAGCGGTTTGTTCGCCGCGGTTGAGTTCCTGGAACGCCTGGGGTAGAGTGTGTCAGGACGGGGTGTGCTTGTGTCTTGTTGGAGTCCGAGTCCATACCTTGGCGAAGTCGGCATCCTGGAGGTCGTGCTCAGTCTCTCCGTTCTGCTTGGGCGGCATGTTGGGTGCTGTGATGAGCGAGTGCTTCCAGTTGAGTTGCTAGACGACCGGCTCTCACATGCAAGACCTCGAACAATCGGTGACGTGGGGCTTGGCATGGAGGTGCATGGACCAGGATGGTCGCGGCTTCCCCAAATGCCACGAGGAGCAGCCCAATCTCGACTTCCCAGTTCGTCTTCGCGACTTCCTCTTGAACGCGACGGTCAACGACCATGTTCTCGGGCTCAAACTCCTTCTTGGGCGGCGCCAACCAGGGTCGCCCAGGCCAGCAGCAATATGGCCAGCAATCCCAGCAAAACTTCAGCGCCTTCGGCCCTCAGGCTACAGGTTTCATGCAACCGCAATACACCGGCATGCCCCCATGCATCAGCAACAGTCTCTACAGCCTCAGGCGACTGGCTTTCCACCTCAGCAACAGTCGCTCCAGCCTCAAGCAACCAGCTTCCCTCCCCAGCAGCAGCAGCAGCAGCAGAACCAATTCCAGGGTGGTCTCATGCCCCAGTACACCGGCTTCCCTCCCCAGCAGCAACAACAGCAACCACCGCAACAGCAGCAGCAATTCCAATCGCCTCAGCCGACTGCCGCCCCCCAACAGCTACCTCAACCTACTGGTATGACCTCGTCGCAGATGGCCGACTCGTTCCGTTCCACTCCTGCTCGCCAGCAGCCCCAGCCTACCCAGACATCGTCTCAGNTCGTCCAAGATCCCCAACATCCGTCTGTCCTTCATCACCGCTCAGGACCAGTCCAAGTTCGAACAGCTCTTCAGATCTGCTGTTGGCAACGATCAAGCTCTGTCCGGCGACAAGGCCAAGGACCTTCTCCTTCGCTCAAAGCTCCCTGGTGACGCCTTGTCTCAGATCTGGATGCTCTCGGATACCACAAAGTCTGGTCAATTGCTCTTCCCAGAGTTTGCTTTGGCCATGTACTTGTGCAACTTGAAGCTTACCGGAAAGGATCTTCCTGCCCAGCTGCCCGAGAGAGTCACAAACGAGGTCTCTAGCATGGTCGATATCATCTCCTTCGGTGTTGCAGACGCACAGTCTACCTCGCAGCCAGCAAGCAATGCTCCCAGCTTCCCTGATGTGCCAACTATTCAGGCACCTCAACCTCAGCCATCCAGCAGCCAGCTTCTGTCACAACTCAACCCCCAGCCTACAGGNCTTCCAGCCTCAGCAGACTGGTTTTCAATCGCAGCAGTTCCAGTCTCAACCTACTGGTCTGCAGCCTCAACAAACTGGCTTCCAGTCCCAGGCTACAGGATACACCGGACCTCGACCCCTATGCCTCCCATGCCGACCGGCTTTGGTCAAGGCCTGTCACCACAGCCCACTGGCTTCCCTATGGCCCCTCTGAACGCTCAGCCCACTGGTCGTCCTGGACAGTGGGGTCTTGTTAATGCCCCAGCTTCTGGCCTTCCCAATCTACAAGCACTTCAGCAGCAAATGATGCCTCAGCCTGGTCGCGAGACTGGCTTCAGCACTGCTGGTCTCCGTGGCAACGCCACCGTCCCATGGGCCATCACCAAGGACGAGAAGAAGATCTACGATGACATGTTCAAGGCCTGGGATGGTTTAAGTAGAGGCGCAATCAGCGGTGCCACCGCAATCGAGATCTTCGGCCAGAGTGGTCTTGAGAAGGATGATCTTGAGCGTATCTGGACTCTGTCAGACCCTCACAACAGAGGCAAACTCAATCTCGATGAGTTCGCTGTGGCTATGCATTTGATCTACCGCAGACTGAATGGCTACCCTGTTCCAGCTAAGCTTCCTGCTGAGCTTGTACCTCCTTCCACTAGAAACATCAACGATGCTATTGGAACCATGAAGTCGCATCTTTCGCAAGATGCGCAATCAAGAAGAACCACTGGCGCATTCTTGCAGCCTCAGAAGACCGGTGTCAGCTACCTCAAGAACCACTCTTTCGCTGGCGCAGGTGCAAGCATTGCTGGCCCTCGCAAGGATGCCACAGTTTATAAGAACAACGATGAGGACGTTGGTTACCGCTCATCTGCACGTCGCCGCACAGGCGATACTGGTCGTACTGCCTCTCCTGCTCAGGAGAAGCCTGTCGAAGAGATGTCAGTCGATCAGTTGAAGAAGGCTATCCGCGAAAAACAGGTTCTCCTTGACGCCATGGACTTTGAAGATGAGGGAAGAGCTGACGAGGAGGACGTGCTTGATCGCAAAGATCGTAAGGAAGCAGATGAGCTTTACAGACGTATCCGTCGCATTCAAGAAGACATTGATGGACACCCGAATTCTGGATTCCGTACCACTGACTCGGGTGCTGAACGCAGAGCTCTGAAGAGGCAGCTCCAAACATTATCCGACCGCCTGCCCGAGTTGGCCAGTCACGTACGACGTTGCGAGAGAGCCATTGCAGATGCTCAGCTAGAGCTGTTCCGCCTCAAGGATGCCAAGGCCAACCCTAGCTCAGCTCCTGCCGTTGTTGGTACTGGACCTGGAGGTGCTGTGACAGAATCTGACCGTCTCAAGGCAAGAGCAAGGGCAATGATGCAGGCTCGTTCTGCCGCCCTCACAGGCAAACCTGCTCCCGCTGCCGCTTCGGGTGACGATGGAGCAGGTGCTGCAAAGAGATTGGAAGACGAGAGCAATCGCGTCCGCCTCGAAAGAGAGGAGAATGAGAGAATGGTGCGTGATGTCGAGGACTCGGTCACTGAATTTAGCAGAACCATCGAGTCGAGCCTGAAGGAAGGTTCTGAAGATGTTGCGACCGAGCACGAGAGAAGAAGATGGGAAGACGGACTCGGTGTTGAGGACGAGGTGAAGGATTTCATTTTTGACATGCAAAGAAGCAGCAGAACTGCTCGCATCAGGAAGGATGAGTAAGTTGACACATACATGCATCGCGTGATGATTCTGACCTCCCACAGAACTCCCAACACCCGCGAACGTGTCGCATCGCCACGTACCGAAGAGGTTGGCCGTAGCAGTAGCGCTCGTGTCGAGAGCCCTGCTGCTAGAAGCGAGACGCCTCGTGGAGGTTCCTATAACACCTACAAGACCGCAGAGGATCGCGCCGCCTTTATCAAGCAGCAAGCTGAGCAGCGCATGGCCGAACGTCTTGCTGCGTTGGGTATCAGAGCACCCGTCAAGCCCGGCGAGTCCGCACAACAGCGCTCAGAACGGGAGCGCAAGGAACGTGAAGATCGCTTGCGCCAGGCGGAGCAGGACGATGCCCGTAGAGAGGAAGAGAGACAACAGAGACTGGCTGGAGAAAGTATTGCGCCTCCTACTGTTGAGAAGCCTCTTGGCAAGAAGGCCCCGCCCGCCCCTGCACCTCGCAAGAACCGTGGCGACTCTGTTGGCAAGCAGGAAGAGCAGCAAGCTAAGGCTGAAGCGCAGAGATTTGAGCAACAACAAATGGAGCAAGCAATCAAAGAGCAACAATCAGCCCAAGCATCGGAGACCAGAGAACTTGAGGATGAGGAGCGTCGCCAAGAGGAAGAGCTTCGCAAGGAGCGTGAGGCTGCTGCCGAACGCTTGCGTGCACTTGAGGAGCAGGTCCGTCAAGGCAAACTCAAGAAGGCAGAAGAAAAGAAGAAGAGACAGGCAGCTTCCAAGGACGCCGAAGAGAAGGAAGCGCGTCTCAAGTCTCAACGCGATGCTCAGCGTGCAGAAATTGAAGCTGCAAAGAGAGAGAGCGCCAGTTGCAGCTGCAGCTCGAGAGCNATGAATGATGACAGCTCAGATGAGGATGACGGACCACAGACCATCACTCCCATGGAAAGCACACCCGCTGCCAGCCAAGAGCTTCCTAGGGAAGTGTCGCCCGCCCCTCCTGTTGAAGCCGCACCTGCGCCGCCGAGCGCTCCTGCTCCGCCAGTGCCCACTACCGTCGTCAGCCCTCCTGAGGAATCGAAGAATCCATTCTTTAGAAGCATGAACCAACCCGCAGCTCCTTCTGCACCAATCGCATCACCTGCTGCCGCTGATGCCGCCTCGACCAACCCCTTCCACCGTTTCACCCAGCAAGACACCAACAAGACCGTCTTGCCCGAGCCCGCTGCACAATCATCCCGTCGCACCGCGAAGCCAGCAGATGATGATGACTGGTCTGTTGTCGACTCTGAGTCTTCTGATGAGGACGACGATGGACCCACAGGTGGTAGCGCCAAACAGCTTGCCTCGATGCTTTTCGGAACCATGGCACCACCACGCCCACTGTCAGCCATGGAGACCGGCTCGCCTGCTTCTGCCTCACCCGCGCCTCCTGCCGCATTGCCGCCGCTTCCTCCACCAACACCCGATGTCCCTCCCCCACCGCCAATGCCAGAAGGCGGTGTCGTGCCTCCTGCTCCCCCACCGCCGCCACCAATGCCTACCACCGGCGCACCACCTCCGCCTCCCATGCCAACGACTGGCGCTCCTCCACCACCACCTATGCCTTCGGGCGGCGCACCGCCACCTCCTCCCATGCCCTCTGCACCAGCAGCTGGTCGCGGTGGCGCACCTAACATTTCTGGTCTGTTGGGAGAAATCCAGCTGGGCAAGGGACTCAAAAAGACAGTCACGAAGGATAGGAGTACTTCGTCCACTGCCGGTCGTGTCTTAGGTTAGATTAATATATTCCTCTGTTGTAGTGCTTTTGTTTGTAGTCTTGTCTATCTTTTTGTATCAAAGTTTTCCGAACGTATATTTCTGTATTTTGTTCACCTTACATGTATCGTGCGGAGATGCACAAGTGGTGGCGATGACGACGATCGAAAGTAGTGCTCATGTAAAGCATCCAACACAACGTACATTGGTCGAAAGCGTGAGTGATGGTTACTAGGATATAATATGTGACAGGGTCATACCTCAAACAAGCGTGTTTGCAACAATCACCATCTGATATCACTAATTCATAATACTTTACAATGAGGTTACTTATCGTCTAACTATGCTGCGGGCTCTCCCAATATACTTGGTAGCGAGTTTGTGGTGTGCTTGAGACAGTGACTGTAATCATCGGATATGAACGTGGGTGATTGCTTTTGGGAGCAGCGCTCACTAATGGGCTTTGACTCGGAAGATACTCCTTCGCACAAGTTCTTTCAGCAGCATTGATGTGGACCAAGATGGAATGGCTCGATGGCATTCACTGGATATTCTTCCATCGAACGGCATGCGGCGACGAGGCGATGAGATGCAGAAATGATAACACGTCTGATGCTTGTATCATAAACACACTTGCAGAGACACGGTGAGTATAAGGTGAATGTAGCACTCTTCCCTCTTTCGGGAAATGACTTTTTCTACATGAAAGTATAGAAATGGTATCGAGCTATAATCGAAGCAATCGCCTCCGCATGCAGAAAAAGGAAGAAAAAAGAACAAGTACATCCCTAGGGCATCTGTACCGTTCCCCAAGACCTCTGTACTTCCTACAACGTTTCCATTTGACGAGGAGTAGAGAGGACCGAGTCGGGATAGTAGAGAGGAATGCTTGTGTGTTTGCTGTCAAAAGAAGAAAAGGCGAATTTCATCAAATCGTCATCGGATGAGGCAGTGACTGGTGCACCCTCGGAAGAAGGAAGAAGCGGCCACGTACAAGGGATGTCGGGGTAAAGAAAGGTAAGAAAGAGTAGCGAGGGTTAAGATATTAGTTGTCGTGGCGGGCAACCGTGGGCGATAGAGGTTAAGGGCGCAAGTTGGTGTGACCGAGAAGAAACTTTTCTGGATAGCAGACCTTCAAGAGGATAATCAAGCATGCGTCTGTGCCGGAACATGGGCGAACTAAGCATCCTGAGGAGGCATCTGGCTTCTTCTCATCTTCTCGGCCTCAAGGTTCTCGTAAAGCAGGTAAAGGGCCTTCTCGTTGGCGCTCGAGGATCCAGTAATAGTGAACATCCTCTCGCCAGATTCGTCGTGAGNGGCCTTAGCAATTGAGATACGAGCACCAGAACTCTTGCGGATCTCGGAGATCTTGCTGCCGCCGCGACCGATGATGCAACCAACCATGTCGGCAGGAATGCTGATGTTCTGAGTCTGGATATCCTCATCATCTTCAGCAGCGATGGGTGCAGGAGCGCGGGGAGCAGACTCGCGGCGCGTGTAGGCGGCAGGGGCATCGCTGAAGTCGGTACCATTACCAGTACGGTTGTAGGAGCGACGGCCTTCGGAAGGGTAAGAACCACCGTTGCTGGCAGGGGCGCCACTAGCACCACCGGAGACTCTGACGGCAGGGTTGTACAGGATAGTACCGTAGCCGCGCTGTTCGTCGTCGACCAGGCACTTACCAATCTCCCAGACAGCCTTCTGGATGCCATCGGGGGTGCCCTGGATCTCAACAATGCGCTCGGTAGACTGGGGGAGCATCTCCTTCTGGGCAACCATGCGAACACCGGAAGCGTCCTGGATTTGCTTGATCTTGAGACCTTGGCGACCGATGATGGTGCCCATCTGGTTGTGGGAGATGAGGAGACGGACAGCNNTAGAGGAGAGGTTAGTCGTGGACATGGAGCAGCCGAGATGCGACATACGGTGAGTGTTGGGGTTGGAGGCGACACCGCCCATACCGAGCTGAGGAACGCCCTTGAGCAAGCCATCGGCGACGTGACCGTAGGCGGAAGCGACGGCATCGAGGGGGCCGAGGACGGTCAGGACGCGGTCGTGGACACCGGGAACGACCTTGCTGACGCCGGCGCGGACACCAGTCTTGTCACGGAGTTCGGCGACGTTCTGGCCAGCCTTTCCAATAATGACGCCTGCTTCCTTAGAGGAGACGATAGCTCTGAGAGTGAGCTGAGCGAGGGCATATTCGTCGTCGGTGCGGGGAGGGGCATCTTCGTTGTTGTTTTCGAGATGGAGACCGTCGAGGGCGGCATCAATGTGCTGTTCGTCTGACATGTTGATAAAGAGGCCGGGCGATGAATGACGAGTCACGAGGTGCTAGGCGATTCGAAGACAAGACGGGAGATGATGGGTGTTTGTGAGGTGAAGAGGTCGAGATGTGAGAGAAGGCGGCCTCGTCTCGTGAGGAGAAGCGACTTGTTCCCGATTAGCAGGCGCGAACGAGATGAGCGTTGGCGGATGGAAGAGAAGGCGCTTACGAGAGAAGGAGGAGAAAGGGCGGGCGACCAAGAGAAAGGGAAGGGAGAAGTATGGCGAGACTGGAAGGAACGAGGTGAATCAAAGTGAGGAGGTCCGGTCGTGTTCAAGAGAGCAGGCACGACCCCACCGCATGTGGCTGGTTGGCCATGTGCTGCGCAAACATCAAAGTCAATCTTGTGCTTCTCGCGCATTCTTATTTATCACGTCTATTCACGTTTGCCTTGTTGTCTTGTGTCTGCGTTCCGCTAGTATAGAGCTACAGTCTCGTACCTGTTCAAGGTCCAATGTCTCGGTCGTCTTGCTTGCTTGATGTGTTCTCACGAGACACTAAAGAAACAGCTATGGACCGACCAATCAATGTATTTCAAACCAAATTATAGCAATGAGGATTCCAACTCTCACATACAAAACTCTCTTTCCAGCGCCAAGATTGAGAGTGCCTGAACCAAATCTATCATTTGATTGTCCTTTGACCATGAGCAGAGGAGGGACGCGGAGCTGGATGGGGAGTTGGCGGAGGCAGGCGCAGGGGCCGCAAAACCGCAGACTTGGCGTGCAGAGCGCTGGCTGGAAATGTTAATTCANCCATCGCCTGCATTCGCAACAAGGGCTTATACTCATCGTCAAGCCCTCGGTCTGTCACAATCACCCCTCACACACCTTNNCGCAATGTCTGTCCCGAGCAGACTGTTCTCGCAAGGCTTGCACATCCGCCAATCGACCCTACCGCCGGCCTTCCTCCTCCCGTCTCTCTTCACCTCTTCATTCTCGACAACAAGCCCAGCATCTGCTCGTCGTGACGGCAACAGAAACAGAGGTGTATCTGCGATTCGTCGCACTGGTCTCCGCCCTCGTCAGACCCTCTCCGTCAAGCCCGAGGACTTGCCCAAGCCCGTCACCGACAGCAAACAGCGTTCCCAGGTCGATGTAGATCCCGATCACGGCCTATGGGGTTTCTTCAACCGCGACAGATATCCTTTTGCAACCCCCGATTATGACAATAGCCACGGCCGAGCATGGACAATCGTGGAGTTGAGAGCGAAGGACTTTGAGGACTTGCACAAGTTGTGGTGGGTCTGCGTCCGGGAAAGGAACAGACTCTGTACCGAGAGACATGAAAGAAAGAAAGCAGATGCCGGTTACGGTGATTGGGAGTCTGAAGAGAGAGAAATCCAGGTAGGCCGAATGTGCCCATCAAGAAATACAACTCTAATAGCGTCTCAANNGGTCAAACTCACTCAAAGGGCAATCAAGCACGTTCTGACCGAGCGCTGGTACGCCTGGGAGGATGCTCGCACACTTGCTGAGTCGGACTCCAGCGTCAACCTCTACGCCCAAGAGGGCGAGCCGTCGTACACGCCCGAGAAGGTGGAATTCATGGTACGTTACGTGNNACATCCAAGTCATGTGAAATTGACTAACAGTATATGTGTGCAGGAGTACGAAGAGTCCCAATCAGCACAGCAAGACGAGCAATTGCCTCTACCAGACGCCCAATCACAAGTCGTGCCTGAGCAGGCCAAGGCACAGCAAGAGACGCGGGTGTAGAAGCCAACCCCTGTATCTATATATTAACCGAGTGTATTATGACAAACTGTACAACAAGATTTGAAAGGAATACCGCAGATTGGGAATGGTCAGATAAATGTTCGTAGTTTATTGCAGGCGGAGGCTTTGGCCAAGCCCCTGTTAATCTCACGAAACAAACCAACGTCACCAGAGGGAGCTTTCCGTCTCGCTCTCCCAGGCAACTTCTCTACCACCACCATTTACCACCCGGTCGTCTTTTCGCCTTCTCCCCAAACACCGTAAACCTTCATCCATTCCTTCTCATACGCAAACATGGAGGATATCGCCCCCGAGTACGATGTTGTTGTGCTTGGCACAGGTATTGTGACCCCGCACTCGCCTTCCTTGTAGCGGTCAAGAGAGAGCTAACCATGGCCACGANNAGGTCTCACCGAGTGCGTGCTCTCGNNGGGTGAGTAGTCATGATCGCGCGGAGTGGGAATAAAGACTAACAGACCCAGTGTGTTGAGTGTCAAGGGCAAGAAGGTGCTGCACATCGACCGCAACGATCACTACGGCNNGGGTGCGTTACCCCTCCTGCTTCCTTTTGTTGCGCCATACTGACCTTTGTGCAGCGAGGCTGCCTCTATCAACATCGAAGCTGTATGACATCCTCGGCCACGTTCATACCACTCTTGACTCATTCTTTGTTCGCAGCTCTTCAAGAAGTACGGCAACGACAACGGCAGCGAGCCATGGAAGAAGTACGGCCGCCCCAACGACTGGAACATCGACCTTGTTCCCAAGCTCCTCATGTCCAACGGAGAACTCACCAACATTCTCGTCTCGACCGATGTCACCAGATACCTCGAGTTCAAGCAGATCGCTGGCAGTTATGTCCAGACCGGCGCTGGAAACAAGGCCAACGTCGCAAAGGTTCCCTCGGACGCCTCGGAGGCTCTCCGCAGTCCTCTGATGGGTCTGTTTGAGAAGAGAAGAGCAAAGAAGTTTCTGGAGTTCGTTGGCGCATACAAGGAGGAGGACCCGGCCACTCACAACNNGGTGCGTCACGACATGTCTGACTAGATGGAACACAGACTGATATACTCGATAGGCATGAACCTCAACCAGTTCACCATGAAGGAGGTCTACGACAAGTTTGGTCTGGAGCCTTCAACAAGAGATTTCATCGGTCACAGCATGGCTCTGTTCACAACCGACGACTACATCAACCAGAAGGGTGCTGCCAAGGACGCCATCGAGCGCATCAGACTCTACGTCAACTCAATGGCCAGATATGGAAAGTCCCCCTACATTTACCCTCTGTACGGTCTGGGCGAACTTCCTCAGGGCTTTGCTCGTCTCAGTGCCATCTACGGCGGTACCTACATGCTGAACACCGATGTCGACGAAGTACTCTACGAGAACGGCAAGGCTGTTGGTATCAAGGCAACCATGAAGGAGCGTGATCAGGAGGGCGAGGGCATGACCTTCACAACAAAGTGCAGCAAGATTCTGGCAGATCCCTCATACTTCCCCAACAAGGTTAAGCCTGTTGGTCACCTTTTGAAGGCTATCTGCATTCTGAACCACCCCATCGAGAAGACAGACAACTCGGACTCTGTCCAACTCATCATTCCTCAGTCGCAGATCGGCAGAAAGCACGGTAAGATGAAGAGGATGCTATGGTGGGTGTACCACAGGGCTAACACATTGCANGACGTGTACGTCGCCATGGTTTCGTGGGCGCACAACGTGGCTCCCAAGGGCTACTACATTGCCATTGTCTCGACCATTGCCGAGGGTGACAGCAACCACCACCTCGAGCTGCAGGCTGGATTCGACCGCCTCGGCAAGATCGAGGAGAAGTTCATGGGACCTCCCATTCCCATCTACGAGCCCCTTGAGAGCGGAGAGAAGGACAACATCTTCATCTCGAGAAGTTACGACGCAACCAGCCACTTCGAGACCACAACAGGTACGAAAAGGATGTTGAACTCAATGAGTGACATGCATGCTGACATGAATGCNACAGACGACATCCGTGACGTCTACCGCAGAGCAGAGGGCCACGAGTTGGTGGTCGAGGGCCTGCGTGAAGGACAGAACCTGGTTGCCGAGGAGTAATGGAGGGTCAATTAGAGAAAGCCATCACAGCGGGAATGCTACATTTGTTCTTTTTTTCTCTCTCTATTTATTTCGTTTGACATGTGAAGCTTCGGGAGGGGTCCGGTCGGCTGCAGCTGCCCGTCGGGCGTCGGTCGTAAACAAAGTCATCGTAAACAACTTGGCCCGCCGCAAGACACACAACCTTGACGACCATCACACACCCAAGTGGCCCCGCGCCAGTAACGACAAGATGAGGGTGATCGAAGTCATCATCGACGGCTTCAAGTCGTATGCCGTGCGCACCGTCATCTCGGGCTGGTGCGTCTTCATGGCATCCTCTGCGAAACAACTGACGACTGACGACTGACTTGCGCAAAGGGACGAGAGCTTCAACTCCATCACCGGTCTGAACGGTAGCGGCAAGTCCAACATCCTCGACTCGATATGTTTCGTTCTCGGCATCACCAACATGACAACGGTCCGCGCCCAAAACTTGCAGGACCTCATCTACAAGCGCGGCCAGGCCGGTGTCACAAAGGCCTCGGTGACCATCGTCTTTGACAACAAGGACAAGGCCAAGTCGCCCATCGGCTTCGAGGACTATCCCACCATCTCTGTCACTCGCCAAATCGTCCTCGGCGGCACTTCCAAATACCTCATCAATGGCCACCGCGCTCAGCAAACCACCGTCCAGAACCTATTTCAATCCGTCCAACTCAACATCAACAACCCCAATTTCTTGATCATGCAGGGTCGCATCACCAAGGTCCTGAACATGAAGAAGGAAGAGATTCTGGGAATGGTCGAGGAGGCTGCAGGAACCCGCATGTTTGAGGATCGCAGAGACAAGGCTTTCCGTACAATGGCAAAGAAGGAGATGAAGGTTCAAGAGATCATGGAGCTTCTACGCGACGAGATCGAACCCAAGTTGGACAAATTGCGACAAGAGAAGAGAGCCTTCCTTGACTTCCAACAAACGCAGAACGATCTGGAACGCCTTACGCGACTGGTCGTGGCTTACGACTATCTCAAGAGCAAGGAAAAGCTTCGTATGAGCGAAAAAGACTTGAATGACAAGAGACAGAGAGCCATGTTTCTCGAGAGCAATGCAGAGAAGCTGAAGAACGAGATTGCCTTCCTGCAAGAGGACATGGACAAGGTCAAAGCTGCAAGAGACAAGGAGTTGAGAAAAGGTGGTAAATTCCAGGCTCTGGAAGACAAGGTCAAAGAACACTCTCACGAACTGGTCAGATTGACTACAGTCTTGGATCTCAAAAAGTCAAGCATGGCTGAAGAGAACGAAAACCGCGCAAAAAGCCAGGCCACTGTCCAAGAACTCGGCAAGCAACTCGAGCAAAAGTCCCAACTACACAAGCAGCTCCAGGAACGTTACGACACAGCCAATGCCGAACTCCAGAAGCAAACCGCCGAGGTCGAACAGAAGGAGGAACTTCTCCAGACATTACAAACTGGTGTCGCTTCCAAGGAAGGCCAGGAAGGTGGATACCAAGGTCAACTTCAAGACGCTCGCAACCGACTCAGTGCCGCGTCAACCGAACAAGAACAAGCCAAACTCAAGATCTCGCATCTGGAAAAACGTTTGAAGGAGGATGAGCCTCGGGCCAAGAAGGCAGAGAAGGAAAACGCTGGCTTGTTGAAATCACTCGATGGCCTTCGTTCTGAGGCAAAGGCGCTGGAGGCCGAGCTCTCAAGAATTGGCTACGAGTCCGGTCGGGAAGAATCCATGCACAAAGAACAATCACAGCTACAACAACGCATTCGCGAATTGAAAGAGCAAGCTGATGCTCTCAAGAGACGAGTCGCGAACATTGACTTCAGCTACAGCGACCCGACGCCGAACTTTGATCGTTCAAAGGTTAAGGGGTTGGTGGCACAGCTGTTCGCTTTGGACAAGAACTTTACTCAAGCAGGCACAGCCCTCGAAATATGCGCTGGAGGCCGTTTGTACAATGTTGTAGTTGACACCGCGCAGACCGGTACACAACTACTGCAAGATGGCAAGCTGAAGAAGAGAGTGACCATCATTCCGTTGAACAAAATCTCTGCCTTCCGCGCCGCTTCTGAGGTATACTCAATCTTTATCCGTTCTACAATGCGTCCGTACTAACAGTCTGCANNGAAAGTTGGTGCTGCAAGAAACATGTCAAATAACAAATGCGACCTTGCACTCAACCTCATCGGATACGAAGAAGAGGTCAACGCCGCGATGGAGTATGTGTTTGGAAACACGCTGATCTGTGAGGACGCTGCCACTGCCAAGAAGGTCACTTTCGACCCTGCTGTTCGTATGAAGAGTGTCACATTAGAGGGCGATGTCTACGACCCTTCGGGTACTCTGTCCGGTGGTAGCTCACCGAAGACAAGTGGTGTACTGGTCACCCTCCAGCAACTGAATGAGATCACACGAGAACTCGATGCAAGACAGGCAACTCTGCAGCAATTGCAATCGACCATGGCGCGAGAGAAGCAGAAGCTCGACGCTGCGAGGAAGTTCAAGCAGAATTTGGATCTCAAGAGCCATGAGATTTCGCTCGCTGAGCAGCAAATCAATGGCAACTCATCATCCTCGGTAAGTCGACGAGGGTCCTAGCTGTGGTAGAGTGTAAACTGACAGAAACCACAGATCATTCAAGCGATCGCCGACACCAAGGCCGGTATCGTTGAGCTTAAGCAGAGTATCGTCGAAGCCAAGGCACGTCAAGACGATGCAGCGAAGGAGGTCAAGCGCATCGAGAAAGACATGAATGACTTCAACAACAATAAAGACAGCAAACTTGTCGAGCTACAAACGGCGCTCGACAAGCTCAAAAAGTCGCTCAGCAAAAATTCTGCTTCTATCAAGCCACTACAACAAGAGGTGCGAGATGCTATGGTCGAGGCAGAGCAATGCGGCAGTGATCTTGCAGCTGCTCAAGAGCAATTCCAGGATGCAGAAGTCAATCTCAAGACACAACAGGAAGAGTTGAAGTCTTTGTTGACTGAGGGCCAAGCTGTCAAAGATGCACACCACTACGCTCAAGCACAACTAGATGATGAGCGAAAGAAGCTGTCAGGCTACGATACTGAGCTTGCGGATCTCGAAGCAGCTTCGCGATCAAAATCTGCCTTGATCACCGAGGAAGCTCTCGAGGCACAGAAGCTGGGTCATCAGATTGAGAACTTCTCAAAGCAACAGCAAGCGGCACGCCAAACACTACAAACCATGGAGAAGGAACACGAATGGATAGCTGATGAAGTCGACTCTTTCGGCCGAGCCAACACTCCTTACGACTTCAATGGTATGAACATGGCCGAAAGCAAACGCTCGCTCGCAGGCTTGAGTGAGCGCTTCCAAGGCATGAAGAAGAAGATCAATCCCAAGGTCATGAACATGATTGACAGCGTGGAGAAGAAGGAAGCATCCCTGAAGAACATGATGCGTACAGTCATCCGCGACAAGAAGAAAATCGAAGAGACCATTGCTCAACTTGATGAATACAAAAAGGAAGCCCTTCACAAGACCTGGAGCAAGGTCAACGTCGACTTTGGCAACATCTTCAACGAACTGCTCCCCGGCGGCAATACAGCAAAACTCGACCCACCAGAGGACAGCGGCGATATATCCAAAGGTCTCGAGGTCAAAGTCTGCCTGGGTAAAGTGTGGAAACAATCCCTCACTGAGCTCTCTGGTGGCCAACGCTCCCTCATCGCATTGTCGCTTATCCTGGCTTTGCTACAGTACTCGCCGGCACCCATGTACATTCTTGATGAAGTCGATGCTGCCTTGGATCTAAGTCATACACAAAATATTGGTCGTTTGATCAAGACGAGGTTCAAGGGCAGTCAGTTCATTGTCGTCAGTCTGAAGGACGGCATGTTCCAGAACGCGAACAAGATCTTCAAGACGAGGTTCTCAGATGGCACATCGGTGGTCCAGGTGCTCACGCCTGCGGACCTCAAGTAAGAGGGCCTCCTCCATTTTTCGTATTTATCTCTTTGGGCTTGCTTCTGTTCTGGATCGTCATACCACTTCCTTCTTTTTCTTGTTGATGGTTTGGGCCTTTCTGTTTCGAATTTCGAGATTGGAGTTCTTCTGGTTGAGGGGTCATGAAGGAGAGATATCCTTGTGTATAATCTAGACACGCATTTACATCACTGAGTTCCTGGTACTCCTAGTCGCTGTGTCCACAAGTGAGAGGCAGAATTGTACGAGATACGACACTGGTAGCCATGCCCAGGGTTGGATCCTTCGCGAGCTCGAAAGGCTCGAGATTCCGGCCGACGTCCTTGGGATCGTGAGAGAGCGTGGTCTAGTCTCGACTGAAATGAGGGTGTAAATGCGCTCGGCAGACGGCTGTGAGCAAAGATACGTTCTCCTACGCTCCTCGGAAGAGTCTTTGCGAAGTAGTTTGACCAAGGGCAAGGCCGCGCAAGCAAGAATGCTGTTGGTTGTGGGAATAAGGAAGGAGCTGACAAAAAGAGGAGCTGGCAATCGAGCGCACGTCATGGGTCACAAAAGGGATCCAAAATCTCCGAGGCACAGACTCCTTCGACCGTTGCCAGCGGTGAAGCTTCTCCAGGAACATGGGGTCTTGTCATCCACCGAGAAGCTGCGCCTTTTTGTTCCCGTTCGTTTCTCTTCCTCTTTCGTCGAATATCGAGTTCGATCGTCACATGTCTGCCCTGATAAAAACGCTAGCGGTGTGCTCGTAGCTCGTAGCTCGTACGCAGAGCAAATATCAAGAACCCTGGCCAGGCTGGGTGAACTCAAAATCGTGCCACGACATGTGTAGCGTCGAGCCTGGAGCTTTGCAGACTGCAGATCTATACCATCGAATCTTACCACCTTCGATTGTGTCTACACTCAATCGCTGTTGTGCGGAAACGTCGTAGGTACGAACAATCCGTGGTCGTTGAGCCATACAGAACCATCAAGACATTTGCTTGCCATTGAACAATGTGGAAGCACTCACGACTGATAGTACCTGGATGAACTCTCCAGCTTCTCCGGCGGGTCGTTCGCCCGACGAGTGACAACAACCCTCTTCTTGGCTACTGCTCACAACGCACTAGCTAAGACAATTGGTTTTCTCGACCAATCGCAGAATATCGATCAATCCAAATTGTGATCTTATCTGAGTTAATCAGCTATAGTTTATGGGAAGCTGCAACTGCCACTAAGCCAGATTCCATGGGATGTGTATGCACCGTTTGCTGATCACATTTAACCTTAACATCTACCTTAAGTTAGTGTGGCCGCATGACCCCCAAATCCACATTCAACCAATGAACGATGTTGGCACATCCCGTCCTAAGACATGAAAGCGTGGGTGGCTGATCGCCATCATAACACCTCCCCCAAACAATGACAAAGAGCTATGGAGAGCGGCTTGAGGTCCTCTGAAGGAATGGTCGATCGTTATTGCATGTTGGCCTGCCAGTGCGAGAGTATGGCTATATAAGAGCAGAGCTCGCACTCGTCTTGTAAGTCCTACAACTCAATCACATTCACAACTTCCACTCCACAAACTACTCTTCAATTTCTTCCATATCACAATGAAGGCCTCAATCATTAGCACCGCCATTCTGGCCACCGCTGCCTCTGCTGCACCTGCTCTTGTCAAGCGCCAGAGCTCCGACATCGATGGGTAAGACGTCTCGATCCCCAAGATTACATTGTTGGACAGCAGCTGATATTCCACAGANGTCATTCTTAACTATGCATTGACTCTTGAGCATCTCGAGGCCAACTTCTACCGCGAGGCCATCGCCAAGTTCTCCGCCGCTGACTTCGCTGCCGCTGGCTTCAACGACACCAACTTCTACAAGAACCTCCAGGAGATTGGCCGCGATGAGCAGACCCACGTCGACTTCTTGACCACCGCATTGAACGGAGCTGGTGTCACACCCGTCGCCGCCTGCACATACGACTTTGGCAACCTCACACCCTCCACCTTCCTGGCCACCGCATCCATCATCGAGGGTGTTGGTGTGAGCGCATACCTCGGCGCTGCCGCCCTCATCACAAACAAGGCCTACCTCACCGCAGCAGGCTCCATCCTGACCGTTGAAGCCCGCCACAATGCCTTCATCCGTGGCAACCTCGAGATGTCGCCCTTCCCCCAGCCTTTCGACGTCCCTCTCGACTTTGACCAGGTCTACTCGCTCGCAGCCCCCTTCATCAAGTCTTGCCCTGCCTCAAACCCCACACTCCCCGTCAAGGCTTTCCCCACGCTCAGCGTTGGCAAGGACGTCCAGATGCCCATCATGCAGGGCGAGACCATTGAGTTCGACCTCGCAGCCGACATGCAGGTCCCCGCTGGTCCCCTCTTCGTTGCCTTCCCCCTGGCCACAGGCACCATGTTCTCATCTGCTGTGGTCAAGGACTGCAAGATCTACGCCAGAGTCCCTGTTAGCGTTTACGGTCCTACCGGCGAGTCGTTTGCCATCTTGACCACCAACTCGACTGTTGTCAACGATGACAACACTGTTGCCGGACCTGCTGTTGTGGAGATCATGTCGTCTTACCTTGCTTAAGTGTCTTGGGTTTAGATTGTCTTTGATTCCGAACATCTGGTCTTGTTGACTGGTCTTTGATGACCTTTTTCGTATTTCTCTCTTATATCTAATGTCTTTATCTTGTAACATCATGAATTGAACTTTTTAAAAATTTACTTTGTCTTCTTTGGCTTCGAATGTGAACTCTAGCATTGTGATGCTTATGGTGGAGACAACACAGATTCTGCAGGATGTTGGACATGTTGCACCACGGCTGTGTTCAACCAACACAATGGCTCATCGAACGTATAATGCCGGTTGTCAAGTATTGATTATTGATGCGTTCAAAGTACCTTTCACACACCTCCCTAGCAACACAGAAGATTCGCAGCAATAAGACCAGCAAACGTATTGCTCCACACAAAAGAACTGGGCATAAACACACAGAATGTTGATCAAGATTACTTCTGAAGCAACAAAGATACAGATGGTCGTTCTTGTCGTCCTTGACGATGATGACATGCTCTGCTGTAAAACTTGCATTGCTCTTGCCCGATGCTCATTGCCGTGTCCGCTCTTCATCTACCAAGCAATGATAGAAAGTTCTATCGTTATAGATGTTCGGTTTTAAAAACACCGACAGCCATCCAAAGTATACAGTCTTTGTTACTTTCACTCGGCTCATGATGTTTTGACTCTCCGCTCGCGATACAAGTGGTATTTGCGCCAAACGACAGATTTATGACATTTCCAGTCCATTCTGTATAGGAAGTAATCGTTTGTTAGGTCGAAGGGATTGTTATGCTATTGTTCCATAAATTATATTCTCTTATTCTATGGTAGCCAGAAAGAACATCAGGTGTCTGTTGTGACCATGCAAGACGCTAGACCGCCAAGCCCCAATGATGAATAATCTTCTCTCCGACCGACTTTCGCTAAGAGAAGGAGCTACCCTAGTAGCGTGCTCCTTCGTGTCTGATATAACTAGACAATGTTTAACTGCTATATATGGCAGGGCAAGCTGTCGGGACGCCCAACTGACACACTTCCCGTTTGGGACATTTAGTGCCAATCCTTCTTGCCTAATGGGGCTGCGGCTCTATCAGAAAGCTCGGACCCGCTTCTCTTCCTGGGTCCAGCCTCCTTCGGGCTCCTTGACCTCGAACATCATGGTAGTGATGTTGGCCTGCTCGTGCCGCGGCCCTCTTGACTTGTCTGATCCTGCACATGTCTTAACCCGAATCCGAGGACTCAGTAAGCTGTGGTTGTCTAAGTGTCGATGCACCTGCGCCAGCTCGTCCACGCGCGTCTGGAGCAGCAACCGCATGATGCCTACTGCCTCAGCAATGTCCACGACGCTTCCAGCACATCTTTAGACGTCGGTCCGCCAGACTCGCCATGTTGATGCCATCCTCCCAGGCCCCCAGAATTTAGAGTAGGGAAAACATCCTTCGCGGCGGATGACGACGATGTGTGTGCGAGACTCAGAGAGCGCCGGCGCCGCTGCTCAATCTCATTGCGCTCGGCATGGTTCTAATGAAAGATTTCGGGCTTTATCAAGCATTGCAATAATTGCTCAACAGATAGTCAAGCTGATCCACCTCAAGATGATCGTTGGTGTGTTTCATCTTGTGAATATACTGAATCTGTCCGTCCACCCAGATCAACTCGCCGCCATTCTGACTCTTCTTTCCTGCGGAGATGTTTTTCGTCTTGGCCGCAAGACCCAGGCTGATCAAGATCGCTTTGAAGATTGATGTGGTCGAGTATTTCGAGACATATTGTGGGACGTCTGGGGCTGCGGTCTCGTTGATAGAGAGTCCGAGGGCGGAATATGTTGAGCGCGACGGGTCTGCATAGACATCGAAAGGGCAGTTGGTCATCTTCATGTAGTTTTGAATGAGTACTGGATCACCACAACCGACGATACTGAGGGTGGTCGGCGGATCCATCTGTTCCAGCTTTTCCGGCGGCATTTCGTGGGCTAGAGCCTTGACATATCCGTAGCAGTTNNCTGGACAATGTCAGCATCCCATCCTCGGTCTCGCTACACGGCAGCAGGTCTTTCTTACTGGACAGAAGAAATGGCGGATGAAGATGACTATATTTCTGCGGTTCCCGCTCGCTCGGACCAGATCTCCAAATGGTGTTTTGTTCCTTGTCCGGTCCATCAAAACCATCTTGTAGAGTGCCTCCAGCTCCTCGGGTGTTGGTATAGGATCCTGCTCGACGATCGTACCAAGGCCAATAACCGCTGCCGCCGGAGTGTCTGGCCCGCACACACTGAAGATTTCCGAGAGAGCAGATCCGCGCCTTCCATATGCAATAAGACTCTCTGCCTTCTCCAATGTCAATGCAGAAGCGTTGCTTGATAGCATCCTAAACACCTTGACTGGTTTCCAGTCCATAATCTTGAGGAAATTCATGACGATGGCGGGTGGTATGATTGTGTGAGGTAAGCAGTTTTCGAAGACATGAATCGGGGGCGCGGTGTAGATATAAAGAAGAGAAGGGGGCTTTGATTTTGGGAGACCGTTCGAGGCCTCCGGGCGTTCAATATAGTATACCGGTAGATTGTAGCGTCGTTAGGCGATGGGAACGGCAAGTTCAACGGTCATACCTAGAGTTTGCGGAGGCGGAAGGTGCTAACATGATGACCTTCTGCCACCAGTTTCTGATGGCGCCGATACTGAATCGATTTCGATTCTCAGGCTGCATACCGAGCTACGGAAGACAGGAAGATAACGTAAAGGCACAAGCCGGATGTATGTTGACTGTGCCTGATTTATCATAAGGGAACGATTTCAGCAGTCTGTGCTTATGCCGATTTATGCCTGCACCTTCTCCGTACGTCTTCCGAGGTCCAACTTGATGTTGACGAACCATTCATCATGAGATTGAACTCTAGCACCCGCCCGACCTCCCGCCAGGGCGCCGCCTTCCGAATCAAAAGTTCAACCCGAGCTCAACATGTCCCAGTTTTTCGGAAGGTCTTTGATGCACCAACGTTTAATACGGATGCCCAGCTTTAAGCCGACTGACTTGGAATACAAGTTTAGTGCAATATAATCCTTTTGTGTTTCATTGACAGCAGATAATATTCTTCATGCAAGACCTCTTTGCGCAAGCCTGTAACGTCGCAGCTCGATTCCCATAGACTCGTCGTCGTGTCTTGATGGCCAGAAACAATTCGAAAACAAATTATGGTTCAGAATTTGGATTCAATAACCTTAGCCACGGCAACCAAATGGTGCGAACATGTTTACCTGGCAGAGTGCTGCATTACCAGTACAGTAATGAAGCTTAAGATCATGGTTAAATACGAGAACTCACACAAGAAAGCCTAAAACTACCGGTTGGTCGGGATAAGAAAGATACACCATTTTGAGAAGAAGAAAAGTTACTGAACGTGCAGAGAAACTCTCTTCACTTGGACAGACGTTCTAGCACATCTATGTATGCTGCATACAGAGAAAGCTCTTCCAGGAAACATGTCTTCAATGAGCATCTCGTCAGACATATCATCATCTTCTTCTTCCGTATTGGAGTATTTGATGCAACAGGCACATCCTTCAGTAAGTTTGGTTGCGCCGAGCTTGGCCCTTCCGAAAGCTGTTCTCGGAAGCGGATCGTGCCTTTGTCTCGACAGCTTCGATTGGCTAGACTATAGCAGGTGTCACAATTTGTGGGAAACCAGTTCGTCACGCCAATGCAGTAGTCGATGACGGTCCTCGAGATTCTCTCGTAGAAAGCACTATCGTTGAGAATTGCTGAATTGTTGATGGGCGTGCTTGCTCTCTGAACTTTTGACAGCACTTTGAACTGCTGGTTACTCTGTCAAAAAGTCCAGATCTGAGTCTCATCGTTGAATTGAGATAGTGTTCGCGTTGTCCTTCCCGATAAACCGGGCCTGTTGTGGTACGAAGGAAGAAGCAAGGAAGGAGCGTAGTCGAAGAAAAGCTGCAACACTTAGAGTCAAACACGACCTGTACTCTGCTGACTCATCTAGATTATTCTATCCCAGGACTCATCCTTCGTCGCAAGCAGCTGCTTGTGGCGAATGCTTGCAGGAGTCGACCGACATGACTGATGGCAATCACAAGGCCAGCCGTCGATTGAAGTAGAAAGCGACAAGGATGGGTAGAGTGCTCTGTATAGACAAGTTCGCAGCCAGCAAACCCATCTTTGGCATTTCTCGGATAAATCCCGGCAAAAATACTCGCCTCCATCGATCCCTTGCAGAAAACAACATCACCACTCTTCCTTTGCTTTCCTACATGCTGAGAAGAGCAGGGAGCAAGAAATATCTCTTACCGGCACCTGAATCTGGGGCTCTTGTAATCTGCTCAAGAATCTTGGTCTGGAAAGTTGTACAATGCCTTCACCATCTTCCATCCGGACGACGGCTTTTGAATAATTGTCCGCGTTTCCTTGCGGCCACGCCAAACTCAGCAGTTTAATCAAATTACGACCACAGACACAAACTCTTTGAACGGACTTTTGAACATACCGAGATCAAGTATATCGGAGGTTCGGAGTGTGATGTCTAAATTTTGCAGAGTATGTCTAGCATATATATAGAAGATATGAAATGTAGGTTCTTGGGTTTCGATCCCATCATTCAACACATCTTCTCCCTGCAAACAAGAGATATATCAAAGAACAAATGACTACAATGAGCACCATCCATACTGTAGCCAAGATCGTCGGTCTTACATCTGCAGCCTGGCTATCCGGTACGAAAAGATCGATGTGGTCATTGGCTGCTATGACAGATGTTGTCTTGTGCTGATCCAGAAATACAGGCAACATCTCAGCACTCTCCTTGATCTCCCTCCCCGCCATCGCCAACGTCAAGCAAGACTCAACGCTCTCCAATGCCCATGCAGTCAAACTCTGGGAACAAACCTTCCAACGAGGAGGATCACAAAACCCTCCCATCGCACTAAGTGGAGCAATCTCTCTCGGCTTCCTCGCCTGGTCACTTCGCAGCCTTCGCACGGTTACTGCAGTGGGGTTGAGATCTAGCCCTCTATTTGCCATTGCGGCGGTATCGACGATGGCTATTGTGCCGTTTACTATTGTCTTTTTGAACCCTACGAACAACAAATTGTTGGTATATGCTGCAAAGGCCAAGAAGGATGAGCTTTCGGTGACCGAAACAGAGGATGTGGATGCGTTGTTGGAGAAGTGGACTTTTCTCAATCGTGTTAGAGGATTCCTTCCTCTGGCTGGAGCTGTGGCCGCTAGTATTGCCGTCATTGCTTGAAGGGCGACAGAGAGGACAACTCGGATCCTCACCATATACTCAAGTCTGTAAATCCATTCTACTACAGGAGTTTGAAGTGAAGCGTATAGTACCAAAAGGACGATCGTTTTCCGAGGCAGAAAAGTAGCCAAAAAGGAGCCGCTAGACGGTTGACTCTCAGTGGATACTGCCTTCTTCCTGGATAGCACTGTGCATTCATACAGCTACACGCATGACATTCATCACACAGGGAGGGTATTGATCGAGATGGACAAAACAACAATGACGCCATGATAACCTTAGTCAGGCACGGGTTTTGATAGAGGGCAAAGGGACCGGACGGACTACAATATTGAAGCTCATCCCGACTTTCTATCATATGATTTCCTTCACTATCATTCCTGATATTGCCTTCTTCCAAGTAACATTCACGTACATCCAAGCATGCCTTCCAAAGTTGCCCTGTTGGGTGCTACAGGACAGGCCGGCCAAGAAGTTCTAAAACAACTACTCGACAAAGACATCGACATCAACATCTACGTCCGCTCAAAGTCCAAACTCTTCAACCTCTTCCCAGATCTAGACTCAAACCCAAGAGTCCACGTTTACGAAGGCGACATCTCAAACACCACACTGATAAAACAACTCTTGACCAACATCGACACTATAATCTTCACCTTGGGCTGGAATGACAATAGGCCCGGTCCCACAATCATCGAAGACGGCGCTAGAGCGGTCACCACAGCTCTACGTGATATCCACAACAATACTCAAGAGCACAAAAAGCAACCCAGACTCATCTTTCTATCCTCGGCAAGCTGGAACAAGAAACTCAATGGCGATACTCCACCCCTTCAAACACGCATGATAAGACTAGCCTTCCACCACCCCTACCAAGACCTTCTCGCCGGCCAAAAGATTCTCCTCGCAGATCCCTCACTCCTAACAGTGACTTTGATCCAACCAGGAGCTTTGATAGAAGAACAAGCCAGTGGCTACGATATCGGTATCGATACTGTGGGTGTGGGCTGCAGTTACCCTGATCTCGGAGCTGCAATGGTGGAGGTGGCGTTGGATGAGCGGTATAAAAGCGTTGCTGCTGTTATGGTGACGAGTAAGGCTGGGTACGAGTTTGGAAGGTATGCTGGTGTTGTATTGCCGAAAGTGGTGATGGGGCTTGCGGCATCGCTGGTGCCAGGGTTTTGGACCGTGTATGATTTGCTGGCGAGGCTTTGGTCACGTTAAATGTGGACCATCAAGGACAAGATGGCCTCACATCACGGTACTACAACATTCAATGAGAGCATTGATGAAGTTTGAAAAAGGTGTATTCCCTTGGATATCTATTTTCGTCCCCAACTGCAACTTCCACCGGATATGACAATCGTAAAAACCGAACCAACAAAAAAAAAGAAACATGGATATTTGGTCAACAGAAAAAAGCGCCTTAGCAATAACACTAACCGTCGGCTCTCTAAGCCTCGAGGTCAAGGCCAAGGTCCTCGGGCTCGGCGGGAACGATGCGGAGGGTGTTGGTGTGACCCATGCCGCCTCTCCAGCCCTGGACGGTGACAACGGGGTCGCCCTTGGTGAGGATACCGAGCTCGATGGCGTGCTTGATACCCCATCTGAGACGCTTGTCAACGTCCTCTTGCCATGAGACCTGCTTGAAGTCGGGCTTCTGCTCGGGGTAGTGGAAGGGCCAGACACCGCGGTAAAGGTGCGAGTAGCGGGTGGCGCGCGAGTTACGCGAGACCATGATGATGGGGCAGACGGGTCTGTACTTGGAGATGAGGCGGGCGGTTTTACCACTGGTGGAGAGGACGAGGATGGCACCAGCGTTCTGCTCAAGCGAGGCAGAGACAGCGGCCATGGCGCAGGACTCGGTGGTAGGGACGGGGATGGGAGCAAGTCTGCGGAGCTCGTCGAAGGCGTTGACGTAGGGGATGGCGACCTCAGCGAGCAGGCAGGTCTCGTGCATGATCGAGACGGACTCCTTGGGGTAGTTACCCTTGGCAGTCTCGCCGGAAAGCATGACACAGTCGGCACCGTCGAGGATGGCGTTACCGACATCGGAAACCTCAGCGCGAGTGGGGCGGGGGTTGTAGGTCATGGACTCGAGCATCTGGGTGGCGCAAATGACGGGCTTGCCGGCAATGTTGCACTTGGTGATCATCATCTTCTGAGCGATGAAGACCTGGGCAGGGGNGATCTCGATACCCAAGTCACCACGGGCAACCATGACACCATCGGTCTCACGGAGAATGTCGTCGAAGTTGTTGACACCCTGCTGGTTCTCGACCTTGGAGATGATCTGGATGTCCTTGCCATCCTCGCCAAGAACCTCACGAATGGCCTTGACATCGTCACCGGAGCGGATGAAGGAAGCGAAGACCATGTCGACGCCGTTCTTGACACCGAAACGGAGATCGGCCTTGTCCTTCTCGGAGAGAGCGGGAAGGTCGACGTCGGTCTTGGGAAGGTTGACACCCTTCTTGGAAGAGATCTTACCGTTGTTGACGGCCTTGGCGCGGATGTTCTTCTCATCAACAACCTCGAGAACCTCGAAAGCGAGGACACCGTCATCGACGTAGATGATACGGCCCTTCTCGATCACCTTGGTGATGTTCTTGTAGTCGAGGTACCTTAGGAGTTAATTAGCGGGTTGGAATCAAAAAGTGGGAAGAATTGGGTCTTACATGTTCTTGTCGTCGGAAGCAGTGGCGTACTTGTCGTCGGTGGTGATGTTGATCTCGGTACCGGCGCTGATGGGGTAGTCCTGGTCGCCGACGGTGTTGCCGGTTCTGATCTCAGGACCCTTGGTGTCAAGAGCGATGGCAACGGGACGGCCCTTCTGGGTTCTCTCGGCCTCACGGGCGTTGTCAATGACAGACTGGTGGTACTCGTACGAGCCGTGCGAGAAGTTCATGCGAACAACGTTGAGACCGGCNNTTTGCTGCTGTTAGCTTGGGCTGCATGCTGTATTCAGAGGGAAGAGCAGCGTACCAGTTCTGAGCATGTTGATGGCCTGGGGAGAGTTGGTCTTGGGACCTGGATGCTGTCAGCGCGCGCTCGTTGCATTCGTCGTCGAAGCACACAACTAACCAATGGTGCAGATGATGGAACTGCGGCGGAACTGGCGCTTGGGGGCATACTCAGTGTTGAGCTGCGAGAGCCACTCAATTCTGGTGCGGCCAGCCTGGAGGTGTGCGATTGCGTCGGCCATCTTGTCAGTGTCTAGGTGATGTGAGAGGTGGTGAGAGAGAGGGAAGAAGAGAAAGGCCAGGGAGAAGCACAATCAAAGAAGACGCGGCGCTTGTTGAGAGAAGCTGTGAATATTTTAGCTAGCGCGGGGTAAAGCCAGCCCGCAGCACATACCCCGTGTATCAGCTTTCTTTTGTTTTTATTGCGCCGCGACTGTCTGAACAGCTGTGCTTTTGCTAGAATATCCTATCAGGAGGAAAGAAGGTATACGAAAAGTTCTGGATTAGCTAGCTATGTGAGACTGTATACATGCCAGCCTGGCTCTCAGCAGCGAGAGAGGGAGAGCAGTTCCAGCAACTGCATCAGCGCAGCAACCACCGGCCCCTCACTCAACCATTCGGTCCGTGAATTCCGTGATAAGCATCCATCGCCAATTACTAAAATTGTGCCCATCTCCGACCCTGATCTCCTGCCTGCCTGCCTGCTTCTGCTCTTGCCAAATCAGACCATCATTGATCACAGCAGATCGTAAGGTCGGACCTGCATTTGCCTCTCGTGTCCTGTCACGCCCATTTCTCAACCTCGTTATTGGAAAAGCTAGAGGCCGAATCTTGATACTGGCCGGTTTGATCTCACCGGTTCCGTCTTCTCATCCAAATGGTGTTTCCTCAACCACCTCTGCTCGGCTAGCTTGCGTCGTACCTCTGGGCGTCAAACGGAGGCTTGAGCGGCCATAAATACATCACACGTGGAGGAAACGATGGAGCAACATGTTTCCTCTTCCATCGCTTCTTCGGACAATGATGAAATGCTGTACCACCTTTAGATCTGGGGGTCAAGCCTGAGAAGTTATCAGTAATTTGACAGCTTGCGGCAGAAGCGCTTCTCTGCTCAAGTCTGTTAGTAGCAAATTCAACAAAGCACTCGAGGAAGATCTCCCATCAATCTGGTCTGTTGTGTCTGAGTGAAATGTTTTGTTGCTGACAGATGTCATGATTTTGGTCAGCTCAAGGACGGATGCTTTCCGTCGGAGGGCCCCGAGTCAGGCAGCTGCGATGCCGAAGCCGCGAGTTACGGGCCGAACGACATCTTCTGACCGCCGGGCCAATCGCAAAGGCCAAAACACAGGACCCTGGTTACGGAGACAGTTGACCTCCGCTGTCGTCCGAGCTTGCTTCTGGTAGACAGCAGGCTGCCGCTGACTAGCCATCTACCTGTCTGTCATACAGCAACACACAACAACTACGATCTCAAAGACTACCTGAGACGCGCGCCTGCCGTACCATAGCCTTCGATAGAATCAAATCCACGAACCGCATCTTCCTTGAACACACACGCGACTTCACCATGGTGGTACGCGAAGCACATGTCATTGCCTGAAACACACGATACTCATACAGCCCGCACAGCTCGGCCGCCTCACCCACTACGCCTTTGACGCCGTCCTCTTGTCCGCGTTCCTCGCCGGCGTAAAGCGATCAACAGGCCTTACGTGAGCTACTCTCCTCTGCTCTCCTAGTCTACATCTTCCACCCGCCTCCCGTCCTCCAGCGCATCAATACACCTCAGAGAAAAGCAAGGAATGCAAACTAATCACAACCCAGNNCCCCAGTATCAACGAAGACAAAATCACCGACAATGAGACCGCCAAATCGTGGATCACGAGGTACCTTGCCATTGGCGAGATTGTCATGGATCAGAGTGTGGCCGTTATGAGCTCGAGTGGTTGGTTCGAGCGCAAGCGATAGAGATGATTGTGATTTCTCCCTAGGCTGTCTACCCCCTACATATCGCCCGCTGTGATGGAAGCATCATACAGGATCGAGGCAACAGCAAATCACCACTGCGGGAAGGGGTGATCAAGATGCTTGGAACAGACATTGGACTACATCAGAGTATGAGCGGCGATAAAGACATGCTCAAACGACAAACCCGAAAGATCAGGTCATATTTACGGCTGGGGCGAACCATTAGGGACACAAGGAAGTTACAGGCGATATCAGCGCTGGCGCAAACGGCAGTTCCATTCGGATCAGATTATCCCCTTCGTATCTCTCCTCTGTGTTTCTATCTGGTGACACTATGTAAAAATCTAGTGGCATGACATATCGTGATGGATATGGTTGTGGTCAGGGTCTCAGCCTCAGCAGCCATTTCAACACAGTCAACAGTCATATCTCGACCACATCTTGTTCCACGTCTTTGGTATCCATCTCTGTATGATGTTTAGGATCGCTTACTTCGATGTCTACAATACTGCGCGCCTCAGTCGATGTGGACCTGAGATATAACAAGTTGGGGAATCTGGACATGTGAAACCAAAAACATGACCAACTCGCACCACAACTCGTCCGCATATTCGGATGGGGAACACAAGAAATTTGCACGAAATTATACACATTGGATAGACGACACGAGGAGAATAAAGAATGTATTTCAACTGTACTGGTAGTCATGTTAGTATCACCCGTCATCATGATTGGTAGATGTGGTTGATGTACTTGGGATGGTCGGAAAGCGGGTCCAAGGATTCCCGATGATGGAGGGCACAAATTATTGAGTTATCTTATCCATCACCTTCATTCGACGACCCTTGTACGATACTTGTGAACCCGACGACCAGCACATCAATTGACATGGATTGAGGACTTGTCCTGGCAGTTGCAAGAAGCGCAGACTTGACTTTCAGCATACTAAAGAGGAAATGACACGGCTACGGCTGGTCGGGTGGCCGCTGCTCACACCAGGACTGAGCGAGCAGGCATCGATATGCACAAGATGCGCCAGGACGTTGGGACAGAAGCAGACCATCACACAACGACTAGCCACGTCGGCTGCCCTCACACTAAGGCGGCACATCTCGACATCACGGTCCGTCAGGCAGACGGCGCAAGAGTTGGATGGACGATATTTCATAGCCAATGGCGCCGAGGCGAGGATGGCCGGCATGCGCTCCAACTGGACAGAGGCCACCAAGGCGGAGAGACAGAAGCAATCACAAGCATCACAAGCAGAGGGCAACACCACCGAGCAGCAATCACTCGATACACCCTCCCCACGTCCGCGGCGGCGACGACAGTCCGGCACAGATGGCATTGTGCCAGAGCTACCGCCCGATGCCTCCAGTGCTCTGTCTAGCATTGCTGCCCAGGCCGCCCCTACCTCTCTACGCCGTCGTATGGCCACATACCTCTCCCTCACCAAGCCGCGCCTGGCTTTCCTCGTCGTCCTCACCACCACCGCCTCATATTCGCTTTACCCAGTACCCTCTCTACTCTCCACCGCAGCCACCCACACTCCCTCGTTGAGCAGCTTGACCTTGCTGTTCCTCACCACCGGCACATTCAGTACAATCGCATGCGCAAACACACTGAACATGCTGTTCGAGACCAACCACGATGCCAAGATGACCCGCACACGCAACAGACCACTAGTGAGGAGGCTTGTGAGCCCTCGTGCTGCTGTACTGTTTGCTCTGGCCGCCGGTGCCACCGGTACTGCCATCTTATGGTATGGCGTCAACCCGACCACAGCCATGCTAGGCGCCGCCAATGCCGTACTATACGCCTGCATATACACTCCCCTCAAGCGCATCCACCCCATCAACACCTGGATCGGCGCCATCGTCGGCGGCATCCCACCATTAATGGGCTGGTGCGCCGCCGGCGGCTACTACATCACCTCCTCATCACCACAATCCCTCGTCGACGAAGCCTCTGCTCTACTCTTCAGCCCAGCATCCGCAGGCGGCTGGCTGCTCGCCGCTCTCCTCTTTGCCTGGCAATTCCCGCACTTTAACGCTCTCGCCCACCCCATCCGCCACGAGTACTTTGCTGCAGGATACCGTATGCTGGTCTCTCTAAACCCACGCATGAACACCCGCGTCGCCTTGCGCTATTCCCTCCTCATGTTCCCCATTTGCATCGGATTAAGCTACGTCAACGTCACAGACCGCTATTTTGTCGTTACTTCATCGGCAATTAATGGCTGGATGGCGTATGAAGCTTTCCGCTTCTGGCGCAGTGGAGGCGGAGAAACCAAAACTGCAGTCTTGACGGCTAGAGGCTTGTTTTGGGCGTCGGTGTGGCATTTGCCGCTGGTTCTTGTCTTGGCCATGGCGCATAAGAAGGGGCTCTGGGATGGCGTTGCCAGGGGTGTCAAGGGTATGTTGGGGTATCCTGATGAAGAAGACGAGTGGGAGTGGGTGGATGAGGATGAGTAAATGTACCTCTTCTGTACGTTTGTACATTGTATTTTATACAAGACTGATGTCTATATCAAGGACGAACATTATCTTCTTACACCTCTCTGTTGGACCAAGAACTCATGCTAAAGATAGGATGCTTATTAAGTCGATAGGTTTATGATACGTATAAAATGAAGATTGCCCCCAACGCAGCGGTCCTACTCTTTCTTTCATCATTAGCCATCTCTACGGGCATGACCCAAAAAATGCTCTCGTCACATCATCCTCATATCGGTCTGCCTGTGCTCGACCATATTGTCTCAATTCAATCGTACGCTCATCAGCGTAAACATGTTGTTGACCAACCCTTGAACCATGTCTCCAAATCCGTTTGGCTGTCCTGCCGCTTCCCGCTCTGCCTGCTCTCGAAGCTTGATGGCATCCACCTCGATCTCGAGCTCATGGATCTTGCGTCCATCCGTGCCCTTGACTTGAGTCAAATCCACGCTATACACCGAGTGCGTATAGCTAAGTCTGTCTTNTTTGCGCTCTCCAAACTTCGTTTCGCCACCATCAACAATCGCTTTGGGATCAACGCCGGGTCTGTGCATGTCCACTTCAATGTTGATACTGATGCGGCAGTCGAACGGCGACATGGGACAAGATATATCGAGATCGGCAAGTCGAATCTTGACTATGCGCGCAATGACAGGATCAGTCCCGGCTGGCGCTCGTTCGTTGACCGAAGTGCGGAGTCGCGGCTGCCTGTTTGGGTCGAGGTAGTTCAAGGCCGATCGAGGCAGCGCGTCTAGCCCGGCTTGACTGAGCTGCGCAAAAGAATCAATCTCGTAGCGGTGTTTGTAGTCCAGTCTGTGCCTGCCAGGTATTGCCGCTGATTCTTGCACCGCTTGATTGAGGAATTCGTTCAAGCGTTTGTGATGCGCTTCGGTCATGTGGCTCTCGAATCGCAGTCGTGAAGACATGTTACGGTCAAGCACGACTGGATTCTGGACTGGCAATTGCACTCGCTGGTCAGTGTTTCTGTCAACCAAAGTGCCAAGCTTCGCTTCGATCTCGAGCGCGCCATTGTGTGCATTGCCCACACCCACATCAGCTCTGCTAAGAATTTCTTCAAACAGATATTTCCCGACGTGCAGCGTAAATTGATCGGATTGGGCCATGCTGCCCTTAATACAAGGCTCCCAGGGCCCGAGAAAAGGATGCATAGTTGCATTGACCGGACCGTGTCCATTCACCGCGGATTGTGGAGGGTGGCCATTGGACTGGGCCGCGGCTGCAGGTTGTTGCTGCGGTTGAGGCGTGGTTTGGTCTTGTTGTGGTGGGATGACCTGCAAATTTGGACGAGGAGATGGGCGTCTTGCTTGAGTGGGATCCGGCGGTGGTCCAAGCATGCGATCGACTGCTGGGTCATAGAGAGGATTGGAAGGCATGTACCTTGCCCAGATTGGCGGCTCGGCATATCTCTTCTTGGTCTTCTTAGGAGGAACAGAGGGTTCAGGTTCGCTTTCGGCGGGACGTTTAAGAGTGGTTTGTGGTGCGCTTTGAGGCTGCGAAGAAGGAAGAGAAGGTTGCGACATGGGTTGAGGCGGAGCAATGGGTTGCTGCAGTAACGACTCTGAAGTGAAAGCTGTCTGTGACTCGTGCTTGATGGGGGCTCGCGGCTCGAAGGTCTGGACAGGGCTGCCGTTGGAAAGCGAGGATTGCGAGTGATGCAAATGAGGATGTTGCGGGATATGCGGAGGTATGGATTGGCCTCTAGTGGCGGCGGGTGAAGAAACCAACAAAGGCGAATGATGAGTGGAGTCGTCGTTCAGGATGTTTCGGAAACCTCCAGGCGTCTGGCTGCCAATGCGAGGCTGGGAAGGACTGATCTTGGCAGACTGCTTGGTGGTAGTGAGAGGTGAAATGGCCTGGTCGGTCGAACTGCGGTGAGGAGCACGGGGTTCGTGTGATGGATACCTCTCCCTAGCGGTCCACGACGAGTCGGTGCTGTTCTGGCGCGTAGGGAGCACGACCTTTGTTTTGGGGCTGACGCTGAGGCTCCTGTCGCGCTCCGAAACGTTTGTGGGATAGTCAATGGACGGCCTCTTTGCATATTGTTGCGGCGACTCGGACGGGTAGGCAGATTGTGGTGGGAGCGAGTGAGCAGGAGACTGCGAGGGCATGCCGACCTGGTGCTGCAGGGCGTAGGAAGCACCAGACGTGGCACGTTGATGCTGACCCTGGGCGAGCGAAGATTGGCGGTTGTAGGGTTGCATAGGTGGGCCCAGAGGGGTGCTGGGCTGCGAGTGCTGCGGTGGATAGGGGTGCGAGCTGCGATGGACACCGGGAGGAGTGGGCGACATGGAGTGCGGGTAGTGCGGGTGGCTCTGCTGACGGGGAGTGAGCTGCGGATAGGCCTGCGATGGACTGTATTGTTGCGGCGGTGGTTGGTGGTGTTGTGGCTGCGGAGGGAAGGGGTACTGGCTGCTGGGGAATTGTTGCTGCGGCGTGTGTAGCCCCATCGGAGTCGAGGGCAGCGATGGGTTCGACGGGCGCGCATCGTGCGGGTGCGGAGGTGGAGGTCTTTGATGATAGTAGCCCTGCGGTGGAGGCGGTTGCTGCTGCTGTTGCGGTTGCTGCTGGAGTTGCGGCGGCGGAGCGGGATACGTGCCTGACGAGGACCTCTGCGGGACCAGCGGAGGGGGTAGCTGCCTCGCTGGCTGCCCTCTTGCTGACTCGACGAGCGACCCGGCCCGGCGTCGTTGTTCAGCATGTCGCGGAGATCCATAATGGCGGCGCGAGTCGATGGATGAATGACTACTCGTAGGCCCGTGTCGTGTGTTTCCCTGCTTGGTCCTGTTCGGCCACGGCGCGACTACTCGTACACGTTGGACAGATCTAGTTACACATCCAGGAGATGGAGACGCCAAGAGCGCATGCGACGGAATTCTAGATGGTATACGAGTGCTGCATGCGGATGGACAGAAAGCTGTCTCGATGTTGCTGAAGCTTCTGCGTTTCAGGAAGCACAGCACAGCCCAATCATGACATGGCCACCACTCGACATGGCCAGCGCATTCCACCTCCTCCGAGTACTTTCATCTACCATGAACAGACCATACGACATCATGTCGTCCAACTGAGCACCTCGCCGAGTACCTCTTACCTTTTCGAGAAGCCTCGTCGCTCAGATGCACAGCGACTCGTCGTGATTGTTCCTCTTGGCGGTCAGCAGCTTTGATGATCCGTGCGCAATATCCTCGAACCAAACAACACCACGAGACATCACACATATCGAAAGCTCATGAACAACCTCTCCTCCAAGGGAGGACAGTGTCTATCCAACTCTGTAATACCCAGTATGCTCATACCATCTTTAATGACAATCCTGACAGCTTCAACACAAAAGCCAATCGCAATCATGGTCTCTGTCTTCTGCAAAAGGACTGGCTTCATTATCCTTGCTTCAATTATGTCTCATGCCTATGCAAACTACCCCGGGTGCCCCGGGTGCTCCTCTCAACCACACACTGACCTCTTCCAGAGTGAACAAGAGCAGACAAGCTGTAATAGAGATGTACGACAGTCATCAGATCAGAGCTCCTTCCAGAGAGACAGCCGACAAGATGCCGATTCTCAGCAGCGGACATGGCCGTGTACTCAACAGTATTGTGTCTCTCTACAGCTGCACTTACGACAAAGTTTAGCACATGCAAGGTAGATATAGCGTTTTGCACTACTGTAGGTATGTCTGCCTCACGTTCATGCAACAATATTCTTGATTTTTCTATCCAATATGGTATATTGATTAGGTGCCTCCTTGGATCGCGTCATGCTTCCGGCACCACTCCACCCCCTGAACGCGTGTATACCTACTCAAGGTAGCCTTCGCGCCTTCAACTCAATCCCAAGGGCGAAGCTTTCAAGGCGTCCGAGGCCTCTTTTGCTCCATGGAAGAGTCCGAGCGTTATCTGCTCTTTGTTCCCATCGGGAGATCAGCATAGTAGCGCAGCTGATTGACGTCCTAAATCTAGAGAACTAGGCCTAAACGCAACAGAGTCCAGAAATCAAAGTCGAGGCTTGCTCTTCAGCTGCTATGCTTTGATTTGCATCTTCAGCTCGCCGGTATTGGTGTTTCTTGAGTTCTATGCTAATTCTAGGCGTACGTTCTCTTCTAGCCGGACGCAATCTCCTATCGCCCCCTCTTCGCGTGCCACAGCGCGTGCCCCCAGTAGCCCGCTCGTCCATTGTGTGCCCTATGGATGCCAATGTGCGGCGACGACGCCTTCCGTGCTATCAAGCCTTGTCTTCCTCAGGTCGCTTACAATCCGTTTTGCGGCATCTCCGAATTTAGCGCCAAAACCGACAACCTTACTTGCAAGCCATTCACCTCAAAAACCTCAAAGCTCACGCTTGTGTGTTCAGAAAAGACGACATCATAACTTCCATGTCTTCGATCAAATGCTTCCATGTCTTCGATCACCTCGCCAGGTTTCACTCTTGTTGACGGACCGACCGTTTTCGGCAAAACGACGCACGTTGTTGCCATCTGCCGACGAGAAGCGTGTCTCAACGATTCTTTCAACGGCATGAATCATCATAGCGGTGCGAACAGGCCAGAATCTGCTTGTGCAAGTCTATCAACGGGCAGTCGGCATCTGGCTGCTCGACGGAGAATTATACCTTTGTACCTAATTTTCCATGCAGGAACAGAGGACCAAAGTGCTTCGACGCTCGCATGCGGATGTCCGGCCGTTTCCATGGCGTGAGCTAACGCAGGTTACCGCATTTCGCTAGCTCGTGCGAGTGCATGTGGGCTGGCTGAGGTGCATAGCGAGTCGCGTGCACGGTTCAGCGTTTCCTCTTTAGGTCGCTTTACACTTTTGCTCCCTCTCAAGCGCACAATTTTAGCACGCTTAACCACGCTTTTAGCTCCTTCATAGTAGGTGCCCCTTCAGCCGCTTGGGTTTGTTTGGGACCGAATGTCCTGACGGCCACCCCGCCTAGGGACGTGCCAACATGCAAGAGCTGAAGATCAGAACATATAAGAGTCTGCAGTTTTCCCACCGTTACCGTTGCTGTCTAAATCGTCGCTCGCTTCTATCACTCTTCGTCGTTCAACTAGGGTCTTGTACCCGCTTCGCTCGTTCATCATGCTGGCATCAATCTGGAAGACGCTCGCCCTCTTGGCAGCTCTCCCTCTTCAGAACGTCTCTGCCCAACAGTATGCTGGAGATGTTATTCCTAATGCCACATACCCCGGTGTTCCTGGCTCAGAAATTGTCTACTTCAGAGTCAAGGACCCCGCCGGAGTAAACCCTAACCTCACTCTTGTCAACTACCAGTCTCTGGGATCAAATGGCAAGCGTATCAATCCTGCCAAGGTCAAGCGTGCTGTTATCATCGTCCACGGTCTTAACCGTGATGCGGGTACTTACATGAGTAACGTAAGTTGCCCGTATTGACATTGTTGACTCAACACTAATTTCTATCCCAGNATGTTGAGTGCACTGTCTCAAGTCACAGGTGATTCTAACATCAACTTCGATTCCGTGGTCATCAACGCACCCAGTTTCCCCAACGGAGACGACAAGAACGTCTCATACCCGTACTGGGATTACGCTCCTGGTTCTAAGAAGAAGCTTTCTGGTGGCAACCAATCCTGGACCAACCTGTTGGTGTGGGCGGGATCGCAATGGGCTGGTGGCGGCACCAACCAATACCCCAACAAGGCCCAATCCGTTTCTTCGTACGAGGTCCTCGATCAGCTGATTGCGTGGTACGCGAACAACTTCCCTAACCTCAATCAAATCGTTATCGCTGGCCACTCCCTTGGCGCGCAGACTGTTCAGCGTTATGCCACTGTTGGCAAGCCCTTCAGCTCTATTGGAGTCGGCGTGCCTGTAACCTACTGGATTGCCAACCCGAACAGTCTGGTCTGGTTGAACTCCTCTCGTCCCCTTTCGACTTCCAGCTGCGCAGGCTATGATAACTGGCGTGAAGGTCTCTCCAATTACGCTACTTATCCTAACGTCTACAACACCGGGCTAGTAGCCTCGGGTACCTCGGCAGTGCTTGCCAACTACCAGTCTAAGAACAAGGCTTACGCTCGCGGTACTCTCGATATGGGCGACGATTCGTCTGGCTGTGCACCTTTCACTACTGGTTCCAACCGTCACGAACGATTCTACTACTTCATCAACTGGTGGACTCCTACTTGTGAAGCTCCTAACACACCATCCGGCCACTGCGATACTGTCGACTTGGTTGCTATGGGCCACGATGGTGGTGGTATGATGGCCTCTGCGGCTGGTCGTGCTCGTCTTTTCAGCGACAACTTCTATGGTGACGGTGCAAGATCTTACGACTTTGGTTACCCTCGCATTCAAGCCAATGTAGATGACCCTTTCCCCGACCCTGCCTACAACTCGACTTCGGATTCAGCCAACCAGACTGTCTACGCTGGCAACATGACCTATGCAGGCTGCTACACTGATTCTGGCTCTCGTACCCTGGCTAACCTCAACTACGATTCTACTTCCAACACGATCGAGAAGTGTACCGCCGCCTGCGCCAGTGCGGGTTACTCTATCGCGGGTATGGAGTACGGTAGCCAGTGTTGGTGCGATAACACGCTCGGTCCCTACACCCAGAAAGCCCTGGATCTTGGTTGCTCTCAGCCTTGCTCTGGCAACACCACCGAGACATGTGGTAACTCAGCTCGTCTGTCAGTCTACTCAAACGGCTCGCCTGTTCAGGCCGCTGCTCCCTCCAACCCTGAAGTTGTCGGCAACTATTACTACGCTGGATGCCACAACGAATCAACTAGTGGCCGTGCTCTCTCTGCTACCTCATACTCTGATGGCAAGAACATGACTTTGGAGAACTGTGCAGCCTTCTGCAATGGCTACAAGTACTTTGGTATCGAGTACGCATCTGAGTGTTACTGCGGCTCGTACTTCGGCCCAGGCAGCGCTCTCGTTTCGGACAACACTTGCTCCATGGTATGTTCTGGCAACTCGCTTGAACTCTGTGGTGCAGGTGGCGCTCTNTCTGTCTACACGCTCAGCTCCGGCGCACCTGTCTCGACCATCGTCCAAGGCTCGACTACTGCTGGTTCTTCACCAACAAACACAGGTGGTTCATCAGCCTCCAGTCTCCCTTCTAGCAGTCTCTGCCCTGCTACCAATGGACAGAACATTGCGGACTCGAACAACGTTACCTACACTGTTGCTTGCAGCTCAGACACAAACGTCGGTTCGTACTCTAGCGCTCAGGCAAGTGGTTCGTACTTTGACTGCATGGTTGCCTGTGACAATGCAGCATCGTCTGGATGTGTGGCCTTCACCTACGTTGGAGGAGCACTTGGTTCTGGATCAGGAACGTGTTATCTGAAGAACAGCGTGGGCACCTTCACAGGAGCTGCTAACAACCTTGTATCTGGATCGAGAATCTCGTCTGGTTCCACTGGAGGAGCTGTCACTACGACCACATCCTCTGCCGCTCCTGCAGCCACTACCTACGCAGATGGCTCGACACCTTCTGTAGGCGGTGTCACTTACGCTATCGAGGTCAACGTGACATACTCTGGCCAAACCTTGGCTCTCTCGAAGAAGCGTGCGGCTGTCGTCGTTGGCGACTGTTTGAACACTTGCGCTCAGAGCACCTCGTGTGTCGGAACCGCATTTGACGGATCAGCCTGCACATACTTTGGCTCAATTGACAACAGCACAAAGGTGTCTGCTCCTGGCACGACTTTTGCAACCGTCAAGGCCCGTTCGACAGCTACCTCGACCTCCTCGAGCGCTACAGGAGTTCCTTCTGCCTCGCTGTGCCCCAGCGCCAACGGCCAAACCATCAATGGATACGTTGTCAGCTGTTCGTCCGACACGAACATTGGATCTTACTCAAGTGCAAACGCCGTTACTTCTTACCTCGACTGTATGTCTGCTTGTAATGCCGCGTCCTCTACTGGGTGCGTTGCATTCACCTACGTTGGAGCTACCGGCGGATCTGGTTCCGGTGCCTGCTACCTCAAGAACAGCCTGGGAAGCTTCACCACTGCTGGCGGTGCCAACTACATTGCCGGCATGGTTGCTACTCAGCCTTCATCTTCGTCATCGTCATCGTCTGTCAGCTCGACCCAGAGCGGATCGGCCTCCTTTTCGACAGTGAGCTCGACCGCAACCTCTTCGTCCGCCACCTCCTCAGCTTCGAGCAGCCTTTGTCCTTCTGTGGACTCGCAGGACATCACTGACTCCAACGGAAAGATTTACACCATCCGTTGCCAGTCTGATACCGACGTTGGCTCTTTCGCAAACGCTCAGGCTGCCAACACATACGCTGACTGCATGGCCGCTTGCGACTCTACCACTGGATGTGTCGCATTCACCTACGTCGGTGGAGCAAATGGTGTCGGCTCAGGAACGTGTTGGATGAAGAACAGCCTGGGAAGCGCAACCTCCGCAGGTGGCAACAACTACGTCGCCGGGTTCTTGAAGCAATCTACTTCGTCGAGCTCAGTTTCGTCTACTTCTTCGAGCTCAGCATCATCTGTTTCCTCGAGCTCGGCATTTTCAAGCACAGCCTCGTCTACCACTACCTCGTCATCGGCAGCGGCATCGAGCAGCTCTTCTACCAGCCTTTGCCCGCAAGCAAACGGACAGGTCATCACTGACTCAAACGGCAACCTTTACAACGTCACATGCTCTGCCGACAACAGTGTGGGCTCGTACACGAACACGCAGGCTTCTACCTCGTACCTCGACTGCATGGCAGCCTGTGATGCCGCTTCTTCTACTGGCTGCCAAGGCTTCACTTACGTTGGTGGAGCTCAAGGATCTGGCTCAGGTACCTGCTGGCTCAAGCAGAGCATGGCTGACTACCCTGATGCCGGCAACAATGTTGTCTCGGCTGTCAAGGTCGCCAAGTCCAACTCAAACGTTGTGTCTTCTAGCAGCTCAAGCAGTTCGATCTCTAGTAGCTCGGTCTCGTCGTCAACTGCCTCGTCATCGACCGCCTCGTCAAGCAGCATTGTTTCTTCTTCTTCTTCTTCTTCTTCTTCTTCCTCCTCCAGCGTTTCATCATCAAGCAGCACCGTCTCTTCATCCAGCAGCTCTGGTTCGATCTCGTCGAGCAGCACCGTTTCTTCTTCATCGAGCACTGCTGCCTCCTCATCGAGCACTGTTTCTCCCTCTTCGACTGTCTCTCCTACTTCGAGCAGCAGCACCGTTTCTTCCTCGAGCACCGTTTCGTCGTCAAGCACTGTTTCTTCATCGAGCACTATTTCCTCCTCCTCCTCAAGCAGTGTTGTTTCGTCTTCCTCGAGCAGCGTGGCAACCACGCTTTCGACATCCACTGCATCCGTCTCGGCCACATCATCCACTGCTCTTTCGCTTCCCACTGGCTTCTCTTCATACGGCTGCTTCATTGACGGAAGCACTCGCGCCATGGCCTACTCTGCTTACTCCAGAAGTGACAACACTCCCTACAAGTGCGCATCTACCTGCCAGAGCTTGGGTTACAAGTACGCCGGTACCGAGTACGGCAGCGAGTGTTGGTGCTCAAACGCCGCACCCACGTCCAGCACCAAGGCCACCGACTGCAGCATGGCTTGCAGCGGCGACAACACNCAGACTTGCGGCGCTGGAAACCGCTTGTCCGTCTACGTCGACAACACTTGGACCTCCAAGTTCAACGCCCGCACCAGCTATGGCTCGTGGAACTTGATGGCTTGCTACACTGACAACACAAACGGCCGTGTTCTGCCCACTGCCATGAGCATGACTGGCGGTGCCAACAACGCTACCATCGCCAACTGCCTTGACGCCTGCGCAAGAAGCGGTTTGAGTGTTTGCGGTGCTGAGTACTACCAAGAGTGCTATGGTGGCAAGGTCGCCCCCAACAACAACCTGATCGCTGGTTCAGATCCTCTGGCCGCTGGTTGCAACTACCCTTGCAGCGGCAACAAGACCGAGGCATGTGGTGGATCCAACAAGATCTTGGTCTACATCAACAACGGCACCGCATCTGCTCGTCGCCATTAAAGAACATCTTCAGTCCTTTTTGTTTCTCTGCTAGCGAGCGATTGATGTTTTTTCCTTCTATTCTCTCATCTCTTCACGATGTTTTCTGGACATCTTTCCCCATCCCCTGATGTTTCTTTACCGGGGCACCTTAATTTCTTACTATCACCTATTCTCTATAGACCTCATTGTCTTTGACGACGTATATACCAATGCTTATAGAAAGCTTGATTCTTCTTTTATCTTTCTTGACTGAAAAAATCTCCTCTACCTGTGTCTTGTGTTTCTGTAGTCTGGATTCGGTGATCGTTGGACAATTATGGCGGTCATGAGTGGTGAAAGCATCCTTTCTTACAAGACAGCGGCTGATTTAGCCAGAGTAAGAAGCAGCTCCTACGCTCTTGCTCCCCGTTCTTCCGGCAATACATCGAACTAGTCCCTCTATGGAACTCATTTGTTTGGCATCAAAGCAGTTTTTCGGATTAATCACTGCCATCTCCATCTCTCTATATCCCTATAGTTTCTAGATGGCGTGTATAGCTGCCTTCCAATGCTTTCCGTCAAATGCCTGACCTCGCTACTAACATCTTGTACTATGTTAAGATTAGAACTCCCTCATTAGTCAGAGTGTTGGCTGAGCCGGCATAATCATTTCCTTGCATAACGATAGTACTTCTAAAAGTCCCTGATTTGATTCTTTGGTGTGTTGACTTTACATTCTTTGTCTCTTGCGAAGGCAAAATAGTTTGCAAGCAACAGAGGGTGTTTTCAAAGCTCTGTGGCTGTGAGACCCATGATTTGATACTCCAACTGTTATAATGTCATCATTATAGAGATTTCCATGTTTATGCATTAGCCACAGCTTGTGTTTGTCTCGGTGAGATCTCAGCAAACGTCAATATGCCCAGCAAAGCGTCATGCAAGGAAGAGAAAAAGATTGCTTGATAATCAAACACGCTTCAGCTCCGACTTGAACCCACGACCTTTGGTATGTAATTCACGCAACACCCAAGAGCCTGATCTCTCCGCCAGGTACCTCTAGCACATAACACCACAACACATCACAACAACCACAACGTCTTGTACCTAGGCGGATCCCCCAAAAGAGAAACTCCATGCCAGCATGCCCAAGAAGCAAAAAAGCAGGTCTCCCTGAAAAAACTCCCGCACAGTCAGAGGCCAAGGCCAGCCAGCCGTCGCCGTACTTCCCGAACACACGTGGCCGTAACTTTGGTTTTTGTTGGCGATGCGTTGCAACTTACCCACTACACTAAAGGGCGTCCCCAAAGCGAGCAGTGTGAAACGAAGGCTGGGAAGGTCGCAACTTTTGTGGTTTATAAAGCCTTGGATGATGGAGATTGCAGTAGGACGTTTCGGCGTCAAAGTCCACTGGTGTGAGTTTCTGGATGTGATCCTCGGTGATCTTGCCAGAGATGTGGCGCGAGACTGTCCTGTTGGGGCAGAAGTGGTGTATGATATCCATCAGCGGCACGAATACCACCTTGAACAGTCCCACTGTTGTCGCTGATCACTCGCATGATCGTATCCTTATCGCTGGTCTCACCACTCGTGCCGATGGCAAGAATGGTCACGAGACGACCGCAGCGATAGCTTCAAAGCGTTGTGTTCTTTCATATTGGCAAGTCTGGCTCGTTGGCAGAGTCGGGCTCGATTCAGGGCCTTCTGGCTTGATAACATGGAGGGACGGCTACGGTGCACACGGAGATCGCATAAACTGTGTCAAGTCAGCAAACATCGAGAAACGAGTCGGTTGTGATGTGACGAAGAGACCGTAGTGACTGCGAGGCTCATAGAGTGATGGCTGGGTGATCCGCGAGCTTCTAGTGGTGGAACATGACAGCAAAGTCGGTGTATGTCGACTTGGACTGGACGTCGAGTAACCGAAGGGTTATTCAAAGTGTGCTCTCCCATTGTATCGATGTGTGCCCTCGTGGTAGCTATCAACATGCAGTTCCACTAGTACTAGACTAGCATCCAGGAAGCATCGCGATCTTGTCGGCTCTCCTTGGACTCGTCCCTCTTTGTGAGTTGACTGTGCATTCTGATCGCTCACCAGATGGCTTGACGTCACTATCAGAGAGAGGTCGAACGTGAGAGCGTGGTGAACCCGAGAGCACGAAGAGGAAAATCGGAGTTGCCCTAGTGATAGATTCAATCCAGAATCATCAAAGTTGCAGGTGCGACGGCGTCACAGAAATCGAGTCCTGACCTGTGCTGGTCGAGGTCTCGCGGCCTCGTGCTTTGCCTCAAACCTTCCGTATGTGGTAAAAAGCGATACGAGATTGTTAACAAAAACGGCACGTACAGTCTGCAGAGGTGGTACTACCAGATTGGTAAACAAGTAGTGCTCATGCAACGTGTATCGACCCGAACGAAGCGCTTGTTCGGAAAGACCAATGAATTGTCGAGGAAAGGGCTACCGCCAGACCCGCGGGTCATGATTACTCCCGTACGTATCTCGAACAGACGAGACCCGGGGCTGCATGACTTGCAGCATGCGGAAAGCATTGAGATCGCTTGGGTCACAGTCGCAGGTCTGAATCGAATAGCCTAATGGCCTGAAGGTGCTTGTCGGTCGTGCTTTGCATTGATCCTTCACACGCTCATTGCTTGCTTCGGTTCCGGCAGCTTGGACACCATCAAGAGACAGCAAGATCGGCGGTGGCAGAATATGTCTTCTGGCGTTGGACTCTAGAGAAACTGCAATCTGCTAGTCGACTGAGAACGACTCAAGTGGTCTAGAGGTCTGCACTCTTCATGTACTTAGACAAGTTCTGCATGATAGCCCTAGTCCAGCTGACGACGACGATGATGATTCAACAATTTTGTCATCAGCCAAGTGAACACATTGTGCCGGGATTGGTTGGGTAGGCTCGGACATAAGCGAGATGTCTGCAGATGATGTACTGGTTTCGATAAATGGCTGTTATCCCATGGCCTACTGAACTCCAAACAAAGGTGTTGGAGACAGTCGTCCGACGACTTGGGCAAGAACGTCTGGAGAGAAGTTGACACGTGGATACTACAGGGTGTCCGACAGCCGTGTTTCGGTATCCGAGAATCCACCTATAGGCATCATGAGATCTGCACAATGTTGAGTGGAGCTAGTTGAAATGCTGAGCGATGGAGACGAGCGAGGTGGCTCCAACCTCGTTGTTTTTCCTCAGTAAGAGGTTTCTTCTGAGTCGACCTTGCAATTTCTCTCAGGACAGTGACTGGTCCTTTGTCTCCGACGAGGTCACATTCCCCCAGACAGATGACGCGACATGCGTTTGCTCTTCCCAGCTCTATCCTCCCTATGTACTAGAGCATGTAACGCGTATGATTACAGAGACGCATAATTGGCTCGAGAAGCCGGGAAGCACCCATGAGAAGACAGAATTTCATGAGCCCTCATCCATGTCACAGACTTTTGTACACAGGAGGATAGACTGACTTGCAGTCCCGAGCACATGGCTGGTTGCTCGAGGCTCGAGTACGACTTTTCGTGACGGCTGTGTCGCTAGCGGTACCAATCGCTGGGGTCTGGATGCACAGCGGTTCTTTGCAGCTCAAGTTATCATAATAGTGTTTGATGCACTTCCGGGATAAGCGTCGTCTACTACTTGTAGCAACTCGATCCGATCAGACGAAAAAGTAATGACTCGTTCGATTTAATTCAAGTGGTCGATGTCGTCGAGACTGTTGTATGTGATTGTGTGAGAAACAAGACCTGAAGTTGCCCAACTAAAAAGGTGCCAAGTGTTTGTCTAGCCGAGGGAACCCTTTATTAATTATCTAATATAGAGAAGCAATTTATTTTAACAGATCGATACAACATCAAGTTCGGCAATCGGATCAGTGAATTCGCAATAAAAAGCGTGCTACTTCAGACTTTCTAGTTGTCAACTGACAGCCTAATGGTTTGGTTACCGCACAGGACGGATGGGAAGATGAAAGCATCTAGCAGCCAAACATTAGATTATCTCGTCATGAGAATAGACATCTGGAGAATATATATGGGCGAAGTGAAACAAGCGAACGTGTTGGTGGAATGCAGGGTTAAAACGATGCAAGCATCATGACTGCGCATTAGCCATGTGATCCTTGTCGACGGGGAGATTGTCGGCTTGAAGCAAACAGTCGTTCTTGTCCAGTGGTTCTAGCCAAGTCGAGATCGATGGCGACCAACATCCTTTCAAGGAACCCATCTAATCCTAGAGCCGAGAGCCCGCCACGCATTCCGACAAACTGCCGTAGACCGCTCATGTGGGTTGAGAATGCATCCGCATCCCTCCAAAACGCCTCGTACTGGGCCATAGTTGCCATCGTTGCTATCATAGAATCCTTGGTCGAAAGGCTTCCATTCATAGCTTGGATAGCCATGTCTTTAAGCTGAAACAGATCAACGACTTGAGCGTGCGCAGCCATGGAGGATCGAAAGAGCGATGCAGCAAATAGCAGCACAGCATGAAGCAGTGCCACATCAGTCATGACAAATGGCATCCAGAAAGATCTCAAGAGAGCCATTGTAGGCGCATCGTCTGACTGCAGGACTTGCTTGGCCGTGTATGCCAGNNATCTATGTTGCTGTGGTTTCAGAACCTAAACCGAGATCGGAAAAACTTGGGTAAGGAACTTACAGTTCTCGAGAATCTGGTTCAGATAAGGAAGCCACTGAGCCGGGTAGACTTGGGACACATCTATCATCGGGTACTGGGTGGTCGATGAGAATGAAGACACATCGGAGCTGCTAGTCGGAGATACCGGGCTATGCTGGTCCGAGGAAGCAGGCCTTGACAACGGGTAAGATACAGCATGCGCACGACCCTGGGAGATTTGTGCTGAGGATGTGCCTAGCAACTGAAGATCACTGTTGGATCTCCGGGCTGCTGCCAGTTGTTCTGCCTTTTGATGCTGTTGCTTTGTGACATGACTTCGAATGGCACGTCGGACTTTCTGGTCTTTGGTGTCGCTGGGGTCCGTAAGGTTGACGAATTGGAACGACATTGGTGGTTCAGAAGGTCCTGGAGAGACAGGAGACGAAGTGCCAGGCGTTGCGGTGTATAATTAGCCAACGATGAGCTGGATGCAAGCGCTAGGAAGAGGCGATCCAGGACCACGAGCCAAACGAATGAGACAGGTCGAAGATCCGTACCGAGTAGCTGGTAGGTTGAAAACGAGTGCAGTCTGCGAGATTAGGTACTTTGAATTTTCCGGAATAGCCATCAAAGATATATAGAAGCTGATCACCGACTTCGAAATGCATAGGCACAAGCAATGGCCACCACTTCCCGACGGCTATTCATGGTACTGCAACAATGCAGATTTGGCTGCAGGAGTTTGTTGGCAGTATGTCTGGGCGGCCCTCCAAAAACGGTAATCATGTGCACATGATGGAAGCAGCATGGGAGTTGCGCTGAGAAAGCCTCGATGGTCCATGAGTAGTGGCTAAGACCACCGACAAAGATTAGGAAATATATATGGAATACCATACCTTCGGATGCATGTACGTTGTTGCATGCAAAGCCGAGTGTCAAGCTAGGTATTACCTCTAGATAATGGGGCGGTTACAAGATCGAGCGGCCGCCTTGTCTGTATTAATCGACCAGCTAGCTGAACGCCTCTCTCGGGGCCGCATGGGTTGTGCTCAACGATGGCGCCATTGACGACCGTGACCAAAGTGGAATGCATTTGCACAGGCCGTGTCTTCCTTTTTGGATCAGCCGCCAGCATCACGACCGCGTTGTCTGCAGCATGTGGTTGTCAAGTCCCCATATCTCAGGCTCTTGGGCCAAAAGAGATGGGCTAAAGCTCTGATGGGTTACCGGTACCTGGGTAGGTTGTGTTTGACAGACCATTGGAGAAAGCCACACACGGTCGTCATCTATTCTTGCAACCTGGCGAGACACGGTCTCGGTCTAGAAGGGCAGCTGCATGAAGCCAGATTGATCGACCAAGAGAGCATGTACTGGGTAGGAGCGACCGATGCCCATTTTCGCATCTCGAATGGTTCATGAACACTTGCCGAAAATGATCCTTCAACGGCATGCAACCTTTACCAAAGATCGAGATGCCTTGGAAACATTGGACCTTCTACCAAGATCTTGTCAGGTACAGGCGCAGCCGCAGGGAGAAAAAAGGCTACCAAGCAAGTGGGGTTATCTTTCCGAACGCATGTCAAGCACCTGCTCTGTGTCTTCCCATGGTCAGCGGTACCTTGAAAATCTACAAAGATGCTCAATGTCAGGAACATATACAATCATGCTTAGGTGAGCTTTCCTCAGCCATGCTACAACTCAAATCATGTTCGTGTGCCAATACCTAGTTTACTGAAGAGTAATGAGTTCTGTAGACAAAATCTATGGTGCTCTATATCACTTCCCGCAGCCACATAGAGAAATCTGGGGCCGGGTCCTGGCAGTCAAAGTCCTTTGGGCCAGGACCCAGTTTTCGGGCTTCGTTCAGAAGGGTACTCGAGCAAAGTACTAAGCATAATGCACCATCAGCGGATGTAGAGATGGTGAGTAATCATGCACGTGGTGCTCGTTGTCTCACAGACTCGCGCAGATAATCAAGGGACAGCGACATCCGAACCCGAGCGGCCGGATTACAGGAGATCCCGTCGTGTGCTTGGGAACTGCCATACCGGGCGGATGGTCGTGGGGACTACGTCACAAGCTCGAAATACATACACACGAACAACGGTTGTCAGAAAAGAACAAGCTGCATCTTCTGTTCACTCCATCTGACAGACACTATCGAAAGACGACATCAACCTCCGACAAAACAAGCATGCATTAGCAGCGCCACGCGACCCTATCTACGCTCTCCCCGGAACTCGATCAGCCTCACGCACTCCTGCTCACACAACCATGGATGCGCCGCAGAATTCAAGGAGGCACAGGAAGAGAGATTCAGATCTGCTCGCAGAAGTGCCCGACGATGCTGTCCAGCTTGATGCGGAGCAGCTATCTCCAGCAGGCCATGACACCTTACTTTCACGGGTATGCCAACTTGGCGTGTCGCACATCTCATCAGCACGCGACTTACAGACCTATCTANNGATCGTCCTAGGGCCTCTGACAATGATCTCCTTTTTACTTTCTCTTTGTGTCGTTGACAGCCAGCACCGTGCGTGGCGCCTTGCGCAACAAGCCGACAGCGAGCCATGGCCATGGTGGAAGAAATTATCGCCCTGGACGTGGTGGAACGCCGAACCTTATCAATCACCACAAGACTCTACCTGGCAACATGCTGTACCAGCGACCAGCTTGTCGGACGGCGCAAATGGGACTGTCCCCGTACCTGCGGTGAATACAGATCGTTGGCACACACGCAAGAAGCACAGAAAGATGGCAAAGCTCACCATTTCCGACGCAATGAACATGAGGGAAGAAATGGCGGTCGCACTTGTCACAGCAGCCTTGATAGGTCTGGTCGTTGTTGTATGGCTTGCAAAGCGTGTGCTCTCCCCGACTGCGTGAGGCGGTGCAACCTCATTTCACCAAGTACATGCGTATCTTGACAGCACGATTGATTTCATGCAGAGATGATTCCAAATCTGAGATTCTCTATGACGAGGTAGTTACAACCGTGAGCGATGATAAGTATTGTACACATTATACACAAGCTCCCAGACGAGGAAGTTCTACGCGGTTTGCATATACTGGATCTCAGTGTTCCGGGGTTTGAGTGTCTGCTGGACGTCTTTCGCTTTTGCTGAGTTGAAGCATGAAACTTGTCAGAGCGTTAGATGTCCAATCCGGCAAAAACTGTTCTGGCTGTAATACTCATGCCGCTTGAAAGTCGAGGTGCCGACAGAACCCCAAATTTCGTCAAGCACAATCTACCTATCGATGGCTATGAGAAATCTCGGGTCCTCCGTGCCAACTGTTTTACTAGCTTGAGAGTGATTGATGAATCACCCTGGTCAGGCACGAGAAAGTGTAAAGAAGCTTTGATGCTCTGTTCCCTCCCCCACGCACCGTGACGTTCACCGAGCCCTGCCTGGATAGAATCTTGACACTTGAGTCAACACAACAACAGGCACAGAACCAAAACACACACCATGTCCGCAATCAAGGGAATTGGCGAGAGCAAGCAGTACGACGGTAGGTAAGCTCTTCGCAACAAGACACGTGAGCAAGTCGTTGACAAGTAGTANGGCTCGAAGCTGCGCATCGGCATCGTTCACGCTCGATGGAACACCAAGATTATCGATGCTCTCCTGGAAGGCGCAAAGAAGAAGCTCGCCGAAGCTGGGGTCCCTGGTACAACAACACGACCCGAAGTTGACCAGACCGAGGAGCTGACACGCGACNNAGACAGCAACATTGAGATCCAGACGGTGCCCGGCAGCTACGAACTCCCCTACGCAGTGCAACAGATGTACGCATGCTCGCAAGCTCAAGCATCATCGGCCAACTCGACATTGCTGAGCTCTGCCACGGACCTCCTCTCGTCGTCGACAACCGATCTTTCGCTCAAGGACAAGGAGGGCGGCGCCAGCGCAGCAGCAACCAAGCCCTTTGACGCCATCATCGCAATCGGTGTCTTGATCAAGGGCTCGACGATGCACTTCGAGTACATCTCTGACGCCGTCAGCCACGCGCTCATGAAGCTCCAACTGGACATTGGCATTCCTGTCGTCTTCGGTCTTCTCACTCTGTTGACCGAAGAGCAAGGGCTTGAGCGTGCTGGCCTTGTGTCAGGCTCGAAATACCACAACCACGGCGAGGACTGGGGTGCAGCAGCTGTCGAACTAGGCACCAAGAGAAGAGGCTGGCAGGAGGAGAAGACATTCATCCAGTAAAGAAAAGAGTCTGTTAGGGAGATAGAAGATACAAACAAGCCCAGTCAATGTCACGCAAAGATGGCTCGAACTGAGGCGAATACTACCGATCTTGGATGCTTGTCGTCTGCCTTGGTGCCCTCGTGTGGTACTTGATCAAACGACGTGTGGCCGTAGCCGCGTACTATGCATTCAGGGCAAGTTGAGCTACACGACTGGGCTCGCAGAGGCTCATGATACTTTTCACGATTGCTATATGAGGATGGTTCTCAAGATGGACTTTGTTCATCTGGACAGAGTGACTTGTTGTATGGCATCCACGGACTGCTCGTACGGAGACTCTAGCGCGCGTCATCGGGGGCGCACGGTCCTCTGGGTGTTTAACTTCTGCGACTTGCGACATGAGCGTCTTGTCGACTCACTGAGGAATGGAAGCTGAAGGCCTGTTCATCATCCCTCCAACCATTCCTTTATTCGCTTTGTCCAGCTGGCGCCTTCTGCCTACTTTTCTGCATCCCGGCGCATGAGATATTGCTTGCTCGCCCACAGCGCACGCCTTTGGTCTGCGCCCTGAGTCGGCCCTGTGTCTCCAGCCTCGAGGCTCCCCTGTTGTCGCCAAAGGCCATTGATCTGCCTCTCCTGCTCACCACTACCACGCGCGTCTCTCATCTTCCATCTCCCAGCCGCTGCCTTCTATCTACCGCACCTGCCCCGCCAGACCTCTGACTCTCTGGCGTAACGAAGCTCGGCCCACAATCAACAAAACAAAGTCCCACTGCTGGCCTCGCCTCGGCTTTGTGTATCCGATGCCTGGCTGCTGATCCAGGTGCCACTTTCGCCTGTTGCTGTCAGCTCCGCATGGCCCATCCACCACGCCGCGCTGCCCATGCTTCCGCCAACATGTCTTCATCCGACTCGGAAGCACGCGACTCGGGCGACTTGTTGAACGCCGTCGGCTCCACCAGTTCTCTTGCGAGCACAGTCTCATCTGTCTTCAGTGCTAACGCTCATCTCCCAAAGGCCAATGGTCACTCTTCGACCAACATCGCCGCCCTTACTCCTCTGACATATCCTGCTTCATCTCCAGTCAAATCACATTCTCCCCTTGCTTCATCCAAGCCCCTGCTCAACACGACCCAAATAGAGCCATCGCCGCTCGGTCTTGCTGTCGCAGACACCACTCGAGGTCCCTACGAAAATACCACCCCTCGACCCTCTCCCCCAGCAGAACGCCTCCGAATCATCCCACCGACTGGCAAAGCAAAAGGGTACAGAACGGTTTATGATCCACTCACGACAAATGACGAGCTCAGCGAGAAAGAGAAGAAAAAGCGGAAAAGTNNGAAAATAAGGTCTTTCGGGACCGAGGTACGTTTGGATATTTTTACATGATTGCTGAGCTTGTTGATACCCTGCCACAAGATAAACCGTTCTGTACCCTGAAGCTGATGGGTTGAAAAAACANNGTCACATATTCCGCCCCCAGACCCCAGACTGGCCATCGCAAACTACACATCTGGTGGAGCTGTAACAGACAAATTGACCGTATCCAAAACGAAGATGCGAGTCGCACCGTACATGCTAAAACCGTACGCATACGACAAGGCCTCGACTATTGGACCCGGTCCACCAAAGCAAATTGTTGTTCACAGTTTTGATCCCTTCACACCAGAATCCCAGCTCAAGTTCTTTTTCGCGAGTTTTGGAGATATTGCCGAATTGCGCAATCAAACCGATCCGAATACTGGGAGTTTCTTGGGAATCTGCCTGATCAAATACAAAGACAGCAAACCGATCAAGGGTGTCTCCGTTTCGGCTGCCAACGCCGCGAAGCGCGCCGAGAAGGAAGGGCACAACGAGCGTATTGGTTTGACCCAAGTGAAGGTCGAGCTTGATCGCGAGGGGCGCAAGTGCAGGAAATATGTCGCTTACACGCTCAAGAAGGCGCGACACGAAATGGAGAAGGAGGCCGCTCGACACGCTCCTCGCACTGTTCTGACGGCAGCAGAGTCAATCGATTCCTCAACACCGGTGCCACCTCCACCTCCACCACCACCCGCTGTCTCCGAAGAAACTCCTGCTATTTTGGCGAATGCGCCCAAGGCGCCCAAAGGACCGGCTTCAAAACGAGATCGGGAGCGAGAGCGCGCAGGCGTATCGGAACAGCCTTCGACCCCGAAGGAACGCGATACAGGCCGCTCGGTCATTGAATCAGAGCCGATACTGGCCAAGATCAAACGAAAGCCGTACATTTTTATCTCGCGTGATAGCGTGCCTGTGTTGGGGTCCACTGTGCCACATCTTAAGAAGAGGTTCAAGGCTTTTGACTGGCGAGAGATCCGCGTTGACAAGGCAGGATACTATGTCATCTTTGACGACTCCAAGCGCGGAGAAGATGAGACGGTCAGATGTTTCAAAGAGTGCAACAATGGTCCTATGTTCACATACAACATGGCCATGGAATGCCAGCAGTACGGCAACCCCGATTACGTGCGCAGTCCTAGTCCCGAAACCCAGGCTGTTCAGAGCCGACAAAAGGAAGAGACAGACCGATTGGAAAGATGGGCTGCTGAGGATCTTGAGGAAGAGAAGAAAGAAAAGNNAGCTGCGGATTTGGATCCCGTAAAGGGTGCGCTTGAACAATTGCAACTCGAGTTGCGCAACAAGATCATGGATGACATCAAGAAACGAGTTGTCATCCCCGAGCTTTACGACCGCCTCGACCCTGCCAGACACGTCGCAAAACGTCGCAAACTCGACATTCCAGATCCGACTGACAATGAGAATCAGCCACCAAGTTTGTTACTGAACAAAGCCACCAACGCCCCGTCAACAACCACTCGAACCCGGAACGGACGTCCTTTGTCCCACAGCAAGCCGCTACGTCCACACGACCCCAATCGCGGGCGGCAAATTCCTACGAATGCCTACATCGATGAGCGCCGATTCAAGAAGCGACCAGCTGCACGTCCTGTCCACGCTCGCCCCTTGCATTATCGTCTGCAGCATATGGACGAAGATGAGGACGAAGACGAGTCCGACGACGAACGTAGAACTCCAATGACGCGCGACACGGAAGAACAAGAGAGCAGGCCCCTCAGTCGAGCAAGCCGTAATTCAACACCGTTCAGCGTGTCAGAGTCCATTGACTTGCCGACGCCTGCTCCTAAAAAGAGAAAGCTGGTTCACAAAGAGAGGGAGACAATTCCAGAAGAAGAGCAGGAAATCTTTGCACCACATCACAAGGAGCTCCTCGGGGACCTCATACAGAAGATTCCCGAACGTATGGCCACGCGCGAACTCGAGCTGGTTGTCAGCACCCTACCCAGAGATTCCAAGTTCCAAGAACGCGCACGAACAGAGCTCCACCTTAGACAACGCGCTAAGTACGATAGCGAAGAGACGCCCATTCCGAACATGGCATCCACCAAAACAGACCATGCAGCCTCTGGCGACAGAGATGTGGCTCAGTCCGGAGATCTGTCTGTCAAATCCACCAAGAAGGACACCAAACGTAAGCGACCAAAGTCCAAGAAGCAAATATTCGAGGAGCGCGAAGCAGAACGGGCTGCGGCAAGGGCTGTTGATGACACTCTAGTCCTGGAGGACGGCAGTCAAACCGATGAGAGAGACATCAACGCTGATGCCGATGCTGACATTGATATGGCCGAACCTGTCATCGAAGGAGACGAAGAGGAAGATAGACCACAGGTCGAGTGGGCAGTGTCCACCGGTGAACCACGCAAGACCGTCGAAGACGATGATGATGTGTTCTTGGATATTGACGGATGGAAGCACATGGTCAAGGATGAAGAAGACATGCGATACCTTCATCAAGCTCTACAAGACGTGTCCCCTGCAGAGATTGGTGACGTTACGCTTTGGGCATGGAAGCAGAAAGAGATTAAGACACTCAACTCTCGTGGACCAACTGCCGAAGCGAGGATCCAGGGATACTACGTGCCGAATCTCTCGGGCTGTGCTCGCACCGAGGGTGTCAAGAAGATTTTCGAGTCCGAAAAGTCCAAATACCTACCTCATCGCATTCGTGTACAAAAGGAACGCGAGGCTCGCGAAGCACAAGCTTTGGAGAACCCTAATGCTGTCGCCGCTGCTGAAGCGGCCGCTGAAGCCGCAAGGGCAGCCGCAATCGCCAAAACCGCATCTGTCGCTACATCCCGCAGCAATCGTGCTAACAACCGACGCCTGGTCAACGACATCAACTTGCAGAAGCAGAACCTCACTACCACCGGTGGTGAAGCCGATGCTATCAAATTCAATGCGCTCAAGAAGAGAAAGAAGCATGTCAAATTCGACAGATCGGCTATTCACGGCTGGGGTCTGTATGCCATGGAGAATATCGCTTCCAACGACCTCATCATTGAGTACGTCGGCGAGAAAGTGCGCCAAAAGGTGGCCGACCTTCGCGAGATCAAGTACGACAAGCAAGGCATTGGAAGCAGTTACCTTTTCCGCATGGCTGACGACGAGATCATCGACGCGACGAAAAAGGGTGGCATTGCCCGTTTCATCAACCACAGCTGTACACCCAACTGTACGGCCAAGATCATCAAGGTCGACGGCACCAGAAGAATTGTCATCTATGCGCTCAAGGACATTGCCAAGAGTAAGTTCAAAAACCCTTGTCGATCTAAACACGTTACTAACCTGTCTGCAGACGACGAGCTCACATATGACTATAAGTTCGAGCGTGAATACGGCAGCGACGACCGCATCCCCTGCCTTTGCGGTTCCGTGGGATGTAAGGGTTTCCTTAACTAAGGACTGGAAAAAGCTCTGTTGTATATTACGCGAAGGAAGAAGAGCATGCATAATAACTGGCGTACCGGGAAGGGACTACCAAAAACGGAGGATGGCGATTCTTTTCTTCAGGGTTTGCATGGAATGTGGTTTCCCAGACGTCTTTGTACTGTACGATACCTTGATAAAAAGACGTTCTCGGACTGTCCTGGCTGGTTTGAGCAGGGCAGGGAGGACGAAGTTGCGTTTGCACTGCCAGAATACAGTCACAACCTTACGATCGAGCTCTCTTCTCCACTAACTCACTGTGTTGTTATAAGCTATAAAGATGCACGGGTTCTTTCTAAACAGAGGCAGCAATTTGGCAACCTTGATGGAGACGTGCTTGACAGTGTGACGTAAATCGGATTGATAGAATCCCTCGGTCAAAGAAGGACATGATTCAGTGGTGGTGTTTAGCTGGGTATGCGGCAAGATAGTGGATGCGATAAGGCTTTTGTACGCGCAACGCGATTGCGGGCCTCTCAGGCTAGGAGCGAAGATGTTGATCGTGCTTACCAAGTTTTTGTATATTTCTGTTTCCAAGTCGGGAGTTGAGCGGGCTCGGCAGGTGGCTTTCGCGGAGACCTCTTGGCATCTAGGGTGCTCAATCGAAACGTGTACGTATTCGATATCAAGGAAACTTCTGGACTTTTGGCTCAGAGTACAATAAGGCTGGGAAGGGACGTGGAAGTTACATCTTCTTTTTCTCGACCGACTTTGCACTGTTCCAGATCTGCCAACATGGACAACGCCTACGTGCAGTCACCATCGGCGGTGCTGAAGCACTTTGATGTGCAGGAAGCCTCAGGTCTCGACAAGTCTTCTGTAACGGCCTCAAGACAGAAGCATGGTCGCAATGGTATGTTTTGATGACACCTTTCTATAACCGCTCTGTACGTGTACTGATTCTGTTCTCANGCTCTTCCCGAAGACCCGCCAACACCGCTCTGGGAACTTATTCTTGAACAGTTCAAGGACCAGCTGGTCATCATCCTCCTTGCCTCGGCCGCCGTATCCTTTGTTCTCGCTCTGTTCGAGGACAGCGACGACTGGACTGTCTTCGTCGATCCTATTGTGGTATGTGCTGTATCGCGCCCGTACGCTCAAAACAGCATCTGACCCTTGCCCGTTAGNATCCTCACCATCCTCATCCTCAACGCCGTCGTCGGTGTGTCGCAAGAATCGTCGGCCGAAAAGGCAATCGCTGCACTTCAAGAGTACTCTGCCAACGAGGCCAAGGTCGTTCGCAATGGCAAGGTTCAGCGCATCAAGGCAGACGAGTTGGTTCCTGGAGACATTGTCAAGGTGGCCGTGGGTGACCGCGTTCCTGCCGACTGCAGAGTCTTGTCTATCCACAGCAACAGCTTCCGTATCGACCAGAGTATTCTTACTGGAGAGAGCGAGAGTGTCGGCAAGGACACGGACGCCATCAAGGATGCGAACGCCGTCAAGCAGGACCAGATCAACATGCTCTTCTCCGGCACAACTGTTGTCACAGGAAATGCCACTGCTGTCGTTGTCCTTACTGGATCCAACACTGCCATTGGCGACATCCACGAGAACATCACCTCCCAAATCTCGCAGCCTACCCCCCTTAAGGAAAAGCTCAACGACTTCGGAGACACTCTTGCCAAGGTCATTACTGTCATCTGTATTCTTGTCTGGCTCATCAACATCCCCCACTTCAACGACCCCGCCCATGGCTCTTTCACCAAGGGCGCCATCTACTACTTGAAGGTATGTGGCCATCGTCCCCAACTTCTCAGAAATTTTAACTAATCATGCATCCAGATTGCTGTATCGCTCGGTGTCGCTGCCATCCCCGAAGGTCTCGCTGTCGTCATTACCACCTGCCTCGCCCTGGGTACCCGCAAAATGGCCGCTAAGAACGCTGTGGTGCGCAGTCTTCCCTCAGTCGAGACTCTGGGTAGCTGCAGTGTCATTTGCTCAGACAAGACCGGAACTCTCACCACCAACCAGATGAGCGTGAACAAGGTCGTCTTCATCAACGAGCAAGCATCCGGTCTCGAAGAACTTAGTGTCGAAGGAACTAGCTTCGCTCCCGAGGGCGCAATCACCACTTCGGCCGGAAAGACCCTCGAGAACGCAGCCGCTTCGTCCTCAACCATTGCACAGATCGCCGAAGTTGCCGCTCTTTGTAACGACGCACGTCTTGCCTACGACAGCGAGAAGGGTGTCTACAACAATGTTGGTGAAGCCACCGAAGGTGCCCTCAGAGTCCTGGCCGAGAAGATCGGTACGAGAGACGCATCCGTCAACTCTGCAAGATCCACCCTCGCACCCGAAGAAAGAATTCACCATGCCAGCAAGCACTGGGAAACCAGCACTCCTCGCTTGGCTACCTACGAATTTGCTCGCGACAGAAAGAGCATGTCGGTCTTGGTCCAAGACGGCTCGTCCCAGCGTCTGCTTGTCAAGGGTGCCCCTGAATCCATCATCGCCAGATGTAGATACGTCTTGGTCGGAACCAAGGGCACCAGAATGGCTCTCACCGATAACGTCTCTGCTCTTCTCTCGAAAGAAGTCGTCGACTATGGTAACCGTGGACTCCGCATCATGGCTCTTGCCAGTGTCGACAACATCAGCTCTCCTCTGTTGAAGCAGGCCAAGACTAGCCCCGAATACGCCCAACTCGAACAAAACATGACTCTGATCGGTCTCGTTGGTATGCTCGACCCTCCCCGTCCCGAGGTGGCCGATAGCATCCGCAAATGCCGTGAGGCTGGTATTCGCGTTGTTGTCATCACTGGTGACAACCAGAACACTGCCGAGACCATCTGTCGCCAGATTGGTGTCTTTGGCACTGACGAAGACCTGACTGGCAAGAGTTTCACTGGTCGCCAGTTTGATGACCTCAGCGATGCCGATAAGCTCAAGGCTGCAAAGAACGCTTCTCTTTTCTCCCGTACTGAACCCACCCACAAGTCCAAGTTGGTCGACCTTCTTCAATCTGCTGGCGAGGTTGTCGCCATGACTGGTGACGGTGTCAACGACGCTCCTGCCCTGAAGAAGGCCGATATTGGTGTGGCTATGGGTAGTGGTACCGATGTTGCCAAGCTCGCTGCAGACATGGTCCTTGCCGACGACAACTTTGCAACCATCGAGGCCGCTGTCGAGGAGGGCAGAAGCATCTACAACAACACTCAACAGTTCATCCGCTACCTGATCTCGTCCAACATTGGCGAGGTCGTGTCTATTTTCTTGACTGCCGCTATGGGTATGCCCGAGGCTCTGATTCCCGTCCAGCTGCTTTGGGTCAACTTGGTTACCGATGGTCTTCCTGCTACTGCGCTCTCGTTCAACCCTGCTGACCATGATATCATGAAGCGTCTTCCTCGCAAGCGTGATGAAGCTCTTATTGGCGGCTGGCTATTCTTCAGATACATGGTTATTGGCACATATGTTGGTATTGCAACTGTTGGAGGTTACGCATGGTACTTCATGTTTAGCGAGGCTGGACCCAAGGTCAGCTTCCACGCACTGGTAAGTTCCCTTGATCGGTTTGGTATGAATGACTGGATGCTAACTTTGGACAGNACTCACTTCCACTCTTGCAGCATCTTCGAGCACCCGATCGACTGCTTGATGTTTACCGACTACAGAGCCAAGACAGCATCGACCATCTCTTTGTCCATCTTGGTGGTTATCGAGATGCTCAACGCCATGAACGCCCTGTCTTCGTCGGAGAGTTTGTTGACTCTTCCCCTCTGGAAGAACATGATGCTCGTATACGCCATCTGTTTGAGTATGGCTTTGCACTTTGCTCTGCTCTACATTCCCTTCCTGCAGGGTATCTTTGGTATCGTGCCTCTGGGTGTGGAGGAGTGGAAGCTGGTGTTTGCATGGAGTGCACCCATCATCTTGATTGATGAGGGACTCAAGTTCCTCGAGCGCGCATTTGTCATGGAGAAGCCGGGCAAGCACATCAAGCCCAAGGCCGAGTAGATGGTGGAAGACTCGTTGTTAGCATTAGAAGAATCTTCTCTGGAAACTAGAGCGTATAGATAGACGCAAAATCGGACGCGATTCACTTGAACCTGTCTTTTGGGATTGCCAGAGAAGTGGAATGCATAAAAGGATGGCGAAATGCATAAAATAGATTGTGCACGGACAAGGACGATCGATAAGAGAGCATAACTGTGCCAAGCGACGAATTTCAACGCGAGCGATTGACGATGAGCATTTGCGTGAGGGCAGACGTAACCACAGACACAACCATGGCCAACACACTTTTGATCGAAGGCTCATTCGACGAGTTGAGCGAGGAGCTCGCCGTCTACATTGACGGACTCAGCCAGTCGTCGGTGCAGTCAGAGGTTGCGCCGCTGCTGAAGGAGGGCAACAAGGTCGATGCGCTCAAGAAGATTGTCACGGCCAGCAGTGCCCTGAACAGCGCCCCCGAGAGAGGTGAGTTTGCTCTTTTCCTCTGTCGAAACCAGCTCAGTTCTAACCCTCCCGTGCCAGAATTCGTCGCCGCATACAACCTCCTCGTGCACCTGGTACACCAGTCCGGAAGCCCCGACATTTTCCTGCCCAAACTGTGCCAGAACGTGTCTGCACCCATCACCTCGTCGCCGCACAACGGCACCGGCCTCGCCCTCAACGTCCTCTCCACAATCTTCAACACTCTCTCGCCCGAGCAAGAGAGCCGGTACCATGTTCTGCTGGCCATCCTCAAGATTGTGCGCAACAACAGCACTTTCGACCAGTTGACNCCCCAACTCGCCCAGCTCGAGTCATGGCTGCAGGCCTGGGACATGGACGCCGCCGACCAGCGCAAGCTGTACCTCGCCGTCAGCGACGTGGCCACCGAAGCCAGCGAGGACGAACAAGCATACCAATACCTGCTCAAGGCCCTGCGCACCATCCAGTCGCAAGCAGACGCCGCCTCGGACGACGCAAAGGCCCTCTCCGTGCGCGCACTCAAGCAAGCCCTCGTCTCGCCCTCGCACTTTGACTTCCACGACTTGACCCAACTCGACTCGGTCCAGGCCCTGCGCTCCGCCGAGCCCGTCTGGTTCGAACTGCTCGAAATCTTCAACGCCCAGCAACTCGACGACTTCCGCGACTTCAACGAGGCAAACCCCGATTTCTTGACCAAGGCCGAACTCGACACGGCCGCTCTGGAACGCAAGATGCGTCTGCTCACTCTCGCCAGCATCGCGGCCTCGGCATCCCAATCCCGCACCCTGCCCTACTCGCACATCACAAAGGCCCTCCAGATCCCCGCCCAAGACGTCGAAATGTGGGCCATCGACGCCGTCCGCGTCGGCCTCGTCGAAGGCAAGCTCTCCCAGCAGGACCAGACTTTCCTCGTCCACCGCACCACCTACCGCGTCTTTGGCGAGAACCAGTGGCGCGAGGTCGCTTCCCGTCTCGACATGTGGCGTTCCTCTCTACAGGGCGTCCTCCGCGTCGTCCGCCAGGAAAAGGAAAACTACATTCGCGATCGCGAGGCCGAGCTCCGCGATGCCGACAACCGTGACAAGGGCAATGGCTACAGGCCCAACAAGCAGTACAGAAACGCCGTCGAGGTCGAGTAAACAGAGAGAGGGAACAGAAAGCCGTTAATCAAAAAAACGAAAATTCCATTCTCGCGCGTCCGTGTTTTGTTCTATATCATGAGGTCACAAAAATGGGATTCCTGTTCTTCTTTTTTTTTGACTGTGGTGCTTCTTCTACGTAAACGTGCTGAGATTTGAGGATAGCCTCGAATTGACATTGATTTCTCTTCGTTTTCGTGATTGCATGACAAGCAAGGTAATCATATCTATGTATACATAAAGGGGCGACTACACTTCGCAAACACTATCATTGATTCATGTCCTGTGGGCAAATACGCGCCTGCAAGTCATACTCCATGTAACCCTAGCAAGAACATCTCAAGCAACAATCCTCCTCAATCATCACAATTATCCCATCTACAATGCAGTAATGGTTCTTCTCAACACCTCGAGACCACGCTCACCAATGCCCTCTTCACCTTCAGGGACCTCACTGTCAGCCGTCTTTAGCATCCATGCAATATCGCTGAGCAGTCCAAGAGGCAGTTCCCCTTCCTTGCGCTCCTCGGCACGTACTTGCAGACGACCCGTGTACTCCCATTCCTTTGCCGCGTCTTCTGCGCGCTGGATGACTGCGTCTGGGATACCACACATAGCTGCACAGTGCATACCGAAACTGCCTTCAGCCACACCGGGCTCGAGCTTGTACAAGAAGGTAATGCGGCGTTCGGTATCGTCCACCATGATAGCCATGCGCTTGGGTGAGATTTCGGGGTGTGAGCTGAACTCTGCCGCGAGCGAGTGATAGTGGGTAGCAAAGAAACCAATACAGCCGGTGTGCGTAGCGACATGGTGAAGAACTGCTTGTGCAACGGCGACACCATCGTGACTGCTCGTACCACGACCAAGCTCATCGAGAATGACCAGCGAACGAGGTGTGGCTTCAGACAAGATCTTCTTCGTCTCGCTCAGCTCCACCATGAACGTACTTTGTCCAGCCAGAATGTTGTCGTGAGCTCCCAGACGAGACATGATACGATCAACAGGAGTCATGCGTGCTGCGACACAAGGTACAAAACAGCCGACTTGAGCCAGAATGACAGCAATACAAGCCATGCGCAGGACAGTACTCTTACCGGCTGCGTTGGCACCGGTCAAGAGATCGATGCTAGGGTTATCGCCACCAAGAGCAATGTCGTTGGGGATGAAGTCCGAGACTGTGTTGAGCATGCACGGATGACGAAGGTCGGAAAATTCGAGCACACTACGCTCAGAGTCGACGAACTCGGGCCTGCAGCTTGGTTCTCCGAGCGAGGCAGATGCTCTGGACAGAGATATAAGACAGTCCAGATGGGCAACGATCTTCACTGCAGCAAGCCAGATGGCATAGTCCTGGTCGAAGCGAGCGTAGAATCTACCTGCAACTTGCTTGACGATCTGTCCGTGGGTTTCTTGCGCCTCTTTCAAATCTTGAATCAAGCTTTCCAGCTCAGCGAAGTAGTAACGCTTTGCTTTGGCTGTCGAGGACATCTGCTTCCAGTTCTTGGGGATATTCTTGGTCTTGACCGGAACTTCGATCTGGTAGATTTCCTTGCCGTTGTCAGTGTACTTGGCAGCAGAAGTGCCCAGCTCATCACGACAACGCTTGAGTAAAGACTGTAGTTGGCCTTCAATCTCCTCAATCGTTTTTTGGCTCTCGTCAAAGTCTTCTTCAATGCCCAGCTTGGGCACAAGCAGGTTCTGGTCTTTCGCTTGTTCACGATCGAAAGCATCAGTCCAATGAGCCAACGCTCCGGCAAGATCAGGCATCGATGATATGAGTTGTCCGAGAACACCTTCGCCCTCGCCGAAGCTTGAGAGCAGACTCATCGTGTACTCGATCTGTTCAAAGCCTTCCAGAACCTTGACGAAATCTGTAGCCTTGCATCTGCCTGCGTGGATGCGAGAAATGAGACGTTCAAGATCAGGGATTTTGGACAGAGATGCTGTGAAGCGGTCGGTAATCGTGAGATCGGCATTGAGTGCCTCTACAGCGTCAAGTCTTGCGTTGATCTTTGCAGCATCTGCCAGTGGGTGGCAGACCCATTGGCGTAGCATACGCTTACCAAAAGGTGTGATGCAGCGATTTAACATAGCGAAGAGTGTGCCCTCGGTGCCACCATCGTAACTATTTGCGAAAANTCTGTCTCGAGGTTAGTGAAGTCATTGACCAACAAACTGGATTGGACTTGCCTCAAGGTTGATCAAACTTTGTCCATCGAGTACAAGACTGGATGCCTTTCTTATCGGGTCGTACCAGTTGAAGTTGCCAAGCGATATCAGATCACGCTCAATTTTGAGCGTCTGAAGGTACCAAATCAAAGCGCCGAGAGCAGAGAAGCAAAGCTCTTTCTCCCTAGCTTCTCGGAGCAAAGCAGGCCAAGTATCATCGTTCTCGTTATCGTCAGACTTGAAGTAGTGCTCGCCGGTGATTTTGAGTGCAGTCTTGTCGGCGGTCAAAAACTCCTTTTCCGGCTTGAGGTAGTTCCAGAGACACGTGGGGCTGGTGTTGTTCTTCAGAATACGTACAGCTTTGGATGAGATGCATGACTTCTCGAGCAGCAGTTCGCCAGGCCTCGTCTGAGCGACAAATGTTTCAAACTTGGTCATGTCGACATCATCGACAAAGTCACAGAGCTGGAATTGAGCTGTTGCAGTATCGACGAAAGCGATACCGAAGGAAGGTAGCCCATCTACTTCGCGCTCTGTAATAGCAGCACAGTAGGTCGACATGTCGTCCTGCAGCATGCCACCATCGACGAGAGTACCAGAGGTCAAGACGGAGGCCAGCTCGCGACGAATGACTTTCTCTTCCTTCTTTGGCTTACCCCCCTTGCCGGTCTTTTCATCTCTCTCACGCATGTCTTTGCCAAGAGCGGTTTCCATCTGGTCGACTCTGGCAATTTTGAAACCTTTGGCAACGAATTGATTGGCCCAGTGGTCGAGCGAGGCTTCTGGAACACCGACCATGCGCATGTTGACACGGTCAGTCATCTTCAGATCGAACAGCTGATGACCAATAGTGGCATCATTCTCATACAGTTCGTAGAACTTGCCCTTCTTGAAGAAGACGATCGTGTCCCAAAACTTTGACTTGATCTCCCAGTACTGCTTTTCGAAAGGAGAGAACTTGCTCCATGCCAAGGGAGGGATGAAGAGAGTGCGTGGGTCGTAGTCTGGATTACCGGGCTTGTTGCGGTCCGCATCCATTATATCGGCCAACCAAGGGTAGCGAGCATCAGGCTCTGACATGTGAGCTTTCTGCTTCTTGGGAGGGCCAGTTTGTGGTTTGCGTTGAGGCGTCTTCCTGGAGGCGTATGGCTGGATGGTGTCCGGATCGAAGTTCCATTGCTGAGCTGTCGAGGTAGATGGCATCTCCGGACTCTGACTTGGTTCGTCTTCTGCAATGGGAGAAGGCTGTTTGAAAGGCTTCCGCGTCTGGCTAGACTTCTTAGGTTTGACAGGAGCGTCGTCTTCCGAGGCATCATCATCGACAACAAAGTCTTGCATGTCGGCATCGTCAGCGGCAGCCATCAGTGCCTCGGTAGCATCGTCCATGGCAAACTCCTCGTCTGATTCGTCGGCCAACTTCCTTCTCTTGGTAGAGCGTCCCGTTGCGTTGTTGGAGCGTTGGCGAAGGACAGGCTCGTCATCCTCGTCGTCGGACTCGGCGTAGTTGACTTTATTTTTGCCATTGCGGACAGGACTCGAGGAGAGAAGTGATGGCTTCACTAGCGGTTCTGCTGGTAGACGTGAATGTTAGCGGCTGGGCAGGCTGATGGGCTTGTGGCATAGCACACCATTCTCTTTACCATTAAAATTGGCAGGAACAGGCGAGGATTGCGGTGGAGGGCTTGAAACAGCTGCAGTATCGTTTGGTGCAGCAGGTGATGAAGCAGGCGCCGTCTTCCGCTGGAAGAAGCCCAAGATGCTCTTTTGCTGCTTTGCTGATTGTGATGCCGACGAGGCCGATTTCTGGAGTTTGGGCACACGGGGCGTAGCAATCTCGTTGCCTTCAATTCCTCTAGCCATTGTGGGTTCGTGGAAGAGCTGGTGTTATACAGACAACGATGGGGGATCCAGAAGTGATAGGGTCTCGCCTTCAAACGCGTGGGACGCGTTTCAATTTGGCACGTCCAGAAGTGGCAGGTGTTATCGATAAGCTTTGACTTTCGTGACCTCCCATCGCTCTTTTCCCACCGTGCATACCACGAGCCTCTTGCACTCCAATCATCCCAGCAAATTTCCACACTGGCCATGGACATTCACGATCCATGAAAGAATCAGAGAGTACAGAGCTTTGGTCTGCATCCGACTATGTCTTCCTGTATTTCATTCACCGCTCCGTTCCGTCATACGAGGACGGCAGCAATGGTAGACGATAGCACATGAGAGGCGCAGAGCAGGGCTGTTGATGGTCCTCATCCTCCTCGTGTGCTAGAGTCTACAACGCATGTAAGATCAGGTACCTATAGAAATGCACAATGTTTTCAACAAACAGAGCTTTGTGAGAGCGAGAAAGGGAAAGCGACAGACCTATAATCTTGTGCTGTCGATGGCGCTTGCCTTGGCTGATGAACATGGACTCGTGAGTGCAGTCCGCTCATTTGGCATCAGCACTTTCTGTTTCTCTACATGTTCCTAGAAAGCGCTTTCTCTGGGCCCTTCCTGACAAGCTCACGTCGCGTTCCGTCTTCAATCTTTATGTTGTGGTCCTATATTCCTGCGACTGCCTTTTCCACCTTGTGTTCTCGTTCGAATCGACAACGCTTGCTGGTAGGTAAGACGAGGTTCCACCCTGCTAGCCTGACCCATTCGACATGGCTCAAGTCAAGATACTGAAGCGATCCCAAAACGCGGTCCAATGTTCCAGCTGCAAACAGCGCTATGACACGATTGACTTGTTGGACCAACACCTGGAAACATCATCGACGGGACGTCGTATCTGTCCCAGGACCAAGGCGCCGGCTTTGATCGTTTGTATCGGCTGCGAACGCGACTTTCCCAGTGTTCAAGAACTTGGATCCCATGTCCGAAACTCTTTCTTACACAACCCAGAGCTCTCTCAACCCACTGGTCGAGCTGTTTATGTTGGTCGACTTCCTGCCAACGTCAGAGAGCAAGACATTGTCAACACACTATTCAAGGGCTTTATTGTGTGGGTGACCTCAAACACGCTCTCTGTCTGCATGAACAAACAATACTGACTGCACACGATAGTNGAAACTACATCTATGCGCACCCATTGTCCGCACTCGGACAACTTCACTTTCATCGCTTTGACCACAGCCGCGGAAGCCAACCGTGCTGTCAAGGAACTTCACAATAAGCGCTTGTTCAATCAGAAAGTCATCGTTTCACTGCAGCGCTCTAACGAAGGCTCGGCAACTCAAATGACTGGTCGCAAAGCCCGCTCGCGTATCATCAGCATGGCTCCCGGCAGCTCGCCTTCTACCAAGCCTTCTACCATGAGCTCTGGCAAAGAGAACATGGAAGCGCAGATGCCTGCCAGCATACAGATCCTCCAGGGTTGGTCTGTGTATGCACAGTCTACCCCTCCGCCATTCGATCCTCGAAGACCTACATCCTTCGATACCCAGACGCCGAACCCGCCCATCGTCTACAATCAGCAATACCCGACTCTGCCTTATCATTCACCGCCTCCCATAAACTATGGACGCTTTGATCCCACCGCTCCAGTCTATCCTGCTCCTGCCAACCATAACCTGGCTTATCAATTCCCACCTGTCCTGGTCCCTAGTGCCGCGCTCCCCATGTTGCAGCAACCGCCACGGACTGCTTCAGAACAGCGTCCACGTCGCAACCGTGAGCGACGTAAGCAGTTTCCACCTCCGCACGATGGACCATCAGACTCTCCAGATGATGTGTCGCTTCCCGCAAGCACCAAGCCCGGAGTAGATGACAGTTACGACTCTGTCATCCATGTATCTACGTGTTCTTCCGCTTCTGCACCATCTGTATCTCCGAGCTCTAACTCACAGTACTGCGATAACAAGACCTGGCCTTTACTTATTTCTTCCGATCCTGTCCCAGAAGCCAGAGCTTGGACATCGTTCCGTGACGACCAGATCGATGCCGCGTATAACACTCTCGAAAGACACTGCCATGGCGCTGAATCTTTGATCTCGACTGGCTTCAACATCAAGAAACCTATCACGCCGCCGCTCGCCGATCTTAGAGCTAAGGTTAAGTGCAAGTCTTGTCGCACTTCTCGTCAACGTCTCGATCGTTTGATCGCAGAAGAGGATGTGAAGGGTTGTTCAGTCGCTAGAGACGGCATGCACAGTTTCGGTGGCATCTCTCATCTGAGGTCACGCTACGAAGACTTCGAGCACCCACCTGCAGTCTCTCAATCCTCACTCACCAGCAAACGTCGCGCCATTGCCCTTGACTGTGAGATGGCTGGAGGTAAAAGCGGTGATGGTCTAGTTGATCAATTGATCCAACTAACTGCTGTTGATTACCTCAGCGGTGAGGTACTGATCTCGACTCTGGTTAAGCCCACTTTGAACATCCGCCAGTGGCGTACCGAAATCCATGGCGTGAGTCACAACATGATCATGCAGGCTGATCGTGAAGGCACCGCTTTGAGAGATGTGTTTCACGCTCGCAAAGTCTTGTTTTCGCACATGGACAGAAATACCATTCTAGTTGGCCATGCCCTGCATCACGACCTGAATGTCCTCAAGATTGCTCACAACCGTTGTGTGGACTCGGAATTGTTGGCCAAGGCTGCCATCGACAGATGTGGTCGCAGCAGTGGTACGAGTCTGAAGAAGCTTTGCGAATGTCTGATGGGCTTGAGTGTGCAAGTAATGGCGAATCACTCCTGTCTCGAAGACTCATTTGCGGCTAGAGAAGCCGTCATCTACATAACCTCGCATCCTCAGGAGCTGGCTATATGGGCGAAAGCTAAGCAGCAAGCGATTGACGAAGAAACGGCCATGAGAGTGGCTGCTAAACAGGCAAAAGAGGAAGCCAGAGAACAAGTTGCTGCCGCCGAAGCTAAAGAGAAGGCTGCTGCGGCTGACGATAAGGGGATTCAACCTATTCTCACTATAGCCATGCCGGCATTGGTCCCTACTCCCGCCAACGAGATTCCTGATGAGTTGCAAATGAACAGGGGTCCTTCTGCTGGCAAGAAGCGTAAGGGAGGCGCATGGAAGGCGCTCAATTCTAAGGACGACTGAATGTGGAAATAGAACTAAAGAACATGCAAAAGGAAATGCTGCAAATGTAGTTCAGCCCTGAGCCAGTAGCCATAGTGTATGTCTGAGCTCCATACAAAGTATGAAATCGATTGCTTTCACTCGACTCTAACTTCAACTTCATCTTGACCCGTCTTTCATGCTGAGAGTATGACCCTGTGCTCAACTTCTGGATACCTTTGCGCAGACGAGGATCATGTAAACATTACATCTAACCTTTTTCCGATACTCACAATACATCTTCATATATCATCCCTGGAAGATTGCGTGTTTGGACTTCGTCTCGTGTCAAAATCCAAGCAGTATCGAAAGCCAAAGTAAACACAGTGAGTTGCCCTCATTAAGACATGGAGAACTATCCCACAACCTATGAACACCACATCAATCAAGAGACCTTGCCAAGTCTACGTCAAGCACTATTCGGGCAACAAGAAAAAGACAGAAATTGTCAGCCTTGACTAGTTGATGGAAACAAATTGGAGAAAAGGTGGACAAGAAGTTGAAAAAATGAAAAATAAATGATGAAAAATAGAAGGTGGAGAGGAGAATAGGAGCAAAAGAGCGTCACAAGGCATTGCAAAGATAAGGAGTGTGACGAGCAGCTAAAGAGAGGTGCAAGTAGGAAGCATATTGCATTCTTGTATATCCTACTGTTTGATTCGATACGAGTAGTGCAAAAAAACAAGAGATGAAAATCAAGAAGAAACACCAGACCCTCCAAACACCCAATGCGAAGAAAGTGCAAAAGCAGGCAACCCGCCAAACCAAGACCATGTAAAACAAAAAGTCAGCCGTACTTGGAAGAACAGCAATAGAGATAGGGATAGGAATATAGCCATGTTCTAGCTGACAACAGGAGCATATCAGGCAAGCCTATGGTGCTCGTGGTCCTCGCTTCCAACATCACTGCCTACATCAGTCCAGCTGCCTGGTGTCAAGACACCGTCTGGCTCGCTCTCATCACCACTGTCCACGCTTTCCACCTCACCAAAGTCGATGAGACTCATCTCACTGGCTGCCACGCTGCCAGGAGCAGAGGCAAAGTCGTCGATGCTAGAGGAAGCGGAGGACANGGGAGATGGCATCACGCTCAAACTCGGGAGATGAGAAGGTGGCGGTAGTGGGTGTGTGCGCGGGAAGTGGTGTTTGTGGTTGTGGTTGTTGTTGGGGAGAAGAGACGGCGGCGGCTTCGTGGACAGGGTCGTAAGCTGGGATGACGATAGGTCCGGGAATTGTTACTGGGACGATAGCACGGGGCTNNGGACCCTTGGTGAGACGGTGTAGAGTTCCTCGTCAGTGTACTCATAAGTGGGTACGGAGACGGGAGGGTCGGGTGTGAGGTTGATGAGCTCGTCGTTCTGCTTCTCCTCTCGCATCTCCTTTAGTCTCATCTTCTCGTAATCGACCAGACTGGCAGCGACAGCATCAGCAAAGTCCATGTCGCGTTGCTCTTGCTCCAAAGCGCGAGCTTTGCGGGCAGCCTCTTCACTCTCAGCCAGACTGATTGACATGGCGCGGACCAGTTGTTCTTCGTAGCTGAGATCGGCAGATATGTCTTCTCCTCCATCGAAGACCGGAGTTTCCCTGACCGAGGGCTCTTTCTGTGCGACGGACAGTCTACGAAGTATGCTGGTATTTTCGATGGCAATCTTGGGGGGTACGGGAGGCTTTGGTGTCGGTGAGCGCGAATCTAGTGTACCCGAGAGTTCGAACTCGTCACCGAAGGGATTTGCGTAGCGGGAGCCAGCACTGAAGGCTGAAGCGGTCTCTTGAATAGGTATGCTTCGGAGAGACTTTGGCTCATCCGTTGGCACCGAGGGGAGCTCCAAGGTCTTCTCGTTGAACTCTTCATCCTCTTGTGTGTTCTTCTCGTCTGACTTCAAAGACCCGTCGACATTTACGAGCTGATCGAATGTCGGTGAAGGGGGTGCTTTTTCCGACAGCCACGACGTGCTCCTCCTCATCTTCTGCTTCTCCTTCAGGTCCAGCATTTCTTGGTTTCGTTTGGCCAGATACTCTCTGCCCAGCCGTCTTCTCTCCTCGGCTTCATCAGGACTCTGCGGCGTATGGCTTGTCCTGTTTCGTCTGCTGATCGAGTCGTCCGTCGTCTCTCTTCCAGTAGCCCTAGCGAGAGCATTCGCTGTTCCTGCAGCTTCTTCGCGATTTTGGGTAGGTAAACGTCCCTCGTAGGCAAATGCTTCTGCCTCTCGTCGTGATTGCGGGTCGAGCTGGTCTCCAAAGGTGCCGAGAAACTCGGCTATCTTGCGTCGTTGGTCTTCTATCCATTCCTTAACTTGGGGATTCTCATATACTGCAATTCCGACAGCGGCAAGTATGGAGAGAGAAATCAAGATTCCTGTGAGTCTTGTCAGATGGGTCGCATGACATGAGCGTTGCTGACGGAAGCATAGTGCAATCACGAAGATGCTGTATCGAACAAGCACAAACAGTCGAGAAGGATGACAAGATAGCTGTAATGAAGGAAAAGCACAAAAGAAATGACACAACGAAAACACATAATAGAAATCACATACCCTTGGCCAGTGGTGCAGGCATGATGGGCGATGTGTGGTCGAGGTGGCGAGACACGACCGACTCGAGTCCTGCCTAAGAAATTACGGAACTCACAAAACCCACAAAACCGAGCCCCTAAAACAAAGGACGACACAAAATCACAGGGTTGGTATCCAAAAGTCGAAGAGAGTGGGATGAGAAGAAGGTGTCCATGGCAAATAGGCAGCTACATAGGTGACGAGTCAAGCTGTGTGCCACAGTTTCGGCTGGATGCGGGGAGGCAAACTCAAAGTACTCGGTCCATGCGATTTCAATGTGGCTGTGCATAACATCTATTTGAGTCCATTCGAGTCCAAGAAATCTATTGTAAATCGCATTTCATGTCTGAAGATGGCAGAAATAACGCTATGAGATAACACAAGGCTAAAGATTGCTGCCATGTGACATCACTAGGGTGAATGATCCTCGTACAGCTTCCTTTGTGCCTTCTTCTCCTGTGTGTCGCAGCGCACACACCACATACTCCAGGCAATGCCCATGATACTGGCGACAAGGGTGATGGTATACGCTTGAGAGTAGCAAGACTTTCCATCATTGCAAATGCGATGATGACCGTCCGCTGAGCCCGAGTGGCTATCAAGAATGGCGCCGTACGCTGTGTTGAAGATGTTGCCCGAGATGACTGGCGACATCGTCATAGCACCCCAGTTGATGCCGAGTCCTGTAGCGCCAAAAGCATCGGCAACAAGAGCCGGGAACACGCCGAACAAGGCACCGTATCCAAGTCCGGTAACACTTGACAATAGGTACAAGTGAGTGGGGTTCTCGATCGTGAGTCCAAAGACTTGGGCAATGGTGAATATCAGAGACGAGGCGACGAGTGACCAGTAACGTGACGAGTGGAGGCGTTTGACCACGAAGTCCGATCCAATGCCGGAAGATAGTCTGCCAACGAAGGAACCGATCGAGAGGATACCAACATGCATTAATTGACGAGACTGGATGAAGTCGTGACTTGCATTCTCGTCATAGTGGTGCCAGAGAGTCTTGGNCCTAGAGAACTTGTCAGTGTTTGATCTATTTAATTCAGTCAAAGCCTTTCTCACGTTGTTTCCAATGTTGCTAAGAAGATGTCAGCTATGTTATACAAGGTCAAGGCAGAGAGACACATACTTGATAGTCATTAGACCAACACCACATAACAGGCCGAGTAGAACGAACAAATTCCAAAATGAGGGGCTCTTTGCGAGCGCCCATCCTGTAATATCTTNTTTGTGTGAGCCTTGGTTTTGGGATGTCTGAGCCTCATCCGCAGAGGGTTCCTCTGCCCGGGAAACAAGCGGTGAAGTCTCATCTGATGAGGCATTTTGTGNTGCCTGGAGAGATGAGCTTGGTGTCGTCTCACGGTATTGCGCGAGATAAAGCAGGCAAGGAAGGAGCTAGAAGAAGAGGAGAAGAGAAAATGAGAACTTACTAGGTTCACCCGGGACGCTTGATCTGCTTCCATCTCTGCTGTGACGTGCTGACTGAAGGTCGTGCGAGTTTTTCCTAATGCGTGGAGGTCGACTCTCGTCCTCAGTAGGTACAGCTTGATAAGGAGAAGACGGAGGCAGCAATCTCATGAAGAAGCTCCCCACGAATACCATGACAAAAGTACCGATGGCCAGCATCAGTAGGTAGTCCCCGGTATCATTGGGGAAGGCAAAACTGCCAATCAGAGTAAAGACGAATGCACTCAGACCGAAGCCACTCAAGGGGAAAGCGGTGGCAGTCCCTCTGTGATGAGGCCAGTTCGTTGCGGAGACCTTGATGGAACCGGCAAAGGCACAGCAACTTCCCATGCCGGTCAGAAAACCAAAGAAGCAGAGAGCCGGGAAGCTCATAGATCCGGGACCTTTCTGATAGGCCGAGTAAAGGGGAAAGTAGCCGCATGCCAGCGAAAAGGCACCGATAAGGATAGCCCATCTAGGACCTTTTGTGTCGATCAAGATGCCAAAAGGAATGCCCGAGGCGTACATGCCAATGTTTCCAGCGCTACCCTAGTATCTCTCAGTTGCAGCTCTTGCTATGACTCCAGGGCAGTTTCTCACGATCAGGTTGCTTTGTGTAGCGGATAGTTTCATGCGCTCGGCATATTGGGGAGCCCATGCTGAATATGCGTACTGGCGGACGGGTTAGGATGGGAGGAGAGGCTTCGAAGTCGCGTACTAACGTTTGTTCCACTATTGATAGTCAGATAAGAATACTCGTCAAGACGATGGTCCAAGGAGATGGTTGTAGTAGCAAACATACCAAGCGAGAGCTATACCGGTAGCAGCGATAACGGAGATGATGCGCGACTTGTAGTGCGCATTCTCGTCGCGATCTTGCATATCGTCGGCCGATGAGAAGTGTAGGGGAAGAACAATGCGATACTATCAAAGCATACGCCGAGGCCTGAGGGGGGAGATAACGGGGGTTCGGTGCAAGGGTCGAAGTTGGTCGCTGGGTCGATTGATGACCGGAGAAATGATGGACGAGACAGAAGAGACAGAGGAGTGGAAAGACGACGGACTCGAGATTGAGCACGACTTCAGGTCCTCAGGGATGGACGGAGGAGGCAGGCACGCCTATCTCAGGTCCCAAAGAGGAAAGAGCAAACTACGCGTCATGGCCGTGGCCGTGGGCGTGGGCGTGGCCGAGTGCCGAAACGGTTGCAAACCTCCCCCAGATGCAGCATTCAGGCACCATCGCAAAGACGACCCACTCTCCTCGAACACTCTACGGGCGAGCCTACTACTGCTCGCTAAACACATCTTCAACTCTGAAAGAGTCGCCATGGGAGCCCTTTTGTCACTGCCACTCTTGGCCATCCCCTCTGTGGGGTCGGTAAGACTCTAGAAAGTCGCGCCACCTTCTCAGCTAACATGGTATACANNGCTCATGACCTTCGCCGCCAGCTGCTGTGGAGCAGCGACCTGCTCGGCCGTGTGCAGCGCTGCCGGCAAGTGCAACAACAGCATGGCCACTCGTATCGCCTACGCCGTTATCCTGCTGCTCAACTCGCTTCTGTCCTGGATCATGCTCACCGACTGGGCCGTCAAGAAACTCCAACATGTCCTGCTCGACTTCGCCACCATCTCTTGCAACGGCAAGNNGGCCTGCTATGGTTTCACTGCTGTCCATCGCATCAACTTTGCCCTCGGCTTCTTCCACGCAATCATGGCTCTGCTGCTCATCGGCGTTCAGAACACACGCGACAAGAGATCTGCCATTCAGAACGGCTTCTGGGGTCCCAAGTTGATCGCTTGGATTGCTCTCATCGTCATTTCCTTCTTGATTCCCGATGGTTTCTTCATTGTCTGGGGCAACTATGTCGCTCTTGTCGGTGCTGTCCTGTTCTTGCTCCTCGGACTCGTTCTCCTGGTCGACCTGGCCCATAGTTGGGCCGAGTACTGTCTCGAGAAGGTCGAGAGCACCGACTCCCAGTTCTGGAAGTCGCTCCTGATCGGTTCTACTCTGACCATGTATCTTGGATCTATCGTCATGACAATCATCATGTACATCTTCTTTGCCGGCTCCGGATGTTCCATGAACCAGGCTGCCATCACTGTCAACCTGATCTGCCTATTGATCATCTCAGTCATCAGTGTTCACCCCATGGTTCAGGAGTCAAACCCCCGCGCCGGTCTTGCCCAAGCAGCCCTCGTCTGTGTTTACTGCACCTACCTGACCTTGTCTGCCGTTGCCATGGAACCCGATGACCATCAATGCAANCCCCTGGTCCGCGCTCGTGGTGCTCGCAGAACAACCGTCATCATGGGTGCCATCCTCACCTTCTTGACCGTAGCCTATACCACTACTCGTGCTGCCACCTACGGCCTGGCCATGGGTACCGGCAAACCTGGCGGCTATCACCAAGTTGGCGAGGGTGACCACGAGCACGGTCTCGTCGCCACACAGCCCTCGTCACGTCGCGAGTTGCGTGCCGAAGCCCTCCGCGCAGCTGTAGAATCTGGCTCTCTGCCCGCCTCGGCTCTGGACGACTCGGACGACGACAGCGATGACGATGAGTACCCTGGCGCCCATCCTCGCGACGACGAGAAGAACGCCACCCAGTACAACTACACCTTGTTCCACATCATTTTCCTGCTGTCCACAGCATGGGTTGCGACATTGCTGACACAAAACGTTGGCGGCGACTCACTGATCGAAAAGGGCGATTTCGTGCCCGTGGGACGTACGTACTGGGCGTCTTGGGTCAAGATTGTCAGCTCATGGGTGTGCTACGGCATGTTTGGTTGGACACTTGTGGCGCCTGTCGTGCTCCCCGAGCGCTTCGACTATTAGGTTGTGTGTTGCAGTGAGATTGAAGAAGATACCCCCCTTTTCCTATTTTTATCCAAACGAGTTATCGCCGTTGCACAACTTTGTATGTTCTTGCAATCTGTATGTAGACTGAAACGCTTCATCGCTTGACAAGTAAACTCGAATTTTGGTTTCGTTATCATAACTGTATGTTCCCTTTCTTTGGATTCTTTCCACTGATTGTGCTCCCCCTGTGATGCTCGTCGGAGCGTTGTGGAGAGTTTTGAGATGCTCATGTCTAGCGACAGGTTCTTTTGTGGACTGTCGAATAGCAGTTCCTTCTTTCTCGTTCTCGTTCTTCGCACGCCTTTTTTCGGAATGTCGTGTCTTTGAGGTTGCTGAAAGAGGTTCGGCGAGAAAGTGATCTTGACGCTGGTAGGAGTGGTGTAGCGTTGGAGAGACAAGCTTTGCACAATCTCTCGAGGATCAGTCTGCACAAGGATGCAGAAGAGTGCTCGACGTGGAGAATTTTGTGTCGCCCATCCTCGTCTAGTAGCGGTACCTAGTCGAGTAATCCTTGGGACTGACCACCAAACCCCTACCCTTCTTCGCACCCCTATAGATCGTCTCGATGATATCAATCAACTCCTGCTTGTCTTCCAACACCCAATTCAACTTATTGTTATTGCCGGTTCCAAAATCACACATCATGTGCTTGTTGCGGAAGAAGAACATGATGGTCATGGGATCGTAGAGCTCGTACATTTGGTTGAAGTCGGGCACTTGGTCGAGGTCGCACACGTAGACGACGGCGAAATTCTTTACGCGGTCGGCGATGCGGTAGAGGACTTCGTCTTGGCGCATGCAGTCTTTGTCCCAGTCGCGGCCGAAGCGGATGACGACCAGGCGGTCTTCTTCCGACATGATGGCTTGGTCGACGTGCCAGCCGCTGGAGAGATGGGGGAGAACGACGGAGCCCATGGTTGTGAGTGGGTGGGTGGGTTGAGGGTGTGCGTTTGGTCGATGGAGAGATGGATGTGTTGATTTGAGAGACGAGGTCTTGACGGCGTTGATGCGCTATTGTAGGTGAGAGTGCGCAGTCGAAAGTGACGTTGGCGTGGAGTCAAGGTGGAGGCGAAGCGTATAATTGCAAGAGTGTGAGTTGTGTGACGATGCTGATTCGCAGTGGCTGCCTAAAGAGTGAAGAGGGCGGAAGAATCCAGAATGACGATTTCCATACCAAGCCTTAACCACCAGGGTCTTTCACATGTGACACTGACAAGGAAACCACATCACAGCAACACACTATTATAAAAGTCGAAAAGCAGATAAAGGGTTCAAGCCGGTCTTTGATTCAACATAGACTAAAACACACGCCGCTTTTCATGGCCTCAGACCGTGGCACATCTCACTATCATCTCTACTCGTCCTCAGTCTCCTCAACGCTGGCAGCCATGATGCGCTGCTTAGCCTGGCCCTCTGTAGCCTGTGCTCCAGAAGTACTCGTGCCCTCGGCAGTAGGCTGCATGATGGGTCCCGAGATGTCCTCCTTGTGTACATGTCCGTCATGACCATGGCCATCGTCCAAGATTTCTTGCACCCTCTCGCCCATTTCGGCAAGCTTTTCACCACCCGTCTTTGCCAAACGCTTGGCCTCTCTCTTTGCCTTCTTCTGTTCCTTCTTTGCTTTCTTGTCATCTGCAGTCTCCTGCCAGCCCCATACTGGGCGGAACGAATCGAAGAAGCCTACGTCCTCGAAGAGGTTGGGGTAAAGCCAGAGACCAGGAGGTACCGTGAACATGGTGACGAGGAATAGAATCAGTCTGAAGATGGCCATTGCGAAGAANNAAAGACCCAGCAGTCCCAGACATGCCATCGAGAGGTACCAAACACCAATACGCAACTTGTAGGGCCAGACGGGGAAAAAGACGATGGCGAGAATCAGGGCGAGAGCACCAACAGCGTAGAGCTTGGTCTTCCACTGAGCACCCTCATATAGCCAGACGTAGTGGAATTCGTCGCGTGCCTCTTGCTGCTGCTCAACCTTGACCGTCCAGAGACCTTTGACGCGCTTCTTCTTTTGCTGCTCGGCTGGCTGTTCGATCTTTGACACACGGAGGGCAAGCAGAGATAGCGGGAGCAGCTTGAATGTGTTTTCGGCACTTGCGCGATCGGTGACGGCAGGTAGGAGGGGATTCTTTGCGCGAGCCTTTTCGTAGGCGGGTGATTCGAGAGCACGGATTGCACGCTTGACTGGGTGTGTGTGTTAGAGTATGTAAGAAGTAGCGAGGGACAGTCTCGGCTCACCTTTGAACATATCCTTGCGCTTCTCCTGAAAGACGCAAGTGCGGACCTTGAGGTCCTGGCTTTGGAGAAAGTTGGCAACGGCGATGGCCTCGGGTTTGGGAGGACCGGGAGTGATGGGCTGTTGTTGCTGCTGCTGCTGTTGTTGCTGCATCTGCTGTTGTTGCATTTGTTGCTGGCGCATTTGCTGCTGCTGCATGTGTTGGCGCATAGCCTGAGCCTTGAGTTGCTCGACATATTGCGGGACTGTCATGCCGTTCTTTTGCGCCTCGATGGCCAGTTGACGCTGCATGGCTTGGATCTGCTCGGGAGTGGGTTGCTGGCCGGGCTGGAGGCCTGCAGGCATCAAGTTGATCTGTGGTTGGCCCTCCTGCTGAGGCGGCTGCTGCTGCTGCTGCTGTTGCGGCGGTGACTGAGGTGCTTCCGACATGTTGAAAGAGTGGTCGGATGTTGGTTGATATGAAGTGTGCTGTTCACTCAGTATGCGGTGAGACGAGTGAAGAGAATAGAATCAAAGAAGCGTCAAGTACGAAGTCGCAAACTCGCGCGTTGTCCTCTTTGGCAGTGACTCCGTGTCATCAATAGGCAGTCACCAAACCTGAGACGCTTTCCCGGAGAAGCTTCGAGTCACTCCCGCCGTCTGTGCGCCACACCCACGACTGGCGACTGCCTCTTCGGTTACAGCCGCAGCTTCCTCGCTTGGCGCACCTTTGCATTTTCTCTCAAAGTTCGGCGCACTTTTCTCTCTTCTTTCTCTCTTTGCGACGATCAACAACGACGACAACATACCCTCAGGGCCCCCTTCAATTTTCCCAAAAGAGACCGACTACCTTACGTACTAGCCATGCGTAAGTATCGTCCTTTTGGATTGGCAGCTGCAAGAGCGCCTGGCTGATGTAAACGATTTGTAGCTCCCAAGATGGACCCCAACGAGATCAAGGTGATCCACCTTCGTGCCACCGGTGGTGAAGTCGGTGCCTCGTCCGCCCTCGCCCCCAAGATTGGTCCCCTCGGTCTCTCGCCCAAGAAGGTCGGTGAAGATATCGCCAAGGCCACTGGCGACTGGAAGGGTCTTCGCGTCACCGTGAAGCTCACCATCCAAAACCGTCAAGCCGCCGTCTCGGTCGTCCCCTCCGCCTCTTCGCTCGTCATCAAGGCCCTCAAGGAGCCCCCACGTGACCGCAAGAAGGAGAAGAACATCAAGCACACCAAGTCCGTTCCTCTCGACGAGATCATCAACATTGCCCGCACCATGCGCTTCAAGTCCATGGCCAAGGACCTCAAGGGTACCGTCAAGGAGATCCTCGGAACTGCCTTCTCCACCGGCTGCCAGGTCGATGGCCGCAGCCCCAAGGACATCTCCGACGACATTGAGTCCGGCGAGATTGAGAGTGAGTTTTGGATCTGCCACCTTTTACTTCGGCATCATGCTAACAACATCTGCAGTCCCTGAGGAGTAAATGTCTACTATGTAGCACTCTAACGGAACTTCTTATGCGCTCAAAAGTTTTGCGCTTTTTCTTCCAGTGATGATACCCAACGATTTTTCTACCTTTTTCACATGGTGCCCCGTGCCTCTGATTTTCCTTCCTACTCTCTCACTCCCCTTACTCAACACTCAGTTTGCCAACACTCTGGACTCTACCCATATTTGCCGTGGTTTAGCCCTATTTTGGTGCAAACAAGACGTATCTTGTCCTACTACTCACCGGGATGCCTCCTCTTCGGAGCGTGGGCATACTGGTCCATGTTTAAGGTCAACATCTCTTCGCTTGTACACACATCCTAGCATAGCACAATCAAAGTTATGCAGTCATACTTTTCTCATTCACCATGCAGTGATCTGCAGTGCGTAACAGCAGTTGCCTGCACCCTGCGCCTCACTCAAAGGCCGCTGCGCGGCTACGTGCGAAGAAGCTGCTCCTTGTGTCTCGATAATTTCCCTGTAATCCCTAATGGCGGCTGGTGGTGCTGGACCAACAGTTGTCGGATCGCCAGTCGCTTGAACATCGAGCGTCCAGACGCTGTCCTCAGAATGCGTAGATGCTTGTGTTGGTATGACCCGTCTGCACGACGCGAATTCCACCCAAGTCAGGGATCATGCGTGATCATGCAAGCCACAAAGGCTCTAGTCTCGTCTATCAACCTCAGTTTAACAAAGCAGGGCACGCTATCTGGGCCACCCCAATCCTTCTCCGACGCTGACAGGACGAGCAAGTTTGGCTCGAAACAGGCCAGCTTGTCGCAAGGAGGCAGATCAGAACACGACTCGGGCAACAGGAATCAGCATGCTCGAAACCTGTGACGGTCCACGGCTTGCAGGTCCAGTCCTCGGAGCATTGATACTCTAGAGAGCGCGGGCCGTTTAATGGTTGACTGGCGCGGCATCCTACGCCGATCACTGATTCGTGTCGCTCCATACAAAGACTCCGTATCTAAGAATTGCGCATGCCCGCTCCCTGCCGAGCACTTCGTGCGTTTTTGGACACAGATTGCTGGCCTGTTAGAAGCACTCTCACTTGGTCTTCTCCCTTTCTCGTTGCCAGTCTCCAGCAGGGTAGCAAGCGCCGCGGATACATCTGGCTGACCGACAGGCCTCTGGGCAGCAGGCATTCCTCGCCCGTCCATCTATATCTTGCGTGACATATCTGCACTCCTTCCCGGATCCAGTCACACGTCTCCGTTACATGAGCCCCGTCGCTTGCCCGCATACATAATCTGCAGTTGTCCTCATCCGGGGATCATTTCCCTTTTCCTCTATTCTGGTTCTCTTGAATCCGCTCTGTCAGCCCCGAATTGCTGTCTCGAATACCGCCTGTTCAACCCTTGCATTCACGGCTTAATCAACGCCTTCGCCTGCACACTCTTGGAACGTCCTTCTCTTGCATCTGCGTGTCGTATGTCGCTCTGAGAAATTGTCGCGCTGCTACAAGAGTTGTTGTTGGTCAGGAGCCTCTCTCTTTATTGGCGTACATGAATGGCAATGTCGTGCCTTAATTCGAATCCATTTCGCAAAGGCATAGGCACAGGTGCACTCCGGTGAGAGCCTCCCGAGGCACACTGTGCTGTTGAACATAACCACAATCCTCTCCTGTCCTCATCATGGACGTCGCCATGTCGCCGCGACCTCGGCCCCCAACCTCATCGACTTTTGACTATCATAACCACCATCAATATCGCGATGATTACTTCTCTTCTCGCTCCCAGACTGCTCAGTTCGCACAACCTCTCAGAAGTCCGTACGGTGGCTCGACGCCACGGCCAATGTCCTCTGAAAACACTCTGCGGAGGAAAACACCAAATGGAACCCTTAACGGTGCATATGAAAGTAACAACCATGGAACACAACCCACCAAGCACATGCTGCTCCACCGACAAGATAGTATGCGCCCTTACTGCCAGGCACCCCAGATGGCTCACATGGACTCTCTAGTCAACCAGCAAGCGGTCCCACTGCCTCGATATTTGAATCCAATGCCGCATCCTTTTTATGGTCAATCTGTCCCGAGTGTCATGCAGCCTTCTTTTCAGTACCTTGGTCCTACCGCGTCCGGCATTGATGGTCATGGTCTTTATGGCCCTTACTGGAACGATGGCACGTATGTTCCGTATCGTCCTGCCGCAGTCAGAGACCCTCGCTTCTACTCACAGCACAACGGCCACTACTCAATATACGGGTTCGTGAATCCATGGAATGCTCCTGGGCCTGGACTGTCTTACCCGTCCTCGGCTCACACATGGTCTGCATATGACAGCGGTGTGCCTGTGGTGTACCCTTCGTTTGCAGGTGTCCACAGTATTCCACATACGCCTGATTTTGTCTCTGGTTTCGGCCCCTCGCCTGCAAACGCGCAACAGCGTGAACAAGCATTCAATTGTGCACTCCAGACTTACCGCGAGCTTCTTGTGTATATTCAGCAAGTACGAAAGACGGGCCGGCAGTATAAATCACCGTACCAAGTGACGTCTCCCGGTCCCAGGTTTTATCCAAAACCTCCAAAATTTTCTGGCGCTCTTTCGTCAACAAATGCTACTGGCTCGATGGGCTCTCATTCTGCTCAAAGCAACATTCCATCAACATTTTATGGCAGTGCTTACCCATACGGACAGACTTCACATTCCATGTCTTCCTCTACGCCACTACATTCTCCTGGTGCTATCCTTCCACCCATGCATGACACATCACCACCAGCACGAGCGGCGAATGCTCTAGCTTTGATTACGAGATTCTGTAATGAGACATCGTGGCAATGGATTGATGGCATACACCTTTCTGGATGTATCGCATACGGACTCGATCGTTACCAAAAGGCTGAGGAATTCTACCTAAAAGTCCTGGCTCTTGAGCCAAGGCACATCGAAGCCATGTCAAACCTCGCTGCAACGTTAGTAGCCCTTGGAAGGAAGAAAGAGGCCGAAGAGTACTGGATGAAGGTCGTGAAATTCGCACCCAATTATTTCGAAGCAGTTGAGCATCTAGTAGGCCTGCTTTGCAGCACTTCGCGTGGAAAAGAGGCCATCAAAGTCATCGAATTCATCGAACGCTCTCTACGGATTCCGAAAGCTCACGAGTCACACAAGACTTCGGACCATCAAAGTGAGATGTCATCTAATGCAAGTCGTTCACCATGTACTTCTGAGGTTTCCGACCCAGCAGTTTACGACTTTGAACTGGATGGTGACTTCTCGCGCGAGCCTTCGAGTCCTAGGGAGCCTGGGTTTGGTTCAAGTGGCTATGCTATTCCAGGTGCTGATAATGGTCGTATGCTTGCACTGGTGCACGCGAAAGGTAACATGCTCTATACTTTGAGCGACAACAATGGTGCAGCCAAAGCTTTCGAAGACGCTGTCCTTATCGCCACTGGCCGCGTGTTCTCAGGCATCCCACAGCTTGTGAAACACATTCTATCTGTCATCTCCACGGCGAGCCTTNNTTCGAACATTGGGCCTGCCGACCCTGTGCTTCTCTACCCTGAACAAGCTGCTAATACGGCTCGTCTATGCTTCTCGCCGCATGGAGAATTGGCAGGCTTGCGCAATGTGCCCGCTTCGCCTTCTAGCCCTGCTAGNAGCGCTGCTGTAGCAATAGCGAGCAATTCTCTCCTATCGCTTGCTAAGATATTCCAAGACGGCATGGGCAGAAACATCCAAGGTGCTGGCGGTAAACCCATGGTATCTGGTGTGCGGGAGATCCTTGCATTGTACTATCTTTCCCTGTCATTGCAGCCCAGTCCCTCAACTGCCAATAACGTTGGCATTCTTCTGGCTAGCGTCCAGCAGTCCGTTCAACCAGCGGTAGCCTTCCACAGCCCTCATGCCTTCAAGCAGGATATACCTGGTGTGCATCCTGGAAGCGGCGTTGCGCTTGCTTTAGCGTACTACAATCATGGTCTAATGCTTGATTCAAGGCACGCTCATCTCTATACAAATCTCGGAAGTCTTCTTAAAGACATTGGCCAGCTTGACGCTGCTGTCGAAATGTACAGGAGAGCCATTCAATGCGACGGCAAATTTGATATAGCATTAGCGAACCTCGCGAATGCTGTCAAAGACAAGGGGAAGATTGCGGAAGCTATTGGGTATTATAAACGAGCCGTCGACGCCAACCCTGATTTCGCTGAAGCTGTATGTGGCCTTGCCAATGCACTCAATTCCGTCTGTTCGTGGCAGGCAAGAGGAGGTATTGCTGCCGATGATGGAAAGAGAGATCGATGGCATGTGGATAAAAATGGCATGCTTTTGAGCTCATCGCTGTCAAATCCCTCTCACTCGGGCTGGATCAATCGCGTTGTTGAGATCGTTGAGAAACAGCTGACAGAAGGTGAAAGCTGGGGCCGTGGTATACTGACGCCAGATCTCATTGACTCTTTAGTCCAGCAAACCACCACTTTTGATGGTGATGCGCAGGGGCTTGTAAGAGACGGACAAGGTCTACGCCAGATCATAGCGAGCTGGTGTGGCCAGAAGTGGGAAGGCGCACGTCTCATCAGACTTGTTGAGCGTCTGACGAGGCGTATTGGCTGGCACTGGTACCAAGACAGGTACATACGGAAGACTGAGAAGTCTCCTTATCGCAGGCCCCAGCTTCCTGTCAACCTCAACGTGCCGAATGCACCTACGGTGTTGCCTTTCCACACCTTCACCTGTCCGGTCTCAGCTAAGCAGGTTCGCCTGATTTCGGAACGAAACGGATACCGCATATCGGCTCTGACGCTTCGCATGCCTTGGTTGCCTGCTGATGTCTATCCTCCCCCAGCGCCACCTTCTCCACAACTAAAGGTCGGCTACATATCATCAGATTTCAACAACCACCCACTGGCTCATCTAATGCAATCTGTCTTTGGCTTGCATGATCAGCGACGAGTCGAAGCGTTTTGTTATGCTACGACGGTCTCGGACAGTTCACCATATCGTCGCAAGATCGAGGAGGAATCTCCCAACTTCTACGATGTTAGCAGTTGGACCACAGATCGCCTCGTCAATCAGATCGTATCAGATGGCATCCACATTCTCGTAAACCTCAATGGATACACCAGAGGTGCTCGCAATGAAGTCTTTGCCGCGCGCCCTGCTCCGATACAAATGTCGTTCATGGGATTTGCGGGCACTCTTGGGGCTGAGTGGTGCGACTATCTTCTTGCTGATGATACTGCTGTGCCACCGTCTACACTCCGTCCGTGGCGGCGAAATCTTGATGTCGAAGACCGCTTGATTCGTGAAGCAGGAAGCGAAGAAGGAGATTGGGTATATGCTGAAAATCTTGTGTACTGCCGAGACACTTTCTTTTGCTGCGATCATCGGCAGAGTGCGCCGGACTCTGAAGAACGGAGATTGACCTGGGAAGAAGAGCAATCGCGACGCTGGACGATGAGAAAGGAGATCTTCCCTTCACTTGCCGATGACATGGTTATTTTCGGCAACTTCAACCAACTCTACAAGATCGAACCGACCACCTTCCGTACCTGGCTTCGGATACTTTCTCAGGTCCCCAATAGCATTCTCTGGTTGCTGCGATTTCCTGACGTGGGTGAGATGCATCTCAAACGTACTGCTGAGGCATGGGCGGGCCCTGCTGTGGCGGCTCGGATCATTTTTACAGACGTTGCACCCAAACATTTGCACATTAGCCGCGCTAGAGTTTGCGATTTGTTTCTGGACACTCCAGAGTGCAATGCGCATACTACAGCTGCCGATTGTTTGTGGAGCGGCACGCCTCTGCTTACACTACCGCGCTACGAGTACAAAATGTGCAGTCGCATGGCAGCCTCAATTCTCAAAGGAGCACTGCCCAAAACACCTGTTGATGTTCGCGATGCCGCTGAGAAAGATTTGATCGCATCTTCAGATGCCGAGTACGAAGAAATGGCCGTTAGGCTCGGCAAAGGACTTGCATATCCAAAATCGGGACCTGATGTCGGCAAAGGCACAGGGAAACTAGTTGAGCTTCGCAAAGTTCTGACAGACTCGAGATGGACATCGGCTCTGTTTGATACAGCACGATGGACACGAGATCTCGAAGACGCATACGATGAAGCATGGAGACGCTGGGTCAACGGCGAAGGAGGCGATATCTGGTTGAAAGATGTCCCTCGTGGAGGTCATCGCGTGTAAGAAGTGTGATTCCTGAGGATGAGGCATTTGGTTCAATTTCCTTCACTGATTTCTATGATGTTTGTTTGTTGCGTTGGAGCGCTGGCGTCGCATAAGGGTCATGTCCTATCTTGGAGTTTGTCGTAATGAATACTTTACACCCGCTTCTCCTCCGAGAAGCTTTGATCTATTCTCCCTCTTCATATTTCATTCTGGTGCCGCGTCGAAGCGCCTCTCTGTCTCCGAATCACCATAGCTCTTTCTTCAAAGTATTGATGTAACGCACGAGTATTTTGTGCTTGGTGCCCCTTAAGCTGCAAGTCTCTTCCATTTTTCCATTTCCCCGACTGTCTGCAGAGATCATCCGGATCACGTCTCTCCGACTTGTTCGGACGACAATCCGTCACATGTGTAATACATGGTCGTTGAGTTTGCGCTTTGCAGCTTATTTTGATACCCCTCGCATTCCTCGCATTTCTCGCGTGCGCAATTTGTGATGTGTAATCGTCGTAGAACCATAACCCCCAGCAGACAAGGAATGTCTCTCCGAACGTCCTACAGTGCCTGCTACATTATACTCGAGCGACTGTACCAACATCCACGCAACTGCGGCAATTGCCTGCAAGGACGAGGCTTTCTGGAAGTCTCAGTCTTTGATCGTTTGCCTTTCTTGATCAATTTCACATCTTTGTAATTCGGTACAGTATAGTTCTTGATGGGACTATTCTCCACGTAGAGTTTTTTGTTTCTTGATCGTTTGTCATTCGGCATAACATAGTCTAAATGCTGTGTTCTCCACGGATAGGTCTTAGTTCCTTGGAGCTACCTCCATGGTTTGCTTCGAAATACAACCAAGACGAACCGGGGCATCTATACCGGCGACTAGCGTAGCTGAAGCATCTAAAGGTTATCTTTGAATCGCAATGTATTTGGAGAGTATGCGCCTCTAGATCATCAGGCACTTGCCACAACTCTATCTGCCTTTCCAAGGACATCACATACGGTAGGATATGTCTTGGATATAAGGGTTAGAAGCAAGGGCGTTCTTTACTGGGAGCTCACTCCGGTATCTATGTTCTAGGATAGAATCTCTGGTACTGTTCCACCAAACTTCTTGGTAGATCTCTAAAGCATTTTTTTTTGAGAAGCCTGATGTGCAGAAACAGAAAATCAAAGTATACATTTTTGGAAACATTTGGCATTGATCTTTGCCACAAAAGAAATTGTCGCGAAAGCTTGGCCGACTTTTCTGACCTTCTGTATGATCCCAAACGTTCTTGTTTTGAGTTTGTGGTATCGAAACGACAACGAATAACGAGATTTTTTCTCTGCGACAAACGATACAAAACGCCAAACGTTGTAGATCTACTTCCTCTTCAAAGACATTCTTGCGAGGTTTGGAAACATACTTGCGAAAAATGACGATGAGTCGATAAGAATAGATAGCAGTGGGCTTTTTTACTCAAGATCGTCCACTTCCCATTTTTTGCTTTCGTCAGTCTGGTTCAACATTACCTTCCGCGATAGTTTTATCTTTCAAGGGTTTGTGAAGATTAAGATGTCTCAAAGATATTAGAGTCGTGACTAAAACGGATGTTATAAGATTTCAATCGATAATTAAGCTTGTTGTCCCCGTTCGCCCTGGATGTCAAACTCACATGGTCTGTATACAAGGGCAGCGCGGAAGACGCCGGCACATGTCTTGCTCATATCGAAAGCCAAACGTAAGGTTTTGAGATGTCAGGAAAGGTGGATCTTTGCATCCCACGTCTTGTCCAGACACACAGAATGCTGTCCCTTAAGTCATCTGACGTTTATGGTTGTATCCGATATTTGGAGGTATAGATCTTCATATAATATTGTCTATAGAGTCCAGAGTATTGCAGATCTCGTGTTGTCTTGCCAGCGTTGTGGGCCTCCTACATCTGGTCACGTATCCAGGGCTTCTCGTGGGTCATTTGACAATTTGCTGCTCGGCTAGGCTTTTACCGATATCATGTTGATCACCGGTATGTTGCTATGGGATGATCAGGTCGATGAACAACGAGGTCAGGACTTGATGATGTCGTGGTTGCCAGATCGCTTATTGCCTTTATGCGTGCAATCCTGTTCCATCGCAGAGTTTGAACGAATTTGTAAAAATCAGAGATATGGTGCTTGCATGGTTGAGAACAGCAGATCCTTGGCCGCTATGATAAGTTTGGTGAATGCATGGTCAAAAGTATTCGTGTGGTCTGGCAGAACCAATTATCTCACTGCGTACGCCTGGGTCGGTTGAGACTCAGAGACGATTTGCTCAAGTGATATTTGCGTGAGACGAGATGTGGTGTAGGGTTCCGGAAGACCCTGTTAGAAGGTGGTTGCGGAGTGACGTTCACTTACCATTGGTCCGAACATGTGCTTTGGTGCTACCTCGAGCCGTACGGGATGTACATACCTGTGTACCTTCGATCTCATCGAGTCAAAGGGAAACTTTTGCCTACGTAGATCGTGTAATATCTGGCACGATATGTTGACCTGTCACATATGCATCATTCTCGAGAACGTATCAAAGTACACAAGAAGATCTGAGCTGAGTAGTCGGACCAGTGACATGAATGTGGAGACTAGAAGAGAATGCGAGAACATGCTGTGTCTGCACCATCGTTTCCTCGGGCATGGGTTTGCCGCCCGGTTGAGCCTCGATATAGATTCTCCAGCTCGACGACGACTTGAATGGCGGTCAGGTAAGAGCATCGACCACAAAGGAGACCTAAATTTGGTCTCCGGCTTCTTCATCGTTATTGAAGCTCGATCCAAGACACTAAATTGAGCTCTTGGTTGGTATGTGGACGCCAGTCCAGCTGAGTACTATGCTGTGCAGTAGTGTGTTTGGGATGTCGTACGTGCATGAGATAGCGGGATTTGTTTTCCAAGTGTTTGTCAACAAGACACATAATCTGATGCGAAGAAGGAGCAAGGAAGGTTCGCTGCTGTACAGACCATCAGTGCCTTGTACTTGACCAAGGAATAGTAAGATGGTTGGTGTACAGAGCTCTGGCCAGATTACGAGCAGGGTCATCACTCCAACAAAACGGTATTGGGTCGTATAACAGACATCAGCCTCTGTTCACAGAGTTCAGTGACTTTGTCAAGCATGGATTCGGGTTGTTGCTGCCTGTTTCCCTGTTCCTGGATGTCAAACAAGTGTCTTGCCAATCGTGTGATGTGATTCATCTGCGCCGGGTCAGACTATCCGACCCGTCATGTGTGCAAGTATGTGTGAGAGGAGGCGGTGGCGCTCAGTCAATGTATCCACGACGAAGCATTGTTTGTTCTTGCATCGCGCGTTGGGCGCATCGATGGTCGAGCTCCTCCAAAGTCAAAGTTGTGACCACAGTGCACATTGGCCAACCGATGCCATCTCACAGAGTCGTTCGCTGCATGACGGAAAGCAAAATATACAAGAGGACTGCGGGAACCGCTTCAAGTCTGCAGATTGTAGGGCTGCATCAGTGCAAGAGTCAGGAAGAACAGTACAATTGCTCTTTCCCTGTTGTGGAGACATTACAATCATGGAGAGCAAGACAAACGATCGGCAAAGCGCACGGTCCGTGGGTCTCCCAAGTATTTGATTTCTGCTGCATGCGACTAAGTTGTCGGGAAACCGTGGACGCCGCAGAATCTGCAAAAAAACAACCTTGCAAGCAGGCAAATGTGAAGTCGAATCCTTGTGCAAGCACTGTGCGATAGTGATGTTGAGGTCAGATGTAACATATGTCACGGACGTCGTGGAGACTGACAAGATTTCTCCGTGCCGTTGTCATCGGACGGGAAGAACGGTCACCTTATCTCTGAAGTGGTAGACCGTTTTGTGCTCCAACGGGCATCCCCACGACCTCTCTGGAGCACGAGATGAGGCTGACCATAGACGCAAGGCACAACACGATTCAGATTGAGCGCAGCATGTTCGCAGTCTCGTAAAAGCGCATGCAGTCAAAATGCCGCCATCCCAGACCAGGAATCAACAAGCCACACACCCTTTCGCATCCATCTTCGAAAAGAGTAACAGAGAGATGTACTCGGATTTCCAATTCGTCGCGGCTACAGCGCGACTAGCCGCAATGGTAGGTGTGCTCTTCCGCATGAATGCGCAAGGTTAGAGGAATAGACTGCTTAGCGTTGATCCTGGAATCCTTCTGCTTGTGGCTGCACCTCTAGCAACTTGCAGGGACCCATGAAGCTGCACGCCCCATGCTCGCGCGTCTTGGAAATAATGGAATGTTCCAAGCAGTCCTGGCACTACGTCCGTATGCAGATTGTATTTCCATGTCCAAGACCGTGGGTCGGCATCTTATATTAAAAATGAACAATGTGGGATACGGCGTGATGCCATTATACGACCCACCTTGTCCCATTGGGTTGTCGATTTTAGGAAAAAGAAGCAGACCTAGAGCATAGAGGTGCGTCCTAAAGCAGTAGATGTACGGAATTGCGACGATGCATGGCCCAAAGACCGACGTGCATTCAGCTCCAACACGATGGTAACTGCCCGCTGTGAGATGTCCAACATCATGTCGTGACACAGTGCCATGTGCTTCTGATTGCGATGCTGCATGAGCCCGAGACAGAAAAGGTTCTACTTGCGTAGACCTTCAACTACTCCGAGTAGGTATCGTCATGCTCACTGATACGAACATGGCGATCTGGTCTTCTCTTCTTACGGACGTAAAGTCATCTGGACTGATCCTAATCAAGGCTCCATATTTGCCAACTGTCAGACAGATGAGCGAATGATCATCGCAAAAGAAACGGTCTCTAAACACGGTGTCGTACACGGAATGGAGTGATCATGCTCTTTGACCCTACTGCCACCAAGGCTTGGAAGCGGGCCGACAACGTCTGAGCCAGACCACGCTCAACGCCGGCAATATTGCGCAACCTCATGATGGACGTTATCTGTTACACGGTCATCCCAATGTCAGCAGGGTCGGCGACACCGCCTTCAGCGCGATAGACCATGGATCTCGGAGTCGCCTATGTTTCGTCTGGTGCAAAACAATTTGAGAATCCATGCATAAGGCTGTATTGAATGAGGAATGGCTCGTGTGTCCCAGATATGCAGCATCCTGCATACTTGGCGCCAGTTTGATCATGCAGCAGCACTATCCAAAGGACTCCGGCATTTTGAAAGAACGCGTTGATCAAGAGCACGTACGCATGCTCCGGGTATACTCGACGAAATTGCCATGAACGCTCAAGCAACTGTGCAGTGCAGCGCAGCCTACGACTTGACGCACTGTAGCTGCTATTCTTATCCGCATTTGATGAGTGCGTCAACAGCAATTCCAGCAGTCTGGATATGGTCCCAGACAGTGAAATTTAGCAGTCTGAGACGGTGTGCCCATGGATCTGCTGTTGATGGCGGTATGTAGACCTGAATCAACGGGATATCTGTCACAAAGGGGTCTCACATCCTGAGACTCTTGACATCTCCGTACGAACTCACGTATTGTCAATAACCAGGCGAAATCCGAGCAAGATCTTGGAAAAGCACCAACAACGAGACATGCAAACTAGGCATCGTGAATCGCAGTACGGCTGGGAGACTGGGAGTGGGATCTGTAGGGATCAAGCTTTCCCACTTCAGGCTCCATGTCGCGACAAATCGCGACCGAAAGGGCTTAGGGTGGCTATGCTCACGGTTAGACTGGAAAGATAGTCTGGAGAAGTACGCGAATGCGGACTGGTCGACAAGGGGCTACGTGGAAAATGACCGCGCTAGCCAAGGGAGTATTTCAAATATGAACCTTGTCGTTCCGATCGAATTCTGAGGGCGACTACATCCGAGAAAACCCATCATGTCAGGATTTTCCTTATGAAACATGTCTTTCGTGGTGTAGGAATCTACATGGACGAGACGTCTTGGAATGTGTCGCACGGCACGACGAATCTGGAGGATTTCTAGACAACATTCTCTGATCAACATTGGACATCGAAGTCGATCACTGCTGGTGGTGGAGGGTAGAGAACAATCAATGTGTCTGACGACAGTTGGCAACACAGCATTNNTGCCGAAGAAGCTCTCAGAAGGAGTCAAGTTTTGGCGCTTTTGGAGTCGCATGCAGGGAGCCGNCTTTGCTCCAGCTGTGAGGCATTGACAAAGTGCTAACGCGCGAAGATCTGCGCGATCTCCACCGGCGTGGTTGAAGGTTGCATAAGGGTGCAGGGGGTTGGTNNATCCTATATAAAATTAAACAAAACATATCAACAAGAAGCCGTGACAGGCAGTTCGAACGTGGACAGTAAAATTGCCNNAGGAGAAGTTGTGACAGTTGGCAGACAGGTCCAACGGGCACAACAGCGCCATGCAGAAGCAGTGCGCTTGCGCAAGGGGAAGAGGTGGAAGGGGAAAAGCAGTTGCAGACAACGGGCCGCCGAAGGGTTAACTTTGGCGAAGGATAGCAGTCCAAACAGGGCATGGCGCGGTCAAGGGAGGTTCCCGAGTGCATGTTGAATGGGTCCGGGGCGTAGTCTATGACTGCAAGTGCGGCCACAGGCTCAAGGGCGTAGCTCGGCGGCGCCGTGGGCGCGCAAATATTCCAAAGGCAAAGACGCGAATGCGGCGCACAAAATTTGCACAGTGGCTTCGAGTGCACACAGGACGATCGTTCGACAAAGCCGGCGACGATGGTGAACACAGATTTTATTGTTATTGATCCTGCTCGACTACTGGCTGTTGAGCTGTTTCGAATGATTCCAAACGGCTTTCTGCATCGAACGGTGGGCGTGGATGACGCCTTCCCAAGCTCGGTACGGGCCAGCTTGGGAAGCCAACGGTCGTCAGTCTTGGGGCTACTACACGCGCACAAGGGGGCAGGATAGAGTCAAACAGCGAAGATCCTGCAACGGCGTCCGATGACCTGCAGTAGGCGCGAAGCAAGAGAGCCAAGGGCTTGCGTGGGACTTTTGGGCACTGGAGCGAGCCAGCGAGGGAGCAAGGGGGCCGCGCCGGCGCCGTCGTGTTTGGTGCAAGCCTCTGCCAGAGCCATGCTCACCATCCCTGCTGCACATCGCGCATCACCCAGCGATCTGGATAAAGTTCGACTCTGACGTTAGCGGGACGAGCCAAGTACAATTGAGCCCTAGATCCCCTTCTTTCGACATCTTTCCTCCTCATCAGGACCTGGCCTGCAACCGTTATAACCGTCCGTCTCCTGCTTTTCCGCAACGGCCGCCAACCTGCCTCCGTGAGAACTATCGACATCAGCCAGACCCGATTTCTGCCCCTCTCAGAGCATCAACAGGAGTTGACGCACCTGCCCCGCTGTCCATTTAGGCCCATCGTTGTGACCGATTCGGAAATCCTCCTGGACCGTTAAACATTGTGCTTGATACAAATACAACGATCTCGTCGCAACATCAACAGCCATCCAACATCCCAACTGGTCTGCATCGACTTTATAACGACCTCGTTGTCCCTCCCCGTTGTCTTACTTCACCCTCATCCTCATTGCCTCAGACACTCCAGTCCTCTACCACATTCCTTTCAAGCTTCGAGCTCGACTACAGGTAAGCATCATACCATACCATTCCACTTAATCACATGCCGAGTCCCCACGTTGCCGCGACGTGCTCTCTAATCACCTCATACCACCGCTTGACCATTAGCCATCTCTGACACACTTTCAGTTCCAACTTTTACATTCCTTTCAGTCTTTTGATCCTTCAAAATGCCTGCACACAAGAGAGGTCCTTGGTCCCAGCAGGAGGATCACATCCTCATGAGCCTTGTCCACTCTCAGGGCGCCCACAACTGGGTCCGCATCTCGAGCATGATGGGCACTCGCTCTCCCAAGCAGTGCCGTGAGAGATATCACCAGAACCTGAAGCCCAACCTCAACCATGACCCCATCACTCCCGAGGAGGGTGAGTTGATTGAGCAGATGGTTGCCGAGATGGGCAAGCGCTGGGCCGAGATCGCTCGTCGCCTGCGCGGCCGCAGCGACAACGCTGTCAAGAACTGGTGGAATGGTGGCATGAACCGCCGCAGACGCAACGCCCAACGCCGTGCCGAGATGGAAGCCCGTCAGCAGCAACAGCACACCCAGCAGCAGATGATCGGCCAGCCCGGCCAAATCGTCCAGCAGCACCTGCCCGAGCAGACCATGTACTTCAACTCTGCCATGCAAAGGCCCCAGTACTTCGACCAGAACCAGCTGCCTGCCATCTACCAGCAACAGGCACACATTGCCTCGCAGCACGCACACTATCCTCAGACCCTGGGTGTTCCTCAGTTCGGTCGCACTCTTCGTGCGTCTCCTTTCGAGAGTCCTTTACCTTCACCTGGTGCTTACTCTCAAATTTCGGCAGACGGCGCTCCTTCCCTAGTTTCAGACGCTTCTTCCTACTCGCAGCGCTCNCCCCACGGCACATCTCCCGTTGAGCTCCCTCCTCTCAGTCAGCAAGACCAGCGATACGTCGACCGTCGCCCTTCCAGCTCGTACATGCAGCAGCAGCAGCAACAGCAACGCCTGGTTGTTCCCGGCCAGGAGGGTTACCAGATTCCCATGCAAATGTCTCGCTCCGAGGACGGCACCAAGCGTCCTCAAATGCTCCAGGAGGCCTTCAACCCTCAAGCTGCCATGATGTACCGCCAGGCTCAGGAGTACCCTCAGATGCAATACCCTCACCAAGCACCTCTTCCCCACGTCTACCAACAAATGGCTCCTCAACACCATTTCTCACACATGCCTCCCCACATGGCTGGCGCTCCTCAGCACCACTCGCTTGACCCCGAGCTTGCTCAGGATGGCGGTGATGGCAAGGAGAGCCCCAAGGAGAAGATGAGATTGTCTGCCATTGTTGCCAACTAAACCTTTTATCAACGACAGAATCGGGATTGCATGTACATAATGAGGGATGAGGCGCATTGGGCTTTCTGTTTATCACATTTCATGGCGTTTGGGATCTATGCATGGTGCTGGGTTTATGGGATGGAGACTTGTGTATACCCAACTTGTTTTTGCTTCAGAGTCGCTTTCGAGTCTAATGATCATTCGCTATCATCAACCATTTTTCCCAACTACTCCTTTGCCATTCTCTCCATCACTCTCTGGTCCTGATCATCTCGCAGCCTCAACCCCAAGTTCCAACAGTGGCACACCGTTCCGAAAGCGGTATGTCCTCTTGATCGTTGCCATCTACTGACAAACTCCTTCTCACTGATGCCGCAAACGCACACAGTACACTCTATTCTAAGACAAGAAACTGCAGATATCTCTATCACGATCACGCTGGCTGGTAGATACACACGAGGACCACAGTTTACTATGATCGCGATTTCCGAACTCTCGTATACCCAACACTTACATCTTTGCCTCCTCGAAGCAGAAGGCTGTTAGGGTTCCTGTTCGTCCCTTCCTGCTTGTGTTTGTGTTTACGTAGAGATACATTCCCTTTGTTTGTTTGACTGCACCGTTCATGTTCTGATTACATTAATCTTATTCACTTTGCTCCCACCGTTATGTACGAACACGTTTGGTCGTTACAAGGACAGCAACAACAAACTGCCACAGGCGTTTCTTGCTCATCAGAAACGAAATAACAGCACAAACTGCCATAACAGCAGCAACGCATGAGATTCCTACCGGGCACGGGACCGACACAACGACTTTCGCAACAGGGGAAATTCAGCTCCAGACGTTTCCACCTTGCAAGATTAACCCCGGGACCTCAACGCTGCAGCGCCCAACGATGATGATGATGAGGAGCCTTGCCGAACTTGTGCGTGTATCCGCACACGTACTAATTTTCTCGATCTTCAGCCGTGCTTCCCGTCACGAAATGTCACGTCTCCATGTAGAAGAACAAACTATGTACAGTAGTATCCACACTGCACGCTATGCTTGCTCAGGATCCTTCTTGCCGACTTGTCCAAAGTCCCTTATGCACCTTACTCTGGTCTGGAACGCTATGCCAGTGTGATTTGCTTCCCCGTGATGTGCTCGTAAGCGGCAGCATTCATATTCCTCAGGGTCATCACCGAAGCGATCGGGCTATAACCTCTTCTCGCGTCAGATGATCAAGATCTACTTGGTCACGTTTCTTGACTTTTGATTGTCGTCCTGCAAAACTCTCACCAAGAAACTCCAGCATACGAGTTGGTAAACCAAAATCTCGAACCCATTTTGTGAAATTCGGCAGCTCTCGAAGTGTCGTGTCCTCGCCGCGGGCCGACCGTTTGCTTTTCTCCAAAGTTCGTAGGCTAAAGTTTCTGTGCCCGCACCAAGGATCTGATGAGACAAGTTGATCAGCGCCGGAGAGGTTGCAACTTACCATAAAGAAGCACCAAACCAACAAAGGGTATGCACTGTGCATTGTCGAGCACAAACACAATCTCCAATTCTGAAACATTGAAACTGGCGGGAGCGGTATGGCCTCAAAAGTGCGCGATACACTTTTACGCTTCACCGTTGGTAGCGACGAAAGTGCCACAGGAGGCTGACATATCTACTGTGCCTCGGTCTCGCATCAAGCATCGAACAGCAGACGCACGAAGCCACTTCAGTCATTTTGGCTGGCGGCATCAGAAACATTTTCCACGTGGCTGACATGGAGGTTAAAGGAGAGACATTGGGGTATCGTATATCGAAATGTTCCTTGGTAGTACACGCAGCTGGCTTGACGATTGACAAATCTGGCTGTTCTTGCAGTGCCACAGACGCCGTCAGAGACCGCATAGGCATGTCTATGAACTGGACTGGTTAGCGAGGGAAGGCGCATACTGTAAGTGCTGACATGCTGCCAGGAGAAGGCTGTGGAGCCGCGGTGAATGTCGCGTCGTGTTATAGGGTACTCAGGGACTGCTCCCGTCCTCAACGAATCTCCAGTAGAGCCGGCATTATTGTCACGCTCCACGATTGATGCACTTCGGCATCACCCTACACAAAAAGATACCGCAGGCGCTTGTCTGGTTTCGCACAAACAGGGGACAAGATTTTGCTGTGCTATCCGTGCGAAGGTCTGTTCTTTGCTCGTGTTAGGAAAGTGTGGCTTTCTGCTCCACGCTGCCTTCCCGGTTTAGGCAACTGGCTGTATACTTCTCCTTCCCGAGGAGGCCGTGTCGCGCCTTCTTGGACTGCGGGACTTCAAGTTCGCGCGCCGAGCGCAAGTATCTCCTGATCCCACGGCTGAAGTGCTAGCCATGGCTCACAGGGGGCCAGGGAAGATAGCATCCGGTAGTGCGCCATCGGTACTGCGCAAGTCAGTCGTCTTGAGCAAGGGAAGATCAAGCGACGAGAACGCGTGATATGCAGCTCCCACTACTATATGACACTTTATAGACTGGGATTGAGCCAAAGGTGGACGGCTCCCAGACGCGTGCTGGCCAGGGGCCAAAACGAGACGATCTGCTGCTGGAGCCAAGCAGTTTTCGGCATCGATCATGACGCGGATCCGCGCCCGGGCTTGTTCTCGTTTGCAGACGTCTGACAGCTCCACAGCCACACGCATGCCCTGTCAACCTGTCAACAGCGAAGATCGGGGGCTTGCTGAGCAGAGAGCGACCTTTGCAAACCTTGGTGGATATCGCATGGAGATTGTGACATCCCACCGGCCAGTCTGAGTGCTGCGCGCCATGGATTCGAGCTACAATCCGGATCCCTCGACCGAGATTTCCGACACCCTCTATACCGCGCTATTGGTAAGAAGAAATTCGAGCGATACGACACAGCGTACGTGTGGCTTATCAGGCATGTTCTATAGNTCACAAAGGGATCGAGGCAGCACAATCCCAATCAACTATGTCACAGCGCCAGGGGTTGAGTTGACCCCCGTATGTTTCTCGGACCGGCTTTACGAAGACGCTGCTGCGCAGCAGTGCCTTTCGAATCTCCTCGCTCTGGGCTTCCACCGGATCATTGTCGACTTGTACTGGGACCAAAGCCGGCAGACATGGAGTCTGTGCCCAGTTGAACTCAGCACCCAAGGGAACTCGACCTCGCCCATCAATACTGGAGGCTATCCTAGCAGCCTCTCTACATCGTCTTCCTCGACGAGTCCATCGGCTATCCTGACAAGGGCCAGGTTCTCTGGAGATACGGCCGAGCCTTTAGAGCGGCAAGCACTCCGCAGTTCCTCGATCATCGTGGATGAAGATGTGCACCAGCGGGCACAAATTCATGTCCGACAAACTTCCGAACTTCTCTCCGAGTCTACAGATGCTTCTGCTACCAACGCAGCATTGACAGCTGCTACAATCACAACCGATTCAAGCAGTAGTGGTGGCAGCGTCGTAGCAATATCACAGACTTTCTCTGCTGCACAGCCGTCGCAAACCGGTCATCAGATTGGTGGTTACTCATGCACTGAAAGCATTGGCATCTCCACAATAACCAGCGTATTAGCGGACTATTTTCAAACAACGGAGAACGACCTAAACGCAACTTTCAAGTACCTCGAGTTCAATGTGCGACTGGCTGCTCCGTTCAATGACCCAGCAGACACTACAAGCTCAGCCGATCCTGAGAGGTTGCCAACTCTCGGCAACTACATCAGCGATCTTATTAATTCGACTCTCTCTCGATACCTATACACTCCAGCTGCTCTTCGGTCCGAGAGGGCCAATCTGAACCAATCCTGGCTCGCAGGAGATATCGAGAACCCACCAGCGGTGGAGTACATGACGACAATGCCACTCAATAATGGTTCTGGGCTGTATACTCTAGATGGGTGGCCTAGTGAGAGCATAATTATGTTTCTACGCGCGCTTCGCATCATAGCCAGCGTTAGACTCGATTCGCAAATGCAGCAGTATGATTTCAGCGCAGACGCTGAAACCATCTTTCCTGCAGAGTCAATCTCCAACAATGTTGGTACGACACTATCTTCTGATGGAACCGTCACAAATGGTTGCTTGTACCAACCTGGCAACACCACACTTGCCGCTGTGAACTCTTCATGGGCCATCTCTAGCAATCTACCCAACACGACATCCCTCAACACGACAAACTACGCTGCTCTAAATATCTCGTCTTGTGGTATCTCACCTGTACTAAACACATCTCTGTTGGGTAGCTTGGCGACCAATAATGCCACAACATATCGCCAATTCACACGCGGTTCGCTTTGGGGATGGGACACGGACGAGCCTAGCGATAGTGTGACGACGGCAACCACAAGCCGACATTGCGCCGTGGCGAATCTGAATAACAATGGGCTTTGGGAAGTGGCCGATTGCACTGATGAGAACCACTTCATCTGCCGCCATGACAACTCTCCTTATGTGTTTAGCATCAGCGATGGCAAAGCTCGTTACTACCAAGGATACGAGGCGTGCGACGAAGACTCCAGCTTTGCCGTCCCTCGTACTGCACTCGAGAATCGCTACATGATCGCTGCCTTGCGGGATTGGGTATCTCGCCAGACCGACTTTGATGACGCGCCGGTCTTCTGGCTCAGTATCAATGATATTGATACGAAAGATTGTTGGGTTAGCGGAGTGGATCAGACTTGTCCTTACCGAAGCGATGCTAGGGACACAGGTAAGCCTACTGTAGTCATACCCACTGTCGCGGGTGTTATCGTCTTCTTGTTGGCTATTTTGACGATCTTCGTCAAGTGTGCTGCGAACAGACAGAACACCAGACGGCGACTCAAGCGCGGAGAAGGNGGTTGGGACTACGAAGGAGTACCTTCGTGAAATTGGAAATGGATGGTTACTGGAGTTTCTGGCTCTTGTTATCTCGGCGTCAGTTGGGGTTCCCTTCCTCTGGGGGTCTATGGTTGTGCAATATTGGACACATTTAGTATGAATCTCTCATGAGATTTCGGGTTTCTATGTAGACTCTATTGATTGATTTCGAACTCATGGTCACGTATCACGATAACATTGATCATTATGATGGCATCATTTTCGGAAGCTGCGCGGTGAGGCGTCGGGATCGTCAGGTGTGGCTGGAGAGCACGCTCCACCAACACCAACCACGCTGGCACTTTTCAACAACGGCAATATCAGGATCTTACCGAGTATCGAGCAACAGACCGAGTAGGTAGTGTCTTTCAGCGTGGTCCATCATCGCTCACACCAGTACTGACATCAACCAGAACATTGTGTCTGCTGCGTGGAATTGTCAGAACAGTGTAGAGCAAAAATTCTGAGGCGAATAAGCCTTTAGGAGAAAGAACTCTATACGCAAGACATTATAGGAAAGAGCTTCTTGCCATTCCATTTGATCTTCAGAGAAATATCCTACACGGAAGGAAGTATCAAGAAACATGACAACCTTGACTTGTCAACATCAAGCAATCCGAAACATTGCAAATCTAGCATCACGACAAGGATCCAGAGACTTCAGCAACACCATCCGGACGCAAGCAGATTTCACACATGCAGTAATCGGCGGCGGAGCAGTGGGTCTCGCCATCGCCCGCCGTCTCCAACAACACTCTCCCTCTGCCTCCACAGTCCTAATTGAGCAGCACAAAGCCGTCGGCACGGAAACCAGCAGTCGCAACAGCGAAGTCATACATGCGGGAATATACTATGGCCACGACTCGCTAAAGACAAAACTCTGCGTGCAAGGCAAAGAGATGCTGTATGAGTTGTGCAACAGACACGATATACCGTATAACAATTGCGGCAAGTGGGTTGTCGCGCAGGATGTTACGCAAGCCCAAGCCATCGAGAAGGTACACGCGTTTGCCAACAGTATCGGTGTACCTACCAGATTCTTAAGCAGAGAGGAAGCTTCTCGCAGGGAACCAGAAGTCCGGGCCGAAGCGGGCGTGTTAGAATCGCCAACAACCGGCATCCTCGACAGTCACGCTTACATGACCTTCCTGCACGGCAGCTTCGAAGACGCCGGCGGCGACACAGCTCTCGGGGCAAAAGTAACACGCATAGAAGCACCCACTCCAACATCTCCAGACTGGAAAATCTACACTGCAGACCCGCAAGACGGAAATGCAGAAGCCGAGCCCATCACCGCAGAGATACTGGTAAACTCTGCAGGTCTCTACGCCTGCGATATCAACAATATGATCTTATCTAAAGAAAGACACATGCAACCTTTTTATGCAAAAGGAAACTACTTCTCCTATGCAGCGAGCCACCCCAAACCCGGCGTGTTGGTCTACCCAGCTCCCGTGCCTGGTCAAGGTGGCTTAGGCACCCATCTGACGCTGGATATGGGAGGTCGTGTGCGCTTCGGCCCCGATGTCGAGTGGGTAGACAGTCCCAGCGACTATACACCCACTTCCGACCCTTCGCGTTTTCGAGCCGCTCTGGTCGATATCAAAAAGTATCTACCTGGGATCGATGAGTCTGCCGTGGCGTTGGATTATGCGGGCATAAGACCAAAGTTAGGGAAACTGGGTGCTGTGGGCGCGGGTAAGGGCTTTCAGGACTTTTATATCAAGAAGGAGGATGGATATGATGGGTTTGTGAATTTGTTGGGTATAGAGAGCCCAGGGTTGACGAGTAGTTTGGCGATTGCCGAGGAGGTGTATCGGTTGTTGTATCGCTAAGACTTTCCAATGCCAGAGGTCTCAGTGATCCTCACTCCCGACAACAATAATGATGAAAGCGTGGCTTTCTCTTCCCACTTCTAGCAGTACAGCGGCTAGGAGGGTTTTCTGTTTTAACCAATCCTTTTTGCTATGTGTATCATGAGCAGAGGAGAAGCCTTCCACGATTGTGGCGATTTGCTCTCTTCTTGTTACGTCTCATTAACCCTCGTCTCACGACAAGAACGATGGAAAGAATGTGCATCAGTGTCTGAAGGTATTCCACCTTTTGTTTCTAGCCTGTGGCAGCTAGAAAGGATTTCTGTTTTGCCCATCATCATCGTATCTTTGGATCTTTGTCTTGCTCGACAATCATGCAAGTAGATACTTGGAGAGTGTGTGAATCGGTTATTGAAAATGCTCGTTGATCTAATTCATTTGACTACATAGCCTGCTGTCTGTCGTGTTTGTATTATGGACACCTCTGTAACCGAAATCGTGCCTCGTTGTATTCCCCAAGCGTTCCATCATGTAACAAAACTCGTGGTAATCATGCTCATAGAACGCCCGTTTGCCCTTCGTCTATATTCATCTCAAATCTTGCTCCAAACATCTTGCTTCCGGAGCAAAACATCATGCCTTTCCGCTGACATGTCTCTTTCTAGCCCAGGCACCGCCAAGACCTTCTTCGGCGATCTTGCCGCTTACATTGCGAGTGCGTGCACCGTACGAATCATCCGATGAGAGGTACATCACGCTTGAGTCAGCAATATCGACGCCAGTCCTGCTGACAACACGACCTTGGCCTCTAGGCACGGTCTGCTCCTGGAGCTTGCTAATGGCAGGAGTGAGGTTGCCGTAGCGCTTTACCTTGGGAGTGCTAGAGCGGCTGGAGTCATCAGGGTTCTGAGAGTATACGGATGACTTGGTAGACACAGCATTAGCTTCAGGTGCCGGAGGGCTCAGAGCGCGACCAATACTCGTGTTGGATGGAGTCTGACGCAAAGAGTAGTCGTCAAGCTCAAGGGTACCGTTGGGCATTTCGTCAAAGTAGAAGTCGGCGGCATCGAAAGTATGCTCTGGTGGAGTGGGAGGGTGCATGCGAAGAGGTTGAGGAAGAAGCTCCTTGTATTCCTCACTGGCAAAGCGAAGCTGAGTGACATTGGGCTCACGGACCTCAGGACTGGAGTCGCGGTCGGAGACAAGCTCGGGAACGGGAGTACGGCGAGGAGACGACAAATCGGCGTCGTCGTCTGCAAGGACGAACCAGTTGTCGTTCAGCAAAGCTTGTGCGGGCTGGTCCTTTTGAGCGGTGTGGCCAGATTGAGGAGTGCCAGTACGACTTAGATTCTCGGAAGCGGTGATGAAGGAGAGAGGACGAGTCGGCATCGGATCGTGGATAGAATCGCGATTGGTAGGTCTCTGGTTTGAGTAACGCTGGAATGACTGGGGTCGAGAGGACTGCGAACGGGAACGTTCACGCTCATGAGATTGTGATGCACGATGCATGCTGGTCTGCGACACATGCGCCGAGGATGGCTGCTGGTATTCGAATCTGGATTGACGTGCGGAGTCTTGAGTATGGCCTGAATAGCTGGGATCCAGATTGGTACGCGATTGATAGAAAGACACGGGTCGGACGTTGGCCTCAGGAATGAGCTGGTCTCTGTTGGAAATACGAGTAGGGCTGCTAAGACTCAGAGAGCTGCCACTCAGCATGGCCAATCTTTGCTCGGACATTGATGCCGAGGCATCGCTACTCTTGTAAGTGTGCTTGCGGTTGACTCTGCTGGTGAGATTGTCCTCTAGAGGGTTCATGTCGGGTGGGTACTGAGCAATTTTCTTGAAGGTAGAGAACAGGTAAATGCCGAAGGGGATGCTGAACAGATGCAAAGCACCTGCTACGCTGCCAACCAGGAAGGCAGACTCCAGCACCTTGCCATCCTTGTCGGGTGAGTGGAAGAAAGTGGACCAACGTCCTTCATCACCAGGCGCCATAGTCCAGTTGTTTGCCGTGAAGAAGGCGATGAAGACATAAAAGGGTACCAGAGCGATGTCGACAAAGAAAGAAAAGGCATTGTAGCTAGCGGAAGAGATCGCAGGACGTCTCCTTGGCGAGCGCTGAAGATTGTAGAGAGCGTAGGCACAGACTACGGCGTCCACGGCAGGCTGTTGTTGGCGAGTTAGCGAGCACAAGAAAGTCAATCTCTACGATCATACTTACGGNNGAATTCTGAGTAGCCAACCCTGAACATCGTTCATGCCTCTGATGATGATGACGCAGATAAGGGCACCCAATCCGGCTATAAGCTGAAGCAAGCGGAGAGAAAACTGGCACCACCGGGCCACGTTGACCCTCTGCTTTGTGTTTGGGTGCACCGGCGGGACATTGGGACGAGCAGAAGGCACGATGATGTAGCTATCGGGGTGTCTGTTGAAGTCGATCAGTGGACCCTCCTGTTTGGGCTTTGGTGTCGACGTTGAAGAGGCGATCGAGTAGTAGCTGGCACGAGTAACGGCCTTTGGGTCAAAGTCGTAGGACGGGTCCCTGTCTTGCTGGTTGACGGGCGAGAAGAGGTATGGCGGAGTAATGCCAACCATGGTGGAATGAGCGGTAGGCCTGATGCCTGTAACAAACTCGAAACTCAAGTACCGAACAGAAACTGCACAAGGGAAAGAACGAGGAATGAAACGGCGCGATAGGACCATATATTCGTCTGTGTACTCGGTCGGCCAAACACCTGGTTGCTGCGGGGACCACTCGATAAGGGCGATTGTGGACGTCGGACCAGCTTCCGGATCGTCGTGCCGCCGCATGACGTGTGGGGAGCCGCGAAAACACCAGCCTCAAGGAAGTGGCTGGGCGACAGCCGCTCCTGCCACACAACCATGTCAAGAAGTTTGCTGCGACGACTGGGCTGCACCAGGCAGCCGGTCTGGAAGGGAAGGAGCAATGGCGCGCGGCTGTATTCGACAGCCGACAGCGAGCGGCCCTTCAGGTGCGCTGTGGTAGGGTCAGGCCCGGCAGGCTTCTACGCTGCCTATCGCATGCTGCAGAAGATGCCCAATGCTCGCGTCGACATGTACGAGGCCTTGCCCTCGCCCTACGGTCTGGTCCGCTTCGGTGTCGCTCCAGACCACCCAGAAGTAAAGGTATTCAGTTCACGACTGCTCATCTGCTCGTCATGCAAACTAATCTGCTTCCGTCAGAATTGTATAGATAAGTTTGTCGAAGTCGCATCCCATCCTTCCTTTACCTTTATTGGCAACACCACCATTGGCTCTGCTCCATCCTCCCTACCTTTGTCCTCGATCGCTCCTCATTACAACGCCCTTCTCTTCTCTTATGGCGCCTCGCAAGATCGCAAGCTAGGAATAGCTGGAGAAGACCTGAACGGCGTCGTATCCGCTCGCGCCTTTGTTGGCTGGTACAATGGTCTGCCCGAGTATGCGAATCTGAACCCTGCCCTTGACAGCAGTGACGAGGCTGTTGTCATTGGTCAGGGAAACGTTGCTTTGGACGTAGCTAGAGTCCTTCTATCGCCACTCGACAGACTCAAGAACACAGACATGACAGAGGCTGCTTTGGAGACTCTGTCCAAGAGCAGAGTGCGTAGAGTCAGGGTTGTTGGAAGGAGAGGCCCACTACAAGCCCCATACACTATAAAGGAAGTCCGCGAGTTGATGCAACTCCCTGGCGTTGCCTTCAATACTCCCGACCATTCTCTCTTTCCCTCAGAACCCAAAAAGCTACCCCGGCCTCTTATGCGTATAGCTCAAGTCATCGAGAAAGGCTCTCCTACCTCCATCGCCGAAGCTGCGCGACAGTGGGAACTGCACTACATGCGCAGTCCAGTCGCCTTCGAAGAAGACTCTTCCAATACCGGTGCCCTAGGTGGCGTACGCTTCGACGAGATGGAGTTTACCCAAGANCCCTCTTCCGTTCCGCTGAGCGATCTAGACGCCTTACGGAGCATGCGTGTCAAGAAGAAGGAAGCTGGCAAACAAGAAGTTTTCTCTACAAACCTTGCTTTCCGCTCTGTTGGTTACCAGTCGGAACCCATAGAAGGCTTTGAAGAGCTCGGCATACCCTTTGATCGCAAGATGGGCATCATCCCCAACGACTTGTACGGCAGAGTACTNAGCCCTGACCGTGGCCCTGGTGCACTCGGTGCAGGCCATGTCCCCGGCATGTACGCAGCTGGCTGGGTCAAAAGAGGTCCTACAGGCGTGATTGCCAGCACCATGCAAGATGCCTTTACCAGCGCCGACATTGTAGCAAAAGATTGGGCAGACGGCGTCACATTCATCGGTTCCAACGACGAGCCAAAAGCAGGTTGGAACGAAGTCAAGAAAGAAGCCGAGAAGCGCGGGATTCGAAGCATCACCTGGGAAGACTGGCTCAAGATCGACAAAGAAGAAAAGAGAAGAGGACAAGTCAAGGGCAAAGAGAGGGAAAAGTGTCACTCGGTTCAGGAGATGCTCAAGATTCTCGATGGCTGATCCTTCAGAGACGCTTATGTAGGATCATGTACTCTCTTCTCATCCAAACAAAAAAGACACACTGCTCGGATACGCATGTGCTGACCCAAAAATGTTGGGGTTTCACTGAAGTCGTTTGCATTGGCGCACGCTTGTGGAGTGCCATGACAACCGTATGCATCATGTGCAGAAAGTCTGTTGTACTCTCTCTTTCTGCGATGCTCTTGGCTATGATAATCTCGCCTACTATCGATTGGATGGTTGCAAGGAGCATGTGCAAAAGGCAGTCACGGTGAATGAAAAATGTTGCAAGGATCAAAAAGTTATTCTTCATTATTGTTTCGTACATCATTAATTCTTTGCCATTCAATTTGTGGCCGATAGAAGGACTACCCCCAAAAAGCCAAGCAGGTACGTTCGCCTGCTCTTTCTCTCATCCTCGACCGATAGTCCATGCTCAATTTAGGTAAGAGCAAGAGGACATCCCAAGTTCTTGAACGAAGGAGCAACCTTGCTAGCGATAAAGTCGAGTGCATCAACCGTAGGAGTAATCACACCGTTGAGATAACTAGGCACCTGTCCAGTGACGAGCTGGTACAACAGACAAGCAGTGTCTGCACCATCGATACTGGCCGAGATCTTGCCATCCTTGATGGCGCCAAAGTTGAGAGTGTCAAAGGAGCCGTCGGCGGTGTTGCCACCGAACAAGACGGGGTTCTCGAGGTACATGGCCAAGATCTCGGTGGTCACGTCATTGTTGGTGTATGGGCTTACGCGATTGACCCAGTTGTCAGGGATGCGCTCGCCGCCGTTGAATTTCCAGGTGCCGTCGCTTTGCTGTTCGGCGCCGAAGAAGGAGGAGATGGTCTCGAGATCGGGGGCGTAGTTGTGGTTTCCGTTGGGCATGAGTGTGTACAAGAAAGAGGCGGCTCCGTAGAGAAGAAGAGTCAAAGGGCCGAAGAAGAAGTTGGGGTTCTCTGCAACGGATTGGTCGTAGCGCTGCAGGCGGTACTTGGACAGGTTCTCGCGGTTGAAGTTGCCTTGGCAGGTGTCTTGCATCATGCCGAAGAGGGTGCCGTTGAAGGAGTAGTTGTCTCCGTCGGCAAGGAAGTAGTCGTTTCTGGTGAGAGAAGAGTCGGCTTCGAACTTGTTGTGGCCATCAAGACCAGGCTCAGAGCCTGTAAGGACTGGGCTGAACGAGGTTCTGGTTGTGGCATCGCATCCGATGGAAAGCTTCTCGGTTACGAGATCACCATCAGTGAGGGTGAGACCCAAGGCAGCAAGGAGTGTAGCCAAATCATATCCAACGTTGTAGAGATTCTGCTGAGCATCTACAAGCTCGTTGAATGTGGTGATACCATCGTGAGAAAGGAACTGCAACAGTCAGCAAAAAGTCATGTATGAGATGTAAGGCAAACCCACGTTGTGATTGGCAGCTGCGTTAAGACCAGGGCAAGGTCCACGGATGTCGTTGGGTCCAGGAGCAACATACTGATGTGCGGCGTCACCGGGAGCAGGTACTTGGTAGCCACCAACACCTTTTCCAGGTGCACCATTTTGGGCGCCATTGTATGGGTACTTGGAGTTGTAGGGTGCGGCACCCTGATGGTTGGCGTTGAAAGGGCAGGTAGCAGCGCCGCCAGCCTGGTTACCACCAGCTTGCTGACGTCTGATCTTGCGTCCAGCCCCAAGAAGGGAGCTGTCAACACCAGGCTGGTCAACAACCCAAGGGAAGGCTGAAGCCGAGGCAACGAAAAGAGAGGCGAAGGCGATGTTCTTCATGGTGGTAATTGTGATGGTCAGTGATTGACTTGATGAAAAGAAGGATTCATCTTGCGACTTCAATGCTGTTTATATATCTGGTCAGCACTCCACCCACGTCCAACAGTTATTAGCCTGACCACAGGATGCTTTGCGGAGATGGTCCAAATTCCTGGTTGGCATTCATGGTCTGGGGAAGACTCGTTGCTGATCATGGTAGAAAGAGGAGGTTTGCCTTGTTGATCCGCAGCACTGAGAGTGAGCATTCAGACTTGTGGTATGCATACTCTTGCCACTGTCCAATCACAAGTCGCCCGACTCAACTGTTCACCAGCCATGCGGCGCCATGCCTCGGTCTGTGGAGGTAGGAGCAAGGGGATCGACATAGCAAGGAGAGTGATAAAGCTTAACGGTTTAAGCTCCCCAAACGGGCTCCAAGCCTCCTCCGCAATGTGGCGGCTTTATACCTTTTCCAACTTACCTCGGACTAATTCCTCAGTGCTGATTTGCTGCTTTCAAGCCTGTCTTGACCTATAAGGAAATTGATGAACGGTGATGTACAGGGCGGCCGACCCTTCTTCTCAATTTCCGGCGAGAACTGTCTCTGAAAACCGACCGAGGCTCACTACATCTCGCACGTAAGTACGTAAAATGTCAGCATGACCGTTGTCGTTAACCATGACCCTCTCTGTGCCTTAGCATCCATGTCTGTGATTCGTCTTGAACCAATGTTCTTACGTCCGGTAGTGTATTGGGACGACCAGAGTCGACCAAGCTTGGGAGATACTTCTCCACGATACTTCAATTCTGCTGTTTAATGTGCATTATGCCGTCTTGCTGTTCTCCCGAGGTTCGAGGTCAAGTGGCTGGTGTGCGAGTCTCCGAGTTGCCCTCGAGAGAAACTTTCCCTAGAGAACCGACAAGCTCGTCGACATTGTCCCAGTCTATGCACGTAGCAGGCATCTGAAACTCAGGTCCCCATGGCCAGGTTCCTTGTGTGACATCGACATCAATCCTCTCTGCCGCTTGACGCTCCATGATATCCCAGCTTGGGTCGTTCTGTGCGGATTGAGCAAGAGCTGCTTTGTAGTTGGCGAAGTCGTGATAGATGTAGATTTCACCCTGGTCTGTTGTTCGTGTCTCCATCACATTCTTCTCAGCATCCGTGCGAATTCGAAAACATCTTGAATCGACTGCTTCCGGCATTGCCACCAGGCCGTAGCCATTCGCACTATCGGTAAACTCATAAATGCATCCGCCAGAGAAGATTCTGGACATCGGATCTGAATAGAGAGCTTTGCTTTCGTGAAGTTGCCGAGGTAGGTATGTGTTCGCGCCGTACTCTGATAGGAACACGGGTATGGCGAAGTTCTCATATCGGCTGATNNCTGTTACATGGTTAGTGTCCATCACGATTGTTTCGAGGCATCAAGACAAACGTACGAGGGAGTTCCAGCCTGACATCTGCATGCCTGATTTTCCCACCCATCCATAGTTCTTGGGCTACGTGCGGTTAGTCTTCGAATCTGTACTAGAGTTCTTCATGTCAACNNCTACTGCCCAAAAGTCGATTGTGCTTTCTTTGTCGCCGAAGTACAGGTATTCTAAAAATCCTGGATGTTGGTTGATTTGTAAAGCGTCCGCGGAAGAGTAGCCTACGGGTATTATACGTGTACCCTTGCTTTTGTTGCTGCTCAACAGATATCTCTTCAGATCCCTAACAACAGCTTTCAAGACAGGAGTCGCAGGAAGGTTGCTCCGACTATTGACCACTGAATCGCCCGCGGCAATCGCCAAGGTATTTCTGTAACCAGCCATGATACCGGCGGTCTTGAGAAATGAAGAAACGTTAGCAGTGTTGTATGATTCGTAAGGTTTCGACCGATTGATGCTGCAGGTAGGGGTAGAAACAGTCTGTTTATTGTAAGTTACAATTTTGCCATGGACAACTAACAACACACGAACCGCAACAACGTAGATTCCCGCTTCCTCGAGTAACTTCATTGCTTTGTCATGTTGTTTATTATTGTCGATAAAGTCTGGAAATTTTAGCGATGCTCATCTCGTCGCTTGTCCTGTGACGAACATACATATGTATATAGTGTTGATCCCAAGTTCCTTGAACAACACGATGTTCTGTTTGAGCTCGAGTATACGATCGTCTGAGATGGGATCATTGATGACCCCTCGTTGCAATTTGTCTTCGGGTTGGTAGACGACTCCTCGGACGAAGAACTAGTACATGATCAGAAAAGTTCAATCAAGCTGCATGGTTGAGATGAACTTGCTCTTTCGTCCCCTCTCCAGAAGTAGCGGCCTCGGATGCTGACTGGTATCATGCTTGATTCAATGGTCATATCTGGATATGTTACCGATTTGGTTGTGTTTAGGTGCTGGGACGTTGTTGCCTTGTGAGATGTTCTGCCAAGCTGATGTTGTCATCGTGCAGCTCACGAATCACGACTGCCTCTTGAGATGCACTGAGATGCACCAATTTATTCAACTTGGTGAGCAGTCATTGCCAATTTCCCTTCCCATGTGCGATAGACAGTCACAATGTAGCTGTAAAAATGCACAATCTTTTATACAGTAGAGCAATATCCACGGAGAGAAGGTTGTGCTCAGGCGTCTCCACGGTGGCAACCTGTGTGTTTTTATAGCTTATGATGGCATAATGGGTTAGTGAGAGAGGAGCCGACTCTAAGCTGTGACTGTCTTCTGCACACGGGGCGGTAGTCAAAAGGTTTAAAGCCGGACTTGTTCTTGCATACGAGAACCACGATATGGCCTACCACTGTCTACAGACTCGGCAGCTCCATCCCTTCTGGCGTTCTCTTCCATTGTTTGGTGACAGGATCGAGCAACTTTTCTGCTTCTTGCCATACCTTCTCGATAAGATCTGCTCTTCCCTGATCTCTGGGAGTAATACTGACTCTGAATTCTTCAGGCATCACCAAGATGCCTTGAGTCAACCTGTCGGGATCAGGCAAGATCTGTTCTCCTGTCGCAGGATCGACGACAGGCTTTATATCGAATGCCCATAGCATCCTGGACATACCGAGGAAGAGGCTACGCTCCGCTACATGCATGCCCTGACAGATTCTCCTGCCCGCTCCAAAGGTGAATGCATCTCTTTTGGAAGCATCTGGCTGAGTTGCTGAATCCGCACAATTCAGGAAGTCGTCCTTGAACCTTTCTGGATTGAAGCGTCGTGGTTCGGGTGAGCGATTGGGATCCATGTGAATGGCCCATACATTGTTCATCACACCCGCACCTTTTGGAATCTTGTATCCCATGTAGACATCGTCTCTGGTGACAGCATGGGGCACTGCGCCGAGAATCGTTGTCGGCATCCATCGAAGACTCTCTTTTACACAGCCTCGGATATACTGCAAATTCGGCTCATCTTTCATGTCAGGCAGACGATCTTTGCCGACAATCCGATCAATCTCCTCCTGTGCCTTCTTCTGGACTTCGGGAAAGAGCAACATGGCTTGCACGAAAGCATAGAGAGTGCTTGCAGTGGTATCACTACCGGCCTCAAGGAGTGTTCCTGTTATGTAAGCAGCCTGTGCGTCTGAAAAGCCTTCTTCTTGCTGAGCTTGTGCCATGCCGACACAAAAGCAAGGTCGGATGGTACCGGCTTTCATTGATGCTTTTGCAGCAAGCCAATGACCAACGTAGAGCTCTCTTTCTTTTCTGTGTGCCTCCTTGGCCCTTGCTTGCAATGGAAAGATCCAGTCTGGAAGCTTTCGCAGTAGAGGGAAGGAATCGAGTAGTGCAGCCGTTCCGGTTTGGTTGATCTGCACAAAGTCTGAAAAGCCATCGTAGAGTTGCTTCATGTTTTCGTTTTCATAAGTCGGGGTGCGCCAGCCGAATACCATGGTTGTTGTCAGGGCATTGGCATAGCGACGAATGTTCTGCAGACAACGATCTGGGGATACGAGCATTTCGTGAAGCATTTGTTTGTTCTCGAGAAGCTGGTAGGGAACGTACGTCTTGGCCATGTTGACATTGAGCAAAGCGTGGCACATTTTGCGGAAAAAGCGCCATGTAGGACCGTATTCNNCTTCAGTAGGTTAGCATGAAATTACTGGACGGACTGAGGGTCCTACCATCATCAAAAACCGCAAGCCTCCACTGCAGAGTTCCTGTCCTACATACATGTCCTCACGGGCAGAGTAGATAGCACTGCGCTTGTCAAGGAGATCTTTCACTGCTTGGTCGCTCGATAGGATGATAAGGACCCTAGTGCCGAGCATCAAACTGTAGATGGGACCGTACTCATTGGCCCATTTTTGGAATTGGAGATGTGCATCTCTCTTGGGCATCTGACGAGTTGTCAGTACATATCAAGAGATGCGGTGGGTTCAGGCAGGCAGAACCTGGTGAATATTTCCAATGATAGGCAAGGTGGGTGGACCGGGAGGATAGTCCTTATGACGGCGACCTATGGTCAGTATCTTTAAGATAAGGAGAAAGACACCGAGGATAGCGAAAATGGTGGGGATTGTCAGGGCCATGCCGGCTGATGTGTACTCAAGGCCGTGATGAGAAAGCCAGATAACCAATGTGGACGGGAAGGTGCATATAAATACTCGACGGCAGCGTGATGCAGCTTACTTATCTTGATCTCGTAGCCATGATAGGACGGGGTTCATAGGCGATGCAGTGCATACAAGTAATATAGTTAGTGGTGGTCGATGGATCCTTCCCACCGTGTTGGTATCTAACAGGACAGAACAGAGTGATGATCAGCACGGATGCCACAGCGACGAACGACACGAGAGATTAACGTTGTCATATATTGAGGGCGGCAATGCATGGCTACCTTGGGGATCTGGATGGTGGTTGGTGCAGAAGGAGAGGATGAGGGCAGAGTGGGAGAGAAGCACTTTGGGCACGGACACGCGACCGCGACTGCCTCGGCCAGGCAGACACGTCTTCCCAGACACGCCATTTCCTTCTCTCAGAACGATTTCTCTCGTTGCTCTCCATGCGTTTGAGCGACTGCGCAGGCCATCAAAATGTGGTTCCTCGAGTGTGAGGGCGACTTGTTCGACAGTAGGTTTATCCCAGGCAGACAGAATAACATCTTCGTTGACTTTCCACANGATAAGCGTATCTGGCTGCGACCCGGCACAAAGCTGGTCCTCGGCCGTACATCCAAACCTGAGCCAGGCCAACGTACGTCCAACATGGCCGTCGAACACGCACTCTCGCTGATGCCTGCACAGGCNATGCGATATATCGAGAACTCGTCCGTCTCCCGCAAACACTTGACCGTCGACGTAGCCAAGGTCGATCCCGGAGAGAGCAAACACCTCCACGCAAAGACAAAGCTCCAAGTTACCGACAACTCAAAGGTCGGCTCCTGGATCAACAATGAACGCTTGGAGAAAGGTGCCGCAAAAGATGTGGACAGGAACGACAACAAGGTTAAGTTGGGCAACTACGAGCACCACTTTCACATCAAATGGCAACCCATCGTCTTCTCCTTCCCCTCGCTTCCTCGCGCCTATCGCCAACTCGAAGATCCGCTCACCGACCAACGCCGTATCCTCGAACCCCTAGGCATCAAGTGTATTGTTGACTACATCGCCCAATTCACCTCTCATCTCGTCGCAAAGAAGCGCAACACACCAACCACCCTACAAGCCCTCGTCAATGCTCGCTACATCGTCACCGATGACTACTTGGATTTGTTCCACTCCCTGTCTCTAGACGCTCTCGAACAAGACTTCAACGCGAACTGGCCGGGCGAAGAGCCCTACTCTCCNCCACCTGCCAACGAGCCAAATCCTCGCCCTGACAAGTCACCCGACTTTCTTCCCAATCCTGCCCGTTCCGAAATCTTCTCACGCTACACCTTCATATTCAGCGACCCTGGACAACACACCAATCTTATGCCTACCATCACTGGTGGTGGCGGAAAGGCTTTGTGCCATCCTATCGACATCGAAAATCCAGACCCAGAAGACCTGTTGAGCTATGTCCGTGAGGTTGCTGGTAGAAAGTCAGACAGAAACTTCATTCTTGGCCAACAACCAAAGACAAAAGGTGGTATCATCTTGGTCCGTGTCGGTGGCTACAAACAAGACAGGCCATGGTTCTATGATCAGGTTGATTCTTCTTTGGGACAAAGCAGCATCGAGCAGAATGAACTGTTGGAAGTCATACTTGATGCAGATGCTTCCAAACTGAAGAGACCTGCCCAAACCGTTCAACCTGCAGAAGGTACCAACATGCACAATGGGACACAGCGATCGTCGATTCATCAAACACCAGAATCTCCTTCAGTACGCCTACAATCCAGTAGGGTCGCTACAGAAGTCCCATCTGCAACTCCAGAAGATGGGGCTCCTGAGACTTCTCAGCAGGAGGTGGCAACTACGGGCAAGCGCCGTGGACGCAGACCTCTGACACAGATGAAATTCAAAGGCTTTGACGAGATCGACATTAACTCTCTGCCAAAGTATCGTTCTCCATCGCCTTCACAACCACCGTCGCACCAAGCCAGCCAAGCTCCATCACCAGACTTCATGGATGAGGATGAACAACCTGAGAGTTCACACCCAGTACCGAGCCAACATACTCAGCGTTCGACAAGGAAAAGACCGCCTCCAGAAGATGAAGAGACGCACCACGACATGGTGGCCGGGATGTTGCAGGGTGCTGCAAAGATGAAGAAACGTCGTATCGACGCAGGAATCGAAGCTTCAACAACTCCTACCGGAACAGCGGCGGAAGAAGCCACACCAGCACCTGCAGTCAAGAAGGCTAAAAAGCGCAAAGACAAGGAGGTCGATGTACGAGCCATACTGGCAGAACGCCAGCAAGCCGAGGAAGAAAGGCGTCTCGAAGATGAAGAGAAACTCCGCAACCAACTTCAGGGCATGGAGGTTGCTGACATGCAGAATTTGGCACAGATCGAAGTCATGGATATCAGTCGTGAGCCTCCGCCACGGTCGAGACATGATGCTGAAGCTGGACACGACGATCGTTGGGATGATCGATGGAACGGCCGCAAGAACTTCAAACGTTTCCGCAGACAAGGCACGGCTATCAATACACAAACTCGAGCTCGTGTCTTTGTTTCTTTGGAAGAAGTCGAGCCAAAGGCATACGGTGCACAAGACGAATACTTCCTGGAGCCTCGTACTAAAAAGGCTCGCAAGAAGGCAAGACGATCACAGCAGACACAAGATAGTATGGATGTCGAGGTCACTGCGACGCCTTCCTCCATCACTGCCAATGGCACACCATCACAACGTCAGAAGAACAATACCAACAACAGCATCTCTCTCGTCTCGGGCAGCGAGCAGGATCAGTCATCAGAGGACGAAGACAACGCAGCGCGCTTCCGCCGCCGAATCGCAACTTCCCGCATCCAGGATGCCGAAACCTCACGTCTTGAAGCTATACTGCCAGAGGAAATTGCAGGCACGGCCCGTGACCAGGACATTGCCGATGCAGCCAGGCAAGCCAAGAGCAGTGCATCTGTACGAACACAACCAGGCAAAAGAACAGCCAAAGGTGTTGTTGATGAGATCTCGCAGCCCAGGAAGAGAGTGCAGCGAAAACCCAGTCCGGATGAGGTTTCGGATGACGAGGACGATGACGAAGAGAGTAGTACTCGCTTCAGACGTAGAAAGAAGTGAGATGAACACGCATGATGGATCGTGAATGGGGGTCTTAGATACGTGTAGCTCTCTATAATGACACAGCGACGATATGCATAACCATTGCTTTTCCCACAAGGGAAGCTGCAGTTTGCCAGTTCCAAGCATCTCCACACCTGATTGTGTCCTTGATATGCTTCTGTGTATGTTCCATCGTCTTATTATGATTGAAGTACCAAGACCGAACACAACTCTCAATCACACCCCTATACAAGCGCCAAACCCGTAAAACACGACGTCTGCTCATCCAAAATCCTCTCTTTCTTCCCACTTCCGTCGCCCTGAACCCGCCACACCGCGCCTCCCAGATCCGAAACATAGATACAGCCAGCGTCAACATCCACCTTGATCCCAATTGCCTCGTTGAAGTTTTGAGCGAGGATCTGAGGCTTTTCGGCCAAAGCTCCTTGGTCCGTCAAGGCGGCTTTGTAGAGGCAGTTTCCGAAAGGTACTTCACCTCTGTCCGTCCAGTAAAGCGTATTTGTATCTACGATGTATTGGAGATCAATGGGTTCAGGGAGGTTGTTGGCGAGGACGGAGATGTCTGTGCGAGCGGATGCTGTAGTGTTCTCGGGAATCTCGATAGGGGCGCTGAAGATACGACCGTGGTTGCCCTTCGCAGTACCTTTTTGCGTCCAGAAGAATTTGTTTAGGGAAGGCGCGATGGTGACGCCGATGCATTGGTCCATGATGTCGCCGGGAGGGGCATCGTGCTTGTGAGATTCTCTGTTTGCATTGTCGATGAGGAGTTCCAGATTACTGCCGTCGGTGTTGCAGCGCCAGATACCACAGCCTTCGCGATCGGCGATGTAGAGTTTCTTAGCGGTGTGGTCGATGGAAAGCTGCTTCGGGGTGTAGATCTTGCCGGGAGGGATGATGGTAGTGGTGCCAGTGCCGTCGAGGTTGACACAACATATACTGCCATCGTTTAGACTGGGCATGCCCATGTTTGTGTAGTAGAGTTTTCCATCATGCGCTTCCACACCGTCTGGTATATTGAGCCCCTCTCTGAGGACACTCTGGGTCTTGCCGTCTAGAGACACTTCCAACAAGCGTCCGGAAGAAAGGATTTGAGCTGGTGTTTTGTTGGTCAGCGGTTGCCCTAGCCCTGTGTCGAGGACGACCAACTTCTTTTGTGGTGGAGAGGAAGCTGGAGCAGATTGTGGTGTAGATGCTTTCGGGCCATATAGACCTCCTTTGTCGCTCTTGAGACCAAGTTTTCCGTGGTCGAGATAGTTCTTTTGCAGAAAGTCGACAGTAAATGATGAGTCCAGACCTCGCTCTTCGATATAGTGTTTCTCGATCAGAGCCACCGTGTTAAGTCCAACNNACCTGCAGAAAGGAGTTAGAATAAGCCTATACACCTCCACATGCCATTTCCCCTCCTTCCCACAACGCGTCTTTGCAGAACAGTTAAAAAGAAACTTACTATCCATAGACTTGCAAGGACCAAACTTGGCACCCAGCATCTCAATCCACACCTTGTCGATCTGTTCAGGGGTCGAAACACCCTCGGCTATGACCATCAAACACTCGCGTTTGATGGCAGCCCATATACGGTTAAAGATGAAGCCCGTAGATTCCTTGACGGCAACATAGGGGGACAAGCCAGCTTCCTTTGTCCTCTCTGCCAGCCACTGCATCAAATCTGGGTATGTCACTCCATCAGTCATGATCTCGACAACAAGATTTGTAGGAGGCATCATGTAGTGCATATTGCAAATCCTCGTTTTTGTGCTTTGCTTCTCGATTTTGGCGAGCATGGCACTAGACTTGTAGGACGAGGAGTTGGAGGCTAGAATGCAGTCTTGGGGTGCCAGGTTCTCGAGCTCGGCAAAGACGTTGATCTTGAGGTCGAGGACTTCGGGCACGCATTCAATGATGATCCACGCATTCTGGACGGCTGCCTCGAGATCAAGTGTTGCGAATGCGGTGCCAGGGGATCTGCCAGTGATGGCTCTGGTTGCAAAGGCGGTTAAGTTCTCCTTGATGTATTGTAGAGCATCATCACACTGGGATTGGTTTGTGTCGCGGATGACAACGTTGTAGCNCTGCAGAGCACCAGCAAGTAGCTGTCATCGTGAGTACTTGACACTGCATCAGGAAAGGACATGGATCTATAGCTTACCGATGCGCCTTCCCAAAACTCCACCACCGAGTACGACAACGTTCCTTGACTGATAGTCGGCGGGAGCACTCCATTGAGGAGGTTCGATAATCTCGGGCATCTTTGATCGCTCAGAGTGCAATTAAATTTTCTTGGATATGTGCTGATGTGATCATTAGATGGCCGGCTGCTCAGGCGAAGAGCAGTTCTTATACAGCAAGGCTCTGACAGCGGCCAGCTATCCTACCCAACCAAATGGGGCAGAAAGTAGTCATTTCGGATAACCATCTTCTGCAAAGGGCGGGAAGTACGGTACTCTAGTTAAGAACGTCGTATATGCTCGGCCCGGTGTCAGGGTTGTCGTGTGAGGTCTCCAGCAGCTGGAGGATATCTGAACCAGGCTGGGGGCAATCAAATGCTCGGACACTGCAAAGATCGATGCTGAAGCTCTTCCCGATATGAACCTCGCTTAGCTATACTAATCGCCAGGCCCAGAGTCGATGTCGGCAGTCATGTAGACAGGTATGTACACCAGTCTTAATCCAGGGCATGCCAGAGCACAAGAGTTGACGATGCAATTCAATTCTGGTCGGGCAGATGTTTCGCTGTGCCAAGTGTCGACCAGTAGCGTAGACAGTAAAGTGTCAATCAACATCACAAAACGAGAAAAGTAAACAAGAGAACGCGAGAAATTTGTGATAAGAATTTTTTCTTCATTTGAAAAAGATATGTATAAAAAGCGATATGTACTCCTTCTTGGACACCGAGACTCACAGCCCTAAGTTAATAAGACCATTACGAGAATCAGCTTCCTAAATCCAGAGAGTTATTCTACAAAATCACGCCCCTCTACCCGAAGGCAGAGGGACTGGCAACACAACGCCGTGGAGGAAATGTTAGTGAGATGGTATTGCCTTGCAAGCAAGGGTTCCAGAGCTCGACATAGGCGCCGGTCGTGGCATGATTTTGATGTTTTGATCGCGGTGTAGAAGAGGGTGTGGGTAGAAGGAGATTTTATAGCTGTGAAAAGCTCCGGTGATTATGTCAGCAAGAGTCGGTCAGACTCGCTGGTGAGGCTAAGGAGCCTCATGGGTAGTGAAGCCTCAGAGTGGGAATCCGTGATGGCATCACTGCTTCCGAACTAGGAGTTTGGCCATCGAGGTACTTTGGAGCACCGTTTTCTCCAGGAATTCTGCTCTCTTCTGAGAAGTATCGCGTAGTCATAGAGGCAGTATAACAGTCTTAAGCAAAAGGAGAGGGCGGTACTTGCTCGAGGGCTCCCTAACCATGGGGGCTTCGTGCGACCAGGAGGCCGAGACGGCGATAAGAGCCAGAGACGGGGTAGAGTTCAGGGTCTGTTTTATCGGGGGCCGCCGATGGGACCTTCGTTGTTCGCCGCACTCGAGACTCTCAGTCGTGTGGGTTGTGTTTAACATTCGGACGTCGTCTGTTGTCCTCATGGCAGTTTGCTCTGACCTGTTCCCTCGGCAGAAGATTGTCGTAGCAGTCGAAGGCTTTGGGTGAAGATGGACGGCTTCAGCAGCATGGACGCTGCACAATATGATGAATACATTGAGCATATGAGGCAGACGGAATATCCTATGCTCAAAGGTGTGTGATGGTCATATCATGCGACGTGGTGGGGACTGACAAGACGGAANGGTGCGACATATCTCGATCACGCAGGAACGACCCTCTACAGCAAATCCCTACTCGATGCTTTCACATGCGACATGATGAGCAACCTCTACGGCAACCCACACTCTGCCTCGCAGGCTTCACAAAGATCTACCCACCAAGTACAAGACGTCCGACTGCAACTCCTTCGTCTCTTCCGTGCGGATCCTGACGTTTTCGACCTGGTAATTGTCGCCAATGCCACGGCAGGCATCAAATTGGTCGCTGATGCTCTCCGCGAACACGAGTCGGGCTTCTGGTATGGTTATCACAGAGATGCGCATACCAGTCTAGTTGGTGTGCGTGAGCTCGCACAAGAACATCTCTGTTTTGCTGGGGATAAAGAGGTTGAAGAATGGATTGAACAAGATGGACAAAACACACAAACTCGGCTCGGACTATTCGCCTACCCGGCTCAGTCTAACATGAATGGCCGTCGTCTGCCACTTGATTGGTGTGGTCGAGTACGAAGTCGAGGTATCCTGACTCTGTTGGATGCTGCTGCACTCGTCTCAACTTCCCCTTTGTCCCTGGCCGACCTCGACACGGCCCCTGACTTTACAGTCCTCAGCTTGTACAAGATGTTTGGTTTCCCAGATCTTGGTGCTCTGATCGTTCGTAAAGATGCGGCTTGGGCTTTGCAGAAGAGAAGGTATTTCGGTGGCGGTACCGTCGATATGGTCGTGTCGTTGAAGGAGCAGTGGCATGCTGTCAAGTCTGCTCATCTGCATGAACAGTTTGAGGATGGCACTTTGCCCATCCACAGTATCATTGCGTTGAAATCTGCTCTAAAAGTCCATCACGACTTGTTTGGCGCGTTGGAACGAATCTCAGAGCACACCTCCTTCCTTGCCGAACGCCTATATTCCTCACTCAAGTCGTTACGCCATGGCAACGATGAACCAGTGTGTCAGTTGTACGAGGATCCGACCTCAGTCTATGGCGATAAGAATACCCAAGGTCCTGTCGTCGCCTTTAATCTTCGCGATGCTGAGGGCCGCATGATCAGCAATCTGGAGGTAGAAAAGCTGGCCCATGTCCGTAACATCAACATCCGCACTGGTGGCCTCTGCAATCCTGGAGGCATTCAGTCCGCGCTGGGTCTTTCGCCGTGGCAGCTGAAGAAGAACTTCTCCTCTGGCCAGCGCTGCGGATCTGAGAATGATGATGTCGTCAATGGTCAACCTACCGGCATGATACGAGCAAGTCTAGGAGCCATGTCCACCATTAAAGATGTCGACACCTTTGTCTCATTCATAATCGAGTTTTTCTTGGATACTTCAAATACGCCATTCGAGCGAACCGACTCTCCTACATTGTCACTAGAAGTTCCCCTGTCCGAGCAGTTGCATGTCGAGAGCTTGACGGTATATCCAATAAAGAGCTGTGCTGGCTGGCAGGTTCCCGCCAACACTCCATGGGAGGTGCAACCACAAGGGCTGGCATGGGATCGAGAGTGGTGCATCATCCACAGTGGAACCTCGGTCGCACTATCTCAAAAGAAGTATCCACGCATGGCTCTCCTCCGCCCAAACCTCGATTTCTCAGCGGGAGTCTTGCGCATCACCTGTGCAGTCCCCATTAAAGATGCCACCCACACAGAAATCAGCATCCCGCTCTCTGCCGACCCGCGCTGCTTCACACCTCTCAGCAAAACCTCTACACCCACAAACGTTTGCGGCGACAATGTAGCAGCAAGAGTGTACGCTTCTCCCGTCATCTCATCATTCCTATCTTCTGTGCTGGGCGTGCCCTGTACACTCGCCCGCTTCCCAGCAACCTCTACCTCACGACACGCAAAACAGCATCTCGCTCCCAAGCCCAACAGCAGCAATGGCAACCAAACGACACCACTAGCATTCTCAAACGAAAGCCCTGTACTGTGTATATCGCGCATGTCGGTAAACGCTCTGAACAAAGCAATAAAAGCAAAAGGCGGGCCCGCGGTCCCGGCATCGACGTTCCGTGCCAATATTGTGGTCTCGCAGCCGTTGCATCTGGTTCCAGGCACTGAGACGCCGTACGTGGAAGATACGTGGACGTCGCTGTCTGTTGCAAGTAAACAAAGTCGACAGCATGGCGAGCAAGGAGCCGACAAAGCAGCGAATTTCAAAGTCTTGGGCAAGTGTAGGAGATGCCACATGTTATGTGTAGATCAACAGACTGCCGAAACCAAGCAAGAGCCCTTCGTCACCTTGGCAAAGACCAGACGAGAAGACGGAAAAGTGTGGTTTGGCGTGCATCTTGCGCTGAGCACAGGAGAAAAGAAAGGATGGGTCAAAGTGGGTGATGAAGTTGTGGCCTCCTAAGTAGTCCCCATGCAAAAGTGGGAAATACGATCAAGAGTGAAATCAACAAAACGAAATAAAGAATGCATAATCATTGAATGGTGTGTGGTATCATACTAAACAGAAAAGAAACAACTCCGTCGCGGGTAGATGCATGTCTGAACCCAATCCTGATTGTAAACAATGCGAAAAGGAAGAAAAAGGAGAAGAAAACCATCGCATCGGACCTTGTCAGTGAATAATCACTACGGTCCTCAATGCCGATCGTCTTTCGCAGAACGTCCTGGGAAAGACACATCGTGAAGATCGTGTAGACGTAAGGAGCGATGATCAAATGCTTGGTTGTCTCTGGAAAATTATCTAGACTCGAGGGCTGTAGGTCATTAGGTCACGTAGGGCTGTGCGCATCTGTCTTGTAGAATGTCGTGAACGGAGAGAGGCCCTCAAAGAGCGCCGTGAGTCGGCATGTTGCAAAGGCGGTCTTTGCACAACCCATATGCTCACTGACTGTGCTCTAAGGGAACTGGTCGAAGAGCGATCGCTTGCTGCTGCGGAACGTCGTCGGAGGGCATTCCAAGGTCGACGGAGACGTCTCAGAGAGCGTCCCCGCTAAGAAGCTCCCGAAGGAGCATTGCTCCCTCCATTGCCACCACCAAAGGCATCCCTCATGCGGGCCCACGCAGCAGTGGCAGCTCCTGAAGCGGCTCCAGCGTTGTTGGTGGTACGCGAATGCTCGGGACTCTCGGCGACATTGATGGGGTCGTCTCTGGTGCCTTCACCTTGACCCCACGTCCTGTTGTTTCTCGCGGCCTGGCCAGGTTCTCTTGATCTTGTTGCATTCTCGGGGCCATCTCTAGGCATGATGCCTTGCCTGCAATGAGGGCATGTGTCGTGTTCACCCAACCAGGCTTTGATACAGTCGGGGTGGAACCAGTGATCGCAAGGCAGGCAAGTGACTTGACTACCGATCAGAGCTTCGTCCATGCAGATGGAACAGTCGGCCTTGCCTGTTGTTTCGTCCAGATCTTCCTTGGTGATGGCCTTTTGCGGTAGAGAGGAAATGGCTTCGGCCGAGGCGGGACCCGGGGCATTGGACTGATTCTGCTCCATGAGCTGAGATATTATCCTGTCCAGAGCTTCTTGACTGTAGACGGCATCGCCGTGCTGCATGTTGGCAGGGTTGAAGAGGGTGTTCAAGATGTTACCAAAGCCAAGAGGCTCGAAGTTGGGATCGGGACCAGCACCTCGTGGAGGAGCGTGAAACATGTGATTGAGAATGCCTGGTAGATTGTCGATGGTCTGGGCGCGGGCTTGAGGACTGTTGGCGTCGCGAGGCGCTAGACGGGTAGTAGCCGTGTACTGGAAGTTGGGACCGCCGCCGGTGAAGACGCGCACGTTGGGGTCGGCATCAGGGGATTGTGTTGCAGCATCGCGTGCACCGGGATGTGGTTGGCGTGCAGCACCACCGATGATTTGGTTTAGCATGCTGAGGATAGCATCGGGTGCAGGACCGTTTGGCTGAGGAGCGGGCGAGGCATGGCCACGAGGGTTGTTCCCCGAAGAGAAGGTATGGCTGAAGCTCATGGAAATGCCGCCTTGAGGGTTGGTGCGGTATTGGAAGCTGGGGGTGGGGATGTCGCTCTCCTCGGGGTCGGGGGCGTCGTGGGGAGTGTTTTCCCAGGGATTGTGGTCGTGGAAAGGATGCGGTGGGGCTTGTTCGTCGGATTGGGCCTGTCTCGGGTCATGCTGTGCCTCGATNNCTGATGGTCGTGTCAGCCGGAGGAAGCGAGTGTCGAGTGAGGCGCGGCTTACGATCTCTGTAAAGTCGGAATGGCAGTCTGGACATGTGAGGCCGCCCTCGTCCCGGAACCATTCATTCTCGCACTCGTGGCAGAAGACCAAGTCCCGTTGGCGGTCCATGATGGTCGGCTGGTATTAAGATGCGAGGTGATAACGCGCAAAGGTAAAGATTGTCGATGGCGAGGACGAAGATTGATTCGGAACTATGCGTTGGTCTGCATATGCAATGTCGTGTGGTGCAGGCAGTGTTTGTTGATCCGTCACTTTTTTTCCAACTAGATCCAAAGGCCGTTCTTAGGTGCGAGTGTAGACAGAGAACAGAATGTGTGCCATCCAACAACGAGGCAACTGCTCTTGCAACAGAACTGTGACTTCCGCTTTGTGCTGTTCCGAATGACGCATTGTTTGGTCGCTGACGCCACACCCATGTGGCGAGTGCATGTGGCTGGCCCATGTTTTTCCTCGCACTTCCATCGCGAACCAACCACGTGAACTTTTCGTCGAATCATCCAAGTCTTTCTTCACGTGGAAAGATCAATGGATCTGTGGTATACACCTGCGACACAAGACTGTAGTCCGTCTATGTGGAACCCAAGCTTGTTACTAGCCACCCGAAGGAGGCTGAGCTCACCAACTTCCCGGTTTTCAACCAAACATGCAAAAGCAACTTAGAATTGATATTTTTTTCCTTTGCACTTTCCTAAGTCTCCCTCCCCTCTGTGAAGCAGCTGTGCCTTCTCCTACACGATGAAGTGGAGGTCAATGTTCAATCGCGACCGTGATGGTGCCACGCGCATGGTTGACGAAGCCAGCGCTCTGCTACCAACCCACGGTGACCACATTCCCAGCGCTGTCCCGGCTAGAGAGGTTACCAAGATCGCTTTGCGCCTCAAGCACCAAATCGAGCAAGTCATTCCCTGTGAGCTCGAGGAAGATAGAGTCACTGCCGCCCATTCCAATGTCATCACTCCAGCCGTCGTCGAAACTGCCCGTTCTGCTGGCAAGCATGGGCGTGCCGGTTCTTCCGACAACGACTACTCTGCTTGTGTTGTCTTTTGCTTGCTGATTTGCAAGAAATGGTTCAAGCGCCAGGCTTTGCTCGAGCTCTGGGATGCTGACATGCATGAAGTCCGTGCCGTCGCCTGTGAGGTGATTGCCAAGGCCATCATCGAATCAGAGGAAGACGCCGGCTTCCTGCTGCAAAGTATTCTGCTCAAGAGATACAGTATCATCATCGATGGAGAAGAAACCGCGCCCAATAATGTCATCGAGAAGGCTGTGGATATGCATGCTCTCAGAGTCATTGGAAGCTCGGGCTACCAGAAGTGTATCACCTATCTCTGGCGTGGCTGGCTGGTTCAGGATGAAGACGACCCTACTCGCTTTGTCGACTACAAGTTGAAGACTTCGACCAGTTACTGGGACCACCTCGATCCTGATCGTATGCGTGCTCCTCTCTACCAAAACGCACTCCAAGTCTTCATCAGTCTGCTCTATCTGGGATTCTACACCGGTGCCATCAACACCATCAACCCTACTGGTGATCTTGATGCTATCGAAGGACTGCTCTACATCTTTACCCTCGGCTTTGTCTGCGATGAACTCGCCAAGTTCTGGAAAGTCGGAAAGTACTACTTTGGATTCTGGAACACTTTCAACAACACTCTTTATGCCTTGTTGACCGTCTCATTTGTCACAAGAATGATAGCTCTTGGTCATCGCATCGGCACGGATGACAGACACAAGTTCAACGAGCTCAGCTACAACTTCCTGGCCTTCTCTGCACCTATGTTTTGGTGCCGTCTGCTGCTCTTCTTTGACACCTTCCGCTTCTTCGGTACCATGCTCGTTGTACTCAAGGTCATGATGAAGGAATCTCTCATCTTCTTCGCCCTTTTGTTCTTCGTTAGTATCGGTTTCCTGCAAGCATTCATCGGTCTAGATCAAGAAGACGGCAAGCTGGATGCCACTAACTTTGTCGTCCAAGCCATGATCAACGCCGTCATGGGCAGTCCCGAGTTCGACGGCTTCGACAACTTTGCTCCTCCTTTCGGCTTGATACTCTACTACATCTTCACATTCATCGTTATTGTCTTGTTGTTGAACATTTTGGTCGCTCTGTACAACAGCGCCTATGAAGATATCACCGAACACTCTATCGATGAGTACATGGCTCTGTTCGCACAAAAGACTTGCCAGTTCGTGCGCGCTCCTGACGAGAACGTCTTTATCGCTCCATTCAATCTGATCGAGCTCGTCTTGTTGGTGCTGCCGTTTGAATGGTGGATGGACAAGGATACCTACGAGCGTCTCAACGACTACGTCATGGCAACCATCTACAGCCCTCTGTTGATCATCACCGCCGCCCTTGAAACAAGAATGGCCTATAAAGTCCGCTTCAATCGCAACAGAGGCGAGGTAGACGAAGACACCATTGAAGAGTGGGAGCAACTGGACGGTGAATTCGACTTTGAAGGCGACGGCTGGGTCAAGAAGTGCGAAGAAACAAAACCCAATGTCGAGGTCGATGGAACCCTTGTCGAAGTCAAGGAGTTGAGAAGGGAGATTGAAGAGCTCAAGGAAATGTTGAGGAGTCTCAAGGGTTGAACGAGATCATGCCAGGTCACTTTAGGGATAGTGGGGCTTGTTTTTCGTGTCTATCTGTGTCGTCTGTTTTGAAGAGATTTGGGTATTCTACACCCATACTGAACATCTATCATGACTTCAAATATGCTGCGTAGTTATTAAAAAAAGCCTTCGAGTCTTTCACACAGTGCTTCTTTTGTCCACAAACAATCAGGACATGGATCATTCCGACTCCCTCTTGATATCAGTCTCGAGCTGTCACAAACACCACATATTGTGGCAAATCAACTACAAAAAGGGCAAATCAGATAGAAAGTTCCCGCATAAAACCGCTCAGGTTGTGCATGCGACCAGCTCTTTTGCATTGTCTCTAAGAAGCAAAGTCCAAAAGTGACACAAAAGATCATCCATGTATCTAGACCGAACGACCACCGGCATATCGACATTGAGAGCGGAGGGGTCCGGTTGTTAGATCGTACCTTGCGGACAAGGGATTCTTCTTTGAGAAAAGACATGCGATAAGTGATGGACAATACGTGGTTCGACTCTTGATTCCCTTCGACTGTACCTGCTCGTTCATCCTCCGTGTGCTGGTAAAATTGCTATACCATAGCTGAGGAAATGCACAAACATTTTTCTAGGATCAAGTGTTGGCAAAGGAGAGCTATCGTCTCAAAGGCCGCTTCTCATCATCATATGGCCGCACGTCCAGTTTTGTAAACAACTGTGCATTCTGATAGTAAACCATAGCACCATGTGCTAAACGCGAAGAGAGGCTACTTGTTGACATTAACCACATGTTCTCTATATGTTTACCTATATAGAGGCCCCCCGGTTTCCATTGTACTCAGGCTCGTGGTTTGTTGTACTTTGGCAGATTTTCAAAGTGTCTCCCAAAGCCAATGTGGTGGACATGATTGAGTGGATGCGAGGAGCAGGTATAAATATTGCATTCGTGCGTAAAAAAGCTACAGTACTGTTGCTACCTCCCAGCCATTCCGCCCGGTATGTCATGTTTCACTGTTCATCATCAGTCGTCCTTGACTCAGGAAAGTTTAGAAACCTCCAGCACCCCTGACCCTCTGCACAGCACCCACAATGCCCTTTGCCCAACTCAGCTTTCCAGCATCTACGCCAATGGCTCCGGGTGCCTGTTTGCCCTGAGCATCACGCCAGATGCCATCGACGTTGCTTGCTTTGCCTAGTTTGCCCGTGTTCTGGTTTCTCTCGACGCCCTCACGCCACTTGCCAACAATCTCGGCACTGTCAATCATAATGTTGACTTCCTGGCTGTGGTACCAGGATTGAGTGTCTTGGTTTCCATTACCCATGATTCCGAGATGCTCGTCCACAATCATGAGTTTGACGTGGCAGGACCGCTGTTTGAAGCTGTCGTGGATAGGGGCGACTTGATCTTTGGCGGTGTAATAGTGTATGTGTAGGAGATTGCGTGCTGCGTCTTCGTCCTTGGTGAGGGCTGTGTATAGCTTGTTTGCTACGCCTTCGTTGTGGCCTCCTTGGAAGGGAAGAAGCTCGCCTGCGTCGTTGTAGCCCAGGCATACATAGTATGTGACTTCGACTCCACGACGTACAGCGGCCAGAAGTTCGGGAATTAGAGGTGCTGCATTGAGGTCGGGAGTTTGGATGAAGACAGAACGAGTGGCGTTGCGTACAGCAGACAACCAGGCCTCATTTTGTGGCATAAACACACCATTGTGGTTGGTCGCGCCGTATGGCTTGCGATTCACCAATGCCATTGGCACAAGGTTGTGTACTTTGTGTGGGATGTATGGTGTCATCTCCTCGCCTAAAGCATACTCGCCTTCAATGGTTGTCTTGACGTCGAGGTGTCGGCCGCGGTTGAGATGGCGGGCTGCGACTTGAGGACCAGTCTCACCATGTCTAGGTGACATGACGGATTGCATACGAGTAACCTCAGCTGCGATATCTACGTCGTAGTGTGGATCGCCCGGAGCATGCAGGGGTAGCTCTGTGCGCTTGCCAGCCTCTGCAACTTCGTCCAGCGAGCGACTGTTGCCCCGTTCGGGAACGTTCAGGTTGCCACTCTGATCGAACAAACCGTGGAAAGACGGTTGGTCGAAGGTTGGCAAGCCGCCTTGAGCAGCGGGTGTGTTACGTGATGGTAGACGTGGCTCGAGCGGGTTGTGCCAGGAGATCAAGAACGTGTCGTAAAGAGAATCAACAATAGGACCTTCGACATGACACANTCTATCAGAAGTGGTCAGTTATACCATCCATCAGTCTCAGTATCAACTTCACGTTAGACTCACCATTTCCATGTTGGAATTGTCTTGAATGTTGTTCGAGCTGACGATGCCGATTTTTCTATCCACGACCATGAATTTGGAGTGGAAAGTGCCCAGCATTGGTCTGTGATAGTTCAAAACTTGCAGGTCAATGTTTGGTGCTTCTTTAGTAGACGGCAGGCGAATATTCTTGCCAGTGTACTCGTCCTCCAGTACCGTTTGGTGATTGTCGATAACCTGNNCATTGTCTTAGCATCTTCCATGGTTGGTTTTGCCGAAACTGTTGCTTACCTGCTTGACATTTCCTCTATCGTACATGATTTTTACGACTGCCCGTTCGCCTCTCTCGCCAGCACGTTTCGAGAGCTCTTTGAGGCCATCGGTAATGAGACGTGAAGCATCAGAGTCCATCCAGTAATTTGTTGCAAGCAAGACTTCCTTTTCTGCTCTTGCAATTAGATTGGACTGTGAGCTTGATCAGTATGATGCAGTTTGACGTGGAATAAAAGCACTGCGCACCATGTGTCTGCAGATATCAGGCAATCCCGATACTATGGTCAAAGGGCATGTTCCTGAAGAGCCGATCAACGACGGACTGCAGCAACCCATGAGAGGATCATGTTCGAGTGGCATCAAGCTGTCGTGGAACACACGTAAGAACAGCTCGCTGGGTGGTGTGGTGAACTTTCCACATTGCAATGCACGTTCGAGCTCTTCGCCAGTCGCAGCCTTTCTCACTGAGGGTACATGTCCCTCGCTGATTGAAATGTTGTCAGGGTGGTAGAGCTTCTTCGCGGCTTCTCCGGGTGACAATGAGGGGTCCTCGGCTAGCGCCTGTGAGACACTGTGAGGATTGCGACAAAGACCTTCGACTTTTTCTGACAGAGACATCTTGTTTCGTGGTGAACGCTGGTGATGGTGTAAGTGCAGAGAATGTGGCATTGAGAGAGGTAGCTCCAAGCATGGCAGAGGGCACTGCCCTCGTGTGGCTGTCATGTTCTATAAGAGCTAAACTTCAAGCCACAAACGCATCCTCCAGAGCTACAACCGTAATGCTCTGCTGACGCGTCCTCACTCCTGCGTGGATTTGACATGGAAGTGGCAGCCGCGCTCCAAGTCCTTCTGTCCTAAAATGGTTGGGCCACCGGTTCGGACGGGTGAATGACGACGACAGAAAATCAGGGATCGGCCTGGAACAGACAAGACAAGCATTTGCCAAAGCTTGGCCAAATGCTTGTATGCATGTAATTGTGGACCATCCAAGAACAGAACCCTGATTTCTCGCACTAATTACAAAAGTTGGATGAGAGCGCGTATATCAAGGAGCCGCGCGTACTAGGGCTTGGTTTTACACGAGGTTCGATTTGCAAGTACGTGAGCAACGATCAAAATGCACACCTCTGCTTGGAAACACTTGTGTTCATGGCTCATATTACTTATGGAAGCCGTGTCCTGCTAGCTATACTACAGTGATCTCCTTATGTGTAAAGCATTGTAGCTCTTGCGAGAATTGTATGAAACTGGATAATCGGTGACATGTTGTTTCCAGTAGCCTACTTTGACAAAGCACCTTGTGCAATTCCGGCCCGCGTCTGGTGGCTGGCTGGATATATCACCATACAAGGACTTGGACATGCCTACGACGGCTGCCAATGTCTCTCGTCGACATGCGTCACAGATCATCTGTTCTCATACAATGAAAGTCTACTCGAGGATACTGGATCTTATGCGACTATTGGCATGTCATTCCGCAGTCTGTGAAACTGCTCTAGAGTTGTGAAGCTGTTAGTTCGTATGCTAGCTTGCGACCCAAAGTCCGTCCGGCAAGTAAAGCTAGGCGCCAACCTTGCCGACTGAGGGGAATCTTTTCGCGCTGAGAAGCACGCCTTTTACACCTCTAATCTCTGCCTTGAGAGCCACAGCTGCGTCGGGCTCTTTGTCTTTTGGGGCATTGGATGAGCTGAGCGAGTTGTCTGCATTCCATGAATATGATGGTGAGGTGTAGTAGAGGCCGTCGAGGTAATGTCTTGTCTCGCTGATGCTTGCTTGTAAAGTCTCATTATTTGATCCGTTGCTTTCGGCGCCTTCCAGGAGCTCTGCTAAATGTGACTTCATAATATTCAGACGAGTTGCTTGCTTCAGAGGCACCGTATCAGGCTTTACAGTGTCGGCCTCGGAAGAGAGACTTGTGCGGCGAGAGAGTGAAGGTGAAGTCTGGGTGCCAATGTCACGATGGAAGAGCTCTGTAGGGTCGGATGTGACACTATCCATCTCAAAGTCGGCGAAGTCGGCAGGGGAAGAGGGTAAGAGTTTTGCTGAAGAAGGGATGGTTGAGACTGTGTTGCTTAGCTTGTCGTTGAACACTGTTAGACTATGGCTCGTGTGGTCGAACAAATCATGGCGAGCGTGGTTCAGATTGTCGGCCATGGGAGCGATGATGTATTTGGACAAGGCGTAAGCAGAAGCAGTCAGAGCGCCAGCTATGTATGTAGCGTTTATGAGGCGGCTCACGGTAACAAGCGGTGGAGGTTTTTGAGGTTGAACGAGAAACTCTGGATATGTGATGATCGGGGGCACATCCCTACGAGGCTGGCTCGCGGCGGATGGAGCTGTGGATCTGAACTCGGCGGCAGAGAATGAGACGGCCTTGGAGGCGTCGAACTCTTGGCTGGCGGCTTCTTGCGAGCCGTCTGTCGTCTTGACATAGCTTGACGGCTGTGGTGTCTTCTTGCTCGCATCAAACTCTTGTTGGGCAGCTTCAGTCGAGCCGTCGGTGGTGGGGTCTGTCTTGCTGGTTTCAAACTCTTGTTGCGCAGCGTCTGTGGATCCGTCTGTATCGGACTTGTCTTGATTGTCTTCTGAGCCCATGACCTGGTAGATCATGTCTTCGGACACGTCCTTGGATAATAAGAAGGCCTTCTTCTTGTGGTACGGGGCATCCTTCACGACGGGGTCCTGGAGAAAGCGACGCACGCGTTCGATAGCGGCGACACTTGCATCGTGCTCTTGGGTAGCAGATTGAGTGGAGACGTCGGTGACATGCCGTTGCCAGGCTGGGACGTCTTTCTTGTCGGACATTGTTGCTGAGAAGAGTAGATCGAGGGAAGGTGCATGTGCATGTGCAATGGCCATGGCCCAATCGGCCGACGATGCCTCGGCATGTCATTTCGTGGGGAAGTCAAAGTGGCTCATTCTCAGCCACAGCATCGTCTGGCTGCTACATCTGTCGGCCATTGAGCAAAGCTTACGAAAGAGTAGGACCAATTATCCGTCCGTCTTCCGCTCCAAGCTCTGCGCATACGATTCGAAACGCACAACCATGTCTGCGCCGACCAGCAAACGACAAAAGGGGCCCGACGGGAGCCCCGTGGGCCTGCCACATGCAAACAGAAACACTCGAAATCCCCCAACCAGCCATCCCACCAATACCAGCAGGTTGGTCTCCCCTTCTTTGTGCAAACGAGCCGATACGAGCATGTTTCCTCCGGCCAAGAGCCTCTACGTTGGACCACAGGAAACGTGATGGTCGGACGCGGCAGATAACAAGATTCCACGAGCCACAATCCCTCGACGCCCAACCACCGTCCATCATCCTGTCAACACCCATCATATTGCTTCATCAACTTCCGAAATGCCTCCCACACGCTCCACAAGATCGACCAGAGTCGGAACATCTCGACTGACACCACCCACCAGCACCTCGGCCAGCATAAACAGACAAGCTTCAGATAACCACCACTTGCGCATCACCGTCAAGGCTCCCCCCAGCAAATTGCGCCAGGCCATCTCGGGCGACGACTCTGAGTCCGACTTCCCCGATGCCGACGACTCTCCTGAGCCTCCTGTAAGGACTGCTCGCTCTACCCGCAACCCGCGTACCGTGCTCGACAACGAATCCGACGACGATCAAGAAGACGATGACGATGAAGACGACGACGATGACGCCGAAGGAGAGGATGATGACATTGAAAACACAGACATGATGCATGCAGAGGGCAGCGACGAAGACGCCGACGCTGATGCTGACGATATGGACATGGATTCTCCACATCCACCACCTCCCGTCATTCGCGTGCTCCCCTCAGCCGCTGCTACCAACTCCAAGTCAAAAGTCAATCTCGCCGTCTCAGCACCTCGACCCAAGACCAACCTCAAAAGTGTCGAAGCCAAGGAATTGGACGATGACGACGAAGACGACGACGACGAATTGTCTGACCTACAATCTGGTGACGAGGATCTGCCAGGTGCAGAGGACGACGAGGAAGAGCTTGACAGTGACCTCGAAGGCGAGGATGGTGATGCGACCTTGGACCTGACCAAGTTGACTCGCCGCCAGCGGGCAGTCTACGACGAAGAGCAGGACGAAAGTCTAATGGCGCTTTCCAACGAGGCACAGAAGAAGAAACATCTTACCGCCGAGGAGCACGCCATGCGCAGAGCCGAGATGGCGAGACGAAGGAAGAACCTGTCTGAGNNAAGCGCAACGAAGAAGAAAAGGTTCGTCTCGGTCTTGATGGCATGCAATCTGTTGGCTAACATGACTTTTCAGATGGACACTATCAACAAGCTACTAAAGAAACCTGCCACAAAGCGTCGAACTCGCGCCGAAATTATCGCTGCACAAAACGCTGCAGAGGGGACTCCTTCATACACTGAGGATGGCGAGGAATACTATCATCCTGCAAATCCTCTCTTTGTTCGTTGTGTCAACAACAAAGATGGAACTCGTGTCGGTGTGCCTTCAGAATGGCTAGAAGAAGGGCAGCCCGCTGGACAAGTGTTGAAAAATGGTTGGAAAGCACCGTCCAAGCTGGTTGAAGAGGTATCTTGAGCATGATCATAGTCCCTCTTCCTACAGAATCTTCGAATAATCAATAATAACGACATATGAGTATCCGAACATCCCTTGGCCGTTCTGCCTTCCCTATCATATTCCCTCCCCATGTGCTAAAGTATGTAACGCGCTTAGCTACAGGAATGCACAATGGTAAGGAGAAACAAGGCAGCACCCGCCGAGAGCCAGCATTCTAGCGGCTCTGTATGGCTCGCCTTCTGGATGAGAAAAGAATTGTGCCTTCGCATAGTATACACTTCCCTCTACGCTCTCATGGGAGATGGGTTTAGTCACGGACCTTAGCACATGGGGAGGCCTGGCTGATTGATAAGTAGGTATGCTTTGCGCAAAGCAATCTTCACTAACCCAAGACAAAGAAATTCTGTGGATCGGATTGCACGGCACAACAACTTCCACCTCAGCACGTAAATCACACTACAGGCTGAATTTGCAGAACGTTCCACGATCGATTAAATACGCAACATCTGATCTGCAAGGAAGAGCACGGAAGAGCCGCTTCTGCCGTTGTGCTCAAGGCTCAACTTGATTTTGACAGGGTGTTCCCCCAGACTGGTTGATCATCCCCTCATTTCTCAGGCACGCATGACGTCTTTGAAATGCATCTGCCGTGGGGAAGATAAAATACCCATGAGCAACTCCGGATCAGATCGTTAAGTCCATTAGTGGTGACGTGACGCGGTCGTTGTGCCGTTGTTGCATGATGCACGTAGGCAATGCCTTGTGAAGCTATATAACTTGACTGCCGTGTCTCTGAGTTCTGATTTCAAACTTCATCCGCCGGTATGAAGTTCCTAAGCTCACTCTCGCTACTGGCAGCTGGTGCCCTTGCCCAGCAAGTCACCTTCCAAAACTCATCCTCTACTATCCTTCGAGTCGACAATGGCACTTATGGTCCTGAGATTGAAGAGTACCATTACTACTATGACCAATGGCCGATAGGTGTGTACGAATTCCCGAGTTTTAGTCCTTCAATTCTGATCTCGTCACGNATAGGTCTTGCCGTCTCCTCGACAGGACGATTCTTTGTCTCGTATACTCGAGGAGATTACGAGTACACTGTGGGAGAGGTGGTCAACAAAACTGCCGAGAAGCCATATCCGTCTCAAGCGCTGCAGCTGCCGCTTGATAGTCTGAACACGACATGGAACGGCATCGCTTTCGGTAGCGGCAACAGCTCTGCTTTTGTCTCTGTCCAAGCTTTGTACATTACACCTCAAACAGCCACACGACCAGAGACACTCTGGATCCTGGATACAGGAAGACCTACCGTCCACAATGCAGCTGGCGATCCGAGCATGCCCTACGCTCAGCCCGGAGGTCCCAAACTCATGGCCATCTCTCTTGCCAACGACACAATCTACAAGACCTACACTTTCCCCAGCACTGTCCATTACCCTGATTCCTACCTCAACGATCTTCGATTCGATCTGAGAGCAAACGTCTCTGGTACCTCGGGAGAAGGAATTGCATACCTTGTCGACAGCTCGAACGAGGGACGCAACGCATTCATCATGGTCGATCTCAAGACTGGCGAATCATGGCGCAGACTAAATCAAGACCACAGCGTGCTGCGTGTCCCCAACGACGTCCCCACCTACTTCGGCAAGCCATTCTACTTCCGTCAACTCGGGATGCCAATCAGCTGGCAACAAGAAGGACTCGATGGTCTCCAGCTTTCTACCGACGGAAAGACAGCCTACTATTCTCCCTTGACTTCAAAGACTCTATACTCGATTCCAACCGCCAACCTTCGCGAGAGAGACAGCAACCCTCTTGCTGAGATCTGGGCACACAGCAATGTATCCTCCAAAGGCCAACGCGGTGGTGACGCCAATGGCTTTGAAGGCGACAGCAGTGGAAAAATCTACCAACTGATGCCTGAGCAGAATGCTGTATACTACTTTGACCCTAGCGATGGTCAGACTCATGGTTTCCTTCGTGATCCTAGGATTTTGTGGCCAGATGGTGCTACCGTTGGGGCGGATGGCTACATTTATCTAAACATCAACCAACTGCCATTCCAGCCTGACTGGAACTTTGGCGTTGATGGCAGAGTACACCCTGGTGCTGTGTTGAGGGCTAAGCTGCCTGATGGTGCGGTCAAGGTCAACACACTTTATTGATCGAGAAGCAAAGAGTTCTGATCCAACTATACTTGTAATGCCTATCCTAGTTTAATGCTCAATCCGTGGCTAGTCCATGATATACAACCTTTCATGGCCAACACTCACTTATTGCTTCTCCTTCCATTCGTTGATAGCCTTCTCAGCAACTTTTGTGCCTTCCATTCCAGCAGGCATACCGGCATAAACCGCCGCCTGCAAGATGACCTCTCTAATCTCAACTTCCGAAGCTCCATTGTTCAATGCTCCTCGGGTGTGAACAGCCAACTCAGGCCCACGATTCAAAGCACACAACATGGCAATATTGAGCAAACTCCTAGTCTTGAGATCCAGCCCCGGTCGTGTCCAGATGGTCCCCCAAGCTGCTTCTGTCGCTANGCTATTCATCTTCTGATAAGCTTCGAGTGTGAGATTGACCAGGCATCAAAATGGGAGCAATACCTCTTGCATGGGTTTTGCGAACTCGGAAGTCGCGTTTGCGAGGGCGCGGTCGACGTATTCCTTTCCGGCGACTTTGTTGCGCATTTCTAGACCGGCATCGTAGAGGGTCGAGTGGGCTTGTTTGACCTTGTCTGCGTTTTGTTCTGTGTATTTGGATGCCATGGTTTCAAAAGAGGGTTTTCTATAACACGTAGATTATGTGGTTTTGAGTAGATAGGTATTCAACGATTTCCTTGGGTTGATAGATGTTGTCAGGTCGCTCGAGGATGCCATAGACGGGTACAGAAGGTGGTGTCGAGCGGGGTTTCTTGCCGAGGAGAGACGGAAGCGTGGAGGTCGACCATCTCAATAATCACTCGCCTTTCATTTTTACTTGACATCGGGCCTCTCATATTCCTGATCCAGAATCACACTGCACTTCGCAAAAAAGAGGTTGATTGAAGACGAGTTGTCCGGGATCAAGCTACCCAAGCCCTTAAAGGTTGTTAGGTGTTCATTGATTGCGAGAACCGTCGCTCCTGGCTAAGCGAGCTCTGGTAGGCACACACTCGTGCGATACTGACGGTCCAGAAGGGGAATGCGTCCGTTGATGTCTCTTGTCCAACATTTGGTAGACCGATCCTTCCTGCTGTCGAAGAAACGTCGAAGCTTGGCGTTGCAATTTGCTGCCTGTCGAAACCACATCTTCAGGCAACTTACACATTTGTCAACTACCTGCAGACCACGAAAGGAGCCCACACGCTCATTCTGTTAGGCGGTTCACTGCATCATGAGATCCATAAGCATACAAGAGGGTCAGTCTCGTGGAAGGCCTTCTGGCCGTCGAGCACACTATACATCCTGCAGCGACCGTTACTGTCTCAAATCTGCTTTCCTTCAGCTCGCATGCCTAGTTCGATGAAGAATGCTCACTTAGCCGGAGCAGAAGTTCAACGGCTACGGTAAAGCTCAGCTGAATAACGTCTGAGAAGATTCGGTTCACTACTTGGATGTGTCGGTCATGTCCGCCCATGCTCTATGCGGTATATGGTGGTATGTATAAGAGCACGGTCACCATGCTTTGTTTAATGCTTGTCCATCGTCTTCGCATTCGTCGGCTTTGAAACATGTCATCCTTCTTCATAGTCTCGCTCTTCTCTTTATTCCTTGCGGTTCAAGCTCTGGTTATAGAGACAAAGTCGTGTTTCTCTCCTGATGTCTTTGCGATTGCGCAACAGGTGTCGAGCCCTCACTACTTCTGTACTTGGTATCTCAGCGAGTATGTGATCGAATCTAATCCTTACTGAAGCACAGCCCTGATCTCGAAATAGTGGCAGGACCAATTCTCCGATACCCAACATCGACGCCACTGCGTTGTTGAGTGCCTGCAAATGTATCGCTAGTGCAGAACCGGTAGGCACCAAGGCAAAGACTCTGGATGCGATAGCCAAGGCAGCAAGCCTTCACAGCTATGTCAGCGCAACGTGCCAAAGCACATCTGGCAGTCCGATCAGTAGAGAGTTTATGAATCCTCCATTGTTTTGCACTTTCTTCAACTCCTAGTAAGCAAATCCAGGACAGTATTGTTCACATTCTCTGTACTGACAACTCAACAAAGTGAACGACACGACTCACCTATCCCCAGTTTGAATGTGCCCGCAGTAAGACATGCCTGCAAATGTGTCCTGAGTGGCCCCAAATCGTCGAGCAAGACGTCAAGCACTATCAAGTCTCCGTCGTCATCAACTAAGCAGACGACTTCGCACAGATCCTCGTCTCCTTCCACTAAGGAGTCAAGCTCGAGGACCTCATCGGCTGTCACCCGTGAATCGAGCAGCAAGCCCACCGTCCACAAGACAATCTCTAGCAAGCCGTCTTCGAGCAGAGTCTCATCGAGGACTCAGACCTCTTCAAGCAAGATCTCAACTAGATCTGTTACTATCAAAACTTCGTCTAGCAAGTCTTTTTCGAGCAAGCTACCTTCGACCAAAATTCCATCCGAATCAACATCCAGAAAATCAAGCATCAGCAATCTGTCTAGCCAGTCATCTTCCCTCAAGGTTATATCCTCGATCAGGGGTCCATCAACAAGTCAGACGAGCTCAAGCAAGATCTCCTCATCCAAATCCTCGAGCATCAGGAGTATCTCACCATCAACATTGAGTTCAAAGAAATCCTTGAGCTCATCAACACATATCCCGAAAACCTCTTCTTCTGTAGGATCTACCTCTGGCGTAGCTCCCAGATCCTCGACGTCTTTATCATTGAGTTCATCGAGATCATTATCTTCGAGCTCGTCAGCTTCATCCACCACGAGCTCAGCAGCTGTACCTTTATCTACGGATTTCCATATCAAGGTTGTGGGAGGTCCGTATGACGGCGCCTATCTCTCCACCAGGTACCAAGTGGTAGGGGGTCCTATGGGTAGTTATGACTATGTTTTCAATGTCATCACTGTGGTTCCAGGCTCTTCGATACCTGCAGTCTTTGGCATTGACCCTACTACACAGTTTCTGGAGATCCATACTTACTCCAAGATACCATACGGGATTTACAGCCCTGATAGCAGTCACCAACAGATCTGGCCACAAAGCAAAAACACAACACCAATGCTATGCAAGGATGTGGAGGGATACTTGCACTGTGAGACTGCTGATGGAGCACTTGATGTGTTTGCGGCAGAAGGTAGTTGGTCATACCTCACTACTCAGTCATGGCAATCTACAAACAGCCCTGAATACGTCGCAGTCAAGTATCAGATTGTGTATCAACCAATATCTGCAGCGACCAGTACAACAACTTCGGCGATACAAACAACATCTACCTCGGATGCATATGATGTGATCACTTCACAAAATCTTGAGGCGTATTGCACGACCTACCTGGGTTACACCACTCCTTCCATCACAGAGACGACGACTCTGTTCGCAAATACGACCAAGACAGACGTCTTCAACTTGACCGTGACATCAACGATTGTTTCACTGAGTACAGAGACCGATATCGTCGGAACCATAACTGTTACATCGCTGACCAGCACTCCCACGGACGCGGCACCGGGCAAGAGACGTGATATCGACACTCCTTACGTGTTAAGATCCTATGCCGAGAGTGCTATCAATTCGGGATGTAGCAGAGCGGCAACCCAGCCCGCACCAACAACTTTCTTCGAGACCGTCACAGTCGCTTCTAATGAAATTGTTGCTTCAACCACAACGGCGATTGCCTATGAAAACATCACCTCGGTAGTCACCGAGTTGATCACTTTCACGACAACCACAATCCTATCATCCTCGACATCGAGTAGCGCGACTTGCACACCAACCCCAATTGTTGATGCCGAGCAACAAGCGAAGGACTTGGCCGCTCTCAATTTCCTCTTCACGCACAACAACTTGACCAGCATGCTCTCCAGTTTCCCAATATCCGTTCTTGGTGGATTTCAGAACATTACCGGCGACGTTCTCCCTCCGATCCGGACCGCGCTGCAGAACTGGGTGCCCTGCACGGCCACCTCATACAACATTTCAACGCAGCTTCTTGCTTGCAAGGATGAGACATATGTCACTGCATTCGCGGCCTGCATCATATTCCGCACCGATCCATACTCGTTGAAGTGGGCGGGGACCACATCCTACACCGTCCCCGTACCTGTTTCGGCACTCACAAAGACATGGAGAGACTATGAAAACACCGTCGTGGGCAAAGATGGCGTTGCAATCTCTCCAAACATGAGTTTGATCGAAGTGATTGATCATGCAACAAACGGAGGCCACTACGCATCGAATAGTTTCAAAAATCTGCAGTATTACTTCAAAGAGGGTAACATACTTACGACTGGATTGGTCTAGGCTGCGAAAGGGGGAAACTCATAATGCCACATGAACTATATTGACAAACTCCACCGTTTTGAACGTTTCCCTTTTGATGGTCAGCAAGGCGTACGAGTGAACACATTGTAGCAGCATGGCTATCACTTGCGAGCTTGCATTTCGCCCGATAGGTTGGCGCAGGAAAAGGATGCAAGGAACTCCATGACAGCTTCTAATTTCTACAGAGCCGTGAACCTTCCATACACAATGCCTGCAGAACAATCGCGGCTCTAATAACCATTGCATTCCTAAATGCATCCTCATCATCAAAAGCGGAAAAGGCAATTCTCTTCCTACCTTCCAGCTTCCCAAGCAAGTCCATAAACCCGATGTCGCCCTCAGATCGCAGCATAAACAACCAAGAAATACAGCCATCAGGCTCAGAAGCCAAGATCTCAATTCGCGACTTCTTGATTCGTGTTTCGTCGTCTATGTCGCTCGACTCGGTCCTTTGGATTTGATCGGCCACGCAACTGGCTAGTTTCTTTGCACATGCGATACGAGCGGCGCGATAGCCTGATATATCTTGCTTGTTGACAGCAGCGGCGACGGCTAGTAATTCTCGGACAAGTGTGAAGTGGATATTGGGGACAAGGTTCCAGGCTGTGAGTAGCCACATGCCCATCTCGCGATCGTAGAGTTGTGTCAGGGATGCGGGATCGATTGTGGGATATAGAGTCGGCAGTGTGAGGTGCATGGCGGAGAATTTCTCCTCTGACACAGTGTCGAGAATGACAGGGTAGGGCGAGTAAGGAGTATTTGAGATCCCGGAAGCGATGCTATCGCAGACAATACTGCCGGGAGTGGTAACATGGCAAGGAGATTCACGGACATCTGGATCTGGCCGTGTTTGTTTTGCGTTGGGAGTGTGCGGTATCTGAGAGTCTGCATATGCAGGAGGCGCCGGTCGACGATGAGTGTATGCTGGCGGGGCTTTGATTTGCTCTTCTGGCATAGGGGAGCATGCTTTTCGTTTCCGCGATGGTGGATCTTCAGCAGTGTGCCACCCTTGAGCCTCCCACACATTAAAGGCACCATCCCATCCACTTCCATACATGTTCTCCAAGTCGAAGTGTGGAGTGAAGAAAGCTATGTTATGCTTCATAACTTGAGACAGACGCTGGAGCCCTACTTGAGCGTAGGAGCTAAACTTCAAATACAGATCAAAGTGCCTTGCTTCTGACAAAGATTTGAGGCCATCGAGCAGTGCAAGAGGAGTACCGCGCATCTTGCCCGAGTAAGGTCGGGTGTTCATGACAACTCCGCATGTACGTTTATGGCCGAGAGCAAATGATACGTGCAAGATACGAGACGCGTTCGCCGAGACAGTGTCGACAGGGCGCTCGAACAGAGATTCGGGAACAAGATCAGGAGAGATTGGTTGGAAGTCATGCATTGCACTAGATACGCGCAAGTCTTCTGCAGGTACGACTAGGAAGAAGCTGCGTGGACGTGCCTTCGATTTGGAGCGCGACTTGACAGACATTGTCAAGACAACAACAGTCTCGTTCTTGTCGTAATTGATGGCGAGCCAGAGACGTAGCGAGCTATCGTTGCCGTGGACAGGTGAAGGCCCTCCAAGATAGCGCGCTATTCCAAGCTCTTTCTCATCCCAACGAGCGCCAACCTGATGGCCGCCCACGATCCATTCATAACCTGATTGAGATGATAGCGACACGTCGGCAGCGTCGGCGCCGAGCTTTGGACCATCGTCGTTGCGAGACATGTCGAGTTCTATTCAGTCAGTCAAGCTTACCGTTTCCCTGCGTGCTTGAAAGCCGCGCAGTTCCCACCCGCCCAGGCTTTCGCGTTGTTGGACGTTGCAGAGTAGCCTTGACTCGTCGTCGGCGAGGGACCGTATTTAAGCCACACGGGTCGCAGACCTAGAAAGACTCATTCACACAGGGCTCAAGTCTACAATCCGTGCTGCCAAAGGCTCAGTCACGCAACAGTGTTGGGATAGAGCCGGAGACAACGAAGATAGAAGAGCAAGTTTCCAGGGATAGAGTCGGACTAGAGATGCTCCGATTTGGCAGGCGCGAGGAATGGTTCGACTTGTTACAGCTGTTGACGATGTGATTGAGGATGGAGGCAGCCATAGTTGTTTCGCGACTGGAGCGCGTTTCGATCACGTGAGCGTGCATCTGCTTGGGTAATTTGTGCATCCGCGAAGTTGTGCATCTACACAAGGTCTACATTAAGTTCATAAAACGGAGCATCGCTCACCAAGGACCAGAACCATCTTCTTGTCCACTCTCTGAGGACGCTTTCGAATCAGACCATAGTTGTAACCTTTTCCAGCTACATACGTGACTGACGCTCGCATAGAAAGGACTATCAAAAGGCCGTCGAGATTCAGTGTCCTCGGAACGAGTTTCTGTTGTTTGCTACATGTGCGCGATGCCACGCTGGGTATTATTATAATCAATTGTATTCGTAGGATCCTGGTTGATGCCCATGCTCCACCTCTCAAGCCCAACCTCAACTGAAATGGTCGCCGTGATCACCGTACTGCTGCGATCGGTTGGCCTTCCTCATTCTTGTCTGCCTTCGGATCTCCTTTGCTTCTCCCTCGCGCTCTAGACGATNGTTTCTCTTCCTCTCCCAGACGGCTCGGATAGTGCGTCTGGTTTGTTCCTTTCCTTCTTCAAAGTTTGCTCGAGCCAACGATACGACTTTGTCGATCTCCTCGGACGTATAGACGAAGTTCCATGTGCTCATGAAGTCGGATGTCTGCGGATCAACGCCTGGAACCTTGTCGTTCTTGAGGAAGGGGAAGTAGATGACGGCAATACCAGCGTCTGGCCTCATGAGCTCCCAGTCCTCTTCGACCTGTTTCGACAGAGGCGGCTCCGTGTCGTTCTCACGCTCCTCTGTCGTGCCAACCCAAACAGTGCAGTATCCCAGTTCGCTAGGTTTGGCAGGGACTTCGTCTCCTTTCATAACAGGGCTGGAAGCTTCTGCATGTTGTGCGCGCTCAATTCTGTCAGTTGCTTCTTTCTCGGTAGTAGCCTGTGCTTGTTCGAGTTCCTTCAGAGTCTGCTCCTCGCTGATTTCCTCGCCAGGCCATCCAGCACCAATGGGCCACCCTTTGATCCCACGTTGCTTAACATAACCATCGGTCACCTTGATCCAGTTGTCTTTCCTAACATCTGCAGAAGCGTCAAATGCGATCAGAACGTCGATGTCTCTTCCTGGACGTAGAAGCGGGTAGATAGGGAGGTTGTTGCTCATTCCAGCATCCATGAGTTGCAACGTTGTCGCATTGTGTACACTTTGGGGACATGACTGAGGCAAAAGACTCTCCATGTTTGCAGCAAAGTTCGGGATAGATGCTGGCTCGAAGGGGTGGACTTTGGTAAGATCATCATCCTTTTCGGCGATCAATTGATCGATGCCGCTAAATCCAGCAAGACTGCGAACGAGGGGTCGAACTTCCTTGTAGTAATGCGACAGCGTCGCACAGAAGGCACTTCCCCAAATGCCCATCAGCAGAGGGACCCGAAGCTCTGGTAACGCAAGGCCATTCTCTCTCCAGACGCTGTAACCGCCATCGAATTTGCGGCCAATGGCCCAAGTCGGAATCCCAGCTCCAAGCTCCTCACAAAAGAACTCGTAGGGTGTCCACTCGAACCATTGAAACCATGATTCCGCTCTAGCGATCGCCTTCGAGTTCTCATCCTTTAAATTCATGGCACGATCTTGCGACTGGGCCACCTCGGGAATCTCATGGCGGACAGCAGTGTAGATGGGGAGCGGATAAGCACCCGAGTCAGTATGCTGCCGTTGATTGGAAATCTTGAAATCGTGATCTGAGATACCTAGCTCGCCCCTAGGAACCAGTAGCCGAGCACCGAGCAGTAACCCGTACACATCCACAAGACCGAAAGCGGCATCTGGCACACCCTTCATCTTCTCCACTATTCCACTGAGGAGATATTTGCTGGTAGGTGCACTGCTCAGTAATGAGAGTGCTGCTGGAGGATATGCGATATGGACGTCGAGGCGGCTCTTGAGGTGGTTGATCATTCTTCCATGATTTTGCTGGCCGATAGAAGAATAAAACAAGGTTTGTAACCAACAGGAGCCACTGACTCCGGCGGTGTATGTCACACAGTCGAACAGACCTGCTTCCTGTGCGGAGAGATACGAGGAAGTGCCAGCGACCAAGGCACGAAGACCGCCACCAGATCCACACATTGCAATGGTAGGTACGTCAGCTGGGTGTATTTCTGCTTCCGGCACGCCAAGATACCTGGCCAGAGCAGCAGTCGTGTGTACCTTTCTTTGCCGTAGGAATTCACGCTCCTCTTTGCAGATCTCGTCTGACACGCGAACTCGTGCGTCCCAGATGATCTCGGGGTTGATTTCAGGGTCATTTGCTTCGTGCCAGATTTCTTCGGCTAGTGAGCCAGGAGCCATCGACAGTTCATTCTGCAATTTTGATATATATCCAGGCATGACTTTAGCCCATCGCGGTACAATTGTACCAGCGATCCTCTCGCCAAGCTTGGAAAGTTCGAAATTGACAATGTTGTCCTTGGCCGTTGCGAAGCTCCCAACCATGGTATGCCATGCTGAAACATCAGAGTCATCCAAAGCTTCACTGATGTCTGAAGCTTTGTGGCCCTTGGTTTGAGAGGGCGGCGCTTGCTGGCCCGGTCGAGTCTGGTCGACATGGTTCCCAGTGCTGGATAATCCAGGTAGCGCCTGTTGGTTTTGAGAGTCCGGTTTCTTGATGAGGACTGGCCATGAAAACTAGCCTTCGGGCTCAGACTCTCCACGACTATCTGCATAGAGGATCTGGCCAGAAGAAGTTAGAGTGTATGTGCCCGCGCAGACTACGATGGTAGCGACGGCACGAGTTGTGCCTCTGTGCGAGCGACTGGAGCTTGGCGAGGCTTGGTGGAGCTGCCGGCGACTAGNACGGGACGGCAGCTTAGTATGTCTGTCGAGGTGGGATGGTTGGTCTACCAAGAGAACTCACCAGGTCGCACGGGACTTTATGTTGTAGCGAAAAGCACTTGATCTGAGCATTGGTAACATTGAAGTGGCATTGTCGATGATAATGATGGGGTTTCAGAAAGGCATGCGGGAGCAAAGAATGGGGAGATGTCGAGACTTTGAGCAGGGCGCACCAGGCAGCACTGCCACGCTGAGACTCTTGGACAGAGAGATCAGGTTCTTGTTGAAAATTGAAGATGGCTCGTCATGGCTACGATATGCGTTGTCAGGACCAGGAGCGCCCATCTGCATCACGCGATCCTTCCCGCTTCCTGTGGCTGGAGTGCCACGTGCGCTGCCTCCACGATCGCGAGTCAGACCAGGCGTCTCCTCTTGGCTGAGAGCTGTACTCTTTGTTGCCAACGCCTCCCCAGTGTTTGGTTACTCTACATTGCTATCTGTTCCTGCATGAACCTCGTACCCACGCCAGAACCTCCTCTCCAACATGTATTGATACGCCATCTGTCAGCTGTGACCCGCAACGCCACTCCTACGACTTCAACATGGCGGGCCCAAAGAGGGCTGCGTTCGCCGAGGAGAGCGCCGAAGTCGAGGTGCTGTACGCGAACCTGTCCAAGATGAAGAGCTTGACCAAGAAGATCCAAGCTTCCATGAGCCGTCTCGAGACCAGTGGAAAGACGGTCGAAGAGGCAATTGGGCCCATCTATGGAAACACTCAGAAACTCCAGACAACCAATGCAAACATCGATCGCGTTATCATGGCCATCGACAGGATCCGCGAGCCCCTGGACATGCGCAACAGAGAAGAGCAGGTCCTACGCTCAAGCCCTCAGGCTGTGGGCTTGACCGAATACATAGCATCCATCGATCGCACCCGCCAGGCTCTGCGTGACCTGAAGCAGTCTAATCTCCGCTCCAATCAGCAAGCCATCTCTGAACTTAACGGCCTGTTGAGTGTTGGTAGCCGGCAACTCGAGGACGTCTTCCAGAGCACCCTTCGCGAAGGACTAGCTCCAGTCGAGCCTCTCCACTTCATCACCAAGAACATCGATTTTCCTCGTATCTCACCCAGCAAGACGACTCTTCTACGAACCATTAATGCACACGCATCATCATCCGCTTCCGAGCTTGCTCAAGGCGATTCGAGAGGTACACCAACCGCCAAAATCTATGCCGAAATACGAGGCCAATACATCACTTCAAGTTTGCAAAACATGGCCGCCGCCTGTCTGGCAACTGCTCGGAAACAGAATCCAAGCACTGCTACAGTCTACAAGAAAGGAGATAATGCTATTGGCATGTATGCTGCAGGTATCAAAGGCATGTTCATTGCAGAGTACGACAATATCTGCCCTGTCTTTGACCGTGAAGAGTGGGGTCAGGTCCTGACAATGACCTGCCAGGGCGCTCTGAAGGCTTTTGCTGCCACTCTGAGGGATCTCGATCGACATGTCAAGGACAACATTACAAGCGACTGCTTCCTAGCATACGAAATCATCGAAGTCGTATCAAACACTGCTATTGAGATTGAGAGCAAAACAGGAGAGTTGAAGAATGAGGTGGCTGATACTTTGAGGCCCACACGAGAAACCGCGAAGTCATCCCTCTCAGCACTTCTGACAGACGTGCGGAACAGAGTGCAGCAGATGATGCAACTACCCTCCGACGGGTCTGCAATACCCCTAACCTCGGAGATGATGACCCGATTACAGGCAATGACCAGCTTCTTGGTACCCTTGTCGTCTATCTTGACATCTCTTGGAAAGGGCGGTTGGTCCGCGCCAGGGCCTGCAGTATCGAGCAGCTCTATACCTACCCTCAAATCTTTCGATGTTGGCGCAGACGGCCGCAAGCTGTTTGCAGACTATGCTGCAGACACCATACACACGCTCCTGTCGAACCTGGAGGTGCGTTCTCAATCTCTGCAGAAGGGCAAGGGTGTGCAAGGCGTCTTCTTGGCAAACAACATCGCCATCATTGATCGCATGATTCGAAGCTCTGAACTCGGCCCCTTGTTGGAACCCGCACAGCCCAAGATCGAGGCCTGGCGCGTCAAAGCGACTAAGCATTACATGACCACCTGGAACGAGGTATCAGCTTATCTACTGGATGTACAGTACACCAACCGTGGTCCCCGTCCTCCCAGCACAGGAACGGCGGTCGATTCAGCAGCATTCGTAAAGGCACTATCGTCGAAGGAGAAGGACGCGATGAAGGAAAAGTTCCGCGGCTTCAACACATCATTTGACGAGATGGTTGCCAAGCACAAGTCCTACAAGATGGAGAAGGAGGTCAAAATCTCACTCGCAAGGGATGTCCAGAGGCTCATCGAGCCACTCTACGGTCGTCATTGGGACAGGTACCACGAGATTGACAAGGGTAAGGGCAAGTATGTCAAATACGACAAGACGCAGCTCAACGCAGTGCTCACGAATCTGGGGTAAGGAAAGGTGATGGGATCTGAACTTAGCATGGCGTCGGGAGTTTTGGATATGTACTTTGAGAAGAATTGACACGGGTACGTACTGGCGGAGGTTTATTGTGTGCGGGAGAGACGAGTTGCTTGCACGTGAGATAAGCTCGAGATGTGTCCAGGATGGTCGTGCTGCCAGCTCAGGGCTGCTTCAATGCCGGCATGACGCCTTTCCTGATCGGGAGAGATGGTTGTGTTGACACTACTGAAAGCTGCCGTGCCTTTGTCAAGAAAACATGGAGCTGCTTTCTCGTGCTTGGTAAACAATTGCAGCATGCGAAAAAGGCAAGATGTCAGACGACATTGTGTCTTTGAAGACGTCTGATAGACATTCGTGAGGAGCGCGTCGGATCAGCGGTTGCTTTCTCCATCCTCTCAGGACGCACGCACCACAGACCCCTTTCCGCGGCGGTTTGGCTGCTATAGGTTGGCTGTCCCTTCCCTCCACAATTCGACCTCCATCTTGTAGCGTTGATACTTCCGTGACTCCCACCCTTGTCTATCGCTTCTCGGACCACCTCTGGTATATCATCTGNTATAATACGACGGTATGTAAATCCGTTGGGGCGCGTTTGCGGGCATCAATCCCAGCAGCAGGGCGACGTTGCGACGGTCGGGCAACCACCACAGCGAACGCTCTTGCCGCCGCAAACTTGCTCAGCACAAACGAAGGTTTTACANNAGTGCATCTTGCTGACACGTGCCTGCCCGACAGAAGAAAGAGCGTTCAACCTCGCAACAGCTCGNNAAATTCCACCCGCCATGGGTAAGCCAGCTCTCCCAATCCACCATCCCCCATTGCCTCTTGCATCGCGAGCAGCATCACTCCTCGTTCCGTCGCCATGAGCGCTACCGAAGAAGGCGCATCGCTCGTCCAGGCAGAGTCTGCAGATGTCGATGCATCTGTCAATGCCAACAAGCCGTCCATGAATGATGCTGATGCAAAGCTCGCCGACACAGCTTCCAACGGCGTCTCTCCCACGCCTCCTCCGGTCCGCGCATCGCCAGTTCCTCCTCAGATCCCTTCTGACAGCAGCCCTGGCTCTCCTCTGATGGGCTCCATATCGCCTCAGATCCAGACTGTCTCTCACAGAGATCCCAAGGCTGCCGCCGCAGCAGCAAGCGACATGAAGAACATTGTGCGCAGGAAGTTGACTGGTTTCGTCGGTTTCGCCAATTTGCCAAACCAATGGCACCGTAAGAGTGTCAGAAAAGGATTCAGCTTCAATGTCATGGTTGTCGGTACGTGTGATCATGAGCATTTCCGTGCATGTATGCGGCTTCTGACATCAACACCCNNAGGTGAATCCGGTCTCGGAAAGTCGACCCTCGTCAACACACTGTTCAACACCTCTCTCTACCCGCCCAAGGAGCAGAAACAACCCAGCCTCGATTTCGCTCCAACCACTGTCGCCATCCAATCGATCAGTGCAGACATTGAAGAGAACGGTGTACGCCTGAGACTCAATGTTATCGACACTCCCGGCTTTGGTGACTTTGTCAACAACAACGAGTCCTGGCGCCCCATCGTCGAGAACATTGAGCAGCGCTTTGATGCCTATCTTGATGCCGAGAACAAGGTCAACCGCATGAACATTGTCGACAACCGCATCCATGCCTGTGTGTACTTCATTCAGCCCACTGGTCACTCGCTCAAGCCTCTCGACATTGAGGTCATGCGTAGACTGCACACCAAGGTCAACCTGATCCCCGTCATCGCCAAGGCCGACACGCTTACAGACGAGGAGGTGATCTCCTTCAAGCAAAGAGTAAGCACGCTGACTCCGCTACTTTGAGTTGTTGTGCTGATTAAACCCCCANNGATTCTCTCAGACATCAAGCATCAGGGCATCCAGATCTTCGAGGGCCCTCGTTACGAGCTGGACGATGAAGAGACGATTGCCGAGAACCAGGAGATCATGTCAAAGGTTCCCTTTGCGGTCGTTGGTGCCAACACCGAGGTCAGCACCCCCGAAGGTCGCAAGGTGCGTGGTCGCAAATACCCTTGGGGTATCATTGAGGTCGACAACGAGGATCACTGCGACTTCGCCAAGCTCCGCCAAATGCTCATCCGAACACACATGGAAGAGCTCAAGGAACATACCAACAACACGCTCTACGAGAACTACCGTTCCGACAAGCTCGAGTCTATGGGCATGCAGCAAGACCCTTCTGTCTTCAAGGAGATCAACCCTGCGGCCAAGCAGGAGGAGGAGCGCTCGCTGCACGAGCAGAAGCTGGAGAAGATGGAGCGTGAGATGAAGATGGTCTTCCAACAAAAGGTCCAGGAGAAGGAAAGCAAGCTCAAGCAAAGCGAGGAAGAGCTGTATGCCCGTCATCGCGAGATGAAGGAGCAATTGGACAGGCAGAAGAACGAGCTTGAGGAGAAGAAGGGACGTATCGAAACAGGCCGACCAGTCGAAGAGAAGGGCAAGAGAAAGGGTTTCTCAATCCGCGGCTAAGCTCTGAGCAGCCATCAGTCGAGGATGCGGAAAAAGTCAAGACTACCATTGTGGTCAGTCCACATCATCACTATCGATTGCTGAGCAGCGAGGCAAGGGTAGGCAGGACTGCCTTTGCACAAGTTGGGTTCAAAGTTGTGATACCTCAGCGCTTTTTGTTTCTTTCCCGTTTCGTTTCCATCCCATGTCAATTTACTTAATTGCTTTCCATTAGTCGACAAAAAGCGAGAAAAGGACAAACAGCATGGTTATTCTTGCAACACACTTGTGCCTGTAGTCTGACAGTGTGCCTTGACATGTATAAGGTACTAATCTAAATGATCACTCTCGTGTCGCAAAGAACAGCCGAAGATTACCAATTGGAAGACACGGCAAGTCTTATTTATATTCTCTCGTTGGATGCTCGCCGAGCTTCCAAGCGATGGATGGCAGCTCTTACGAGTCGCAAAGAGACTCGAGAGTCGAGACGCATGTGCGTGTGGCTGGGCTGGGCGTGCGCGGACAAATGACGACACCGTCTAGCTCCAGTTTCCCTGATTGAAAGGTCGCACCTGCCTTCCATCTCGCTCTTCCATAAGCAGGCTGCAAGTAACTCTTCTCTTGCAAACAACTGTCCAACCTAGTCTCTGCCATCACCTATCACCTCCAAGACACATTACAGGATAGCATCCCCAGTTGCGACACTAGCACCAGCCGAGTAAGTGACGTTCTTGCTTTCGCTTTTCCCCAGCTTGCTAGCTCGCGTGAGTTTGTGCGCGCCAGCCACGGCAGAGCGCTGACCATGACGACCCCACTGGGCCAACACCTGTCATTCTGCTGCTCTTTCCTTACTTCTTTCCTGCACTCCTCACCTCAGCCTCCATACTGATACCATTTGCTCAAGTTCTCCTACAACAATGGCCCCTCCTCCTCCTGCAAACCTTCCGCTCCAGGAGCGCATGCTCCAGCTCGTGCAGACGCTGCAGTTCGCATGGTTCGCTGGCCATGTCACCCTCTTGCTGTCCTCGGTCCGCTACGCTCTTTCTTACGCGACCTTCAACGCCAACTCCAAGTGGGCCACCTTCTCGTACCGCACCGCTTTCGTTGCAGCCGCTGTCACGTACGGCATTGTCGTCTTTAAGAGCTTCCGTGCTCGTGCTCGTGCCGGCAAGGCTCAGGGCGGTGCTTTCCAGATCATTGGCGATGAGAACGTCCAATACCTGGGTAAGTCTTGGTTTGCTCACATCTCTGTTTTCAATGCTGATTTGTTCNNAGTCATGGCTTTGATCTGGCTCTGGTCTCGTCAGATCCCTCTTGCCATTCTGCCCTTCGCTGTCTACTCCGTCTTCCACGTTGCAACTTACACCAGATCCAACCTCCTGCCCACTATCCAGCCCCAGCCTGCTGTTGCTGCTGGTGAGAAGCCCAAGTCGTCTGGCCTTGCCGACACCATTGGCCAATTCGTTAAGAACTACTACGATTCGTCCATGACTCTTGTCGCTATCCTCGAGATTGCTCTGTGGTTCCGCCTGGGCTTCTCTGCCCTCCTTTTCCAGAAGGGCTCTTGGGTCCTGATTGCTGTCTACACCGTCTTCCTCAGAGCTCGCTTCCACCAGAGCACCTTTGTGCAGTCGGCCGTCAACCAGTTGGGCGCTCGTGGTGACGCTATTGCCAACCGCCAGGACCTGCCTCCTGCTGTCAGACAGGCCTGGGATGGCCTCAAGAGCGGTATCAAGCAAGCCGCTGACCTGACCGACATCAACCGCTACGCTGGTGCTCAGCAGCAGGGTGTCCCCAAGAAGACCCAGTAGAGTTCTCGCGTAGTCCAGTTCTGCTCTTCGATCGAGACTGGACTGCCGCCCCAGGACCTATGTGCTCTTGCTCCCGAGGTCGGACCTACACAACATCACAGCAAAAGCAGTTGAGGACTATGCACATAACGATGCTCTTGATGAGAACAAAAAGTTGATAGATGGAAGGATGAAGTTGCGCAGCCGTGTCAGCAAGCTGCCCGGAGGAGTTTGGAGGATGAGAAGACTGACCTTTGTTCATGATTAGTACAGACAACGATACCTGATTTTCATTCCTAATACTTTTGACATACGTCTTGCTTACTCTCACCGATCTACCTAACATAGTGATCACTTGGACCTACTAACTCGACGCCTCGCTTTTCAGCCTGCAAACTGTTTTGCAAGAAGAATTACCAACGCACTCCAGACACAAGACTCATCCAGCGTAACATTCCTCGGTTATACAAAGTGGCACTTACTCCAAGGCTGTTCCTGCAGTAGTCTAATCCGGTCCTGGGTCTGAGGCGGTAGTGAGATGGCTTGACAGATCCGCACGCCGTGTGTACCTGGGATCGGTCGTCGTTCGAGAAGAAATGGAAGTTCCAACTCAAACTCGGCCGAGTTTGGAATAGGTACTGTATGCCAATCGCCAGATCAAGAGTTGTACAGCCAGACGACGATGTTGTGCAAAATCACAATGGGTGCTCAGATCTCGTGGAATGCTACTGCTTCTTCGGCGTGTAGAAACTCTTTTCTGAACGTACTACCGAGGGGTCATCTCACGGCGACACAAGATAACGAGCAGCCCTGGTTCATGGAATGACAAGCTAACTATCCAGGTACATGTTTCCGCATCTACCCAAGTGTGAGGATCCATGCACTCGCATCTTTGCTCATCCCGTGCAACGCTGCGCAGCATGATGCGAGACGGTGGATATGCGAGAGGCAAGGTATGCGTATGCAAGAATTCCACACTATGGCAAGGACAAGACTTGTCAGATCGAGATTGCTATAGGGCGCATGCCTGACATTCCATCGACCGGGTTGATGTGGAGCAAGTGGTGTCAAATGGGCAGCAGCAGGATAAATATTCCGGTGACACCACACGAATCGGTATAAGGTGTGGCTGCATGACAGAAACTTCTCTTTCAACCGGGTTGGTGGGAGAGGGTGAGGGCATACTATTTGTGCTACGGTCATCGCTGCTCGGCGACTACTGAAATTAGATGTCACAAGCACATGTCGCATGCTATACCACCCAGGTAGCACCTGGCGCAAGACCATGAACGATCTAGTGAAATGACCTTGGGTAGTAACAACGAAAACCATGTCTCGAACGAAACCAGGGCTTGCAGGGGCAGTCGTCATCTTCTTCTCAGCTCAAAGGTCACAATCGAGCTTCGATCAGGAATGTATGTTCAAAAAGTGACAGGTCTATGTTTTGTGGACGTTTGGACCCTCGAACGAAGGACTGTTATCTCCATCACCATTGCCCTAAGATCAAAGGATCATACTGCCGGTGTCTTTCTGCTGGGCCCATGAGAGAACTGGCGCGCCGTGGCTTGACGCACAAGGCTTCTTCGGACCACGCACATGAATCTTTGAACGGCACGACATTATTTTTTCAGGCTTTCTGCCGACGTGCTAGATATGCAGCTACAGGCCATGGTTGGACTTGGCCATTTCGAGGAGATGACAAGGTCAGCCAGCCTCAATCTACTTGAGCGTGTTTGCCTGGAGGAGCTGAATTGTGCGAGTGTCAGAAGCTGGGAAGGGGAAAAAACGAACTTTTGAAAAGCATCTCTGCCCGAGTTCCATACCANCAGATCTTGTCTCACAGATCTTCCCGCCGTTTGCAGATCTATGTATTCCCTCGGATCCCAGGTGCNAGAAAGAGGAAAATCCACAGTGTCGTGCAAGGAGAAAGTCCCCGAAGGGTTGACCANAGCAGATGTGCGATGAATGATGCAAGCTGCGACTGTTCCCTGCTAGATCTCATGCATGTCCGGCACGACCATTCCGCTACGCCAGTTGCAGCCCCNCGCCTGTGGAGCTGGGATAACAGGGTATCCTACTCGAATCTTGTTACTTGTAGCAGGCAAGGCGACACGCGCCAGTACAAGAGATCGGTCTGCAGTAGAATTTGCCGGCCCTTCTCTGCATACAGCATGGGCCTGCTCGATCCGTGCGACATGCTTCTAGTTGATTCATCATGGAGTTTGATCATCCACATCCGTAGCCATGGATGTGGATGGATCATGCTTGGAGAGACAGCTCTCGCAATAGCCAGCCAGCAGTGAGGGAGNGTGATCAAGAATGATAGCGGCAGGTACCACACGGCTCCCCTTGCCGTGATACTTGGATAGACTTTCCCTCCAAGCTCACCCCTCTCCACGATGGATCGTGACATGAGCAGAGCAACGAGACCCGGCGCCCAAGAAACGGAATGGCGGCGCATGCAACAGTACGACATAGGCTTGCTGCTCTCTCCGCTACATTTGCACACGCCTCAGCTCATTTCGGCCTTGGGCTGGCTGCCCGTTCGAGCAAGTGCGCATAGCGTAGAAACCTCTTTCACTCTGGTTTCCCACCCCTCCACCTTGAGCCGTTCATTCCCATCTCCAGACGCCATCATTTCTTGTGAGATGTGGATGAAGGTCTCAGCTTTGCTTGCGGCGGGAACGTTTTTTTCTGGCTTATCCACCAACGCCTCCACAGAACGAAGATCTTCTGCCCTTCTTCTTCTGTCTCTTGCTGCTGCCGGCTATGTTGCATTGGTAGCAGATCTGGTCTGCATTGTTTTGGTTTGATTGTTATATATATCTTTTACTTCGGCCACTCGAGAAGACATTTCCTCTCCACCTTCCCTCGACTACTCGTGCTTGCCTTCTACCGTCGTTGCTAGTCGGCCATACTCCACTCGCTTCCTCTTTGCAATAATTGCTTGTCGAGTCCTAGTCTTCTCAGCTTATACATAGTCACTTCACCCTCCTCTCGCTGTCATCAAGGTAAATTTACCCCGCTATACCACCATTGATCAATTGAACTGACCAGACACGCACAGTACAATGGCCATCTCTGGATCTTGCGAGCACCGCTTCAGAGTCATCAAGTCAGACACAACTCTCATCATCTGGAACTGCAGTCTATGTCATTCCGGCCCGCATTGGTTCATCTACGAATGCACCAAGTGCAAGGTGAAGAGATGCGAGCCCTGCACTCGCAAAGCATAAGAGCCGGAGCCAGACGTGACCGATCACACCGAGCGGGTACGTACAAGGCCATCCAGTCCTTTCATTCCACCAATCTTTCGATCTCGCCCATGCTAGATCGTATCACTTCCAGTGGACTGACTTGAATTGGAATAGTCTTCTCTACATGCGTACCGATGTCCCCCTTGACGCAGATCAATCGCCTGCATCCACCGACGTGCATGCTTCCCCACCCATCTAATTCGCTTGGCCATAATTTCTCTCTCCCGAGCACTCGGGTCGAGATGACCTCGCGCGATCAACCGGCAAACGTGCTACTACTGTAGCGGATGACGCCTTGCACCAATCATTAATTGCTTCACATATCAGCTACACATCACTAGCTCTCGAGCATCTTCAACCAACCGACAAAACAGCAACACCGCTTTGCTCGGATCTCTCTACTTTAACGTCCTTATCTTTGGGGCTTACCTTCTCTTACATGTTGCCCATGGCCTGGGCAATCGTCTTATTGAGCATCTGGTTATCTGGCGTCGAGCGAGGAGTTTCCGTCATCATTTCACAGAACCGGACATGGGATTTTTTCGGCAAGCAATTGCCCTGGTGTTTTTGGAAAAGATTGGATCTATGACGAACGCCTCACGGCTGTATTAGAATAACGGATAAGGGAAATGGTGAATGGGCTTTACAAGTCTTTCCGCAAGGATCTGGAGCTTGGCGTATACTTTGGTTGAATGTTCCTTTCTATCTTTCGTTTCCGTCTATCTCTCTCCCTATCCACGTCTCTGCAGGCGCACAATTGGTGTGCCATCTTTCTAAGTATCCTTTCTTGTCTTTCAAATTGTTGCCGCGAGGCACAAAATACTTAATGACTCTCACGAGATTTTTGCCATCAAGATGTTGACTCTAGCTATGATCCAATGTGAGGATTCAACTATCGGTCAGCCAAGCATAACAACTCAACTGATTTGTGAGTGGCGATACGAACAGCACTTCCTGATCAGATTCAACACCTCTAGCTTCCAAGTTCACCGAGCAATACAGCCTTCTAGACTAAACCACCTGCCATGCAGAACAGACTTAGACCTTGCATATATAACCCCCCAACTCGGCTGGCCATGTGTTTCCACAAACTGGAATATTGGAACTAGCAGGAAACCAGGTCGGCGGTGACTTGAGAGAAGGTCTGGTGTAAGGAAGATGTGTGCTCTCTCTTGCATATGTAGCTAACAAAGTCAAATAGGGAGTAGAAGGAACTACTACTGATAACCTTCCTGTTTCGCTGAGATAGTTGGTGCTTGATGATCATCGAGGATCGGCCGCGCAGGTCGTCCACATGTAGCCTGCGATCTAAATATGTGCTTGGATATGTGGTAGATATACCGAATCTGTCGCATCAGTCATGGGTTATTGTTTGTCGGAGAATATATACCCAGGCTCGACCATGTATGTGTTCCACGGTTCCCTGGAGCGATGCATAGGGTCACTCAGAGCGAACCATGAAACTCCACCACATTGTAAGGTGTGCAGATGGTGGTCTCCGTGTCTATCAAGATGGTGTGGCTGGTAAAGCGATCTTCTGGCCCAAGCTCCATGTCGAGCGAGGCCGGCCAGGGACGGCCCGCCAATTCTTGAGCCATGGCGCCTCGGCTGGAGCGTTCGCAGACAAATCACCAACCCATGTCCACTGCATCTTTGCATCTTGCCAACTCCATCACCTAAGCCTCTCTGGTACCAATCAACGACCAGATGGCGCCCAAGAGAAAAGGCGCGCGTGTCACAAACGTCTAGCCCCGCACCCACACCCTCTCGCTCAAACACGACCGTCGCAGTCGAGATAGAACAACGCCGACGACCCAAGCCATCAGACGAAACGCCCACCACGAAACTCTCTGAGCAAGCGGCAGACCCTGAAGACGACGAGGACGACGAAGAAGCTGCGAATGCTGCCTTGGTAGCAGATCCGTGGACCGATGACGAGGAGATTGGCCTGTTCAAGGGTCTCATACGCTGGAAGCCCACCGGCATACACAAGCATTTTCACCTGCTATCTCTACATCAACACCTGCTGTCAAACGGCTACATTCACCCTAAAGCACCGCATACACGCATCCCTGGCATCTGGGCCAAACTCAACGACCTCTACGATCTCGAAGCACTAGACGAACGCGAAGACTCGAATGCTGCCCCTTGGTCCACATCCGAAGACGAGGACGATGAAGAAGATGAGAAAGATGAACTAGGCGACGACGATGACGAGCCAGAACGCATGCACGAATCAGAATTCGAACTCCCCGACGACGATTTTGGCACCCTGGTCTGGCGCGCTCGTTTCCCAGACTCGGAAGACGAAGACAGTCGACAAAGCTCGCCTGCATCACACGAAGAATTGGTCTCGAGGCCAGACAGTCCACCCGTGCGCTTCACACCCACATTTGAGATTGCTCTCTCCGAAACACAGCAGACGCCCTCTACGCGAACGTCCAAGTCCAAAACAGCAACATCTATGAAAGCCAAGGGCAAAGTACCACCTCCAAATCCTAGAAGATCGAGTCGCGTGGCCGATAGTGTTGACCCCGATGAGCAAGACGACGAAGAGGAGGAAGAGGAAGATAGTGAGGAAGAAGACCAAAGCGAGCAAGAGAGCATGGCTAGCGGCACACCAGCTCCCAAGGCTTCGAAGGCAAAGGGTAAAGGAAAGCTCCTGCCGCAAAGCCTAGAGCTAGCAAGCGGAGGAGGTAGTATAGGAAAGGTGTGATGACAGGACTGTTATTATGTTCGTTGTTTGTTTTGCTGCCTGTTGGCCTTTGAGATACCCATTTTGTATTGAGTTTGTTGTTCGTCCTTCCTTCATCTCCTGCAGTTGCCTTGTGATTCGATGCGACATATGCAGAATAGTATATAGCATGCCAAGAAGCGCCAGGGTCATGGTCGATAGCTCTTTCCCAAGGACATCCATCCACGTATTTGCTGCACTCTTCCTAAACTAACACTGTTGCATCGCTTCACATCCATGTCATTATTATCACTTCCGCCAGAAATCTTCAATGCCGTTCTCGATGGTGTCTCGGGCCGCGATGCCATGAATCTACGCCTTGTCTGCCAACGCACAAGTGCCTTGTCGAGCCATCAATTCGGACTCAAGTGCCTGACAGATCTATCCTTCATCTGGTCGCCATACAGCTTGCAAGGGTTATTAGACCTTAGTGCGCATCCCTTGGGTCGATATATCAAGCGCCTTACTTTTTCAACTCACTTCATCTATGCGGAAGAATTCACCGAGGACCCGGTCGAACAACGAAATGCCAGATTGGAAACTACATTTGACCAGTGGGAGGAAAGAAGTGTGCCGCTGGTTCGAGCATTGGAAAACTTCAGAGAGGCGAATGTACATCCAATACTTGGGTCTTACGATTATCAGGTTCCTTGGTTACCTCTGGACAACAGCAACAATGATATCAATGCCAGCAACCCACCGAGAAAAGGATATGGCTTTGAAAACTACTACGGAACTACCAAGCTGGAAACTCGACACGCAACCTTCATGCACACGAACCAATACATCCTCAAAGCCGCACAACAAGCCAAATTCACCGTCAAAGCCTTCCACACAAACTGGAACTCACAAAGTCTGCACCAAGAAGATGACATCCGTTTCATGCAACATCAACTCCTAGTCTCCCAACCCGACGGCAATATAAAGCCCGATTTTGAGCTCTTGGCCACCGTCTCTTACTTAAGCTCAACAACAAGAACTTTGATCGATGCTAAACGTCAAAAATATCAGTATTGCACCTTGCCCGTCAAGGGCGCTGCTTGGTCGACACATCCTCGNGGCCTCTCTGACTTGGACCCAAAGTTTTTGGATCCAGAAATGTGCCACTGTTTTGGCGAGATACGCATCATGCTGTGCGACGTGGGTACAGAATTCTTGACGGCATTTCTGGCCAACCAAGCGAAAAGTTTACGCGTGCTTCATCTCGAACACATCACCATGGACCTCTGGGATGAAGCCATGGGTGAAGATCAGGATTTGGACAACGGTGCTATGGCTCTAAATTTTCTTACCATGCTGAAGAATGACTTGTCCTTGGAGTACCTCAAATTGTCACGGTTGAGCAACGCAAGGGATAGATCGAGGTTGATAGGTGGACATGACGATACATGGACGAGTCGAGAGGAGATTCAGGATGGGTTGCAGATGTATATACAGAGGGAGGAAGACGACGAGCATTCCGTCGACGAGGAGTGGCTTGATGACGATGATGAGGGCGAGTGGATATCTGTACATCACTCTGAGGATGAGGATGAAGAAGAAGTCTGGCCCGGTATTTTACAGGATGGAAATAATGAGACAACAACGGATCGGCCAGATGCAGGAGAGGGTGAAGAATCTGGGGTGTGAAACATCTCATGGATGGGAGCCTTTGGAGAACATGTGTCAAATCACAGAGAATACGTGGTTCATGTCAACAAGTAGTCCCTCTTCCCGGTAGGCACATGGTAGTGCTAGAGTATACTATAAAAATGCACAGTCATTTACAACACTAGACGTGTGGCCATAGGAGCGGCCTTGAGATTATAGATCTCTTTGGACAACACTCCATTCTGGAAAAATGTTTGTGCATTAATATAGCTATAGAATAACTGTCTTGTGCACACGGAGACGGAAAGTCAGGTACAGTAGGGGGATTGGAGTTGACCACACATTACCTAAGAAGGCCCCTCCTGGATGAGCTATCGTAACGTTTCAATAGATGTAATAAATATTGTATTGGTGGATTTGATAGGGGAATAGGCATAACTATGGAGTCTGAGGCATACCTCCGTCGCCCATCAGGTTACCAGTCAAACCCTTCATCCTTCTACCCAAAAGATCATCCTCACTAGCCAAGCTGACCAGACTCTTCATGCGTTGATTTCGAGGTCGCTCGTTTCTGGCTCCCCTAACAGCTCGACCACCACCTCTCGGACTACCCTTCTTCTTCGGGCTCGTCCGAGCACCGCCGTTCATGGTACTCATCTCGAGTGGCCTATCCTCATCGCCCGAAGATTCAGTAGGCATACGGCGATGATGCCTGATCCCATTGCTCTTGATTCCGGACCCGGCTTCATTGCCAAAGTAATCCGTCTCTTCACCTTCCTCGTCTAGCTCGGCACGCAAATCGGCCTCGCGGAACAGATCAGCCATCCAGCGCGAGCATCTCGAGATGTATTTCCAGCCCGCTGGAAAGATTCCCGCAAACTGCAAAAAGCCGTGAGAGATGCCAGGGATCAGGACGACATTGACATGATCTGTATCCACAAAGACATCTCTTTCGCGCACCAGACCCAGTTCCTTGCGATTGTTCCAGTGTGCAAGTTTGGCTTGCTTTAGGCGGCCTGCGAAGATGACTGTGTCGTCAACAAGGGGGTCGCGCTCGCCGGTCATCATGTAGGTTTTTGGGAAGCGCGTGAGGAGGGCTTCGGGTGCGAGGAGTGGTGAGAGGAGATAGTCTGTTGAAAAGTCCGGGCGTGAGTGTGGACCAATGTATAAGATGATCATGGCTCGCATCATTTCAGGTGTTAGGACGCGGTCGTTGAAGTAGGATATCATGGACGACATGGCAAGTCGAGTGCGCAGCATTTGGGGTATAGGTGCTGTGGGTGCGGTAGTATCGATGGTATGAGCAGCGCCGGTGTGAGCCTCCGTGGGTGAAGCCACGATGGGTTTGTCTGTCAACTGCTGTACTGCAGTGTTCGTTCGCTTCGTCTTTGGCGGACTGACATCGTCCTCTTCATCTTCGGATCCGTGTGGAGTGTTTGGTGTTAGCTTCCTGTAGTCGTCACTCTTTCTGCTCAGGACGCCTCTGTTGGTCTTGCGCATCTTGCGGTCCTTGATCAGAGACATTTGTTCGTCTGTCATCCAGTTGCCAATGTTCATATCCAGAGCAGGATAGACAAGGACTGCACCTTCGGGCACAGGAAGTGATGTTTCGCCTTGCCAGCGTCGGGTTGCCGTACTTCCCGACTGGAGGACCATAAGGATTAGACCAACCGCAAGATTGCCGCCTGCGCTATCTCCACTAACGACTATCTTGGGCATGGTCTCTCCAGAAAGACCTATGCATTGTCCTTTGGTCGTGACCAGGGTGTGGTATGTGTCGTAACACTCGTTCAGAGCATAAGGATAAGGGTGTTCAGGGGCTTTCTTGTAGTCCAATGCTAGCACAGGCAAGCCTGTTCGTGCTCCCCAGGCCAACAACTTGTCATCATGTGCTCTAGGATCCATTGCAACAAACCCACCACCCGGAATATCCAGTACAATCTTGTCATGGTTCTTAAGATCGCTGATAGGACCGTCAAAGTATAGCCAAGCTTGGATAGGCTCGTCATAACTACTTTGTCTTGGTCTGGGTATGCGGATGGCGCGTGGCGGATAGCGCATCAATTTCGGACGCATCAGCTTGCCGAAGAAGTTGATGTATGGTGTATTTGGTTTGTTCCAGCTGACTCTCAAGTGCTCCAATGTCAGACCAGCTCTTACTCTGCGTACCTTTTCATCTGCTTGCTCGGCACAGATGAGGTAGTAGACCGAGAAGACCAGACTGGCCAAGTCTTTCAGCCATACAGGACGCAGGTTCATGGCTGTCCAGAAGCCAGCGTCCAGCGCTGTTGTGACCCATGTCGCTCGGAAGTACGATCTTGTGTAGAGGTTCGCAAGCGGTTCTGGACATTCGAGGCCTACGAGCTTGCTGAAGTTTCGGGTGATGTATAGATATATCAGAGTCAAGACGACAGTGTGCCAGGCTGTCAGGCGTGAAGATAGGAGTTTGGAGATGCGACGAAGGTACGGCGGTCCGTGAGGGTTGCCNNCCTGCCATGTACATCGTCAGCGGTGGAGTCCTGTAAGCAGTATAACCCAGACGTACTTGTAGAGATAGTAGGACCAAAACGAAACGACAGCAAAGACTTGGTACTTGCGAAACCTGACCGATGGCCTACCCAAGACATGGTCTGTTCAGAATCTACTTAGCGGCCGCATATACAAGTACTTGACAAAGGGGTAGACTTACCTATCATGATGCGCACTGTTCAACAGATATGCGAAAGAAGAGAAGAGTGCAAAACTCGCCAAAGAAAAGCCAGTATAAAGAAGAATCTCACATCAGCAAGAAAAGGAAGGCGACTGTCGGTCTAGACAAAGGAAGGAAAACAAGGCCCGAGTCAAGTCTTCATGACAATTGCAAGAAAGAGGTGGGTTTGCACGGGAGCGCAACACGATATAGATGATGCCGGATTTGCATGTGAAAGAGTCATTGGCATGGGCAAAGACTCATGCCCGTGCCTAGTGCTGCTGGCAATCTTCGATATTTGCCATGTCATGAGGTCTAAACGTTGCCCTTGCCTTTGACATGTGAAAGGCCGGAGCACGCGTCCTGTGCATTCCCGAGATGCCGAGACCTTGTTCTTTGCGGAGCTTCATGTGGGGATCCTGGAGTCTCTTTGTCCTCTTGTCATCATGCCGCCAACCTTTTGTCGTGATGATTGTGCATTGACAGCAGGCAGCTGACCGCAATACTGTGCGCTTGAGTTGGATCGTGTTCGGGTATCGTAGTCTTAGACGTATCGTGCCTTTGCTTTTCAGAAATCGCAATGCCTCAGTAAACTTACCGGTCCAAGCCACACATTTCTTCATATTATACAATATACGCATATGGTCAATAGACATAATAGCTAGCCGCTTGACATGCGGTCGATACATTGCACACATTGTGGTTCTCTACGCTCTGTTATCGACATCTCTAATCTTATACAGGATGGCATACGTAAAGATATGTTGTAAATCCCGACCAATTCCTCCTACGCTAACAAGTAGGTGTTATGATATGCTGTAAAAATGCACAATTGCTTGTCAGATCATCTGTGTGTCCACAGAGAGTAACAGGTAGCCCTAGGATGATATATCTCTCCTTGGACATTCTTCCATTTCAAGAAGTATCGTGCATCTCTATTGCTACACTGTGGCCATCTCTAGCGCACGGGATTGTGAAAGGAGTAGGGGTACTGTTGTCGTTCGGTAAGGGCTAGCAAATCACACACACACACCAAGCGTGCTATAAATCAGCAGCAAAATAGAGGAAGAGAGTGAGAAATTCGTTTATGATACACATCCAAGCCTCCAGCGCCTGAGCATTTATTTGACCAGCATAACGCAAAAGAACATCCAAAGTAGAGAGATGGGTCGAACTAGAGCCGAGAGGGGACGCTTGAAGTACAAGAATGACACGTCGCAACCTTTTTAGTTCTTGGGAGGGTACTTCTTGAAGAGGAACCTGAGGGAAATCAGTCAGCATTGGTGTCACATTTCCATGCTTCTCTCCGCAAAGATGACCTTTGGCACGACAACCTTCTGAGAAACAAGATTCTCGTCGTGCTGTCATGTCACTACAGATAAGGAGGTAGGGGTTTGACTCACTTGCTGGCGTAGTAGTCGCCAAGGGCAAAGACACCGACAATACCTGCCCAAGCTCCTGCAACCTTCCAGGTGAGCTCGCCGGCAGTATACTTTCTGTAGGCACCGAAACCGAGGAGACCACCAAGGGCAACAACAGCGACGGTGTTACCGAGGACGACAGGGTTGTCGCTGTTGGCCTTTGCCTTCTCGGTGGCTTTCTGTGCCTTCTGCTTGGCCTTCTCCTTGAGCTCCTCAGCCTGCTGAGCCTTCTTCTGAGCCTCCTCGCGAGCCTCAGCCTCGAGGCGTTCACGCTCGGCCTGAGTCTCGGTCTGGATTTCTTGCGACTGGAAGTCGGAGGGGACAGATGAGATGTGAGGGCTGTCGACGTCGATGAGCTCGTGGACCTCGTCGTCGGTGTGCTGGATCTCGGGGACAGCGTGTGCGCGCCTGGGTGTTTGTTAGTATTGGCTTGCTGTCGTCGCGTGGGTGACCAAGACATACTTCTATAAACAAGTTAGCGTGTGGTCTGGGGGACAGATCAAGTAGCGACAACATACCTCCTCCTCGGACTGCTGGGGCCCACTGGCGGCGACAGATGCGTAAGACATGGTAGCGGGAGGTGCGGGTGTGGGTGCGGGCTCTTCGGTAGCGGTGTCGGGCTCTTGAGAAGGGCTGGGTTCTTGAGTGGTTACTGGCTCTTGGATAGAGGCAGCAGCAGTGGGCTCGGGGACGGCGATGGGAGCGGTGGTGGTGTTGACTTGGGGTTCTGGTGTGGAATCAACAGGAACAGGAGCTGTGCCTGCGTCACTGTTCGGTCGCTGGAGAAACTCGAGGCTCATCGTGATTGGTTTTGCTAATCCTACCTAAAGATGACATGTGATGGTGATGCCGAACTTCTTCTTACAGCAGAGGCTTGAGCCTTGGCACGGTTACGTCAACTTCTCGTGGCCCGCGCGTTTGGCTGCTTAGAGTTGCACTCAATCAATAGGCAGACGTTGGATATCAGAAAGATTCGTAGCCGTCTATTACATGTCTAGAGAAGTGGTGATGCATTCGCTTTTTCCAGGCTTCTACTGCCTTGTTTTGGTAGAGTTACAAGCCCCAATGCGTAATGTACAAGTTATGTGCGCGCAGAAGCGACTTATTTGTCGCCCTTGCTTTGCTGTCCAGTAGCGTCGTGTGCGGCCTTGGGAACAAGGCTATCAGACTCGCTCATGAGGTCGTGGTCGCGCTTGACCTGCGCAGTTGCAGCGTTGGAACGCTCTCTCTTTCCTTGAATGGCCTCGGGATGATCGGCTTCTCTGTTGGCAACCTTCTCAGCGTCGGGGTTGGCCTCGGGCTGGGTAGGCTGCTGGCTAGAGTGACCAGCAGGAGCATCTTGCTCTCTTGCCTCAGCCTCGACATCATCCTCGAGCTCTGCACCGTAGACATCGGGGTGCTCGCGGAAGCAGTTCTGCATGTNTCCTACACGGTCATATTAGCCCCAGTTGCTGCAGTCCTCGCAACCATCAACGTACTTGAACTTGTCAATGCAGTCCATGCCCTTGGGCTCCTCCTTTGAGAAGACGAAGCAGCTGAAAGCCTCTCTGAATTGCTCGCCGCAGGGTCCATGGGCCATACCGCCGAGGCATGGGCAATCCCAGTTGATCTCGCCAGTCTCTTCGTTGAAGGCACCCTGTTGGCCAGCCTCCTCTTCAAGATCCTGCGGCGATCCGGCAAGAGCACCATCTTCGGGCTCTGGTACAGGAGCGTTTGTGGTGGCTTCGCGGACCTTGTGTGCGGCGTCGGTTGCAGTGGCGGCAACCTTTCTTGCATCAGCCTCTGCGTCGGCCTTGACCTGAGCCTGGAGGGCGTGGCGTTTCGCCGTCACGGCATCGAGGGTGGGAAGAGTCTCTGACTCGATCTGTGTCTCCGGTGGCGCGTGTCTAGCATCTGAGCTATGTTAGTTCCAGTGCTCGCGCAACTCGGCACAAGATGCGCTTACNNAGGATTGCTCCTCGGCGAAGACATTGCTGGTGTTGTAGTAGTAGACCAGAGCACCGGCCAGTGTCCATCTCACAGCCGAGTTCTTCCAGCTTCGTGACTTCTGATGCGGAGGTGCGGTGGTGAGAAATCTCCGCGACGAAGCGCTGCTGCGCGAGGCCTGCACGGCGGCGCGTCTGACTATCGGGTGGAACATTGCAGGTGTGTCGGAACCAGGAAAGACCGAAGACAAAGGGAAAGAGAGCAGCTGGGCGTGAAGGCTATCGCAGCGAAGATGATGGAAACATTACCAACCAAGGGCACATCGGCCGCTGTTCGCCGGACGTGCGCATCTCTGTGGCTGGTGTGCTGTGCTCCAGCCACACGAGCAAGTTATCATCTGGTTATTGGCATCGCACAACCATACGCATGTCGTGCGACCTTTCAGTTCCCTTCTCGAACCACAACAACATGGCCGACAAACATCCGGCCGTATACCCTGCTGACTTTATCAAGTCCGGCAACGAACTGACTAATCTTGGCAAAGGACAGTCCAAACCGGCTCTGATCATATTGAACCAGCCCATAGCAGACAGAAGGGTGTTAGGTCGTTTATGGAGACATACAAGCTATCGACTGTGCGCTGATGGTGGTGCCAACCAACTGTACGATCTGTTCACACAAAATGATCCATCGCAACTTGATCAATATGTAAGACGACTCGCAGCTTTTCCCGGTGCCATCTGATTCGTGACAATTGTACACAGNTTGCCAAACATCATCCATGGTGATCTAGACTCTTTACGACAAGACGTCAAGAGTTACTACCAGGGATGCGACGTAGAAGTTACGGAGGATCCAGATCAGTACAGCACAGATTTTGGCAAGGCCATCAAACAAGTGCTGAGGGAGCAACCCTGGCAGAAAAACTTCCTCGTCCTTGGAACCATTGCAGGACGAGTCGATCAGGGCATTGGTCTATTATCAGAGATACATCGAGAGCAGCATTCAAAAGAACACCCAGATATCCGGTTCTGGTTGTTTTCTGAATCAAGCATCTCATTCACTCTTTCACCAGGCGCGACAACAATCCATACACCACTGGCTGAGAGGGTCATCACACCAAACATTGGTATTCTACCCATCTTCGGCCCGGCGCATATCTCGACGAACGGACTGGAGTGGGATGTCGAGGATTGGCATACGCAAATGGGTGGCCAAGTTAGCACCAGTAACCACATCGTCAAAGACCAGATTACCATTTCGACAGACGCCGAAGTACTCTTCACAGTCGAACGCAGGAAGAGCGTGGCAGGATAGAGCACTCTAACTCAAGCGAAAAGCAGATAGTTGGCCAAATTCAACAATGTAAAGGCGCTATGTCTTCGTCATCTGTAGAGTGCAAGTGAAGGTAGAATAGAACGGCCGTGACCGAGTGAAAGTGACAATATTGGAGAGCAGTGGAAACTGTTGTACTCGCTCTAGCAATCACGTCTATGTGAGGTTTTATATCTCTTCAGGATGCATTTTACTCGCAAACAGAGGTGACAAGATTGGAATTCGCGATGAATTACGGCTGCATCCAAAGTACAGCCCCTCTACAGTCATGACGAAGTCTGAGCGTGGACAGCACTGACCGACGTGATTTTCAGACAGCCAAGGACTGACTGCCATTGCTCTTGTCGCGACCAACAGGCGTATTGAGCGTATCCGACAAATTTGACCATAGGCTGCACTGAGTAGCGGTTTGTATTGTCGCAATTATAATCGTGTGGACAAGGTCATCTTTGGGTTATTCCGAGCCTTTTGAAGCTGCCCGTCGCTTGCGTTGGCCGACCCTCCTGCTTCTCTCCACATCTGTCAGTAGCACCGACTTTTTTCCTCTCCCTACTGATCAGGTATGTCAAAGGCCACTACATGCTTCTGTCTTGGTACGCTTGCTAACCTGTCCTTTCCAAAGCAACTCCGCCTCCGTCGTCTGTCCTGGTAGTGTCGCAATCTCCACCATCCCGACATCATGTCCTGGAGTCCACAGCCTGAGCCTCTGGGCCAGCTGGCGCAGTTCCTCAAGGAGTCGCTCAACCCTCGCGACAAGACTGCCCAGAAGAACGCTGAGCTGGTGAGCTGCCATGCGTTTGGTATACGACCCACAAGAGCTGACGATCTTTGTCCANNGGCACTCAAGAATGCTGGCGCCAACCCAGATATCAACAACTACCTCGCCTACCTGTGTATCAGCCCCGAAGTCCCCGCTGCTTTGTCCAATGATGACTACTTTGTCGCCAGAAGTGCTGCCGCTGTCATGCTCAAGAACAATGTAAAGACATCGTACAAGACCATGGCCGAACCTAACAAGGACTACCTCCGTTCAACCATCCTTCAGGGTCTCCAAGACCAGGACAAGCGCATCAGAAGCTACGCTGGCAACGTTGTCACCGAAATCGTGCGCCAGGGCAGCATCTTGGGATGGCCCCAGGTCCTCTCCGAATTGATCACCTTGGTAGAAAACCGCAATGGCAACATCGCATCGCACATTCAAGATGGAGCCATGGGCGCATTACTCAAGATCTGCGAAGACCACAAGAAGGCTCTCAACCGAGTCTACGACGGACAGCGCCCTCTGGACTTCCTGATCCCCAAGCTTATCGAGTTTACCGCTAGCCCCACATCACAAGTTCGCTCAAAAGCGCTAGGTACGCTGAACTTCTTTGTCGACGATCCGATGCCACAGGCCATGCAAGACAATGTCGAGAAGCTCCTGGTTCAACTCTTTACACTGGCCCAGAACGATCAGGACGAGGAAGTCCGAAGATTCATCTGCCGCTCCTTCACGAAGCTGGCCAGCAATACCCCTGCCCTGGTCATGCCGCATTTGAGTGGTATCATCGATTACGTCTTGGTCCAGCAAAAGAGTGATCCTGAGTCTGATCTGGCCCTGGATGCTGCCGAGTTCTTCTTTGAGAACTGTGAGATCGAGGAGCTACAAGATGGATTCAACCAACATCTCGACAAGATTGTACCGATTCTTCTGGAGAGCATGATCTACAGCCAGGATGACCAAGCAAAGCTTGAAGCCGAAGCAGAGGAAGATGCCGAAAAGGAAGACAAGGAAGAGGACATCAAGCCCCAGTTCGCCAGCGCAAAGGAGAAGGGAATTGCAGTGAATCCCGACGAATTTGCGAACGGCAACGGTTACGGTTACGAAGATGACGAACTCAGCGATGGCGAACTCGAAGATGAGGACTACGGCGAGGACCCCGAAGAGATGTGGAACCTCAGAAAATGCTCAGCAGCTGCTCTAGACACATTTGCCACACGTTTCCACGAGCGCGTCTTCGAGTTCACTCTGCCATATCTAAAGGACAATCTCAACCACTCAGAGTGGCCTAACCGAGAAGCCGCCGTGCTCGCCCTGGGTGCCATCTCTGTTGGCTGTATGGAAACCGTCCAGCCAAGTCTTCCGGACTTGGTTCCTTTCCTGATCTCTCTGCTCACAGACTCGCAACCCGTCGTAAGGCAAATCACCTGCTGGGCACTTGGCCGCTATTCCTCCTGGGCCTCTCATCTGGACGAGGCCGGTAAGCGCCAGTTCTTTGAGCCTATGATGGAGGGCATCTTGTTCCGTATGTTGGACAACAACAAGCGTGTACAGGAGGCCGCAGCTTCTGCCTTTGCCAACCTCGAAGATCAAGCAACCCGTGAGATTACACCCTACTGTGTAATCATCGCGCAGCAGTTTGTCAGATGCTTTGGCAAATACAAGGACAAGAACATGTACATTTTGTACGATTGTGTTCAAACTTTGGCAGAGCACGTCGGTCCCGACATGGCACAACCAGCGATTGTCGACCTGCTTATGCCTGCGCTCATCCAACGCTGGACCACAGTCTCCGACAAATCGCGGGAGATGTTCCCTCTGCTGGAATGCCTGGCATATATTGCTACTGCTCTTGGTGAGGCCTTTGCTCCTTACGCCAAGCCCTTCTTCTCGCGTTGCATCAAGATCATTCAGGACAACTTGGAAGAAGGTAATCTCGCAGCTTCTCAAGCATACATGGACACACCCGACAAGGACTTCCTTGTTACCAGCTTGGATCTGCTCAGTGCTATCATCCAGGCACTAGACGAGGCCAGAGCAAGCGAGCTCATCGCAACGGCCAACCCTAACTTCTTCGAGTTGCTCGCATACTGCATGAGAGACAGCAACAACGACGTCAAGCAGTCTGCATATGCTTTACTTGGTGACTGCGCCATCTACGTATTTGCTCAAATGCAGCCCTACCTGGACTCCATCATGCGTATCCTTAGCATGCAACTCGACCTGACTGAGGCGCTCCGCGACACTGACCCAATGCTCAAAGAGACTGCATTCAGAGTGATTAACAATGCCTGCTGGTCCATTGGAGAAATCGCAATGCGTCATCAAGCTGGCATGGATCCCTACGTCGAGGACCTGCTGCAGAAACTCGGCATGATCCTCTTCAGTCAGCAAGTCCCTGAGTCACTAAACCAGAACGCGGCAATCGCACTGGGTCGCATGGGTCTGGGTAACGACCAGAAGCTCGCGCCCCATCTTGCCCAATTCGCTCCGGCTTTCCTGAATGTTATGCAATCCGTTGAGTGGACCGACGAGAAGTTGGATGCATTCAGAGGTTTCGTTCAAATTGTGTTGGACAACCCACAGGCACTCGAGCAATGCTTGCTCGCTTTCTTCGCAGCAATCGCAAGCGTGCCGGCCGATTCGCGCAAGGTTCCAGTATCTCAGAGCGAGAGACCATTTGAAGGATTCCACAAGGTACGTAAAGAGTTGTCGTAGTGAGCAAGCTTTATGACTAACGACTTCGTCCAGGCTCTCCAGGCATACAAGAACATGATCCCCGACTTCGATGGCTTCATCAGCCATCTGCCTCAAGAGCAGCAGTACGAGCTCAGACAAAATTACAGCTTGTAAATGACAACGAAATACCCGGACCGAGGTTTCACCACATGACCCGACCTGCATCTTTTCCCTTTTCCCTCACTCGATGGCGATACCAACACTGGGAGCAATGTCGTATATATACCTATAGCAACGCATGGATGACGGCAGTATGATACGAAACGCACACACACACAAAAGTGGTATCTGTTTTTCATGATTTTGAGCGTACTTAGCGTATAGCATCTGCACGGGTTAGCCGGCAGCTCTTTTCTTTTCTGCTTCTTCTTGCTATCAGTCTTGCTCCCATCCTTGCAGCACCCGAACGAGGCGTTTTTGTGTATCTCTCACCGTTGTCAAAAGGAACGTTTTGGAAGCGATAAAGTTACGTGAGAGTTGGATGATGCTTTTCAAGAGATGTGGCTTTGTGCTTTTTATTTTATTTTTTACTTTTAGATAGTTATATAGGTAGGCCTTCTTTGATCAGGCACTTTTGCTTATGGCCATGTTCTTGGTCGATGAATATGGGTGACCATGAATGCGAGTCCTTCAACAAAAACTCTATCCGTTGCACTCGCTTCTATCAAATGACAGGTGCTGGTTCCTTATGCAATGCGACAGATGCGCTACCAACTGGTGAAACTGGATTGCAGTGGTTCTCCTCGTATTGAGAGGACGAATGCTCACGGAAGCGGACAGGCCTTGACAATTCAATTGAACGGAGCACTGTCTCTGATCTTTACTAAACACATGTCTGCTCTGAGGATATCCCTCTGTCGTACAGCCATTACGTGTACACGTGCTAAACTCTATACTCGGGGAGGCTAAGACTCGGGACGGAGGCGAAGCTATACCTTGGCTTGGCTCCCAGCGATGGTGCTAGCAACACCGGAAGTGGGCGGCCTGGGTTGGAAGACTGAAAGCCTGAGGTATAAGCGCTCATTTGGATGAATAGACACGAGTGACCCCCTTTGGTGCCTTGACAAAATAGAGGTCCGAGGGGTTTCCAAATAAGGGGTGTGAAAGGAGAGATAGTTTGGCGGTACACGTCAAAAGGCGGGTGGTTTGGTAGGAAGGCCTAGATCAGTTGGTGTAAGGATCGCCAAGCAGACGACGACTATGTACGGCATACTCGACCTCGTCACGAAATCACTTCTTGTCTCTCCACCGAACATCGACCTGCCATCTCGAAGACGCCTGGACTTTTTGTCGCGACGTTGTTATTTGGTATAGCGTCCGTATTCCTGAGGCTATAACCGTTTCCCCCGCTCGCCTCTCCCGCGTACGCCTCGACACACTCGACTTGCGAAGCCGCCAACTCCTTGCACACGCATTCAACCAGGCCCATCGCCCCAGCGCGAGTGCGGCGATAGTCACAATCCGCCATGCCATCCAATCCGTCTGTTCCGCGAACATTGTCGACGTCCTATGTCCAACCCGCGTCGACACCCGCCATCATTGTCAACGGCAAGCCGTGGACCGTCGGCTCTCACTATGGCCCCATTTCCTGGAACTCGGAGAACGCACACACAAACGCCATGGGCTTGAGTTCGACGGGCAAAGGCATCCTTATCGGCATGCTGTCTGCCTTTGGCTCGGCTGCATTTGTCGCCATCATTCTGGCTTGCATCTACTTCTTCCGCTACACCAACCGTGGCCGCATCTTTCTCGACAGCATCGGCAGACCTGGAGAGTACGATGATGAGCAAGCTTTCTTGCGTGAAGAGGAGGATGCTTTGGAGGACATGGATGACCTGCAGCGTGCCGAGTACCTCCGAGCCAAGGGTAAATCAAGCACGCGTCCATATCCAACAAGAACCATTGCTGACATTGTATCCTGANNAGCTTTCGTCACAGCCAATCCTCCCGAATCCGTCCAAACCGACATTTCGCTCTCGCAGTTCCTCGCAATCCAGGAGAAGGGTGTACAAGCTTGGGAGTTTGAGCCCGAACTAGAGATCGCAAACTGCTTCGTCGAAGGCCGCACCGAGATCGAGTTCTTTGACGCCGAGTGCAGCGTTCAGAGCAATCTGCCTGTGCCCAAGCAGAACGAGGTCTACTACTGGGAAGCAAAGATCTTCGACAAGCCCGACAATACCCTGATCAGCATTGGCATGACCACAAAACCCTACCCTCTTTTCCGACTNCCCTGGTATGTTTGAATCTAGTATCCAGCGTCAAGACCGTGGCTAACCCGTACAGGTATGCACAAGTACTCGGTAGCCTATACTTCCTCCGGCCAACGGAGGTACAACCAGCCTTTCTCCGGCACCAACTATGCACCATCATACGAGCAGGGAGATGTTGTCGGAGTAGGCTACAGACCTCGAACTGGAACCGTCTTCTTCACTCGCAACGGGAAAAAATTGGAAGATGTCGCCCATGGCCTTAAATCACAAAACCTCTTCCCTACCGTCGGAGCCAACGGCCCTTGCAACATACAAGTCAATTTCGGCCAGATGGGCTTCGTGTTCATCGAAGCCAACGTCAAGAAATGGGGTCTTGCTCCGATGACTGGCAGCCTTGCACCACCGCCACCATATGGCAGCGAACAAGGTAGCATTCTCCTCGAAGGTGGTAGAGAGGGTGTTCGTGAGGGCCAAGCATATATTCACGGCCGCACGCATAGCGCCACTGTCCGCCTGGGCAGACCAGCGACTAGTCCTGGACCTCGACGATCACCTACTGAAATCTCACTTGCTCAGCTAAGTCTGAGCGAGTCACGGGAAGACGTAGGTGAAGGCACAAGCTATACTGCAGCTGGTCACGTGTCTGATGATGACCTCGCGATGCCGTCGCACTCGGATGCTCCGCCGCCGGAATACGAAAGCCCAGATGAAGAGAATCAGTTCTCGACACCGAGACAGAGCATGCACTCAGAGCATGAGCATCTACTATCGCATGACCCACCAATTCCTTCTTACGAAGCAGCGGTTGGAGAGCGCGCGAGTGGGTCTCGTAACGATGACAACTAGCCGATCAATCACGACTCCTTTTTCTTTGACATTTTATTTCTTACATGGCGTTTTAGCGATCTCTCTTGGGTGGATGGTGTTTCTCCATGGATTGTATTACCCCTCTGTCAAACAGCGCAGACTGGCAGGGCAAACAGGGGAGGTGGATGGGTTGGGCAGGAACCAGTCTTACAAAGGAACTATGGGATAGGTTTGGATGTTATATTCATTTGCAGAATCACAATCGATTGTCGACCTCTCAGACTTCTTTCTCCCTACCATTTCAGCGCCACAAAAGCCCGCCAACTGTTTGACAACTTGAGCCTCACCCCACAGATGGTATCGATAACGAATAGTGACGTAAACTCTACCAAACGCCATCGACCATCTGGCGACATTCAACCACAGCAAGAAGAGAAGCATTTACTCCTCTGATGAAGACGACAATTCGCAGGTTCACACAGACAACCATGGCCACATCAAGCATTCTCACTCCACTCAAGGAGCTCAAAGTCGCCAGACATCAAATCCAAGCACATGGCTTGACACCAAACACATCAATCCAGAACAAACCTCTGTTGCTATACAGAAATGCATTCAAGGCAAACACCAGTGCAAGTCAAATCGAGGACCATTTGAGCAAAGTGGGCGTGGTGGATCCAGCATGGAGGTATACTGTGAGTTTGTCTCCTTCCCTGCTCAAAACACAAACACGGCTTTTCTAATCATTCATGCATAGNATGTACTCGACATCCCACTTCCACAGCACGTCTCATGAAGTCCTCGCCATCTGCAACGGAGAAGCCAAACTGTGCTTTGGCCATGAAGATAATCCAGGTCGCGTAGAGGAGACCTTGAAGCAGGGAGATGTGGTTGTCGTGCCCGCAGGGGTTGCTCACAGATTGTTAGAAGATGTTCAAGGAGGGTTTGAGATGGTGGGGTCATATCCTAGGGGATTGAGTTGGGATATGTGTTATGGAAAGAAAGGGGAAGAGAGCAGAGTCAAGGGGATTGAGAAATTGGGGTGGTTCGAGAAGGATCCGGTGTATGGAGAGGGAGGCCCTGCTACGGAGGTCTGATGAACCTTGCTGCCCCGGTTGTGGTCGTGACCGGTTGTGCGTCCTTGGGCAAGGCACAACACCATCCATATCCAGACAATGGTCTTGAACCAAGAGGTGATACACTCTTTCTGAAGAGAATGACATTTCCCAAAAGGCATTTACTGAAACTCTCTTCATGAAAGTGAAACACGCTCTCACATTCGCCAGGCACGTAAGGCAGCCGCTACCCCAGACTCTCGGAAGTTGCCGCAGGGCAGGCAGCAGTTGCCTCAGCGCTCAGACGGTAAATGACATAGGACTGAACCGTCACAAGCTCCTACAATTCCGCGTTCACTCCAACCCCTCTATCACATATCACCATTCCGACAACAATCCCAAGCTTCGGTATTGTGAGCCCGCCATCTGGGTATTGACAACCAACACATCCATCCACCTCCTCGCCACTTCCTCTCAGCACAGTCTTATTCGGCGACGCGCATCTTCACAATCGCCCGCGTGCTCAAACCCCTCCTACCGCAACTATGGCGAAGAATGCCACCGCTATGCCTCAGTTACCTGGCAAGGACGACATCCAAGGAACTTGGGATTTCCTTGCCATCGGCGTCGAGAAGATTATGAACCATCTCCGCGATGGCATCGATCTCAAGACATACATGAGCCTGTACACGGCCATCCACAACTTCTGCACAGCTCAAAAGGCCGTCGGTCAAACCACAAATCTAAACGCTACGCATCGTGGAGGTCAGTCCAGACATCGCTTTACTATTCTACACGCTCCAGCAAGCTGACCTTTACGCACAGCACACCTCCTTGGAGAAGATCTGTACAAGCGTCTGAATGATTACCTTCAATCTCACCTGGCCACTGTCCACTCCGAGATGGTCATGCACTCGGACGAGGCTCTTCTATCCTTCTACATCAAGGAGTGGAACCGTTACACCACCGCCGGCACTTACAACAATCACCTTTTCCGCTACCTTAACAGACACTGGGTCAAGCGTGAGATCGACGAGGGCAAGAAGGACATCTATGACATCTATACCTTGCACCTGGTCCGATGGAAGGAGGACATGTTCGGCACCACCCAGAACGCTGTTATGGACGCCGTCTTGCACCTGGTTGAGAAGCAGCGTAACGGCGAGACAATCGAGCAGAGCCAGATCAAAAGTGTCGTCGATTCGTTTGTCTCGCTGGGAATCGACGAGCAAGACAGCACAAAATCGACCCTCGACGTCTACCGCATCTACTTTGAGAAGCCCTACCTTGAGGCCACCGAGAAGTACTACGCCCAAGAGTCTCGCCAATTCCTCGCCGAGAACACCGTTGTCGAATACATGAAGAAGGCCGAACAGCGTCTTGAAGAAGAGAAGGAGCGTGTCCCTCTGTACCTGCTCAACGAGATAATGACTCCCTTGATGAAGACCTGTGAGAAGGCCCTGATTACTGATCACTGTGCCATTCTGCGCGATGAGTTCCAGGTTCTACTCGACAATGACAGAGTCGAGGACATGACCCGCATGTACAAGCTGTTGGCCCGCATCCAGGACGGACTGGATCCTCTGCGAAGCAAGTTCGAGGCTCACGTCCTCAGAGCTGGCAACGCTGCCGTTGACAAGGTTGCCTCTGCTGCCGAGAATTCAGTCGACCCCAAGACATACGTTGATGCCTTGCTCGAGGTCCACACTAAGTACTCGGATCTTGTCCAGACTGCTTTCAACGGCGAGTCTGAGTTTGTTCGCAGTCTCGATAACGCTTGCCGCAACTATGTCAACCGCAATGCCATCTGCAAGAACGGGTCGACTCGCTCGCCCGAGCTTCTGTCCAAGCACGCTGACACCCTTCTGAAGAAGTCGACCAAGAGCACCGAAGAGGATGACATGGAGCAACAACTCAACCAGGTCATGACCGTCTTCAAGTACATCGAGGACAAGGATGTCTTCAACAAGTTCTACTCAAAGACACTGGCCAAGCGTTTGGTCCAAGGCACATCTGCTTCTGGCGACGCCGAGACTAGCATGATCTCCAAGCTGAAGGATGCAAGTGGATTTGAATACACCAACAAGCTCCAGCGTATGTTCCAGGACATGCAGACGTCCAAGGATTTGAACGCATCATACGACGAGTGGTGCAAAGGAAACCTTGAAGAATCTGATCGCAAGGCCATCATCGACTCCTACTACAACGTCCTTGGTACCGGTTTCTGGCCACTGCAGCCCTCGAGCACCCCCTTCACACCTCCACAAGATATCGCGCGCACTTACGAGCGCTTCCAGAGCTATTACCTTAGCAAACACGGTGGCCGTAAGCTTACTTGGCTCTGGCATCTGTGCAAGGGTGAGATTAGAGCCAACTACGTTAGGATGAACAAGGTTCCGTACACCTTCCAAGTTTCGACCTACCAGATGGCCATCTTGCTGCTCTTCAATGACAGCGAGACTGTCTCCTACGACGAAATTTCCGAGGCTACCAAGTTGAACAAAGACACCCTTGATCCCTCGATTGCTATCATGCTCAAGGCAAGAGTGCTTACAGCCAAGCCCGAAGGTGCTGGTCAAGCAAGCGGTACTACCTACACACTCAACCACGGCTTCAAGAACAAGAAGCTCAAGGTTAACCTCAACATTGCCATCAAGTCGGAGCAGAAGCAAGAAGTCGAGGAGACACACAAGACCATCGAGGAGGACAGGAAGATGCTTATGCAGGTGAGTCATTCTGATTCATGTTATCCTTTTCGTGTACTATGCTAACAAAATCAACAGTCTGCAATTGTCCGCATCATGAAGTCTCGCAAGACGATGAAGCACACACAGCTGGTTGCCGAGGTCATCTCGCAAATCAAGAACAGATTCGTGCCCAAGGTGCCAGACATCAAGAAGTGTATCGACATCCTTCTGGAGAAGGAGTACCTCGAGCGTCTGGAAGGCGATGAGCTTGGTTACTTGGCTTAAGTAGCAGAGAACTGAGTGACATGAAACAAGGAAGCAGGCGTTATGGGGGTGCGAAAAGGGGTACCCTGGTAGAATTTGAGCATGGCGTTCTGGATGGTGTGGCTTTTCTATCGTCGTGACATACGGCCGTCAGTATCGTGGAGCTTTCACATTCGTAGAAGCGCAAACACATTTGTATCTATCATTGCTTCTGCAAACAAGACTATACATGATCCTCTGTGAGAGATGGAGAGCACATATGTGCTCTAGTTCGTGGAAGGTCGGATCTAATCTTATCTCCATGCATCGGCGGAAGGCGCGAACCCGCCGGTCCCCACCAACCAGCATCATCACAAGAGCAATTCGCGCATTCAATCTCGTCCAACACATATGAGCAGTAGCCCGATGCTGACTCTTTGGTACAACGACCCATCAGTCCCGACAGCTATTGCGCCACATCGCTGAAAAGTAGTGACGCCATGGAAAGACAGAGGAAGCGTACGCTGGCCATCGAGCTCGACAGGGAAGTATAGATGCTAATGATAAACCACAGGCGAGCTGCGCGGCCTCAACCAGCGGGCATGGGCCGGTGAAGTAAATGTCCTCCCCGTCCAGGGCTCGCTCGACTCGTCCATGAAAAAGAACACGGCATTCATCAAGCGTCTCCGAACCGCCATCAACGCCGCCGGCCAGACTGTCTTCTTGCAGGAAATCTGCACCCTCTCCCTACACAAGTACTTGTCCGAGATCATCTCCGCCTGCTTCGAAGGCCTCACCAAACTCAAGTCGCCAGGAGAAATCGCCGCTGGCGTGGAAATTGTCTCTGCTCTCCACCAACGCTTTGGCCCTGATGAGTTCACCAAGATGCTCGGCTGGTTTGTCGGCCGTGGCCTTGCTACACCTGATAGAGCCCAGTTGAAGGCCCTGGCTCAAGAGGTGCGGGAAAGAGAAGAGAAGGAACGAATTTCGAGACAGCGCATCCTTTTGCGTGTTGCTACCGAATTGTGGCTTGTCGGTGTCTTGCGTAGTTTGGAAGATATTGCTCGCCCTGAAGAAGCCAACAAGTTGAAAGAGTCGGGGAAGCCTGCGGATACCCTGCCCAAGGCCAAGACTACACGTCCTGACTCTGCGGACCCGGAACCCTTTCCCCTTGAAGTGCTCAAGGATATGCTGGGTCACGACCGGGATCATGTGAATCTGCCCCTGGTTGTCATTTTCGTCAAGAGTTTTGCTTGGGATATCCTGGCTTCTAAATCTACACAGGATGGTCGCAAGACTGTTGCTGAGGATGGCTCAACCGCCGTTACCAGCTCTACGGATGAGGTCGAAGGCGATGCAAACGGAACCCAAGATCCTCCGCTCTGCGCTCCCGACATGCAGCAGCGCTTCAAAAACATTCTTAGCCGCTACTTCCAGGACGTGAAGGCACATATAGTTCGCGACCAGAAGCATCTCAGTGCTCAAGGACGTCGCAACGCCGAAGCATATGTCAAGTCTGGAGAAGTCTTCGAAGACCGTCAGACCAATTTTGAGAAACTGACAAAATCCCACGAAAAGTTGGTCTCGAACGCTCAGGTCCTGGCAGATGCACTGGGTGCTGATATGCCGGATTTGTCTGAGAAGGAGTCAAACAACGCCAATGGAGACGGCGGTATCGGCCTGGTCAAGACTGGCGAATATCTGCGTGGCCAAGGCGACGGCGCTGGTATTTGGGAGGACGAAGAAGAAAGACGCTTTTACGAGAACTTGATCGATCTCAAAGACAGAGTCCCTGGAATCTTGCTTGAGGATGGCAAGAAGAAGAAATCTGACGGCGACGATCAGGTCGGTAAGAGGGTTGACGACGCAGCCGAAGCGAAGGACAAGCCTGAAGTCGCAGAGCCCAAGGCAGCAGAAGGTGAAGACCAGTCAACTGCTATTGCCAACAAGACCGTTGGTGCACAGGTTGATGCTCTGCTTGCTCAACTAGTCGATCTGACCAACAAAGACCAAGTCGATCAGTTTGCTATTGACTTCTGCTTCTTGAACTCCAAAGCCTCCCGAAATCGCTTGGTGAGGGCTATTCAGGACATCCCCAAAGGCAGGACTGATTTGTTGCCTCTATACTCGCGCCTCGTTGCTACCCTCGGAAAGCAGTTAATCGATGTTCCGCAAGCACTGATTGCCTACCTCGATGAGGAATTTAGAAGTCTGCAACGTCGCAAGTCGAAGGACTTCCTCGGACAAGTCCGTATGATCAACATCAGATACATCGCTGAGCTTACCAAATTTGGTGTCGTCCCTGAGCATGTCATCTTCCATTGTCTGAAGGTCAGCCTGGACGATTTCTCACGCATGAATATTGAGATCATCTCCAATCTTCTGGAGAATTGCGGTCGCTACCTCCTTCGCAACCCGGACACCTCACCCAGGATGGCTTCTTTCTTGGAGACTTTGCAGCGCAAGAAGGGTGCTCAGCATCTTGGACAGCAAGAGCGCATGCTTATCGAGAATGCCATGTACTATGTCAACCCACCCGAGCGAGCAGCCATTCAGCAGAAGGAGCGCACTACTTTGGAGCTCTTCATCCGCAAACTCATCTACTTGGACCTATCGAAGCGCTCTATTGAGAAGATCATCAAGCAAATTCGAAAGCTACATTGGGAAGAGCCAGAGGTCTCGGAACTCCTTCACAAGATCTTCATCAAGCCTGGAAAGATCAAGTACAGTAATATCCACCTGCTGGCAGTCATTCTAGCAGCGCTGCACCGCTATCATCAGAACTTTACCGTCGCTGTGCTTGACGACACACTCGAGCAGATAACAGTTGGATTGGAGACCAACGACTTCAAACAAAATCAGAAGCGCATCGCCGAAGTCAAGTATCTTGGTGAGCTGTACGTCTACCGCATGGTCGACTCTGCACTTATCTTTGACACGCTTTACCACATTGTAAACTGCGGCCACCCAGGCGGATTCGCTCGTCCAGGCTCTTACAACATGCTTGACCTGCCGGATGATTACTTCCGCATCAGACTCGTGGCTAGTCTCCTCGAAACCTGCGGCATGTACTTTGACAAGGGTGCCGTGAAGAAGAAGCTCGACTTTTTCTTGTCCTTCTTCCAGTACTACATTCAGACCAAGGAGCCGATGCCTATGGATATCGAGTTTGTAGTTCAAGATATGTTTGCTCTCTTGCGGCCTCAGTGGAAGGTTGCTACAACTTTCGAGGAAGCGCAACAAGTCTTTAGTGAGGCTGTCAAACACAACTATCAGGCAACCGGTGCCAACAAGCAGCAGGAAGAGCAAGCAGAAGAGGCAGGAGAAGATGGCCGTGAAATCGACGATGTCAACAATGACGACGATAACGATGACAACGACGATGACGACGACGATAAGTCATCCGGAGACGAAGCTGCAGAGCCTACCGATGACGAGGGCGCCGGTGAAACTCCAGAGGAGGGTACGGAAGACGAAGAAGAGCACATTGTTGTGACACGCCCTGAGGATCACCGTGATCCCGAGGCCGACGCCGAATTTGATCGAGAGCTAGCCAAGATGATGGCAGACAGCGTTGAGTCACGCAAGTTTGATCGCAAGCCTGTCTTTGACGTGCCCTTGCCAATGCGTAAGACTGCCACTGCTACTTCAACTCCTAACAGCGAACCAAGCCAACCCATCGAACCACCATCAAACACAATGAAGTTTGCACTTCTCAGCAGAAAAGGCAACAAACCACAGGCAAGATTTTTGATCAGACCTTCACGGATTAAACATGCCTGTTTGCTAACTTGCNNACAGACTCGCTCTATTGACTTACCTTCAGACTCGAACTTCGCGGTCGCCATGCGCAGCCAGCAAGAGCAAGCTCGTGCTGAGCAGCAGCGCATCAAGAACCTGGTCCTCAACTACGACCTCCGCGACGACGACCCCAATGATGGTGAATCATCCTTCCACTATGTTTTGCAGCCCAACACGAACCGTACGGTTCTCGTAGGCAAAGGCGCTATGAACCAACCACTGTCACCTAGGGATTCCAACAATCCTGTGATGACCAACACTTCCAACACATTCAAATCAAGCAGCCATGGCAATATCAACACTGCTCATGGTATAAGTCTTCATACACCCTGTCCCCCTTCTGCGATCACATCTTCATACGCCTGCACCCGCAATAACGAAAACGCAAAGCCTAGAGCTGCCACTTCAACCACAAATGCTGACTTTTCCTCTTCTACTTCCACNAGCAGCTCTAGATGCACAGTCCCCTACAATCAGCCCCGTGTTGACAAGTCGGGGACTTCACGTAACGTCACCAGAAGCAGAAAGCTGCAGCTCAGTGATGTCGACTGGTATGCCAAAACTCCCTCCAACCCCCATGCATCTTCGCAGAAAGAGAAGCCAGAGACAAAGTTGAGCTTGGACTCATACATTGTCGCGAGCAAGAAGCAGAGAAAGCCCTTTGAAAAGAAGAACAAAGGCCTTGATGCTCTGGGCAATTCTTGAACGCAAAGCGAGATGATATGGCTCGAAAGAAACGAATCACAGATGCATGCATAACAAAACCCAGCAACAGAGACTGATGTAAGGCCCCCGTCGGGCAATCGCAGGACTTGAACCCGATATCGATATGTATCTTTGATCCACCGACACACACCGACCGACCCACGAAGCTTCATATAGCTGTTTCCCTCCCTAGGCCATCGACTCGTGGCCTTGGTCGACAAACTCGAGACCGCTCTTATCGCCAATCAATGTCTCGCACTGCTTTGTGCTTGACAAAGGGTAAGGACTTTGCTTTGCAGACTGAAGGAGAGTAGCAACAACCGTGGCTCACCCCAAATCGCTCGACCTCGCAAAAGACGCAGCGAGAAAAAGGACAGAGGCAGAGAAATCCTTGAATTTTCGGCTGCTGGCGAAACAGCAGCGACACATGCCGACACGAGCCGAGACCTAGATGGAGGACGCGAGGCAACGACATGTGTTTCATGACTTGTCCCTTTTGCTTTCTTGAACCCCCACTCTGGCTTCTTTTTTTTTTTGAAGCGGAGAAGGGATGAAGAAATGCAAACTCGAAGGGTACTTAGATATTCTCCTTGATCAAAGCACACACACTCTCTTCTTTGTATCGAGCATACCTATTGTGACCTTTCGTGGCCATTCGTTGCATATTTATTGCAGCTTGCGCGATCGACAAAAACTGATTATAGGCGGTTGCATAAAACTTGACAAAGGCTGACAAGGGATTGACCGAGACAACTATCACAAAGAGGAACTGACCCATCTAGTCACAGGAAGATGTTGCGAACGATTGGCACGATCAACAGGGGAACAAAGAGCTTGTAATTAAGGTTCATGATCAAGCAACGCAGGTCGATACAGTTAAAGGAATAACGCCCGTTTTGCTTCCCGAATAACTTGAAAACGCCATTGACATCCCAGGTCGTCGTCATCAGCAAACGTTCCCATAAAACATAAAGCATGAACCCATGAACCCATGAACGTCGTTTCAGCCATGCGAGCTTGCATCGCCCAAGTCGTCAATAAGAGCTTCCTCCATCGAACCTTTTCGCTTCAGATGGCGGTCATGCATCTTCATAGCCATCTTCAACGCTGCTTTGCTGAGCTGGAGCACTGATTGAACGAATTGCAGCGTTGATGAAGCATCTGCCCATGTGTGCAGAAAAGAAGACGCAGGCCCCATCGGACGATCTTGAAGCTACTTCTTGGGGGCGGAAGTGGTGTAGCCAGCACCTCTGGCGTCGTTGTTGAAGATGTGCTCCATGGCAGCTCTCTTCTGGTCGCTCAGCTTCCAGCTAGGCTTTCTGCCAGGGTAGAGAGCAGGAGGAGCATCAGGGCCGTTGGGGTCGCTGCGGATGGCAAGGCCGATGTCGTCGATGTGCTGTTGTTCACCGGTGCGAGCAGCACGGTCTCTCAGAGCCTGTTCGTAGGTGTTGGTGAGACGACGCTGGAGGTGGTTGTGGGGCATTCCGTGGGCCTCCTGCTGGATGTCGGCGTGCGAGTGAGGAGGGTGCATCTCAGGTGAGTGATACTCGGGACCCATGTTGGGAGAGGTCGGGGAGCCAGCAGAGGCAGGGCTACTGCCGCCAGCTGAAGTGCCGGGACGCTCGTTGATGAGATCTTGGTTGGAAGTGGGGTGGGAAGCAGACATTGCTGGATGATTGGATGTGGTAACGATGATGGGAGGATCAGAAGGGTGAGTTGATGATGCTTCTGTCGACGCCAGGTTCAACAGAGGTACTGNTGTAAGACGTGGGGTGATTGTTGCAGATGAGCTGACAATAAACAGTGATGAGGGATGACCTTTTGCAGATAGGGTGATGTCGAGTTGTTCTCGGTGGAAGAGCGAGTTGAAGGGGGAATGTTTATGTCGAGTATCGTCGAGCCTCGACGTTCCTCTCTCGTCGGGGTAACGACCCTCGACGAAACGACGCATGCCACCTGCCTTGTAACCTGTTCTACGACTTGTGCGTGAGGGAAAGAGCACTCATTGTGGATTTCATCTTGCGACGATGGGGTACATCTGGAAGGTACTCCTCGACTACTTCCTGCAGTAAAGAGCTTTCCCCGCATCACACTCACACTGCCGATCGAGCACGAGCTGTCTTGCACCAGGAAGCCCGTGCCATAGATATCGTCGTCGTCTCGTCTTGGAACTGTTTTACTTGTCTATTGAACCCATGTGTTCAGCCCAGTGAGACAACAACGGACAGGTGTTGGTGACAACGTAGAAGGCTTTGACAGTAGTAGCATACTTCCATTCTCTGACCAGAAGTTCAATAGAGACAACGCTCGTGACAGAAGGGTTTGAAGCTGTCCAATAGTGTGTCCAGCCACAGGGAAGATCAAACTTTCGGCTGCCTCGGACCTTGTTGAGCCCTGAGTCGAAACACCCATCTTGGCAAGAACGTATCTGATACGGCTGCGACACGAAATAGCTTGTGCGACCCTTGTGCGGCATCACCTCTAGAAAGACATCACTTGACTCGTATCTGGCTCTCTCCAAAAGGCAATGCCAACTCGCCAAGGACGCATGAACCTCCCGTCGGTATCGATTCGTGTCCCGTACTGCGCCATCTTGATTTACGCAATCTCGACTTGGGCCGAGCCATCACGAAGACGGATGCGGGACTTCGAAAGTCGGTGAAGCCGGGCATCAATCAATTCCTTCTATTCCCGTTCCAAAAGACGTCTCTATTCCACTTTGGCATGATTGAGCAGATTTGAAACGGTTTTGCAATTACCGTTGAGAAGTGTTCTCATCCTCACACGCGCCACTGTCCCCACAGCAGGCCTGCCTGTCTCGCACCTTTCCTCTATTAGTTTCTGAACCTCTAGTCCGGCACTCCGCTCGAAGGAAAAAGAAAGATTCCCCGTGCCTTCTCTGGTAGATAATATCTGGCCGTTTCTCGTCTTTCTCTTCCTCACGCTACCTCATTCCCGACTCAGACAACCGTCTCTTCTCTGGTCTCGGCTCTCGACATATACATATCGGTATCGGACCACCTAGAAGAGCATGCTCATTTGAATTTCTCAACGTATTCTCGTTCGTTCTCTTATCCATCATGTCGACTCTGTCTTCTCCAGCTCTGAGTTTCTGCGACTCTCTTTCTTCGCCAGACCTTGATGCCTACCTGGACCGCCTTTCACCGCTATCTCAACTACCCTCGCCCACAATGAAGGAAGCTTGGTGGAGAGAAGAAACTCTGCACGGAAGATATGACTCGTTGTTGTCCGACATCTCGCCCCTACGTAAGTCTTCCTTGAAAAAGCATTTGTTGATAGGCACGTGAGCTTATGAAAATNNCACAGTCACCATTGCTGCAGACGTACTATGCAATATCACTTCGTGTGATAGCTGCAGATCCATCAAACCATTGCAAACAATGATAACACGGTTCCTGAACAACTCTCGAGTGCCGATTGAGACTATTGCTCTGGCTTACAATATCTTGTCTCAACCGGCCGTTGCGGCTATGCATTGCTGGCACGGCAACCCGGCTGCATTTTCTTCCGGTCAAATGTCGAAGATTATGCAAATCCATGGACCCGAATCGGATGCTTCCTGTCAGCGAGCTCTCGTCATTCTTTCAGCCCTGAATGTTGCCGTATCCTTCACTGAGGACAACCCTAGAAGCTTGTTCCACTGGTCAAGACAAGTGGCTGGAGGCATCTTCAGCACCGAGCAGATCAATACTATGAATCGTATAGTTCTTGCCCAGCTAGAGTGGTCGATCCATCCTCTCGCTGCACCAACGGCGATCGAGACAGCTCTTTCGGCTCTATCAAGCCCGGGAGTTGTCACGCACGATAAACATTCATCGTTCACACCATTGATTGTTGACGAGGAAGACACTCTCAGGTTAATCCTCGGCCCACAAACGGTTATCCAGCATGGACTCGCAACACCTGAGCCATCGCCCGACTGCATGCATGGGGATGATGATTTAATGCCTCGGTATCTGCCTGCAACTCGAGAGTAAGAAGATCGATCGGATGGTGTGATACAAGGAAGCGGGCTTTGCCGGACTGTCTTGTTGGCCCTGGAGGCTCAAGTGGATACAGGTACGACTAATTGCATGTGGGATCAGGTGTTCGGAGGACGGAAGCAATGTTGATATTCGGGTTACGGCGTAAGATGGACACAGGCAAAAAGGCAGGCTGCGTGTATTTCTTTTGGCAGTTCACGATGATACCCACCTGATACGTTTTTTACGATATGGCTGCAGCGCATGGAAAGAAAACTAGAGGCTAGCTAGCAATACTGGTATCAAGACGAGCTACTGCATGCCCGAGCAAGACGGCCACTCCCTGGTGCATGTGCGGTATCCGGAGCGACTGTCAACAAAAGAGACGGGAGCAACACGCCAAGGTCCGAGCTGGAAGAAGGTTCGACCCGAGCGGCTCCAGACCCGCGCATTCGCTGGGTACCCCGCATCAGCAGATAGATCGGAAGACCCAACAACAAGCAGCCACTGGCCAGTCGTACCTCCCTCACACGCAGAAGCCACCTACGGCACCAGGTCCAGAGCTCCGGAAGCGTTGGGGGCCGTCGACATCTTCTTCTACTTCTCACCTCATCCCTCTCCTTGCCCTGTCAATCATCTTCTTGCTCCAGTCAGCTCCGAGAGCTGCCCCTCATACCCCTCAAAACCCCTCATTCTCAGACTGCTCGTACCAGAGTCATCATGGCTACCACGGCGACAGCCTCGCGTTCGCGCAGACCTTCGACATCGGCTCCAGTAGCTGAACTCTCGGGTCCCATTGGGCCTGCTGGCATCACAAGACCCAAGCACAAGCGTACAATCACAGGCTTCGGTGCATCCGATATCAAGAGTGTTGAAGCCGAGATTCCAGATGAGCAAAAAACTGCGTAAGCAAACAGGACGGTCACTGCAGTGAGAGCTATACTAACATGAGTGCTCTAGCTGGAAGAAACATGTATGGCAATGTGTTCCATCGCTGACATGATGCCGATCCGATGCTGACCCAAGCAGACTGCTTCAGGATTCAAGAACAAGGAGGACTTTGAGGTATAACAGGCTTCAACAAACACGACTTCCACAGTTTTAACTGAACTGACAGGANNCGCTGCAATCCGCCACATTGAGACGACGCTCGCTCGCTCTCTCTACAACTGCGATGAAGGGTTCGTCTTGAATTCCTCCCAGACAAGGCATTGATCTGATTTGAATTGCAGCGCTGCTTACGGCGGAACCGCTTTGGCATTCCGCGACCGCCTGATCATTGACTGGAACAAGACTCAGCAAAGTCATACCTTTGCTGACCAGAAGCGTGTTTACNNTGTAAGATGACCAACTTTCGTTCTGTCACAATCACTGACAAGCACAGATCTTTCTCTCGAGTTCTTGATGGGAAGAGCCTTGGACAATGCCATGCTCAACGTTGGTCTGAAGGATGTAGCAAGAGGTACGGCAAACATCTTTGTCAAACACATGACGAGTCTAACTCTTGTGTANGATGGTCTCGCAGATCTCGGCTTCCGAATGGAGGACGTCATTGGCATCGAGCGTGATGCTGCTCTCGGTAACGGTGGTCTCGGTCGTCTAGCAGCTTGCTTCCTGGACAGTCTTGCCTCGCTCGACTACCCTGCCTGGGGTTACGGTTTGAGATACAGATACGGTATCTTCAAGCAGGAGATCATCAACGGATACCAAGTCGAGGTGCCTGACTACTGGCTCGACTTCAATCCCTGGGAGTTCCCCCGACACGATGTTACAGTTGACATCCAGTTTTACGGCAATGTCCGCAAGTACAACGATGACAATGGAAGACAGGTATCCGTCTGGGAGAATGGCGAGATAGTTACTGCCAACGCCTACGACGTACCCATCCCTGGTTACAACACGCCGACCACCAACAACCTGCGTCTGTGGTCTAGCAAGGCTGCCAGCGGCGAGTTCGACTTCCAAAAGTTCAACTCTGGCGAGTATGAGCAGTCGGTGCATGATCAGATGAGAGCCGAGACCATCTCTGCTGTGCTGTACCCCAACGACAAGTAAGTTGAGCCTGATAAAGGGCAGCGAACAGCTCACTAACATCAATATAGCCTCGACCGTGGTAAGGAGCTTCGTCTCAAGCAACAATACTTCTGGTGTGCTGCTTCGCTCCATGACATTGTCCGTCGTTTCAAGAAGTCAAAGAAGGCCTGGAAGGAGTTCCCCAACCAGATCGCTATCCAGCTCAACGATACGCACCCGACGCTTGCCATCCCTGAGCTGCAACGTATCCTGGTTGATAACGAAGGTCTTGACTGGGACACTGCTTGGAACATTGTTGTCAACACGTTCGGCTACACCAACCACACGGTCATGGCAGAGGCGCTCGAGAAATGGTCCGTCCCATTAATCCAGCATCTTCTTCCTCGCCACCTCGAGATCATCTACGAGATCAACCTGCACTTCTTGCAGTACGTCGAGCGTACCTTCCCCAAGGACCGTGACATGCTCTCTCGCGTTTCCATCGTTGAGGAGTCTAACCCAAAGATGATTCGCATGGCTTTCCTCGCCATTGTCGGCTCTCACAAGGTCAATGGTGTCGCTGAGCTGCACTCCGACCTGATCAAGACAACCATCTTCAAGGACTTTGTCAAGATCTATGGTCAGGACAAGTTCACCAACGTCACCAACGGTATCACTCCTCGTCGTTGGCTGCATCAAGCTAATCCCAAGCTGTCCGAGCTCATTGCCTCCAAGCTTGGTGGCTATGACTTCTTGAAGGACCTCACTCTCTTGCACAAGATTGAGGCATATGCCGATGACAAGCAGTTCCGCAAGGCTTTCCAGGACATCAAGTACGCCAACAAGACCCGCCTCGCCAACTATATCAAAGAGACTACCGGTGTGTCAGTCAACCCCGCAGCCTTGTTTGATATCCAAGTCAAGCGTATCCACGAGTATAAGCGTCAGCAGCTCAACATCTTCGGTGTCATCCACCGCTACTTGGCTCTCAAGGCCATGTCACCAGAGGAGAGAAAGAAGATGCAGCCCAGAGTTTCCATCTTTGGTGGCAAGGCCGCTCCTGGTTACTGGATGGCCAAGTGCATCATTCATCTTGTTAATGAAGTTGGCAGAGTCGTCAACAACGACCCCGAGATTGGTGATGCTCTGAAGGTCATTTTCATTGAGGATTACAACGTCTCCAAGTGTGAGATTATCGCACCTGCCTCTGATATCAGTGAGCACATTTCGACTGCCGGTACTGAGGCTTCAGGTACTTCCAACATGAAGTTCGTACTTAATGGCGGTCTCATCATCGGTACTTGCGACGGTGCCAACATCGAAATCACCAGAGAGATTGGCGAGGAGAATATCTTCTTGTTCGGTAACCTGGCCGAAGATGTCGAGGACATTCGTCACCAACACACCTACGAAGGTGTCCTGATTGATGACGGCCTTCAAAAGGTCTTCGATGCCATTCATAGCGGCATGTTCGGTCACTCGGATGAGTTCTCCGCATTGACAAACACGGTCGTCAACCACGATCACTGGTTGACCTCTGCCGACTTTGAAGCATACTGCAAGACCCATGATTCTATTGACGAGGCATTCAAGGATCAGGAGGCATGGCTCCACAAGACCATTCTCGCCGTTGCTCGCATGGGCTTCTTCACCGCCGATCGTTGTATCGAGGAGTATGCTGAGATGATCTGGAACGTTGAGCCTCAAAAGCTCAAGCAGAATGGCGCGTAAGTTTAGAGTGATAGACAAAATATCTTTCGAGATGCCTACGAGATATGAAGGATGGGTATGGAAGTCGATAGTGCTTTATTTCGGTAATGATCAAACATTAGCAGTCATCTATTGTTGTGCCACGGAGCCCCCTCCAATGTTGTGATTGCTCAAGACCTTATACTTGAAGGTCTCCTGTGTCCTTGACTCTGCACTGGTCAAAAATTCACCAGATGGATTCGGACTCGCGCCTTTGGCTGGCTTCGAGTTATTATGCAACCGCAAACCTGATGCTGACATTGCTTGATGACTCTACATAAATGCTGACCACGCGATTTGACAATGCATACCGATCTGACAATGCATATCGAGCTGACATTACATAGTTTACCCGACATATTACATGATGACACTGCGTGTTTGATTTGACATAGTTGACTTGACATTGCCTAATAAAGTTGAATGTCGGTCTCAAGAATGCATAGCGATTTGACATTGCATAGCGATTTGACACTGCATTTCGAACATGACTTTGAATTTCGAACATGACTTTGCATATTAACACTGCATGTCCAACTGACAGTGCATATTAACACTGCATGTCCAACTGACAGTGCATATTAACACTGCATGTCCAACTGACAGTGCATATCCAACGATTCAACTCGAGATCAGTATAATAGTTTGACATTGCATGTATAATTTGATGTTTTATCTCAGTTAACATGATATGCAATGTCAAATCTGACATGTAAAGTCAAATGTGTAGACATTGCGTGTTGACGCTGCATACTGACAGTGCATGCTGACAATGCATGCAAATCTGACAGTGCATATCGATGACACTGCATATTGACATGACATTATACATTATATCAAGCTGACAATACATATCAAGCTGACAATACATATCAAGCTGACAATACATATCAAGCTGACAATACATATCAAGCTGACAATACATATCAAGCTGACATTGCAGTGCTGTCTTGGGTTTGTATAGACAAATAGTCACCTTGCACATACCATTTTGTAAAAATAAGAAAAAACCAGCGTAAAACCTCGAAAAGACAAACAGTCTCGCCAGCGTCGATTGCATATCTCTCATCTCCGACGCCAACCTGACCGCCAAGCCAGGCTTGACCACCAGATAATTCTTATCCAAACTCTTCACAATCACCACCATCTTTGCAACACAGAAAACAGAGTGTGATAAGAACGAACAAAAAGAGAGAGTCAACGAAGTTATAGGAATAGCCGAAGGCGGGGCTCGAACCCGCGACCTTGAGGTTTGGAATATCTGAGAAGATAAGAGCCACACGCTCTACCGATTGAGCTACCCCGGCAGGTCTGATGATCAAGTTGTGTGTCACAACTGGCTGTTGACTTGTGAGGATTGCTGAGGCTAAGTCCAATATGTCCCTTCAACACGTATGCCGGATCATTGGCCAGAGATTGGCCTCTGCTGAAGCTTGTGATCTGTTGTGTAAAGATACAGTCCATGTTTGGGGTTGACTTTGGTTGACAAAGCAGATGATACGTCAGACAGATCCCTTGTAAATGACGTGTCGAAGTCAATAGGCCCAAGCAACTGAGCTGCAACTGTTCTAGAGTCGGCAAGGTACAGCACTCACATGGTGTATCTCTTTCCATATAAGGAGCATTTGCTGCTCCTGTTGATGTGATCTGTAAGGAAACAGTCCGCTTGAGCTTGATCGCGATTAATGAAGAAGAACGTTCGTCAGACAAATGCCTTGTCATGATGTACAGAAGCCGATAGAGCTACTGTTCCAGAGCTGGCAAGGTACAGCACTCCATTGGGTGTATATTCTGCGTTGATAGGTACATGAAGCACAACAAAGAGAGTAGTGTCTTATTGGTTGTACAAAAGAGGCACAGGATGAGTCTAAGCGCCTGGTCCAACCCCACCCTGATGCAGCACCAATCTCATGTCTACCACTCCATCCACCTTTCTCTCACTGTTCCCTTACCCTTTTTGATTGCCAGTGAGCCATCATGACTCCGCTGTTCAACTTACCAGTCGAGATATCAGATCTAGTTGCTGGTCTTCTCGGCTGCGAGAGCCTTGCTCGCCTACGACTCGTTTGCAAGAAAGCACACCACATTGCAACTCCCACTTTCGGCCGCAGACACTTGCAGACGCTGCGCCCCTTATTCACTCACGAGTGTCTCGAAGCCTTGGTCGAACTCTCTGAGAACAGTCTGCTACGCAGATATGTCAAAAGCATCTTGTTCGCATCCTACGCTCTCAACTCAGACATCAGTACTGTGCAGATTGTTCTCTCTCGACACGATCCAGGAACCAGAAAACGGCTTCTCTGGCGGTACAAAGACTGTCGCGAGAGACAACAGAATCTCGTCGAATCTGGCAAGCATGTTGAATTGATTGCACAGGCCCTAAACAACTTCAATGACGCTGGAGTGCTGCCGACCCTAGGGATCTTTGAGATTGCACTCAATGATTCCAAGAAGATCCCCATCTATAAAGGCTGGGGAGCAGACTTCTTCTATGATGATCTCCTCGAAGCCAGTGTCTGGACCAAAAACAGTGGGAACGTCCTGGATGCTGTCATCAAAGCCGCCAAAATCTGTGACTTTCCTTTGGAGTCAGTCGCGATAGATGCATGTGCATGTATGACAATGCCAATGGGCATAAGAGCACCGCTGGACAACCGTCAGATCAACCGAGAACTCGCAAACATAATCCGCGCTCTCGGTGCCGATTTCGGCATGCCAAACACTGATGTCTTTGGTGACCCTGTTGCGGGTGATGCCGACCCATCAGTCGATGAACTGCTCACCAAGGTGCTTGTCAATGCTAGTCGTCATAATTCAAAGCTGGTCATTCACGTCAAAACCACACCCGTAGATGACGACCACATGACTTCTGATATCTGCATTGATTGGCAAAATCGTCGTTTTACTTTCGAAAGCCTGCAACGCTATGAAGAGACCACATTTGGTCGTTTCCGGGGCATGGCTGATATGGGCAGACTGGCAATCCACCTTGGTACTAATAAGTTCCGCGAGATTGATATATCTCAATGTCGTGTCGAAGCATATGTTTTGTTGCGTTTCCTCGAGGCTCACGCCGGAACCCTTCAGCGGCTAAGACTGACTCGAATTGTCTTTCATGGTGCGAATATGCGTAAGAGAACTCATACGGCAGTAGGTTCATCAGGCTTCATCAAGACATTGAGGGTCAATTTCAGGAATTTGGAGTATCTTGAGCTCGAGCCCCTTTGCGGCTATGATGCGGGTTGGCCGTCGATGTTTCCACTGTTCCCTACAATTTTAAAGTTGGATGGGATGCAGGATATTGGATCTCAGCTCAATCTCTGCTTGCGGGGGCTAGGAGTGGGAGGGATCTATCGAGGTTAATTGTTTCAATGTGGCTGACTCGAGAGTTCTGGGGAGCAGAGGACCATCACAAACAACCTGTTCTCAATGGTGAGTGCAGTTTCTCCATAGCAATGACGTAATGCTCGTTCTTCTTCGTTATACTTCACGCTGCTAATGAAGTCTCCGGCGTCAGCCTTGACAACGTGTTTCCCGTGTCCGCTCAGCATAGACTGGTCGTTGAACATCTTTCCAATCACGGGTTCAGCGGTCACATTCGGCCCTGCGTCTCTTGATTTACATCCGTCAAGCTTGTGTTTTCGAGGCACATCAAACACCATGAGTTTGGGAAGTTCCCTAGTTATTGTAGAAGCCCCCACTGCAGCAGAGGGCACAACAACAACTCGAAAGGCTTCAACATCCTCGGGAGATGGCAAAAAGATTGTTTGGTCTGCCGGAGCGATGAGCAAGTATCAGCATCGGAGCGGTGCACGCCATACCTATGAGAGCGGAGTGGAGCATAAACGTAATCCCACCACCAATATCGTCAGTCAACTCAGAAAGACGAATACTGCCCTGCCCGTTTGACATTCCAGACATGATCTCGAGATGCATTTTCTGCTTCAAGGGAGAGATGCAAGAGACGACATCAACGCCTCCTATGTAGCTGCCACAGCCCATGCCAGCGATCAAAGGATCGAAAGTGTCGATTTCCAGCCTATACTGGCGCTCGAAATCACGCTCTTTTCTTTCCTTTGTTGGACCGCTGTATCGGAGTCTCTTGTCTTTCGGAGGTACTTCGCCATCATATCGACGTTTGAGCGCAGCCTTTGTATCAGGCTTGTTGAGGTAGTCAAATGGAGGTATATTCCTGTTCAGCGCCTCGTAGCAGTCGTCATCGTTTCTCAGGAACGCGATGTAGGCGCAAAGATCAAGTAGAGTATCCTTCTCAGACTTGCTTGCTTTGTCTAACAGATGTTCAGCATTCAGTGTATCCAGGCAAAGTCGAATGAGTGGTGCATACCAAGCACCTTCTGAACTCGTTTGCCCAGACTCGGGATAACTTCGAAGACATCTTCTACCTGAGTAGTCATATCGCAAAACACTCGCGCAATTTTTAATGTCGAATGAATTTGGAGTGTTGAGTAGAAGAAGGAGATAGATGCTCCTTCTGTTTTGGTATGACATACGTCATACCAAAACTCATCATGCTCACCCAACACTGCTTCCCTACACGACCCAAGTTCTTTATGGTCTGAGCAAGAGCAAAAGGCCAAAGCATCCAGCAGCCAGCATTTTCGTCCTCGAATGCGTGAGAAAAAAAGTCATCAATCTGCAAAACCAGGATAATTGCGTTGTGATGCAAAGGCCGACCGTATCAGCCGGCCGGTGGTCATGACAATATGCAGTCCGAGAGTCAAGGCCAAGTATTCGAACATGACAGCCAACTTTTTGTATTCATCTCGAGTCAATTCCCACTCCAATTCATCGATTCTACCCTGAAGAACATCAGAAACATTGGAGTTAAGAATGTCGCCGACTCTCTTTCCTGGTGTTGCCCTTGTAACAGGCGCCTCTTCTGGTCAGCTCAACAACCATTTATCCCCATCCGGACGACTTCAATCTCACATAAACNNAGGTATCGGACGTGCAACAGCAGCAGCTTTTGCCCGTGAGGGATGCGAACGTATCGTTTTAGCAGACTTCTCCGGTGAAAGTCTCGATTTGGCTCGCAGAGAAATCATGGCCAATTTCCCGGATGCTGAAGTACTTCGCGTACCGACAAATATCATATCTCCGAAGGCAGTCGAGAACCTTTTCAATTCTCTGATCCATAAATTTGGTAGGATAGACTATGCCGTCAATTGTGCCGGTGTGCTCGGTGCGGCCAAGAAGTCTCATGAGATGAGTGTCGAGGAGTTCGATAATGTTATTGATGTTGACTATCGTGGAACTTGGCTGTGTTCGAGAGAAGCTCTGAAGTACATGGTTGACCAAGAGCCTTTATCTACTCATGATGGACGGCCTGGCACCCGANNGGGTCTGTCTAATATTCTTCCTCCCGGGTGATGGTCATTGCTGACTCTAGCAACCAGCGCCATCGTCAATGTTGCAAGTCAGCTCGGTATCGTCTCACGACCTCAGGCTCGTATGTTAAATCTGCATTGGCCACAAATCACTCTTACTCACTGAAACCAGCCNGCATACTGCTCCGCCAAAGCAGCCGTCATTGGTCTTACCAAATCTGACGCTCTCGACGTATGTTATCCATCTCCTTTGTTTGATCCCTTGTTTCAACACACTTACTGGAATGACCTAAATCGCAGNTACTCACAACATAACATTCGCGTCAACTGTGTTTGCCCTGGTGTCATCGAAACTCCAATGATCAACGATGAAGTCAGGAAAGCCGTTTCCATCGCTCCCATGAACAGGTGAATTCTACTCTCCTCGATTTGTCCCTCCGCATGGTATCTGCTCTCAACTTTTGCTGACGGATGTCGAATCTCAAAAGAGTCNGGTACACCAGAAGAGATTGCAGACTGTATCCTCTTCCTGTGCAGTCCGAAGGCCTCTTTTGTTCAAGGCGCTGCTCTAGTTGCCGATGGAGGTTATACCATCAACTAAAGGCTGGATTGCCAGGCCTCGATTCAGTTCTGATGCCGAGTAATTAATGTCTAACAAGTCGCCTAGAAGAATCGGAAGGGGAATGTGCAAGCTACATGAGCTGTTTGTGTCAAGCGTCCTACCGGTTTCACCATTCGTTGTTATACGCAATAAGAAGCGCTGCCTTCGCACTTCCACCAAAATCAATATAACCACCCAAGATTACTTTCTGATGTCAGACACATCGAGTGTTCGTTAGAATACATGCAGAGAGCAAAAGGACAAAACATACAGCAGCAGGGATTCCCACGTGGTCACCCACCGTAGTACTAATCTGCCGTTCAACTGCTTATGTATGGCAGAGCGGACGGGATGCCCAGTTTTCAGCTGACTGTGGCCGTATGTGCTCAAAACAGCTTTTGATGGGTCTATCAAGCATTAACAATCAAAGGTAAGCCCGCTTCATCCTAGCACGAACTGCATGGATCGCACACCTCACATTTCAACACACGAAAATTATACACAAGCACATGGGCGCAGCCGACCGCAGCCACGGCTTGACAACGAGATAGATTAACGTGAATACGTATTGTCGTTCACGTGGATCACAATTAGAAAGTTGGCTAGTTGAACAGAGTCATCATGCTATTCATGCCTTTCATAAGCTAGCCCTCTGGTATAGGCAAGAGTAGACTGTGCACTGCTGCCTGTGTTGAGATAAAGACTAAAGATTAAGAAACATTACCGCCGCATTCTTGAAGAAACATAGGGCTCAAGGGTATAGTATAATGCCCAACCACGCGATCGAAGAAACCAAAACAAAGCGAGTGCTACACTTAAGCAGCGACTCTCTCCTCCTCACGGCCACGAACAGAGTCGTTGACGACGCTAGCGTCCTCCTCCTCATCGTCGTCCTCGTAGCGGTCAGCGTTGTGGTGCTGGCTGGCAGGGATCCAGAGGTTGCTGTCACGAGATTGCTCCATAGGGGCATCCTGACCGGCAAGGTCGACGGCCTCGCCCTGGTGACGGTTGCGGCGGCGCTGAGAAAGAGTGCGGGTGCGGGTAGAGAGGGAAGACGTGACGGCGGCGTTTTGCTCGACCCAGTTGGTGAGAGAGTCCTCGCAGTCCTGGATGANTGCTATGAAGGCTGTCAGTATCACGAGAGAGTGTGGTAACGTCATGACAAAAACTTACGCCTTGCTAGCCTCGTAGCCGTCGTATGCGTTTCTGGTCTCGCCGGGAGTGACGGGAGTGTCGTCGATGAGCTCCAAAAGGTGCTTGCCGTAGCCAGCGACGATGGCCATCTTCTCCGAGTGCTCACGGAGAGCATCGAACTGGTAGGTGAAGGCAGCCTTCAGCTTCTCGCGGGTGATGTTGGAGAGCTGGGCCTCGGCGACCAATGACTCGGCCTCGGCTCTAACGAGCTCCTGCTCAAGGACAACAATCTTGGGGCTGTTGGGCTCCTTGTACTTGAGCTGGGCAATCTGATCAGTGATCTTCTGCTTNNGCCTGTCATATAAGTTAGCGAGTGACACAAGAGTATTTGACTCGACAAACTTACGGTCTCTGCTGGGTTGGACAGAAGCCTCGATGTTACGGATGCTCTTGATGGTCACACGATATTGGTCGTACTTGTCGACGAACTGGTCCTCGAGCTCACCAATCTCGTAGATCAAGACACCAAGCTTGTCGGTGACATCCGAGACGTCGTCGTCACAAGCTTCACCCCAAATGCTAAGTTGTTGCTGCCATTGCGTTAACTCATCGGACTCGATCAATGATGTTGCGGAAATTCAACTTACTGCAACCTCCATTCTCTCTCTGCCAACGAGCTCCATGGAGCGCATGACGTTCTTCTCCATCTTCACCAGCTGCGAAAGCTTCTTGGCGAGGTCGGGTCCGAAAGCGCCAGCAGCATTTCTGCGGAAAGAGTGGCCNNTGCGAGACGTCAGTCATAAACAATGCGACGGCTATGAACATTACTTACCGATGTTGCTCTTGCCGAAGAATCTACCAGCCTTGGTGGAGGATGATGGAGGAGGAGGGTTCTGGATCTGCGAGGCGGTGGGTGCGCGCGACTGGCGCATAGAGTATGTGCGGTGCATTTTGGCGGTAATAAGAGTTAGTCGTGAGGATGAATAGATTCAAGCAGCAGCGACAGCGGTGCGTAGATATGGGTTATGAGGAGTTGGGTGAAAGGAGAAAGGATGGATGATGCGAAGCGCCTCTTGAAGAAAGGAAATCAATGGCGTGGGCGCATTATTGTATGCGGAAGCTGCAGACGTCATCCTCGACACGGTTGCCCCGTGCACCGGGTTGATCTGGATCGTCTCTTTATCGTCCACAAACCTCCACGAAAATCATCTATGATCCATCCCCATGATCTGCCTCTCCGTTGGCTCAGTGGAGAGAGACAGATTGTGTACATGCGTCGCATATCGCTCAGCTCGAGATCCCTCTCGGTTGCTCTGTTCCCATCTTCTCCAGCCTGAGTCCAAAGGCTGTGCGACATGAACGGAGATTGAAGCGTTTACGATGACATCACCCGATAGCGCCAAACCTTGTCGTTATTTGAGCACTCGCAAACCCGCCCCGTGCCTGGCCAGTATTGTAGCCACGAACACCGCCAATCCCATCCAAGCCACCCAAAGCCTTGATTGTTGTGTATCCCGGCACCCGCGTGAGGATCTTCGGGGCCTTGTATTCTGATCTGCACACGGCTGTGGCTTGAGCACAATGGTGGAGCAACTCCATACCAATATCGCATGCCTCTGTCCCAAGCAACCTGTTGTTGCCCAAAGCGTGTGGCTCCTTCCATTCCCCGTTTGGCTTTGACAGCTTCGCACCACATGACAACCCAACTGCCAATCTTCCAAATAGTGCGACAGCCACAAACCAATTCGAACCCACTTTCCTCTCATCTATACGACAATCCACTTGGCCACTTGGCATGGCTTGCTTTGTCCAAGAATCTTTCACACGCAGCATCAGCCATTCTTGCAATCAGGTCGAGTCTGGTAATGTCGTTCAACCAATTCTTCCAGCTACTCTGCTCAAAGAGTCCTGCAGCTTTCCGATCCAACTCAACTTAACCCCCCTCGCTGGCATTCGAGTTCCCCCGTCTAAAAGGAGTATCCGCTTGATGGCTATCTTGTTGACAGTAGAAAACAATCGGCCGGCGCCATTGTCTCCTGGTTCTGAAATTGTGTAACTCGACATGTCCCGAAGTGCAGGTGTCACAGAAGTAGCACCGCACTGATTTGCGAAAGGGCTATCAGCAAGTCTGGGCTTGTTGCTCACATTGATACGTGCCGGAAGCATGAATGAATGCTGACCATCTCATATCAATGGGGTATGTGAACGACCCGGTATGAGTAATCGTTTCGGCCATGATGGTCAATATCCAGATCTCATTCCAAGGCTATAGGTCCTGGATGTCAGTACAGCTAAGTGATCGAGGCAAGGTAGGATGGAAGTACCAAATCTCCAAAGTAGAAAGCCCATAGAAACCACAAAAGCACACTAGGTAGATAGGTAGTATATTTCTATGTTTGAGGTCTAACTCTGCTCATAATTTTGACTCACGATCATCATCAAGAACATGCATGGTAATATGGAAGTACATAGAATAGCTACTGTTTGAGGTTCACTAGAGATTCACGAGCACCCTGGAGTCATCGAACCATGTTGCCTCTACGCTGAGAGCAACAAGCTGTTCGGCTAGAACAAGAGCTCTGTATTGTTATGCCACGGGTTGGAACGGACACTAACCAATATCCTTACCTGGGAAAAGAATTATGTATGCAAACCTTCCATGATATTCTTCAGCCCATAAGACAGATACTGATAACCTAATACCTGCGACCAATAATCGCAGAGAGCGTATTCGAAGTTTGGAGGAAAAAGTACTCGTAGATGTTCGGCTTTGAGGAAATGGCTCCGTAGCAACTTCCCGTGCCCGGGCCGACCGCGTGCCAAGTCGACCCCTAACGAGACGTCATTTGTGTTGGCACCTTTTCCCTAGCATCGAACAACGACATCGGAATATTGCCGCCATCATGAGACTGTGAGTAGAATCATCCAGTTGCCATGAAGTCACGACTTATGAGAACATAGAAACACGTCTCGTGGGACGCTCCGTAGGGACGCCTTCGAGAAGTTGGCTGTCCTGTCATCGCAGGCTCCACCTTCACACGCAGCTCATCAGGACATACCACGCCTTTGCTCCTTCTACCATAAGACTGACATCTCATCCAATGGAAGCGCCAAAGGTCCTATTGGTCTCCGCGAACTCGAAGTTCTGATTGCTTTGTGCCGCGCCTCATCTTCGATCGATTCTCTGCAACACGCCGAACGTCTTCTCCAACAAATAACACCGTATCTAACGGAAGCCCACACTCAGACATTCCGACCTTCGCCTTATCTGCGCCATGTCCATCCATCGCCGTGGGAAGTACTCGTGCAGGAGGTCGCGTCGGCCATGCTCAACATTGGTCTGAGAATCCCTTCCTTGCGCCCGCAGGTAATCACGACTATCATCGACACAATCGACACGTACGAGCGTCAAGGTCAAAGTATCAATCGTCTCGAGGCATCTGAGGATTCTACTCTGGATCTCGACAATGCGTCCAAGACCATAACTTTCTCTGTCTCGCTTCTCGGTCTTCTCTCAGCACTTTCCGAGAAGCCTCAGGTTCTTACAGTACAAGAACGCGCCTCCGTCACTCGCAAGCTTCGAACCTTGTACGTCGAGAAGTTTATGATTGCCATAGAAGGAAACCTTTCTTCGATTCGCAACTCTCATGGCGTTCATGTTAGAGAGTGGAAACGTTTGCTCAAGGTCTATGCGTCCATGGGAAGACCATTGGGTGCAATGTTGCTGCAGAATGCTTTCACAAACTATCTTGCAGCCTCAGCTACTGCCATGGTTGCGCCTCTCGACTTTCCCCAAGGTGGGCAGATCTTGGATTATCTTCTCCGACCACAAAGCCTCCCTGCTTATGGCAGTGGTGTTGAGGAATCATCACTGGAGGATCTCACTCAACTTCTGATCGAGATTGTCGCTCTTCTTGACGCTGATGCCGACTATTTGCAGGTCAGTTCGGCATGGCAGCAACAGCTGGCCTTCTCGACCAAGGCCAGCTGTCTGATCAGTTTCCTGTGCTGTTCGCTAGCCAACGAAGATATCGCTGATGCAGATATCATTATGGGCTGGCTTGATGGTGTATTGACCGACCCAGTCCAACTTGCAGATGAGAGGCTCGCTAGTGTGACCCTTAAATGCATGGCCATCCTGGCAAAGACCTCAAAGGCCTTTGCTTCGAACTTGGCACGTTCCCTGCCTAGATTTATAGTACAGGGAAGGATGACCAGCGACACTGTTGTCATTGCTGCAAATTGCCTCGCAGACGTTCTACAAATGCTGCCCCAAGATCTCGTCATCAGTACACTATACAGCCTTGGAAACGTTCTCAGCACCGGCCCTTCTACTAATCAGGCCAACACGTCCTTGTTCATTGATGGAAACGGCACCACGAACGGAACCATGAATGGTTCAATGAACTCCTACACTCAACAACCTACAGGAAGTTCCATCTCTTTGATCACTAACGATGATGAAGAGACAGTCCTCGTTCATGCCGCAGTGATTGAAGCAATTGTTGCAATCGCCAGGAAGTGTGAGAACGAAAAGATCACAGCACTTGCTGTCTCCATGTTGGTTCAGAAGATTGGCCGCGTCAATCAAGCTGTCGATGCTAAAATCATCATGGGGTCCGCAGCTCTTGGTTGTCAAAGCGAGCCGAACGATTTGCGTCCGCTGCTGAGGTTCTATGCAAAACATGTTACCGAGGCTCTAGCTTCTGACAATACTCCTATGCTCCAGGCAGTCATGGAAGCTCGTATGTTGATGGCAAGGAGCATNCCCCCAACGTCTCCTCTCTACGAGATCTATCTCACTCATCTGTTGGATGGCGTCGTAAGCACAAGCGATGTTACCAACCGCGATACCAGAACCATGGTGATCGACAAACTAGCTGTTGACCAGATTTCACAAGTGTTACCTCCTCTGGCTGCGCTTGCAGCATTCATGCCTTACGAGTATGCGCAATTCGAAGATCCGGAGATGGTTTCTGCACTCAGTCGCGATGCCTGGTTCAACCTCATTGCGCATGACTTTTCTCTCAACTCATCGTTTGCGAAGCAACATCAGCAAGAGCTTCAGACTCTGGCGTGGTACACTCCGTCTTTGATTGACAGTAACAAAGCCGACACCCAAGAGAGTGGTATCGATCTCAATACCGTCCTTCGTCGTGGCATGACTCCTCAACATGCCGTACAGCTAAAGTCGCAGTTGATATCTGCTCTACCAGCACATGAAACGGACATCAAGAATCTCAACTATGCCGAGCTCACCTTCTTGAACGCTGCTCATCTGGTAGCAGTGCTGCGTGCTCAATCCGGAGATTGCACAAGGACACTCGAATACTTCTTGGATCCCAAGTTCAAGAGCGGTGCTCTCAGTAACTGTCTGCTCGGCGTAGCATTGAGCGCAGTTGATACCTACTTGGCGCTTACCATGACTGGCCGCAGCCAGACCTTTTCGGCAGCAAATCTTGCGCAACAGCTAGCAAGGCTGCTTGAAAACTGCTGTCATCGAATCGACAAGGTGCAACAGGTTGCTACGCTGGCCGCTGATCGCATTATCGACCAAGTACCTTCGTCACTTTGCCAGAGAACGTCACTCTTCGCTCTCCTAGAACTGCTCAGCCTAATGTGGATCAGTTGCCTGGAGGCGGAGACTGACGAGTACGAATGCAAGTCCTTCTACAGCTCGGCGAAGGGTAATGTTTCCCTGCAGCTCTCCGACAATTTTGCTTACAGGCAGACTACATTGCGAGCATTCCAACAGAAATGTCGCCGCTGGGTGCTTAAGACGCTTGACCGTGCCCCGCTAGACATGAAAGGACTTCTGCAGACATATCTCTCTGATTATGATGATGAGGAAGCGTATGGTCGTATCTCTATGGGCAGATCGTTCGCTCTTGAACTCGGTTCTCTCATCCCGGGGACCGACCAGAGGCTTGGCGCTATCGACCGTAGGATGGATCCAGGGGTCAACACTGCTTCAGATTTTGTTGCACAATACACCACTCGCCAAGAATACCGCTACCTGGATACAACGTCGAGACAAGATGAAGAGCTTTTGCACGCACAACAGACTGGTATCATCGGCTTGCCACGGTCTGCTTTGAGTGAACAGGCTCGTGAGATCACCGCTACCTTGCGAGAAATGAACAACAATCTTCGAAACCACCACCCAGCCTCAGCTGAAGACTTACGATCCAATCTCAGACGTGCGGCAGCAATACTATGCAAAGTAGACGCCGATCGCTTTGGGCTTGCTCAGCAGTTGGTCAGTATTCCTTTTACCTCTTTTAGCAAACCAGCTATCAAACTCGGTGTCTCGCTCTGGATGGGAGTGATCAAAGAGAATCCGCAAATGGGATCTCGGGTCCTTGTTGAGATTGCCGAAGGCTGGGAGACGACAATCCAAAAGAAGCGAGGCATTTTTAGCCAGACGTTCAAGTAAGTTTCATTTGCCTCCGTTGTCTCATCGATATACTTACATGATACACTNAGCCATCTCGACCCATTCTATGTTAAAGAAGAGTTCGCTCCTACCGACAAGAGTGCCATCACCAAACGTCAGCAACAGATTCACGACTTGATCGCACCTCATTTCAGACTCGTACAATTCTTGTCAAGTCACTTCAACGCCACCAGATTGAGTAACCCACATACTGGTCGCGTCTTCCACCGTTTGATGCGTGTCACCCTCGCAGCCTTGAGACGAAGCGGTAGCCATCCTCTTGCTCGCGAGGTCCATTTCCATGTCATCTTATTGGCCCTTCGAGTTATCAGCTATGGCACTGGTTACGACGAGAAGTCTCGCTGGGAGCTCAAGGATCAGATTCTGTCTGCTGCTCTTAGGTGGTTCAACTTCCCCGCTCGGTGGTCCTATGGCGGAAACAAGTTGCAAGTCAAAGCTGAAGTGCAAGTCATGTCGGATGTCATCCTGGCAATTCAAGCTGTCGCTTCTATGGGAGCAAAGATGTTGCCTCCTATGCAGCCATTGCAAGCGAAACAGGATTTGCTTCTCCACTTGCTGCAGAACGAAATCACCAGATTGAATGTGTGGTTGTCCCCCCTAGGACAGGACACTCCGCATACCACATATGGTCAGCAGGGTAAAAGCAATGATGTGAGTGCTCTCTTTCCCCTAGAAACGGCACAACTAACGTCACAGACTGCAATCGCTGCTCTGATCACGACCGCTTGGGCAGAAGCGCCGTCTCTGGCCGTGCAGATGGCATTCAGATTCCCTTCGTCACTTATTCAGAATCAGGTCCGCTCGTTGTTGGTCACCTCTCCGGAGAAGGCGCTTCACGAGCCCGATGCTCTGCAAATAATGCTCGGTACCAGCATGCCGCATGACGTCTCATCCCAACTAAAGGTAACGTGCTGCCTCCTATAGGAACCATATGGCTTCTAACAGCTTATANNGTATCTATTGTACTGGGCTCCTGTCAATCCTATCACTGCCGTTACATATTTCCTGCCCGCGTACGGAAACCATGCCTTCGTGGTACAGTACGCGATGCGTGCTTTGGAAAGCCATTCTGTTGATGTGACGTTCTTCTACGTACCTCAGATCGTGCAGACGCTCCGTTACGATCTGCTGGGCTATGTCGAACGTTACATTGTCGAAACTGCCAAGTTCTCTGGCCTGTTCGCGCATCAAATTATTTGGAACATCAAGGCCAATGCTTTCAAAGACGAAGATTCACAGATTCCGGATCCCGTCAAGCCAACGCTCGACAAAGTCATGGATTCGCTCATCTCCAGTTTCTCGGACGAAGACCGAGACTTCTATGAGCGCGAGTTTGGATTCTTTAGTGAAGTGACAAGCATCTCTGGAAAGCTCAAGCCTTTCATCAAGAGACCAAAGCCGGAGAAGAAGGCAAAGATCGAAGAGGAGTTACGCAAGATCCAAGTCGACGTTGGTGTTTATCTCCCAAGTAACCCTGATGGAGTTGTTGTGGGCATCGACCGAAAGTCTGGAAAGCCTCTACAGAGTCACGCCAAAGCCCCGTACATGGCGACCTTCCGTATCCGTAAAGAGAGAAGTCCAGATCTCGAAGCAGTTGACGAGCAGCTGGATCATGTAGCCGAAGAAGGCGAATCCCGGAAAGAGACTAGCTACGAAGTGTGGCAGTCGGCAATCTTCAAGGTAGGTGACGATTGTCGTCAGGACGTGCTGGCCCTGCAGATGATTGCAGCTTTCCGTGGCATCTTCAACAACGTCGGACTGGATGTTTACGTCTTCCCATACAGAGTGACAGCCACAGCTCCTGGATGTGGTGTCATCGATGTCCTTCCAAACTCCATCTCGCGTGATATGCTTGGTCGCGAAGCGGTCAATGGACTTTACGAATACTGGGTATCGAAATACGGAACAGAGGATTCTCTTCGTTTCCAACAGGCACGCAGCAATTTCGTCAAGAGTATGGCTGCTTACTCGGTCATCTCATACCTACTGCAGTTCAAGGATCGACACAATGGCAACATCATGGTTGACGACGCAGGTCACATCCTGCACATTGATTTTGGTTTCATCTTCGATATCGCACCTGGTGGTGTCAAGTTTGAACGCGCACCGTTCAAGTTGACTGGTGAGATGATCGCGGTGATGGGCGGGTCGACACAGTCGCAATCCTTCAAGTGGTTCGAGGAACTTTGTGTCAAGGCATTTTTGGCGTCCAGACAACATGCAGAGAAGCTGAGTCACTTGATTGTTGTCATGTTGGACTCCGGCCTGCCATGTTTCAAGCCGGAAACCATCCAGCATTTCAGAGAGAGATTTGTGCTCGACAAGAGTGAGCGCGAGGCGGCTGACTTTATGCGTTCGCTTGTGCGCTGGAGTGGAAAGAGTCACAGCACGGGTGTATATGACCAGTTCCAGCTCCTCACGAACGGCATCCCTTATTAGATGATAGTCGGTACATAGTCAGGCTAGGAACGCACATTTTACATTCTAGTTTGTCACACACGAGCACTGTGCTCCGTAAAATATCTCTTAGCTCGTTTTCAAACCTTGTCCCCACCCATTAACCTGTGAGCAGAAGTACCGTCATGAGCGAACCGGTCTCCGACGCGAGATGTCACAAAACCCTATCTTCATGCGGCTCGATATCAACTAAAGTACCTGCTCGAAGTAGGGAGTGACGTAGCACTTCTGAAACTTTGAGGTTCTTGCCACAAATATACAATTATGCTGAGGGAGTGTTAAATTGCAACAAGGATAGAGGTGTCGTGCTTGCCACGAACTTGATGAGTGATGTGTTTGGCATGAGGGATTTCAGTAGCGGAGACATCTCCGTGTATTTTGTTGGCAAGCCATGTACGACTCGACTCTTTACTAGCTATAGAACGTCTCATTTATTTGGTTTACTTGGTGCAAGGGGTGCGCTCTGTTACCCGATCAAGACTGCACCGCTGGATCGAACCACTCTTGTTGGAAGACCAATACAAACGCGAGATCGAATGTCTTGCTACCAGCGGAGTTTAGTCCTCCCTGGAAGGAGTGAGGTCCGAGAACTGGTGGTCAGGTCGAGACGCTCCCCCAAGCATCTTCTCCACAACCTACTCAGAAGAGGACAAGAGAAAAAGTGGAGGCGTGCACGAAGACTCTCCTTCGTGCTGAACTACGCCTCGTCCCTTCCCGATCAGGCTCTGCTCTTTCAATTTATATGCTCCGATCTCTTCCTGTTTATCGAGTCTCTCAGATGCCAGAGACTTTGCTGTCTGTTTGCGTGATAGGCGTTGATGTAGCGTCGGACCCTCTTTCTTTGTCGAAGCGTCACCAAAGTCCTTTCCTAGAAGCATCTGGTGTACAGAACATCTAGTATATTTGTGTTTCTTTCGGGTCTCAGCAGACTCCTCCAAACATCTTCAGTACTTCTGCTGCGTCATTTTCTGAATGTCTAGAACAGCATCAGACAAACTGTCCCTTGCCTTGATCATCTTGACCAAGACTTCTGCATCTTCCATGGTACTTTCTCTGATCAATGACAAGACGTATTTGTAAGCTTCCATTTGGTTCTTCATGGCTTGTTGCTGTGTTATGCCTGGTGTGACACTATAGTTGCAGGATGTGGCTTTTGAGATGCAAGACTTGCAGGCAGGGCGGACTCCGTCGCACTGTGAAGAATAGAGACGTGGTAAGCGTGGAGTCCTTGTTCGTTGGGTCATAGGAGTATTGAAGTGAAGAAGAAGGGATTCGAAGCAAAGAAAATAGTGGTTGATGTGCTTTAAGAATTCCGCCTGTGTGCTCAAGTGTGTGACGTGGGTGACGATAAGATGCACGACGGTCGTGAGAGACAATGCCAGATCGACTCTCTTCGGCTGTATATCTAGCCTAAGAGCAATCGTGCCTTTTATAGCTTGTTCATCGTTGCAGCATGGGTGGAAGTTGCGGGATTAAGCTCGCAGGTTTCGAGGGGATCTGTGCTGGGCAGGAGGAACAGTACCTTTGATTTGCGCTTGCGGCAGGGAATGCAAGCAGCTTTTGTTTGTTTGCCGCGATGACGCGGCTGTGAGTTCGCTTGTGATGGAGAGACAGAAGAATCTCTGCGTACTGTGCTGTTGGACCTGGGGCGTTGTGTTGTCGATGGAGATGACGATGATGGATAGGGCTGTGTGGTGTAATCAATGGAGCCATGAGTGGATGAATTGTTCGATGATATGGAGTCCATGCGCTGTGGCAGGGCATGTCGACGAGGCGGCAATGCAGAGTGTGGCTCTATAGGTAGTCCAGGGTGGTTGGGAATCTGATGGGATGAGACGGGCTGTTGTTGTAGTCCCGGCGTCACATGCGTGATAGCAGGGAGACGTTGTAGCAACTGCGATGAGGAAGACGATGCTGTGACAGGATGCGGTGCGTCGTGAATTGGCTCTAGCATGGCGGCAATGTTCATCTTGTTCGTTATTGCTGTCAAGACCGAGGATGGTCTTTTCTATCAGCCGTTGTGAGTGGGGGTTGCGTGGACAAGCACAAAAGAGGCTCCAAAGTAGGAAGGTCGGTGGGACGGAAAGAAGGCAGGACAGGATGCAAGAGTTGGGAAAGGAGAAGGTAAAAGCAGAAACAACCTCAAGTATAAGATGAACACTACAGACATGCATACTATGCCATTTACGTCGCTTCGGAGCGCCCGACTCATATGCGCCAATCACTTGCCAACAAGACAATTTCACCCACCAACGATGCAAGCCTGCAAACCGATCTCCCTCGACTCCGTGACTGCCACACCTACCAACGGTACTCTCATAAACGCGGATGAGACTCCGCTAAGCTTTTGTCTTTTGCACGTTTGCACAGCACAGACCTACAACTATACTGGGATCGGCTCGCGTGCCTGCAACTGGATCCGTCCGGTTACGCGCAAGCGAGCTGCTGGACATGACCATGGTCTTCACTTCTTTGCTGATGTTGAATGAGTTGCATATGGCTGCAATCAGATGTCCTACTGTGAGGGGAGTTGTGTTGATCAGTAGGGTGCCATGTCGGCGAGAAGCACAAGATCAGGTGCAAGTGCGCCAACCAGAATACAATAGCGCTCGAATCGACGATCCATCTCGAGACGCGTGCAGCACCTGAAGTTAAGACAAACCTTCGGACGCAACTCCACGTCCTGGATCGCTAGATCGCGATCACAACAAGGAGAGCATTAGTGGTTCATGTACTGTAGCACAGTACTGCTGTGAACGACTTGGCGAAATGTGAAGTCATGCTTCCTTGTCAGATTTCAGGACGGTGGACTGTACTCTGTCCTTACTCCCGACAAATGGCAAATTTTCTCTCTTCGACAGCCCGGGAGCCTGACAGAATCCTGCGGCTATACGGGAAGCGAAGCGACACAATGGCAACATTCTCATGACGAAATTCAAGTGTCACCAAAGTTCTTATGCACCCACGGCGTTTCTCAAGGTTGGTGGCTTTGATGCGGCTGCCGAATAGGCAAAAGATCTTCAATCTGAGGAGGCAACTCCGAGCGTATGTTTCCTTCTCTCTTCGAGGTCACACACCATCATCATTTCAGTCCATACTATGTAGACTTGGCGTAAGAGATCTTTACTGTCACAACCAGACCTGTCCAATGTGTTGTGTGTAATGGAAAGGCCGGCGGCATGCAACGTGCATCCTTGAGGATTTTGCTTCGTAGTTTTGCTCCCGGCATTCGGCAACACCTCATACTCGGCAGGGCTGCAAGTCTGCACCACATGTCCCATCAGGCTGTCACTCTTCGGTCATGTTTGAATCATAGCAAGAAATAATTGTTGGGAGGTTGATTAACTCTCCAAGCTTCCTCTGTCGCTTAAATCAGAGCGCAGATCAGAGCTCATGGATATCTAATCATTCCCATCAGCCGAAGAGGACAGCTTGTTTACACCTTCCCCGAACTACAATTGCTCTCTTGCTGTCAAACCCCGTATGCGCGCGCCTATCCACATGGAACGAGTCAAGACATGTCACGTTTTGCGTTAAACCGTTGAGTTAACCGCGTGCATGGGTAATTGTCCACATGCAGCAGACTTGGAAAACCCCATCTGCTTTCCACAGCTAGATCTCTTGTGGGATAGGCAAGACCGCACACCGGAGGGCAAGGCCGCTGTGCGCCGCTATGCGTCCTACCTAACCAAACACCATAAGGCGGACCAGCCTCCGCGACCATCACATTCGCTTCTGATAGGTACCTGATTTTAAGCCGCCATCATCACGACAGAATGTGCTGGGCGGACAGATGCTGCGCAGCCACGTACCCAGATGAACTCCATACAAAAACCTGAGGTCGAGGATGCAAGATCTGCAGGCCATTTGGGACCGCTTCTCCATCTGTAAAAATTATATCGTTATTGCTATGAGACATGGCCGCGGCTCTCCGTCTCAGACTGACTAGGGATGCAGCATTATATGCAATTCCACTGGCATCCTACGGAAGAGTCCGTTTTTTTGCTCGACTCATGGAAATGAATTGACCAGAAATCAACAGCGTGCATACAGCCTCCAATACTTTGAAGGCGGATCTGCCCCCGTAGTTCAAAGCCGTTTGATAGCCAGCAGGGGTGGCTGATTGGATGCCGCACCCAATACGGGGACTCCACCTGCGAGCACGACGAGAGCAAGAGAAGCAATAGACTACGTGCCGCGTAGCGACTTAGCCGATAGCACCTACTGAATCAAGTATGCCCATCTCGTCACATTGGGCATACGAACAGCACCAACTTAAGACTATGGAGTCATAGGACGACAGTGCGAACTCAATCGACGCGGCATGTAAGATCAGGTCGTGAGAAAGGTGGGAAGAGAAGAGGCATGAAGGAAGACAAACAAATGCTTAATTTTTGTACATGAAAATGATGATAAGAGACAACAAAGTCCTTGAAAGCAACCAAGAGGGCAAGCAATAAAGGTCGACCTGCAAAGAAGGACATCGAGACTACCTAGTCTTCCCCAAATGTCCATTTTGTTTTGATGCTCTGTCTACCTCTTGAGAGAAGATGCCAAGTGCGCCTTAACCGTTCCAACCAAATGACCACATATTCACCAACAGTCTCCAGCTCCTTACAGTCGCGGCTCGACGCCAGGAATTGAGCGTGGTCTGCCTTGGAGCGGAATCACATCAGCGATGGATACGAGCTATACTATTGTCTCGAGACACCTGCGGAAACTGGCCTTGGGCTGGCCTGTTGAACAACTGGGCTTTGTCGCTGCATTACCGATGGTGTCTGCTGTAGTTGAGGTCCTGGCTGAGGTGTTCCCGAAGCGACCCCTTGACCGCTGCCCATCCTCGTCATCTGAGGTGTGGGAGTACGGTTGTTGGCGCTGAGAGGCATGTTCTGCGTTGGATGAGCAGAAGCCATGTTTGGACTCGGTACAGCCATGCCCGGCACTGGGCTGGCCTGTGCTACTCGTGGACTCCCGTTGTTTTGTACGGGGGAGTTTTGGTTTTGGTGTTGCATTTGGCTCTGTTGTGCCAGAACGCGTTGTCGCATACCGGCGGCGTACTGCTGTGCGTTACCTGCCACGTTACTGCCGTTGGTATTAAAAGCTGTATGCTGGCCATTGCCATTGTTCTGATGATAGGCTGCTTGGTTCTGATTGTAGGCAGGCGAGCCATTTGGTACGACATTTGCGGCATGTGTTCCAGCAGCGGCACTGAGTGCACTTTGACGAGCCTGTTGATGAGATTGCTGGTGCTGTCCTTGCAAGTGGATGTGTCTCAGGCGTTCAGTTGCCATCTCCTGGATCTTTTCGGTCGAGGCTTGCGGGTATTGTGCCTGAAGCTGGTGAGTGATGGACGTGATGTTCGGCACAAGCCCACCCGAGAGTTGCGGTGGCTGCTGCGACTGGCTTGTCGGAGTCGGTGGTGGAGGCATGTGCGGCGAAGCAACGGCATTGCCATTGGGGGTTGACTGATGATTCTGGGCTTGGGGACCAGGAGTGCGGACGTTTTGCATGCCGTTCATTGCAGATGGATTACCCACTCCATTAGGAGGATGCATACCTCCAGGACTTGCTCGGTTTGGTGGAGCCATCTGGTATTGCTGGCCGTTCATCTTAAGTTGGTTGGCCCTTTGCGCCTCAAGCACTCTTTGCTGCATGCCATCGGGCGTTCCATGAGCTTGACCGTTGGCCACAGGGCGGATGTTCGGTTGCATCTGCGCCTGTGGTATACCTCCACGCATGCCCACTTGTGGAGTATTGAGATGCGCACCTCCTTGTGCAGCAGCATTAGGGTGTTGACCGTTCGGCAGACCTTGATGATTAATCTGTTGAGGTCCACCGGGCTGTGTCGGAGTGCTCTGTGGATGGGGCATGTTAGGTCCAGGACGGTTGGGAGCATTCGCATTGGGATGAGCTTGTTGGTTCGATATTTGTCCGTTTCGTTGCATTTGAGCCTGCTGTAANNAATTTGTAAGCATCTGNNAAAGATGGCTAGACAGTGAATCATAACATACGCGTTGCTGTACGAGCATCTGTTCTCTGTAACGTTCTTGTCGTGCATGAACCTGGACATCTCGCTCCTGGCGCATTTTGCTGAACTCTTGAGGGGTTGGGATTCCGTTCTTCGGTGCTGCGTTTTCATGTTGCTTGCGCATGTGCGCGGCTTTTTGAGCTATCGTGCTTGTTAGTCCAAATTACACAAAGTATTGCTGAACAATCATACCTTCGGCCTGCTTGTGAGCCTGCTGTTCCCGTTTTCTAGCCAGTTTACGCATCGCATCCACCATGTGCAAGTACCGATTCTGCCTACGCTTGTCGACCTTGAATGGTGTTGTCTTCTTTCGCATCACCGTGGGAGGTTGTCCTGGAGTTTGTGCAAGCTGTGCGACTTGTTGCTGATATTTGGCTTCGTTGTTTCTGTTAGCTCCCTCGAGTCGCTGGTTCCAGGTCTTGAAGTAGAGAGTCTTTCTCATCTCGTTAGGGAGACTCTCCAGCTCTACCCAGCGCTCAAAACATTCCCACGGCGTGCGCCTATCAGATGCGCTAGTGAATCTGGATGATAATGATAGGTTGTCTGCAATAAGGGACCAGTTGAATGAATACTCTCTTGCAAGACGGCGCAGAGCTTGTTGGTCTTCTTCCGTCCATTGTGATGCCGTTCTGAATTCATAGAATTGCGAGGATGGCATCTGGAACTCGGAGGGAGGCCGGAATGCAGTGTTTTGATGCAATCTGCTGCGCAAAAGCTTGTTCTCGGGTTCGAAAAGAGCGACATCTGTCTGCTCTGGCCGTAACCCCGAGTCTTCTTGACTTGCGCGAGGTCTCTTTGATGCAGGCAGTGAAGTTTCGTCCATCGTGTCATCCTCATCACTGTAATCGTATCGGCTTCTCTNTTTGGGAGGGCCGCTGACATCAATCATCATTTTGGCAGCACAAAACTTTGATACTGCTGGAGTTGGACGTTTGACAGTCAAATGAGCAGGTTCTTCGTCTTCGTCGAAAGGCGTCAGTAGAGGCAGCTCGGCAAGAGCGCTGTGCAAGGTTTCGTTATCTTGCATATGCAATGTCTCCTTATCCATATTTATGGCAGAGAAGAAAGACGAAGGGACTACAGTTGCGTACTGTGGTGTCCTCGGCATGTCAAAGTCTTCGACACTAGACTCGACATCGTTGTCCAATCCCGGTGGCGACTGAGCTCCCTGACTGTGCCTATCACTGTTCTCGAAGTTTGACTCGGCAGGAGAGTGTGGAGCTGCTGTATCCTGGCGCAACTCCTCGACCGATTTGAGTCTGATTTGCATCGATCTCTGTGTCTCTTTGTCTGCAAGGCACCATTCTGCACATTGTTCTGCAAAAAATTTGGCTGTTGCTCTTTTCATCTTGCGCTCTTGACGGAAGTCGGTCCTCATCCATTTCATTTCGGCCAAGAGATGGTCCATGTGTGTTTTGGGGGCAGCTGGCTCAGCACAAGGCTGCATTTGCCTGAGGGACCAGCGATTCGCATTTTGTAATTGATAGATCCTCCGTAGAATGCGTTGATCCTGTCTTTCGTGGTATCCGGCAAACTGCTCAGTGGTTGTCACAACCTTGCTGGCTTTTTGCAAGAGCTCATGCAAAGGTCTTCCGTTAGGAGGCTCGTGGACCTGTATACGGTAAAGAGGCTCCAGATAGTCCTTAGTGAGCTCGACGGATACTCCTTTGAGAGAGTTGTAGCCCTCTTTCTTCATCAAATCAGAGCATCGTAGTGAGACGGGCGATTGTGGCTGATCCTTCACAGGTCGTTGTTGGCGCCTCACGACCGGCTGCTCAGTTTTGACTTTGAGTACTTCTCCTGTCGTGTGGGCGCGCTTGGTAGCAAAGAGAGATGGCCTTGACGATTCATTTACTTCTGAAGTCGATTGAGCACGAACAGAGCCCGAAGGCTCAACAACAGCATTGCCAAGCGCAGGATCTTTGGGTGGCATGATATTGACAAGTGATGGTCGCGGTGCTCTTCTCTTCTGTGAAGCGTCAGAGACAGACTCGGAAGGCGATGCCGAGTGAGGCTGAACGGGCGCAACAGCTTGAGATGCGTCGCGCGTTGCTGTTGTCGCATTGATGCTGTTGGATGAATTCACTGCGGAAGGCTTGGCGTCGAAAGTAGCGTCTCTGGTGGCCTTCACTGCTTGTTCCTGCTCAAGACGCAACTGCACATCTGGAGAGTCGTCCTCGTGTCCCAATGCTTCCTGATACGCGATTTCCTTCTGCGATTGTAGTAGCTTATCATGTTGTTCCTTGGCAAGAACTTCCTCGGGGGATGGTTGCAAGCTAAGAGGCTTGGCTACTGTCTGGTTTGCGGATGTAGTATCCTCGTCAGTACTAGTTAGAGGCGAAGGACCAGCGGGCAAAGGTGTGGCCATGGAAGGGGCGCCAGCAGTGGATGTTGGAGATGATGCAGCTTCGACCTGAGATTCGGCAGCATCTCTCCGACGTGCTTCTTGACGGAGTTGCTTTTCACGGAATCGTTCTTCCTGGACTTCCTTTGGCGGGAGATGGACGGTACGTGGCCGATTCCTTTGGTTCTCACGGCCGGGCGGATTGACTGCTGGCTTATCGTTGGAAGGCTGTGCAGGGTCGGCATTGGCTTGAACAAGGTGATCCTGAGGGCTCGCGAGAGTATCTGAGTTAGTAATGGGAGCCGTCGCATGAGATCGTTTATCGATGAATCCAGGGGCAGTTGGAGCAGGCGCATCCCGCTGAGCCAGGGATTTGATTGCAGGATTCTGTTCTATGGCGTCCAAAGAGAAAGGCAATAACGAGTCCTGAAAACGTAGACCTCTACAAAGCAGATGAACAATAAGAGATGAACGGTGAAACCACAGAATTACGATACATACTTNTGCCAGGTCGGCAGCATTAAGAAGAACATCTTCGGAAGGAGTGTGTGGAGGAGAGGGTAGAGAATCAAAATCTAGGTTGAGAGCAGGAGGTAGTCCACACTGTTGAGTGATGGATTGGGTGATTTGGTTCAAAGCGCGCAGGCGGGCAGCTCGCTTGGTCAAGGATGNCCCTGCGACAGACCAGTCAGCACAACTCAACAACCACGCAGTAGAAAAAGAGTCGGAGCGATTTTTCAGATTCGAATCGCGCAGGCGAAGGGATTGATGTAAATTGCGCCCGTAAAATGTGCGGATCCGAACTTACGCTCTGGCAGTCTTGCGTTCAGTAAGCGGTCCATCTCGCAATTGTGCTAGGGACATAAGTTTATCGGCGTCGCATTCACAGCACCAGTCTCTCAACAGGTGAAGACGGGTGTGGGAATGTTTCGATGGAAATTGAAGATGGATATGCGAGATGGATGCGTGTTTCTACGGCGAGGTGCGCGATGGGGCGCGTCAACTTCTGCCTTGGCACCACCACCCCAAGCTTTCTCTGAACTTTTTCTACATACCAAAAACCCCAACTCTAGTACATCAACCTCAACAACACGAGTCGCAATGGTCAAGAGAAAGAGCGAGGATGCACAGCTGAGCGCTCGTGCTACCAACGGNAAAGAACGCCAGATTCGCAGAAGCAGCCAAACCCAGCAAGCCTGCAAGAAAATCCACATCGACCAAGCCACCAAANNGGCCTCCGCCAAACCTGCTGTCGCGATCAAGGACACCAAGTCAGAGTCAAAGTCAGCATCCGTCTCTATCCAAGTTGTCACGGGATCATACGAGAGGGTTCTCCACGGCTTCGCTGCCACCGTCTCTGAGGATGTCCTGCAGTCTGGATCATCAGAGGAAGAGCAGAAAGAGCCTACATACTCGGATACCTTCTTGTTTGCCGCTCATTCGAGCGCCGTCCGTTGCCTAGCTCTCTCGGCACCCAACGAGGCTCACAAACGAGTGCTCGCGACCGGCAGTACAGACGAGCGCATCAACCTGTTCAACCTCTCAACCTCTCCACCTCTTGTTAGCGACAAACCTCAACTTCCTAGTCTCTCGGCTACCAGCATTATCGAGAACCCGAGAAACAAGGAGCTCGGCAGTCTACTACACCATGCGCGCAGCGTCAACAAGCTACAATTTCCTACCCGGGGTAAGCTCTTCAGCGCAGCAGACGACAACACTGTCGCCATTTCGAGGAGCCGCGACTGGACTGTGCTATCAACAATCAAGTGCCCTATTCCCAAGGCTGTGGGACGGCCTAGTGGAGACACTGCTGGACCGGGAGAAGTACCTACCGGAGTCAATGACTTTGCCATTCACCCTAGCATGAAGGTAATGGTTACTGTGGGCAAGGGAGAGAGATGCATGAGACTGTGGAACCTGGTGACTGGCAAGAAGGCTGGAGTTTTGAATTTTGACAAGACTTTGTTGCAGGCTGCGGGCGAGGGCAGATACAGCAGCGGCGAAGGAAGGAAACTGGCATGGGGTGAGGACGGTGAGGAGTATGTCGTTGGTTTCGAGAGAGGAGCTGTGATTTACGGCATGGTGAGTTATGCATGGTATACTTGAAAAGGGATTCGCGACTGACACACATGGCAGGACTCGATGCCCAAAGCTATTATCCGGCCTTCACCTCCTACTAAACTTCATCAGATGCGCATCGTGCCCGCTGGTGAGGAACATAGCATCCTGGCAGTGTCGACCGAGGATGGCAGAATCATCTTCTACGATCTGAAGACAACGATCGAGAGCGAAAAGGAGGACGAAGAAGTACCGCAGTGCGCGGCATTGGGACAGTTGGGAGGCAACCAAGCGGGCTTCAGTGGCAGAATCAAGGACTTTGAAGTGTTGCAGCACAAGGCAGGAGCACCACTGAGCATTGTGACGGGCAGCAGCGATGGCGCTGTCAGGCTGTGGAAATGCAGTCTTTCAGAGATTCTGGAGGGAGCTGGCACGGAAGAAGCAAAGGGCGCGGTGCGTCAAGTTGGCACGTCGATAGGAACGCACGAGACCGGGCACCGCATCACATGCCTGGCCGCTTTTGTGATGGATGGCCCGGCGGAAGTGGCAGACGACGAGGATGATGATGCACAGGACATGGCCCAAGGAGCAGAGAGTGACAGCGACGACGAGTAGATAGCCCGAGACGGGCGAGTCCCCGAACAAAACATACGAGAGCACAGATGTGTCGATGGAAGGGCATGTTGAGGCTCAAGGCAAGCATGTGAAGAAGCGTCTAAGCATGTCATGGGCTTGGCTGTCGGCTGGGGCTGCCCTAATCAGGCGGATACGAGACAGCGGCCAGACGTGCGGGTGCGCAGTGCAGGGTCTTCTGAGCCAGTGACCTCGCGTAGGGTAATCTGTACATGTTTACCTGAATATCCTCTCTGCTCTGTCCGTCCTTCTCTGTTGTTGTTGACCCTGCTCCCCTCTTCCCGCAACCACGACCCCCGGAAGACAGAGTGGCCATGTCAGGTAATCGCAGCGGCACATCGCCGCAACCCATTGGGTCGGGTCCCCCACGTTCGACGTCTCCATACGGCGGAGGCTCGCCGTCTCGTAGTTTCTCGACCGCCCGACTCGCGAGCCCCGTTCCCTTCGGCACTCCTCCCATCAGACAGATCCCCACTCCGCGTCAACTCGACGGTCAAGACGATGCCCGGGACGACAACGGGCCCTTGCCCGGGGCCTCATACCCTCGCGGCTCCATCCCCGGGCCCGGCCCCTCGTCTTTGTCGCAAGCCTTGAGAGGAGGCTTCGCTGGAAGCCCGCCTCGCTTCGCCTCTCCTGCTCCGACCGGCTCAGTCTATCCCGACGATGCTTCGTACTCGCAAAGTCCAAACAAGAACGAAGACCTCGAGGTCTTGCGCCGACACTTGGTTGGCCCTGCACAACGCACCTCGCACCAGAATCTTCAAGTCTCCTCCTCGTTCCAGCGCCAATCGGCCCTCCCTGAAGTTGCCAAGTCTGTTGAAAACGGCCCCGGCATAGATGACGACCACTTCTCGAGTCTCCAGTTGCAGGGCGGAGATATGACAAGACACATCTACCGCTACACCGAAGAGCGCGAGCGTGAAGAGGTAGAACGCCAGGCTCGTGAGACTGGCCGTCTGAAGAGAAGTCTGAGCGTCAATCTGCCTCGTCCGAACGAGGATGACCCAGAGCTTACAAATATCAAAATGCCTGGCGGTCTGCGCAGAGACTACATTCGCCGGACTGCCGCCTCTCCTACCCCTGAGACACGCATTTCAAGACCCAACTACGGCTCCACTCGTGCTCAGACCGAACCTCCTGCGCGCCAACAACCTCAATTCTTGGCTAACAACTTTATCGAATTCCTCACCCTTTACGGCCACTTCGCTGGTGAATCACTCGAAGACGACGACGAGGCTCTTGGTCCTGATGAATACTTCGCATCCGAGGCATACGACGACGACAATGATGATCAGGATGGCCAGGAGCGCGAGTGGGGTGAAGACAGTGCTTTACTGACTCCTGGCAAGCGCAAGCGAAGAAGAAAGGAGCAGGCTGGCAAGGGTAGCCCTGGTGGTGCTGCTATGCTTTTGCTCAAATCCTTTGTCGGAACTGGAGTCTTGTTCTTGCCCCGCGCCTACCTCAATGGTGGCATGATGTTCAGCAACATTGTCCTTCTGAGTATCGCTCTTCTCAGTTTCTGGTGCTTTATCCTGCTCGTCAACGTTCGTCTGAAGGTTCATGCCTCCTTTGGTGACATGGGCGGCAAGATATACGGTAGATGGTTCCGTACCCTCATCAACTCCTCTCTCGTCATCAGTCAGATCGGTTTCTCCTCGGCCTATATCGTCTTTGTTTCGGAAAACCTGCAGGCTTTCGTTCTGGCTGTGACCAAATGTCGCACCTTCATCGACATCAAATACATGATCCTGATGCAAATGGTCGTCTTCTTGCCTCTCAGCTTGTACCGCAACATCAACAACATCCAAAAACTCGCTCTGGTCGCCGATTTGTTCATCGTCCTTGGCCTTGTTTACCTTTACTACTATGACATCCTGACATTGGTCAACAACAACGGTATAGCCGATATCATCCAGTTCAACAAGGATGACTGGACACTGTTCATCGGTACTGCCATCTTCACCTTTGAGGGCATTGGTCTCATCATCCCTATTCAGTCCGGTATGAAGGACCCTCAGAAGTTCCCTCGTGTCCTGGGTGTCGTCATGGTTGCAGTTACTGTGGTCTTCATCTCTATGGGTGCTCTTTCGTACGCCGCGTACGGTAGCGCAACCAAGACTGTCATCATTCTCAACATGCCTCAGGACAACAAGCTCGTCAACAGCGTACAGTTTATCTATTCTGTGGCCATCTTGCTCTCGACACCTCTGCAAATCTATCCTGCCATCGAAATCACATCTCAGCAGCTCTTCAGTCGTACCGGCAAGTACAACCCTTGGATCAAGTGGAAGAAGAATGTGTTCAGATTCTTCATGGTCACACTTTGTGCCGTCATTGCATGGGCTGGTGCTGGACAGCTCGACAAGTTCGTCGCGCTTGTTGGCAGTTTCGCATGCATCCCGCTGGTCTTTGTCTACCCTGTAAGTCCAACTCTGTTATGCTTTCGCTTGTCACGACTAATCATGATGATANNGCCTCTTATGCACTACCGCGCCGTTGCAACTCGTTCATGGCAACGCGTTGCCGATGTCCTGCTCGTCATCTTCGGTCTTTTCATCATGGGTTACACTACGGCGCTCACAGTCATGTCTTGGGCCTCGGGAGGTCCGAAGGAACCAGGGTACTGTGATGAAAGATGAGCGGTGTTTTCCATTTTTTTTTCTTGGCTATTCTTTTTCCTGTTAGACTGAGTTTCCATCGCTGGACATTCTGCGACTTTTTGCATGGCATAAGGACGTTGATTTTGCTTTGATACGTATATCATTTCTTAGCACTGTAGATGGGACTTTCGTATGGCTGGGATGTTGGTGGATGATGTATAGAAGAGAATATTGACATATCGATCCTCCATCTTGTGCGGATATCTTCTATCTCCTCTTCCAATACTGGCATGAAGTGGAATTTTGACCTTGAAAAGCACGGTAGTATCCATCGGGGACTCTTGAAACATAGATGGGTTCGTACTAAAGTTGAGGGAAATTACAATGTTTCGCCGTATACGAATGACCATGTCTCGTGCTGAAACATCCACAGGTTCTCATGTTCTGGTGCAGAGACTCATCGAGGGGAAGAAGTCGCTCGTAAGGCTGGCTAGAAGCAAGTTTTGACAGAAAGTTTGTATGAGCCCCCTCATCAAGGTTATCACAGTATGAATAACCTCAAGAGGTCAGCAAAGATGTCATAGCTGTCACGCCATGGAGAGATGCGTGCTTGCGAGATCCACTGCATGGGTTGGCAGCAGGGCATTTACAAAGAAAACAATGACAGCGAGCATCGAGACAGCAAACGCAAGCACCTTGACACACAATACCAATCACATGAGCACATAGATGAAAAGATAAGAGACTGCAGAGCAGCGATCAATGGTTGAACGGCAAAAGTTGAAAAACATGACATTGCATGCGCCTCCATTATAAGAGATGGATCTTGCTCTTTCGAGTCTGAGAGATAGGCCTTGTTGGTATGATTTTTGGTTTGTGGGTTTTGTGCATGCGATTACATAACACAAGGGATATTGCTTATCATGTCCCACCATGCCCTGCGCCAGCGACCCTTTGAAGAAGGTCTTCATTCAAACGCCCGCTTGCCTCTCTTTTTGGTGGTGGTATGAAAAGTGTCGTGAAGGGAAGCGAAAGCATTTATCGGACAATGCCCTCGAATCTGTTCTTGAACCACTTGACGGTCTCGGTCTGGTTGATGCGGTGAGAGGCACCAACCTTGGTCTTGCAGCGGCGGCGACGAGCGACACGCTCACCGGGGCGCTNCCCTGAGACGGTCGTCAGCAAGTGTGATGGGCGAAGACGAGTCAAGACGATGGTAACTTACATGCAGCAGTAGAAGTCCATACCGTAGATACCAATACCGGGGTCGTACTTGATACCGAGATCAATGTGCTCGTTGATACCGAAGCCGAAGTTGCCGGTCTCGGAGAAGTTGCGCTTGCGGAGCTCGTACTCCTTGACCTTGAGACCACGCTCGATGATCTCCTCGGCCTTGGGGCCACGGACGGTGACGTGGACGGCGATCTTCTCGTTACGGCGGATACCGAAGGTACGGACAGTGTAGCGGGCCTTGGAGTAGACGGNGGTCTGACCAGACAGCTGCTCGAGAACCTTGGCGGCACGAGTAAGTCTGTCACCCGACTCACCGACCGAGATGTTCAGGACGAGCTTGGAGATGCGGAGCTCGCGCATGGGGTTGCCAGACTTGTCCTTGCCGGCATTGTCGCCGGAGTTCTGGTCAGCCTGCTGGGTGGAGTTCTGTCCGCGTGCCTGCACAGAATCGTGTTAGGGTATATGTTCATCCATTTATGTTTGTTCCACAGGCGAGGGAGAGGGCAGGCCTGCATCTGTCGACGACAGCGACGACGACGATTTGTGGTGGTGTGTGTATGCGAGTGTCGAGCTGGATGTGATGGTGCATGTCCGTCTCTTTTTCTCTTTTTTCTGTCTTCTTCATCCACATCCGAATCGCGTGAGGGCAGTGCGAGCGTCGATGGCAAGCGTGGCGAGGCGCAAATCGTCGTCGTCGTTGTCGAAGCTGTGGTTGCAGACCGTGGCTCCCTGCCGTGAAGGCGGGATGGTGCTCACCATTTCGTCGGTAATGGGCGATGTGTCGAAGAATTCAAAGTCGCTGAACGGAATCAAAATCGTGAGATAGCGCTGGTTTGATTTTGCACAAAGCTCCGCGAAGTGCGCTGCACGTGATCTTGGCTCGGCATCAGCACAGGCCACCTAGAACCACTCCAATCGACATGCTCTCTCACTTTGTTGACATACGAATACCATTATTATATCAGAAATGTTCTGACCTTGCTGCAGAGTTTGGATCTGGTCAACTCACAGAGCATGTCTAAGGCGCGAGGCGAGCCCTTGAGGCTCGTACTCATCATCATATACATTCCGTGATCAAGTACTGATCCGGCTACACGAACCCAAGCAGCTCCTGCGCGTATATAGACAGCTATCACTCGAGATGTGTATCACATCAAGAGCTCCCCTTCACCATGCGCCGGACAGGATGACCAACTCGAGCCATTGATATCAAAGACGGAATTTGGAGGCTTTTCTCCGCTCGGCCTCAGTAGCCGATAGCGGGCGTCTCCACCTTTGGCGGACATTGAGCGGCCGTCAGCCGGGACTTGCAATGTTCAGCACGCCGTGAAACATCTTTCCTCGAGACGCATCCATACCACAATCACTAGACAAGATGGCCGCAGCAATCAAGGCCCTCAATGCGAAGATTCGCTCAAACCCCTACACCGACTACCTCTGCTCGACCCGTGAGTGCTCCCACGAGGACAAGACTCGGACATTGCGCTGTGACCAAGCACAATCACCAGCGTCCTGTCTTGCGCTCGCCTGTCGCCAGCCATACCACGCCCATACTGACATGACTTGTTCTGCACAGACNTTCTGGGGTCCCGCATCCAACTTTGGTATCCCCCTCGCTGCCGTCATGGACACACAAAAGGACCCCGAAATGTAATTCACATCTTCCAACACCGCGCCGACCGTATATTTCGCAAGAGCTTGGGACTAATACACGCACGCGACACAGNNTATCTCGGGATCCATGACCCTCGCTCTCTGCGGTTACTCTGCCACCTTCATGCGCTACGCCATGGCCGTCACNCCCGTAAACTACCTCCTCTTCGGCTGTCACTTCGTCAACTTTGGCGCACAAGCTACTCAGGGATACAGATACCTCAACTACTGGAAGTGCGTTGCTCCATCTTCTCCTGCTCATGTGCAACACAAGTCCATGCTGACACGTGCCTTTCTNAGCTTTGGTGGTAAGGAGTTGAAGGACAAGGCCACACAAGAAGCTTCTCACATCGCAGACCAGGCCAAGGCTGCTGCTCACAAGGTTGAGGGCAAGGCCAAGGAGGTCGCCAACAAGGTCACCAGCTCATAATGTACCAATAGCTTCTTTGTCTTCCAGGAATTTCCATGCGCGGCCCCAAGAGGACGTAATGACCCAACCACTTTTGATATATTGTCATACTTCAGTGGCTTGCATACTCACGAAGACGAAACTTGAGAAGATCGGGAGCTTCTTATATACTCCCTGTATGATCACGGCTCCATCTCATTCCACATATCAGGAGCGAACTGGCAGATCTTGACAACGTCTATGCCTTCATCATGATGCCTAGTGGGTCACAACATCGCCCAAAAGACATCGTGGGTTTTAGGTACTCGAATCTTCTTTGATGGCGTGAATTAGATAGCAAAATCCCATAGACATTGGGATATATGATGATCTACATGCTTATGAGACAATATAGTTCGTTCTCGGTAATTTGTGTATTTCTGAACTCTCCCAAGCATGTGCCGTAATCGAGAGCTGATATTCATGTAATCCTCTGAAGGTAGGCTCGCTGTATCTATATACTATGTTAGGCTGATTATTGTCGTCTGCGGGTTGGATACCTTCTAAAGACGATCTAGCTTGCCCGGCGGCCCGATCACGTGCCATTATATTGGCAACCTCTTCTTGGGATCCTCGAAGATAATCATTCTGATCACTATCACTGTAAATATGCATCTCTCAGCTCTTGTTGTCGCCTCATTGGCGTCTACTTGCCTCTCGGCTCCTAGTGCAAATGTGGAACAGCAACCAATTGGCGCTTCGGAGCCCAACAGCATCGGCTCAACATGGACCAGGGAATTGATCTCGCTGCACCGTCACCTCATCTCGACCGAATCCATCAGCGGTAACGAGTATGATGTTGGACAGTGGCTGTCCGATCACTTGAAACATGATGGCTGGACCATTGAAACGCAAAAGGTCAACAACGACAGCTCTCGTCTCAACATTCTTGCCTATCCTGGCAAGGTCCGTAATGCCGACCTGCTCATCTCGAGCCATATCGACACCGTTCCTCCATTCTATCCTTACAAGATCCACTCCAATGACTCTGAAACCATCATCTCCGGACGTGGAAGTGTTGATGCCAAGGCATCTGTTGCTGCTCAGATCATCGCTACCAAGAAGCTGTTGGCCGAGAAGAAGCTGAAGCCTGATGACGTTGCTCTTCTCTACGTTGTCGGTGAAGAGGTCCATGGTGACGGTATGCGTGCTGCCAATGCATTGGAACTGACTCCAAAGACCATCATCTTTGGTGAGCCAACTGAAGGCAAGCTTGCAGCGTGAGTAACCTATGCACTCTATCCCAGCAACCCAGACTAATGTTCATCTTCAACNAGTGGCCACAAGGGTATGCTCGGCTTTACTCTGAATGCGTTTGGAAAGGCAGCACATAGTGGTTACCCATGGTTGGGTCGCAGCGCGAACGAGGTCCTCGTGCAAGCACTCTCTGCCTTGATGAAACTCAGTCTTGAGCTCCCTAAGAGCGACAAGTACGGCTCCACCACCATCAACATCGGCAAGATCGAAGGTGGAGTAGCAGGCAACGTCGTCGCTCAAAACGCCAGCGCTCAAATTGCCATTAGAATCGCTGCCGGAACACCCGACGAGATTGGCAAGCGTGTGCACAAGGCCATCAAAGCCGCAACAGACGAATTTAAAACACCCGGCCATGAAGATGAAGACATGTATGAAATCGTATTCGCAGGCAAGGGATACGCACCTGTGGACATTGATCACGATGTCGACGGTTTCGGTACAATCACGGTCAACTACGGCACTGATATCCCCAATCTCGACAAGCTCGACGGGCAGAAGAGATATCTGTATGGACCTGGGTCGATCCTCGTCGCTCATTCGGACCACGAGGCCATCACGCTCAGCGATCTGAAAACTGCAGTGCAGGACTACGAAAAGCTAATCCTGCATAGCTTGTCATAGACTTTGGACGAAGTAGCTGGGCACAGGGGCATGACTAGGGAAAGTTTCAAGCGAGCAAGTTTCGATGTATAAGAAAAAGTAGACGGTGATTCGAGATACGCAACCTAATCTGAAGGATGGTGTAGGGCTGGCAGAGGTGTCACGAAGACACGTACCCTCCCCATGTGCGATAGGCAGTCACGGTGTAGTTGTAGAAATGCACAATCTCTTGTATAGCAGAGCGATGTCCACGGAGAGAAGGTCGGGCTCAGGCATCTCCATGGTGACATCCCGAATTATGTTGGAGTTCGTAACTCATGATAGCATGATGGTTTGTGAGGGGGCAGGACGGACTCCGAGAAGGATCATGGACAAGACGAAAAATGATCGGAAAGCGCGGGTGTACGGCAGGAGTTACTCTAGAGTGAAGTAGGCCAAGATGGGAAAGAGCGATTGTATGCAAGGCGACAAGGCATGCCAAGTTTTGACGAGGTTTGACGAGTCGAGTGCAGATAGCAAGACGTAATTTGACCAAGTTTTTGATATGTTTTGATGGGCCCTTCTGGCTTGGAAGCTGAGAACGTTGCGGTTTTAGGTAGTACAGCTGACGACGCTTTTTGTGCCAATTTCTGCCAAAAGCTTAGCAAGGTTTTAGCAGCGTTCGCGCGTGAGTTAGCGCGTGGCTGCAAAGCTTTCGGCGATTTGGCGAACCACTCTTGACCCCTCTCAGGGTGCGAGGCGGGCAGGTGTGAGGCTGGTACGATAGTAGGCGAGTCGTTTTGTGCTCGCGTAGCGCCAATCGCACCACGACCTCCTACGTAAGCAATCTAGCCCTGCACCCCTTGAGGCAGATTCCATTCCCTCAGACAAGAGAAGTCTTGATGCAGCATGCCACGCTCAAATAAGATAGCATAGCCACATCTTGGAATCGAAGCCCTTGCTCGAGCGTCTCCGCAATTTCACATGATCGACTGTTGAATCGCTCCACGACCGCTGATCATCAACATGAGTCGCCTGGACAGTGTGCAGGACAAGGCCAACGACAACCCTGAGCCCATCCACATCGACGCCGACCGACAAGCCACGACAGGAGGCGCCCAGGACAGCGATGAACAGGGCTCCCTGAACGAGAAGCCTCACCACGACAATTCACACGCCGAGCGCGCTCGCGAACAGGAAGAGGCGCAGGAGAAGAAGGAAGAGGCACAGAAGACCGACGAGGCCAAACCGGAAGGCTCGACCGACGACCAGCCTGCTGGAGGCTACGATGCGACGCCAGTACCGCGAGCGCCGCCAGGATGGACCGTCAAAATCACCTTCCACCGCGCGACTAACCTGCCCATGGCCGACATCAACTCGCTGTCATCGGACCCCTACGTGCTAGCCCAGATCAACACGGCCATGCCGAAGCGTCATAAGGAAGACCCCCTTCTACGCATGCGCACTCCCACCGTCCGCCGCAGCACCGACCCCGAGTGGAATTTTGAATGGATCGTCGCCAACATTCCCTCGTCAGGCTTCAAGCTCAAGGCCCGAGTCTACGATGAGGACCCTGCCGACCACGATGATCGTCTGGGCAACGTTCACATCTCGGTTCATGAGATCAACGAGAACTGGCCCGGTATTCAAGAGCAGCCCTACAAGATCATGAAGCGTTCGGGCAGCAAGCGAGCCTATGCCGTTCGCGCCGTTGCTGCCTGCATGAGCAAGGCCAAGCACATGCATGGCGACCTCTATGTCAGCGTCCAACTGGTCGGTCGCACAGACATTGACAATGGTGGACATGTCTTTACCGTCGGTCCGCAATGGTGGATCAGGCATCAAGCTCCCATGCTTGGTCGTATCGCTGGTCGCAAAGAGCCCGGCGAAGACAACAACCAATCCGAGAAGGAAAAGCAGAAAACAGAACGCTACAACTTCCAGGCCAACCAGATCCAATTCCGCGGTCCTGTGCCAGACGGCCTCTACCATCGCTATGTCGAATTCCGTCCTTTCGTCAAGCAAATGTTCACATCCACTGGTGTGCGAGGATGGGTCTTGTCAAAAGCCCTTCATCATCAACACGCTCGAGTATACAACTTCGACCGCACCACCAAGTGGGGCCACTTCCCACAGGGCCCTTGCAAGGAGATGACACAGGCCTTCCTCGACCTCGTCCACTACGACGAAGGCGGTCGCATCTTCACCTACGTCTTGAGTCTCGACTCGCTCTTGCGCTTCACCGAGACGGGCAAGGAGTTTGGTATCGACATGTTGAGCAAGCATACCATGCACAGCGACGTGAGCGTCTACATTGCCTTTTCCGGCGAGTTCTTCATCCGCCGTCTCAAGTACAAGAACAAGCCTCCGCCGCCAGATGCAGCCGACACCGGCAGCGCCAGCAGCGAAGATGGCGAGCATGACCACGATGGTGCAAACGAATCACATCCCCCTCACGATCTCAACGACGGCCCTCCCAACGACGAACCGCCAAAAGACCCTGCACACTACCAACTCGTCATCGACAACGACAGCGGTACCTACCGCCCCAACGCCAAAATGCTGCCCCTGCTCAAGAAGTTCCTCGCCGCCAATCTCCCCGGTCTCCATATCCAAACCCTCGACTGTCAGAAGGACGAGAAGAAGATGAACCGCATGAAGCAGGCCCAGCGCGACCGCAAGAAGAAGGAGGGCGATCACATCGTCTATGCTCAGGCCGGCAGCGACGCCAGCAGCATCAGCAGCTCAGACGAAGAGCAATTGGATGCTCTTGAGCAGTCTGCACGAGACCAAGAAGATAGGAATGCATCTGGACTTGCGTCCCAACTCAAGCACGATGCTGGCCTCCGGGGTAAAGCGAAATTGGGGCATTTGAAAAATAACCTGCCGGGCCATAGCAGACCCGTGGATGATGAGTAGAGCAGACTTGAAAGCTACAGAGACGAAGGATGGTTGAGAGCGCGGGATCGCTCTAGCTTATAATGGAAAGTTAGTTAATATTAGTGTTTTGTTTTCTTTTTCATGTTCTTCTACGGCATCTATAGGTACTGTGTTACAACGTCTTGTGGTTTTCTTTCTCTTTAAGAGATCTGTTTTACTACTCCTCCAATGACCTTTATGCCTTTTCCATGTCCACATCTTTCTTTCGTCGACAAAGTTCTTCTTGACACTGCTTCTTCTTCCTCGCCACTACTTGTCTAGCAATCGAGTTACCGGTTACTCAGCTATGAGGCAGGCCTGTGATGAGGAAAAGTGAGGGGAAAAAATGCTTGGTGGAAGGTAACACCCTGTCACTTTTCTGGAATCAAACATCGACTCTTTTGTTCTTTGCCTTTCTATGTGTTCATACTCTCTTCTTCTTCTTCTTTTCCTCTAGTCTCGTTATTCTGTCATTGCGTCTAGTGGGGGACTGCAATTGGAGGGAGTGAATAAGAGCGACGTTAGTTATGTTCCTTGACCCGACTTATGCGCGCCTTTTTTCACACTGCTCGTATGAGTGTTGGACAACACATGGACTCCATCACAATCAAGAGAGAAACAGGGGACAGGATGGCTGGGGTTTCAAGAAGAAGAGAATGGTGGAAAGCCTTGCCGATGGGTCGGTGTTGGAAAGGTAGGTAGTACAGGTATAAAACAAACGCCCGCCTTGCAATTAGAGAAACGCCGAACCAGAAGAAAAAAAAAGACACACATGACATTTAGATCCAACCACTTTTCTAGAATAAGAACAACGAGTCTACTCTTCATCTTCCATGTCGTCGCCAGCCTCGATAAAGACGAGTCTGGTGCCTTCTGCGGCAGTTTGCCAAANTCTGTACAACAATGTTAGCAATCTTGTATCGAGACTGTATGGAAAAGAATGACTTACGTCAAGATCAGAGTACTCGTCAAGACAAGACTCGAGTTGCTGTAGAGTGAAACCTTTGGCAAGAACACGCTCCCTGACACGACGGAGATCGAGCTCGCCACGACCTTCGCCGGTAGCAGCAGCACCGCTCTCGCGCATGCCGCGCACGAGGTTGAAGATGCGACTGCTGACGCTCATGTCGCCACGGCGCGAGCGGTCGTCGTCGTACAGCGAGGCCTTGCTGACTTCGGTAAGGCGCAGTGCTTCGTCTACATCGTCGGTAATGACCTCTTCCGCGAAACGCAGACGGGCGAGGGCTTGTGACAGACGCATCACGCCGAGCAGCGTACGCGGTGACGTGTGGGTGAAGGTCTTCTTGGCCGACTCGTCGCGCTTCTGCTGTTGACGCAGACGTACATAGGCGCCTACGAGGTAGTCGGAGACGGCCTTGGGGATTGTGGGTCGGAAGGAACGAGCGCGAGCTACCCATTGGCGAACCTCGTTGGGTGAAAAGATCAAACCGCCGCCTGCGGGCTCGGGATGAGCGTTGTGGATGTGAACGTGAGTGACGTGACGAGCCAAGTCTTCGTCAGCGTCGCGAGAAGGTGTGTCGAGGATGAGGAAGAGAATATCGAATCTACTCAACAACGCGGCTGGCAGATTGATGTTCTCTACGGGTGAGATGCGAGGGTTGTAACGACCATACAGCGGGTTGGCAGCGGCCAAAATCGAAGTGCGTGCATTGAGCGTTGTTGTGATGCCGGCCTTGGAAATAGAGATGGTCTGCTGTTCCATGACTTCATGAATGGCTGTTCTGTCACTGTCGTCCATTTTGTCGAATTCATCAATACAGCACATGCCGTTGTCTGCGAGAACAAGAGCACCTCCTTCAAGCACCATCTCGTCTGTGACAGGATCTCTCATGACCGCAGCGGTAAGACCGACACCGCTTGAACCACGACCTGTTGTATAGACACCACGCGGCGCAACCTTTGTGATGTACTTGAGCAATTGGGACTTGGCTACACCTGGATCTCCCATCAAACAAACGTTGATGTCACCACGGATACGCATACCATCACCCATCTCTTTGGTCACACCGCCAATCAGTTGTAGAAGAAGGGCCTTCTTGACGTCGAGATGGCCAAAAATTTCAGGGGCAATGGATCTGCTCAGGTATTCGTAGAGCTGGCCAGATTGTTCCAAGTCGGCCATGCGGCGCACAGTGCTGGGAGCCAAGACCATCGACTCATAGGCCTTCTTGTGTTGATGGACGTATTGAGCCTCGAGATATGTATCGGTCAAGAGGCCAGCCTTGATAGCCTTGAAGCCAGTATAGGGTGTGGGGAGGAAGATGCCAGCAACGTCGACGACATCACCGGGGTTAATCTGACGAGACAGGGAGCCGTGGCAGTAGATGGTCAACTGACGGGGAATGTGACCGACAGGTACTTGGTCCGACATTTCCTGGATCTTGACTTCTTGGAAAGCGAGGAACTTGGAGGCGCGAGTCGAATGTAGGAGCTGGCCCTTGACGTTGTTCTTCTGGCAGGCGTCTGAAGGACATTGAACCATGGGTGTGTACTGCTTTGTCGTGACGGGCTGGAAGACCTCCTGGCCACAGCGATCGCAAGAGTAGGCGTTGACCTGGACGGCAGGCTTGACATCCGACACTCTGATTGCGATGCCGCGGACTGTGATGAGGTGGCCCAGGTGTTCACCACGCACCTGGCGCACGGCCATGGCTTTGCTGCTCTTTCCATCGCTAGACTCGGAGGGGGTGACGGGCTTGAAGTTGAGCGTGTAACGGCGGGTGAGGGCGGGAGGGAAGAAGGAGTCGGTCGCGTTGTTGTCGGTGCCTTCGTCGAGGACTTGTTGCATGACACGGTTCGCGTTCTGTCGCTGGGTGAGGATGACATCGATGACATCGTCTTTGAAGCTGACGTCGGAGCTGGCTTGTGGCATGAGCTTGTCGACGGCGCGCGACAGGATTTCAATGTAGTGGTGTGCGTTGCGTTCGATCGACGAGACCAGCTTGAGCGATGCACCGCCGTCCTCCAGAGCGTTCTCGTATTCTTTCAGGTCATCTAGGTCGATCAGGATGTTGTCGACGTCTCTATCTGCCACGCGCTGCAGGTGGTCCATGTACTTTGGTTTTGAGGATCTCTGTCGTGCAGCGCCATCTGCCGTCTCGTCCATAAAGTCGTATTCGTCATTATCGTTATCGTCAATATTCAATTCGTCCAGGGCATCCTGAGCCTCGGTTGAGGAGGGTTTGAATGAGCGCAGAAAGTCCTCGAAGGCAGNCTGTTGATGGGTTTCAGTGCTTTGTTTGCGCTTGCGTCTCGGTCAAAACAAACCTTGTTGCTCCTCGTAATTGATCAGGGAGGGGTAGGTAAGGAGCGCCATGACTGCTTCTGCTATGGCCTAAACTCGAATCGTCCGACACACGGCAGCTTGTTCCAAGAAAGATTGATGGGTTTGGATTATGATGGGTCTGGTGGCAGGGAGTGGGACTGGATTGCGAAAGCATCAACGCGAAGCTTCTCCAGCGACGCGAATTTACGCGTGTTGATTGGCTTCGCGCTGCCCATTTTCAATCTCATTGCTGCTACCTGGTAGCACATGCACGGCTAGACTCTCTGTGCCTCTGGACCACTTTCGTACAATCTCCTCGCAGTGCCGAGGTTATCTCGCTAGACACATGTGCTGGCACAGAGAACGACATGCTGTTGGTACAACTCGCAGTCTGTGAGCTAGCAGCCGGCCATCTTCTCGGCCATCCTCTCTACGGTACAGCTGCCGCCAAGTGTTACCACTCCATCCAGACCACAGTCAGACTGTAACGTTTCCTTCAGAGTCAGAACAGGCTGATTCTTGTTCATCTGATTAATAACGTATCGTTTTATTATACAACAGCCATCTTATGCATAACCACGGTTCCGGGAGAGGCAGGCGTACCAACTCCAGGTGATGCGACCGGGAAGGCGACCCGATGCAAAGCAACACCTACCGAGCCGAAAACTGTCTGCATCATGTTAGCAACCTTGTTTATGCTTCACCACATGCACGTCAGGTCTTTTGGAACCACATCTCGATCGCACCGCCACTCGACTGCAATCAAGATCGTCCATGTAGCTCTGTGGCTAGCCGAGGTGGCTGTGCATCGTCAAGTCGCCTTGCTTGCGCGCTGCTCCCCCTCAAACCTGCTGGAGAGCCACGCACGCCACGGCCCACCATCGAGTAAGGCGTCATTCGTGAGTCGTGCCAAATTTCAGATGGGCAGAGAGCGAAGAAAAAGAAGAAAAGCTGACAACTCTTGCTGGCTTGTGCCCTCGCGTGCCTGTCAATCTCAAGAGTCAGATTGCTCGCTCCCAGCCTTCTTTGACAAACAGGTCAGGCAACCCGGAGTCCGCTGCCTCTCGCTACCGTGCTTGCGTCCAAGATGCATCATGATTTGTCGAGCTGATCTTGTATGCAAGCACCAAAAGTATCGCGCAAAAGACGATCTACCGGACGGGCAGATAGACGGCATTGGGTGTTACAGAGTTGGAGACCATCCTGATTGGACGACGTACATGCATGAGATAGACGTAGCTAAGCAAAAAATCCGGAATCTGAGGCTGAAGTTAGCAGGTCCGTGAAACGAATCCTTGCCGTCCATCGCTCCTGACAACCCACTCCCAGCCACTTGTGCTCTTGCCTTTAGTTTGCGCTTTGACGCCGGCCATCCATGCGCGACCCCTACTGCAAAAGACGACATGGTTTCCCACTTCATAAACTCCCCGTCTCCTCTTCTGTAATCACCTGCACACTGCCTGCCACCTTTGGCCTCATTGTCCAACGGCGTTTCGACCGACATCACATTCCTTAGCCCTTCCTATTCGTCGGGACCTGGTCCGCTTCAGCTGTGGCTGTGCCGTTTGCAACTGCACCGTTTTATCTCCCCTCATCCTTCCACCTCTGCCATCAATCGTAATCTACCCCTCGCCGTTGATCGAGTTTTGTCATGTTCGAGACTCCCTCGTAAGTTCAGAGTCGTCCCTGCTTGTCCTGGTGCATGGTATTGATGTAATCGTAGCTTCAGGTCTTTTAATAGACCAGGACGCAGTCGCTCAAAGAGCGTTAAGAGTCCGTCATGTCCATCTTCAATCTCTCCAAGAATCATCTATATTAATGGTCCCAGTAGACAACGAAGATCTTTCAACGCTGGACACAATGTTCTCAGCAGCAGAGCCGCAATCCTCTGGGAATGCCTTTTCTCAACGTTTAACGAAACCACGAACAAAGCACAATTCTAGCTGTCTCGGCAAAGCTGAAACAAGCTCCACCAACACCACCCCTATCAACACCACATATGATTACGCCGAAGACGCCAGAGTTTCATTCTCCAACGATTCACCCCTTAGCATCACTGGATCTGCATCTTTCCGGAACTCCGAATCTCCTTCCAGGTCAGCTACCAACTCACCTCATGAAGCCGTCAGATCGAGGAAAGCCTCGAATATTACAATGAACACCTCAAAACGCCATACCATTGCTGCAGACAATTCCGATGTCGACGTTGCCGCCGCCATCGCTCTGCTGCAAGAGCTGAAGAAGCGAGCATCCCCTGAGGATCTGATCCTTCTGCACAAGGCCTTGCTACCGACCAAAAATGTCGAGCGTACGATTGCTCCCTCCAAGCCGGAAACCAAGGATTATGAAGAACCCATCTCTCCTCTGATCAGAAGAAGTTCGTTGCTCCCAGCTGGTGTCAAGACTCGCCTTTCTCGCGAGCTTTTGCGAAACTACTCAGAGAACAACGTGACAGTCCGCTCGGCCTCGGTTTCCAGACAGCACGCTGTTGTGGAGTCCCCCAGACTTGACGTGCCGCTCGACTTCGAAGCCCTGGATCTTGCTGAAGGGAGCATTGAGACCCAAGGAGGACGCCCGACTACACCATCCGACTTCTATCCCCAGATCGGTACATACAAAATGGGATCTCTGCGCATTACTAATGGAGCTGCCTCGCCAGAGCCAGCTCGTCTCCTCAAACGCGTAGAGCAAGCAGGCATCCAGCAGAAGCCTTTGGTATCAGAGTCTTTATCTGGCGAAGGCTTCATTACTGCTGATGAAGGAGAACACAAATCTGAATTCGTTCGCCCGAGTCGTGCTACAGTCGTTTCCTTACGAGCACCACGAAGAAGCTCAGAAGAACAGGACAGAAAGTTCTCGTCTGATCCTCGTTCTAAATCAAAGAGTAGAGGCCCTCCTGTTCGTCACAATGTTGTGGCTGAGGCGAATAGCTCTGCTCGTCAGACAGGTCATCCTCAAAACTCACAACGTGCTTCTGAATACGCTCAGGAATATGTGTCCGAGTTCGACACACTCGACAACCCACACGTGGACAACCCAGCATTGACGACTACTGTCTCACGTCTAAGCACAGTCCAAGATGAGTCTCCCGTTGAGGGTGGCATTGACGCCCGTGAGGAGGCCTTGAGACAACTTACAGGCGATCCACTTCCAGCGAATGATCGCACCCGAAAGCCACAGACGCAAAAGCATCTCCATGTGGCCCGTCCTCCTATGACCAAGAGTGATAGTGGATACAGCTCTGAGGCCTCGAGGAGATCGATTATAAGGGACAACAACTGTGACGATGTCCTCCTCGCCGCTCTCGACGCTGCAGACCATGCTGAACGCAACCGTTCTAAGGAGTCCCTTGGAGCCTGCGCCATGAGACCATCGTTGGAACAAATCAACGAAGACAAGATCTCCTCTCCGCGTTCCCCTTACGTCCAGCAGCAGGTGTCAGCTTTGCAGAAAGCAGAGAGACACCGAAGTCTGCCAAGTTTCTTCTTTAAGAAGTCGTCTTCGAGCACTTCTGTTAACACGATTGCTACCACTCCTGTCACCCCAGCGAAACAGACTAGGAAGCTTCAGAAATCCCGCCCTCAGTCGCAAGTCATTGCCCCAGAGCAAGTTCAAGAGCCCGAGCCCGCACTACCAGAAGTCGAGCCAGAGTTCGTTTCCGGCGCCCCAGAAGACCTTTCTGTCAACTTCTCCCGTCCTACTCGTAAGTTGGAATGCGGTTCTTCTCCATCTGCTCAGAGTCAAGAAGAAGATGAAAGAGATGCTCGCGGAAGAGGTCGCAGCCGCCGTAAGGGTGTCACAACGCAAAGTGCTGTTGCTGAGAGCCCACTTGAGGAAACCACCAGGAAGAGGAGCAGGAGTTTCTTCCGTTTCCGCAGCCGCAGCAGAAGCAAGAGTCAGCACCGTCGTGAGGAGGACGTGACTGTCCTCTCAGTCGCTGATGAGCCTCTTCCTACACACGACTTTTCCGATTTCGGCATAGTAGCACAATCTCTTGGCCAGTCGCCCTATGATATCGCCACCAGAGGAGTCAAACAGATGGGGGCATACGATCCGTCTAAGCCTTGGTTCCACCCTCATGAGATCAGTCGTGCCGCTCCCAAACCTGACTACGGCTCGGAGATGCAACAGAGCCGTGGAAAGTCTGGTGATCGTAGCCGACAGGACAGGGCACGCAGCCAGAGTCGTCCCGGCGAGTCAATTGATGCAATCGTGTCCAGCTCGAGGCCGCCAACAAGAGGCAAGTCGAGAAGATCACAAAGTGCTCACAATATTACCGTCCCACGAGTGCCCGAGGCAGTACCCGAGCTTCCGAAGCAGACCGAGAGAATGTCCGGCACCTTCTCTCGCCCTGCTTCGAAGGACGACACCGTCAGAGTCGGTACCATCGATTTTGGCACTGGTTTCGCCCAGGGCCGTCTGGAGCCTATCCTTACCAACTCAGAGAAAGCAAAGACGAGACGTCGTACTCAGTCCGTTGCTCCACGAGTACGCCCCAGAAGTGCTGTAATTCCCGAGGAGGCAATGCCTCAACTTGAGACGCAACAGCGATCCGAGAAGCTCTCTCGTGACGCACATCAGGCTCCTGTACATGAGCCACCTCAGGCACCTACCGAGAAGCGCTCGCAACCAACCCCGCTTGAGCTGCCCGAGATACCTTCAAGAGCGCTTCCAAAGGTACCCAAACATAGGAAGCAACCAACTGATGCACACCCTGCGCTCTCTGTGTCTACACTCAAGGAACCAATGTCTGTACCCCGTACACCTGCCTCACCATTGACCCCTACAAGTGGATCATCATGGGAGAGTCAAGCACTGGCATGGCGTGAACGCAAGCAAAGCCTGAATGAGATGCTTTCGTCTCCCACAACGGAGAGAAAGTCGCTTGTTTCGTCGACACCTGCTTCACCAGCCATTCAGGCTTATTCACCTACATTGCAGGCGCCTCGACGCGCACCAACTGTTGTCGTGTCGCGCTACATCACACCACAAGGCTCTGAATTTGCCATGCACTTGGATGAGGAAGGTCCTTATAGGAAGCTCCACTCCGA